AATATGAAGGAGTCAAAATTTGGAATTTTCTGCCACTGCTAATTAAAAGGTTAGCGAATAAGCCATCTTTCATAAAAAACCTGAAAACAATTTGTTAGAGTCGAATTGATCTACTCATTTGAACCTGATTATGAACATTATCGAATTTTTAGTATAGCCAATCAACATTTCTAATTAGACTAACCGAATGATGTTCTTTTCATTATCATTTACATTCTTTTCTTCTTTTAAATCGCTGTAGTTTTCTATACCTTATTTTCGTTTACAAACTGTACGTTTTATACACGTCAAATTGGGCATATGGCCAAGTTATCATACGACATACCTAGCAGAATCAGGGTTTAAAGGGATCAGCACAAGCCTCTTAACATCAAAGCGCAATTTTACAAATACTTTAACAAGTACATGACGAGTCTTCCTTGACTCCAGGCTTTATTTGAATTACTTTAATTTCAGTCTCCTTTCTGACATATTTGTAAAGAAGTCTAGAACTTCATCGTAGTTCAAACTCTCAGCGATTTTCAATTGAGAGCAGCGATAGACCCTTGAGTTTGAGAATGACCTCTGAGCGATGTTAACAAATTTTTTAAAGAAAACCGAAATAAAAAACAACAGATATTACCGATTGTATGGTATTTTTGCCGAATGTTGGACTCAAAGTGCCCCCCACCCCAACACCCCCACCCCCAATAACCACCGCACCACTGTGTCCGACAGCAAACATACTGAACTGTAAATTATCTATTGTACGCGGTTTCCTTTTTAAGAAAATTATTCGCAATTTGTGGTTCATCTATTAAATACAAATACAATGTACTAGGAAATTATTTCTTTGAATGAAAAGTTTGAGTTTGATTTTAATATTGGTGATTAATGTTTTGAGAAGGCGGGGAATCGTTTCTTTATGCTGCTAATTTTAGAAACTAGTTAAGATAATGAGATATACAAAATAGTTATCAGAGCAAAGCAGACTACTATAGCATTCATTGAAAACGAGGCTTGTTATGAAAAACAACTCGTTTTAATAAGAAACCAGCTTAGGATATGGAAAAGATGATAAGATCTTTTACGTGCAAAAAAATCAACAGACAATACCTGACTGAAACTTCATAATCCACGCAACCAATACAAAAAAATCAAATATAATTCTTCAAAGTTCTTAGAAGATAATTCTTAATAACTAACTCCAAGTCTCTTATTTTCCACGATGAAGTATTGAAAATCAAAAAGAGAATAAAAATATTTCTCAGAACGAAAAATTGATTGTACATCTATAACTTAAACGATTATTGTTGCTTAAAAAATTGATGTTGTTTATAGTGCTTTTAGACGTAAGCAGTTTGGCTATAGACTTTCCCATAGTTTATTTTTATGGTAAAACCTTAAAAGAAAACTTTTGTACTGCAAGTGCAAGGGAGAATTTGAGTTGCAAAAAGGGTTGCCGTGGAGGAGAAATAAGAGAAGTAGAAGGAAGATTCGAATTCATGTATTCAATTGAAATAATAGACTTTGGAAGGCCTAATTTGATGTGATTTACATAATAAATGGAACAAAAATGTTCCTAGGTCATGATAATTTTCTGCTTTAAATTCAAAGCAAATCCTTGAACGTAATAATTCATCTAAAAAATTGAACTGCCAAAATACTCACAAATAGTCAGTTTGTTGGTATTGCTTGCAGGGTTTAACTAATATTTGCTCTCGCAAACAGTGTTGCAATACATAATTAATCAGTTGTGAAGAAATCCCCTTGTAGTTTTCTACTCATCTAGGCTCTAAATCAAGCCATATTAATAGGCTTTTCAAACTTGAAAATAAAACTCGTTCATGGTTTACTTAAAGATCAATTCAGAAAAATTATAATCAGCTCACAACTTTTCGCTCGTCAGCTTGACCCAATTAGCTATGCTCAAGTTTGCAATAACAGTGAATTTTGAGAATAAAATTTAAAATTATGGACCTGTTCCTCATTGCAGAATAAGAAGAGACGAATAATGATTTTGACATGCACAGACCTAATAGAAAATAAAAGGTAAGGCGGGGGCAATGACTCTAAACTTTAAAAACGCCTTTTAAATGTCCCCTCTCTTGAATCCTGGAGCTCCTTATAGAAGTACAAATATGTTAAAAAATTATCACCCAAAGGAATAATATAAAGGTTAAGCCTGTAAGGTAATGTGATGCAACCATTTCCGATTAACCCGAGAAACAACCAGGCTCTTACCTGTTAACTTTTTCCCAACCTCTAAAACATACTCATTCAGAGATGGCGCCATGAAATTGAACCTTAGGTTTGGAGGGGGCGGGGGGGGACGGCTAAGATTCAAGTTAAGTGACATAGGCGGATCTACAATAGTTGGGTCCGACGCGTAGGAAGATTTTTGAAATTACTACCTTCTAAAATGGCTAAAAAAGCATTTCCTAGCCTAAAAGTTTAGGAGAATTCTTTACAACGCAGGACAGACAATTCGACGTTTCGCAGGAAACACTGATTATTGTTTATTGGAAAGTTGGGGAACGGTGGAGTCATGCTAAAACTCTAGTGACAGACGTTGGGGAAAAAAGTGTGAAGTTTTGCTTCAGAGTACACATCGATGTGAATACTGGAAGCTGTTGCTGAACAGAAATGTGCATCTTTCTTGTCTCGAGTATTTTGAGTAGGCCATGTTTAAACATCCAAAAGAATACCTTGCAATAATATGAAAAGTGGCATGCTGATTAGATGCAAGTTATAGACAAATTATAGAAATATGCGTAAATAAGATAGTACAGTTAACTCTCGATAACTCAAACTCTCAGTAACTCGAATCTGAGTCATTCGCTAAGTCGAACTGATATTGCATTACAGTTGCAAAATACTTTCATGTGAACCCCCTGATATCTTGAACATTTGGTATCTCGAACCGTTTCATTGGTCTCATGAAGTATAGAGTTATCGGGAGTTTACTGTAAATATATAAAATAAAATTGATCAGTATAAAAATTATTTTTTCTCCTTTAGCTAAAAGCTCTGTTTCAAAAACATAATTGAAAAAACGCTGATTTCTATCTTGGAAAAAAATTAGGGGGGAGGGAGGGTAGCGCGCTTGTCATTTTAATAGAAATATACTCGACATGCAAAATGAATCAGTCATACGAGATGACGTTACAATACCGGCAGTTGCCAAAAAGTATCTTAGGATGTCATGAATACTTGGACGGGTACAATGTCACGACTTATATTATAAGTGGGCAAGTCGTTTTTGACACAAATTCCTTAAAATCGACTAGATAAGGCGGTCTCGTTTGAGATGCACAAATTCTCCAGTTGCAATTTTTCAGCTTGCAATTTGTAAGTTTAGTTTTGCAAGGATTAGCGGAGTTTCTAAACTGTTTTTTGAAGCTTTAAAAATGAATGATGAATGAAGCTTTAAAAAAACGCTTACTTAGCAAAACTCTCTCCGCGTTTTGCGCGATGAAACAGGTGTGTTCGTGTAGGAAAACTGCCTTTTATATATAAATTTCTAGCCTTTGTATTAGAACAGAGGCTTGCCTCCTCCATTAAAAAAGGTTTTGCTCCAGGCAGCTTACTTTTGGTTGCTGCGCTGAGTCGATACGGAGATGCGTATGCGTGGATTAGCCCTTATTCGGTTAGATGGCTTTCGGTAAATGCAGCACAGAAACATTATATTACATTGAGTCATGGTAAAAACGAAGCGTATACCCAATCTGATTGGCTGTCAAGCAAACTGCACACACGATGTTGTAAGTGCTCTTTGTTCCACCGTTTCTAAAGGTTCTTTCTTTCTCTCTCTTTTATCTTGCTCTCTAAAAAAGGTTTCAAAACTTCTTCCCCCATTTGTACCTTTCAAATGCCACAAAGGCTTTTCAAATGCCTTTCGCTTTCGACAAATCACATCGCTGATTGCTGATCACATGAAAACAAACTTATCACATGGAAACAGACAAACCCCCCGCGGAGAACCAGTATTTACCACGACTCAATGCCTTTAAGTCATAGCTGTTTCATTATTTTAGCCCGAATTTTTTGTCAACAGGGCTCATGAACTTCAGCTACTTCCACTCAGTTTTACCTCCAAATTCAAGTCTCCCCATTGCATTCCAATTTTGTAAAAAACTGTTGCAAGAAAATAATCGTTTCATGTCTTTGATGAAAAGAAGCACAGTTTCAAAGCTACATTTTTTCTGAGTTATTCAATCAAAGGCTTGAATCATGAGTTTTGAATTACCATGTATAACCGCTTGAGATAGTTTAAGACAGGCTTGCTTTTCAGCAGGAAGATTAGATGGTATTATTCAAGAGATTCTTTCAATATACATGTTTTCCTCGAATTTCTGTGATTAGGCCGTATAACTGGAACAAACATTGCCGCGAGTCTTAACATTTCTTATACCTCTACTTAAATTAAGTGCCGACTATATTTATATATCTACTATATGCATTACGTCACAGAATAGAAATTGGGCTTTTTATATTCTGTGGTTGCGCTGAGTCGTCTGCATGGACATTATTTTCTGTCATAATTGGCCAAGAAAAAAACAAAGTGCTTTTGCATCTTCTCTTTCCAATACCTCGAATGCATCAAAGACTTAAGAGGCTGTAAGTACTGATTGCATATTCATAAATATATTATAAGTTTTACTTAGTGAACGAAAGGCAGTTCGCAATGAAACTTCTTTAAGGGAATGGTTAACAGTTTCCTAACTTAAATTGCCTCATCCAAAATCAGACAAAAACTATACTTGAATTTCCTGTAAGAATCAGCTGTATAAGTTAAAAGCAGCCGATAAAACACATAGCCGAAAGCCGAAGAAAACTTCGTAAGGATTTTTCTTAAAAAATTAAACACTTATTGAAAAACAATTTTGCATCGATTGTCCTCAAGTATGAGTGATCAACTGATTGCTGAATTCAACAACAAAAAGCGGTAGGTAAAGCTTGTATGTGTACCCAGCTTTGGTCGAATTGCGGTAAACGTGTATTGCTAGTCACTGCCGCCTTAAATGAATACGGACACCAGCAGAGCAAAGAAATCAAAAGACGTCAGAGAAATGCAATCACTATTAGTCGATACCTTTGCAAGGTTTTAATACCATGTAATAGAAATGTTTGTAGTAGAGAACAATAATTTTGTTTCTAAGCAATCAGGACTGTTTCCTTTACTTTTTCGTGGAGAGGGGGGTTAAGGGATGGATTCCACGCATTAGTACAGCTTGCTATCGTCTAAAATAGTTGGCGATTGCCACTCTTGTCCAGCACTACGCGTTCAGTTTTAACAGCAGTGCTATCTGACGTATTTATATGTGTATCGAAAAAATCTATAAATGAAAATGCGAACACAAAGTGGCAAGTGCACGACGACTGGAAAGTGAAAGTCAAAATAAAAATTTCATTGTGTAGTCAGGGCAATTTGCAAAACAAAGTTGGGATGCTAAGAAACCCAAACCAAGGAAGGAGTTAAAGACAAAGCTAAAGCAAGAAATTAAATACAAGGTATTTGTGTTGGAACACATCTTGTCATCGATTAGATTTGTTCACTAAAGCGAGTAAGGGTTTCAGAAAATACTGAAGGAACTCCATTGTTGTCTGAACCCAGAGATTTCTGTCTGTCCGACATTCTTATTGGTTTGACTCTCGACTGAGACAGACTATGCTCGCCGATTACAGAACTGATTAGCGCTTTAGCAGGTCGAGAATCAACACCTTGCATAGCATAGTGAATTTTATCTTCCACCAGCTAAAAATGCACCGCTTTCGCCGAATGAATCGTACAGCTTCGTTAAAGTTTAATGAATTTTCATCACGTAATATTCTTAACGCCTTACAATTTGCCACTTGCAGAGCTTATCGTGAATAAAGAGGTTGCTCCGTGAAAGTATCGATGGCCAGTAAAGAAATCTTGTCATAAGCCGTAATTGCAATTTAGCCATGCAGTTTGATGCAGAAGTAGCCTTGAGTTGCAGTTCGTCAGAGTGCTTTTAGCCCCAAATCATAACAGGATCAGGATCAAGTTTTGAATTGCATTTCCGTACATTGGATGGACTATATTCAATATATGTGTACATTCTCAGAAGGTGTTGAAGTTACACACAAAGTGAATTAGCAATTATGTTTGCACAGATCTTGTTGTGGCTCTGCAATTAGCTGCATGACAACTTTTAATCGATTGGAAAAAGAACGAAAGTAGAATGACAACTGCCAAAAACAAAGAATTGTTACGTCTGTTGATAATTTCACTGATTACGTTCTCAAGCTTACACGGAGGTAGGGATACAATACATTTGCAATATTTGATAATATTTAGAAAATATATCAATAGTCTTTGGAAAGTGTTTCTAATTTGCTGGATTTCAAGATATTCCTATTTATTATTTGAAAGTGAATTTATATGCATAATCTGCTTCATGCGGTCCAATTCTTGATAAGATGAAGCATTTGAAAATAAAGCAGTCACTTAAAATTGTCACAGATAAGCGTCAGAAGTGCTTGGCAATCTTAGAAGCTGTAGTCCCCTAATACAGAAAGACTAAAATGTCTGTTTATTATCGCTTTGTTTGCTTACAATTATTCTAATCTAACGACGCTTCTGTCATCTTGTTTTCGCCTTTGGCTTTCTATTTTATTCCAACCTGACTTGTGATTGCAAACAACCTGGCTATTCTTGACACTGCTTGACTTACGTGGGAAACAGTACTGCAATGCCCTACGACCTGGCAGCTATTTTTGTTAAACCTTCCGAACGTAAACTTCGCTAGACCTACTGGAGGCAGAAACTTCAATTCTCTAGAAGTAACATAATAAATTTTGCAATTAAATATGCCAAGATTAAATTGTCCTTGCTGTTTCGAAACCATTTACCCTCTTCTTCATTGGCTGCTACTTGCATTACTTAAACACCCCTTTTTCCAAAATTCTGGTTGTAGCTTTGTGTTTTTCACGTGAGCCACACCTGTTTGACTGGTATTTGAAATGTCATTGCCTTAAAGATATTTAGTAGTATAAGAAACATGACATGGGTTTGAGAAATACGGCAATAATCGAGTGGAATTTACAAACAGAAAAAAGGACTGACAGCTTTTTGGTACTTTTTACCAGTTCCAGATACCACAGTATGTTTTATATTGATGATGTGGTAGACATGCACAAGTATGTTTTATGTAGCAACTATAATGCAAACGAAGAATAAATTTATGTAGCAAATTACAAGAAAATGACTTAAATGCTGATCCAGTCATTAATCACTGACAGCAGCTGCTGCAGTTATAATCAAGGGATCCAATATTCAAATCGCAACCTTTGGAAAATTCAAGTTTTTGACTGACGTAAAAAAGGGAAATGAAATTTTATAAAATTGTAACAACAGATGCTCAAAATCGCAATGAACCTAAACCGTGAAAAAATTATAACTTCATCTTACTGCAAATTCCTTCAATTTTTGACATTTTAAAGTGTTGTAATCATCATCGATATGATTGTTTCAAAGTACCATTTCTCTTGAAATTATTTTATATGATCGATACCAATTCAAAATATATGCTTAGTACATGCCCAACTTCATACCGTCAGTTGCAATTGCTAACTGCTACTGTAAGCAACAGTCAAGAACTTCTTGTTCCTATTATACCCTCATTTTTGCCCACCGGTGAAGACATGATATAATGCCTGCCAAATGCCTTAAAACAACAACAGCATTTTTTGTCAGTCACATAATGTGTTTTCACTTTCCCCTCTCAAAATAAGTTAGTCTTCATAGATCTACGCGATCACTTATCAGCGTTATTATTACCCTCTAGTTTGAGTTATTGCTAGCCAATTGTTATTGAAATTATCCATTAGGCCTTATCGTTTGTGTATAAACATTTAATGAGAAATTTCAAAGTTTTTTCAATAGTGTTAAAAAGAGAAAATTGAGCTAATGGTTTTAGGAAATAAATGAATAAAAAGCTTTCATCTGCTTCAAATTTTAACGATTAACTTATCTTATACCTAAATATTTGCATTAAAACTTTCCTGCTTTTTAAACATAGGGTTTGATGAAGTTGTCAACAATGTGTTCAGCCAACCTACAAAGCCTATTAACAAACATGTAATGCCATTTCTGCAAACGTAATTTGAGCGGCCAAACCTCTGAATAAAGAAATTCTGAAGAGGGTAGAAAAATCTATTTTGACATATCATAATCCAATCAAAAACTACAATGTAATTTGTTTAAATTTAACAACCGTGGGAATGCAACAGGATTGCCGCGTAGACGATAATCATAATGTTAAATTTTGGAGAGTAACAAGTACAATGTTTTCTCTTTATAAATAAGGCACCACAGAGCAGGTGAGCAGGGTTTGGAGCCCAAAACTTTGGCCTAACATTCTTTAATTCCATTGAAATGGCAACCTGTTTTGCAACATCTAGGCTTGTAAGGATTATTTTCATCTAAACCCCAGCCTGTTAATATATACCATTGCCTAATGGTTTATCAGGTAGCTTTCTCATCAGCCAGTGGTCATCTGCAGTTAATATATCTAACAGGTCATTGGTTGTCAGATAGTTGTATTAGAACAATTTACAAAAATTTGTTATTCCAAATTGAAAACTTTGAAATAGAAAAACAGGTAGATTGCATCATTGCAAATTTTTTATTTAGCAATAAATTGTACAGGCTAAAGTCTAAATTCAATTTTTCAACCATCATACCATATCATTGTTGAAAAAAATCCACGATAAGCATAAAGTAAATGCATTTTGACTAATAAGTGCTTATTTGCTACTTTCTCTATTTGTAACGTATTCAAAAAAATTGTGCTGAAAGTCTGCGGGCAATAGATTAACCTTCGTTGCAATAGCTTTGCTTGTAAGAACAAGAAATATTCACAAAAACAACGGCATCGTGGATTTTTCTATTTGTGACCAAACTACCCATGTTCAGTGCTGAGGGAGGGGGGTCAGAGGGGGGGTCAGAGGGTCACTGACGGGGTGCCTTGGCTAAAGTAGACCATAAATAATACCTCAATAAAAAATTATACCTCAAACTTTCAATAATAGAAAAAATAATGAAAAAAGTCTATAAAGAAGTAAGGTAGAAGCAGTTTGAGTTAATGACTGCTTGAATGTCAAAGATACTATATTTTTGTTGAGATATTCTAATCTTTGTGGGATCGAGCTGAAGAAGTCGAAAAGCTTCTGAATGTGTACCAAATAATGTGAATATAGCAGGGGAACATACAGCAACATGTAGTCATTGCTAAAAGTACTTTGAACACTCAGCAATTTGCATTGTTTTTTTTCATATTTTTTAACTCGTCCCGAATACTCCTATTTCCGCACCACCTTCCCCCCTTAAAAGTTGATAACTTAGAAATATATTATAGAATTTACAGAAAAGCGTACTTTTAAATCCTCTACGACTTTTTGTCGTAAACCAACATGAATTAAGGAGGAAATGTCGTACCAAAACTTTTGGTTGGCATTGTACGTCATACAGATTTACACAATGGCATGGTGTCAAGATATCAGTTATGCTAAAATTACATAAAATAGCAAACAGAATTAATAACCACCAAAACAGTTTAGCCACAATCCTCTTTAAAAATTCCAGGGGGAGCCTTCTCCGTACCCCCTAGAATGATCTGCCTTGGGCATGCTTTACTATTTATCTTTCGATCCAACCCGGGACCCATAAATCCTCTCCGCGGCGCTGCTCAGTTTCTTTAATACTGCATCAATTTATCCCTTTATTTTTCAGTTTTAGTTATTATCAGGTTATTGTTTTATTATTTAGTGTAGGCAGTAGGCAAGTCGATTATTCCTTTATGAAATGTTGTGCGATTTTAATCCATTGACTTACCCCCGTTATTATTCAAAAGAATCTAGAATTGTTGATAAGGTAGATTTAATGGTGGGCTCTTTTTTGCAAAGGTGGAGCTCATCGTGCATTGTGGTTGATTATAAACGAAAATGGCCCTGTTCATAATAAGGTTGAAGGTGAGATTAATAACAGAACAATCTATGTTCGAAAAATAGACGAGTTGACAATAATGCATGCACTAAGAGAAAAGCAGAAAGAAGCTCGATTTGCATGCAAAAGCTTTGATACAGCATGCAAGGCTTTTTAGAGCTGCTAAGTTAATGCGAACTTAGTTTATCATTACTTTTGTTGAGATAAATTTTCACTAAGCTTTGGTTGAGTTTTATTCGTACTCAGCTGTTCATTAAAACTTTGCAAATTACAGATTAAATACATGCTGATTTCTCGATGATCTTTTAATTTAAGCTGAAGGAGTTGACTTAATGCATTGATCGAAATCCCAAAACAGTAGATACCTGTAAAGGCAGTTCATTTGCATGATAATAGTTATTTGAGTGGCGGTGCATGTTTTGTAGCTCCTTGCGAAACAGTTCACAATCCTACCTGCAATTCTTTAAAATGATGCCAAATGTTGAAAAAAAGACAGGTATTGCTCCACTGTTGAAAAACAAGACAGGTAATGCTCCACTGTTGAAAAACAAGACAGGTAGCTGTTGACAAATACTATTCGTAGCTTCCCTGGGCCATTTTCTTACCAAGTCAAATGATAGTTATTTTCTTAAACTGTAAATGCGAGGTATAACGTTAGATTATTGCTCAAGGTGAACTGTTTCTAAATTATCTTTCGTCCTTTTTCTGCCCCCACCTGCCCCCACCTGCCCCACCTGCCCCCACCTGTCTCGCCTTCCTCGTCTGTACGACTTTTAGCAGCCCTTTATCGGCCTAAAAAACCATTCTGCTTTTCCTTAAAAAAAGTTGACAGGTTATTTCATTTATTCTACAGGAAATTCATTTCAGCAAGCTGGTTTTAGTCTAAAAAAACTCCGGAGCCAGTTAGTTCCGAAGACTGGAACAACCTACGTTGGGCCTTGGGACACAAACCCAACCAACGATGAAGGCCTTTACATCAATGGCATAAATTTCGACAAAGATTTATTCCCAGTGGTGCCTCAGTCGGGTATTTATTTTGTCAGATTGAAAATTTTGTTGGAAAATGCACTTCGTAATGTCCAGTATGGCATACGCCTGATGTCATCTTTGGCTGGCCATTCGATTTCGTCGTGGACCACAAATTATGACATTGATAAAGAACTGTCTCTTTCTGCGAATTTACGCCTGACTGTTGGGGAAAGACTACTTGTAACATGTGATAATGAATTTGGAAATGTAACTATCCTTCCCGAGAGTGCTTTTTCAATGCAGATGATAGGCCAAGTTGGTGTCTTACCGAGCTTCCTTGCGCGGACTCTCGAAGACGAGCGGATTGGCCAAAATAGAGAGTCTCGAATTGTCAACTGGAAAGCCTATCATAAGAGCTTAACAAGTTTTTCAAGTGCTGAAGGCATCTTTGTTCCGGTTGTTTCCAACAATATGTGTGCAGCTTGAATTTAGTTCTTGAATATGTTAATGGCATTGTTGAGGTAACATTTAAATCTAACCAAAGGACTCTTTTTACAATCAGAAGGCAGTTTCAAAACAGAGAAACAACTATAACTGTCCACGCCAGCAAAATTTTCGCGCTTCGAGAAAAGGAGGTTTTCCAAGCGACCTTGAAAGGGTATAATGCAAGCATCATTGTCTCAAAGGCGACAACGCTTTCATGTGCCTTGGTTGGTGAGGATGACAAGGTGGAAACCCTTTCTATATCATCCGCTCATGATATTTTGTTTGAAAACCAGAACTGGCTGGAAGTCAATTCGTGGAAAGAAGTCCAGGCGTCTTCTTCATTTCGACTTTTGGGTGAGGAAGGCAAGGTCTTTTTTCCTGCCAATCTCGCTTTCATAGGCCTTTCTCTGTCCGTCACTACTTTTGAAAGTGATGACGTAACAGTTGCTGTTATTCCTGGTGGAGTAAGTACCAAGGAAGGAACTGGAATTTATAAGACGTTACAGCTTAAGGGATCAGGGACGAGGATGATTGCTATGACAGGTTTGATCAAAACAGTGGACGATAGTTACATCTCATTGATCATAACAAGCAAACTCGGATCCAAGATGAGAATATCCGATGGGGAAATGAAAATCATTTTAAAAGAGCCGCGTGTGCCTATGATGCTCCTACCGTTGATAAACAGCAGTGTTCTTAATGAGACTATAGCAAAATGGCAGGCTATAAATATTGATAAAGAGATTAGGGAGAAGCCATTTAGGACACAAAGTTCTTACTGGAATATCAAAGACCAGAGTTTTTCACCAAAAGAAGCAGGAATTTACTACATATCAGCTTCTTTTCAAGCTGCGCTACTAAATACGACAGTCACACCAAAAAGAGCTTTTGAGGCAAAAGTCTTTCTTAAAAGAAATAACAACAAGAAGGGCAAAGAAATGATGTACGGTATACAAAATTTAAGGGAAGAGCCAAGAACCTTGAGTCTTGCTGGTGCAGTCAATCTTGATTCCAATGATAAACTCTTTTTAATGTTCAGATGTCAAGACTGTAAATTGTCTGCATCTTCAGGAATATCTGCTGTACTGCTCTCTAAGTCTTTCAACATGGAAGGGTTCTCGACTAAGCTTTCAGCAAGTCAAAATAAATCAGTGAAAGAAAGCGTTCATATCGATCGCTGGTCATGGCACTTCGCTGATTTCTATCTGACAAATTCATTCAATGCAGATACTGGCGTGTACGAAGCTCCTCACACTGGGGTTTACCTCATCATCTGCACGCTTATAGTGCAAAATATTCAAAAACAGGGAACTGTCAATCTACGAATTGACATAACAAACAGTACTGCTTCTTATATTGAGGAATCACTTCCTGTTTCAGGGGATGGTCCAGAGTCGATGACTTTGACTGTACCAGTGAAACTTAATCAAGGCCAAGCAGTTGCCCTGGTACTAAGCGCTATCAATAGCCAAAACATAACCGTAATCAACGGTAGTAAATTTTCTATTACAAGCCTCATGCACGGGTCATCAACACTTCCGCCTGGGTTCACACTTTCGCTACGAAACATTATGGCATTTTCGTTTAGATGGAGCTCTCCGTTGAAGGACTGGTCACAGGATGCCATTGCAGGTGCATTTTCCAAGAAATCGGAAGCACTTTTTGAATTCAACGAAAGACAGGGAGAAATGATCATTCGAAAGGAAGCCGTTCTGCTTCTCAACATCATTGCTCACGTGAATGTTGACCGTGGCAGCCAATTGACTTTGAATGTTAGAATCAACGAGGAGATCGTTGAAAGGGTTTTATCGGTGACTAGTTATGTTGATTCAGTCGAGTATCTCAAAATTTCTGCAGCTCTGTTTGTGAAAAACAAAGACAGGATTACCGTGGAAGTACAGTGTTTAAACAGACGAAGCACATATTATGTCTTGAGAAAAACTATGATGTCAGCTGTGTTCCTGTCAAGCACTTCAACTAAACCTGGTCTAACTCTCGGTGTTCGCAAGTCCCTTGTTGGTCAAGTCAATGGAAAGAAAACATTTCGCTGTAAGCTAAACAAATTTCATTATACATTTTCGCTTCACTAGTAATTATGTGTAATCCACTTATTTCACATCAGAGCAAATAACGTGTAGTATGACCTTCTGGCAAATCGCTCTCTTTTCACTTTCAATTACACGCAACAAAGTTTTGATCTCTCGTTTAAATTGAAAATCTGTCGGTCAGGATTACTCTGATACCGATTCTGGTGCTTTAAGAATCTCAATTGGAAAGATTTAGTTTCAAAGCATTAGTAGAAAACTTATAGCATCACACTAGGAAGTTAAAAGTAACTAGGTACTAGAAAGTAGAAAGCAATTTTCAGCAGTACAGAAAATATTCAAAATTCTCTCTAGGTTATAGCCATCTATGATGTAATGGTAATTTGCAAAAGTATTTATTTTCGTGAGCATTCATGGATTAATTTGGTGGATGAGCTTATTTTCAAGTTTGTATCCTTTTTCAAAGTCATCATGCAAGGTCTCTCTGAACTAGATATGGAATTTTGCAATTTTCTACCTAGAGGAATGTGCAAAAGACTCGTATGGTATCAAAAAACTTTCGCTTTTTGAATAACTGGGTTGAGTGAGAAAAAATATAGGTAGCATTTAATAATTATAGTATATTCCATTACATTTGAATCAGTCAGCCTAGTACAAAAAGTTCCATTTGCATTATATAAGGAACTTTTTCAATTTTATTTCACTAAATTTGATGAAACAAGATGCATTTTTTATTTACCCAAGACATACTAAAGAACGACTGTTCTGGCTGTTACCAAGACAACATTCCATACAACGAGTCACAGGGATACTTCCAGATTCCACTTGGAGGTAAGACTATTATGACTTTTGGGTGTTATCTCTTTAAGCTGCAGTCATTACTTTCTAGATTTTCTCAATCTTTCCCGCTGCAAGTCTACATCATTTGATACTCTTTATAGTTCTGAGTTTTGTTTCGAATCTATAATAAAAAGCAACATCTGAAATATTTCTTCTCCAAAGATTTTTAGGCATACAAAATGAGGTTGAATCAGGGCCTATTTTAGTGTTTAGTATTTCACACTTTGTGCAGTATTAATTTAAAGACGTGCAGTATTGATTTCGAAATTGTGCAGTATTCAATTTTGGGATTTGTGAAGATGTCTATTTGCCGCTATCCCAGATTCCTGCTTTGTTCACAAAATGTAATTTTCCTCGTCAGTTCGATATAGAGTTCATGTATTGTAATTCTCGTATGACCATCGGGAAGACTCTCTTTCAAAACTTTAAACAAAACGAAATGCCCAGAACCAAAAACAAAACATCTCCTGTAAATGTCAGCATTGCTGTAAATTTCGTAATTTGATCCTGTTGAAGACAAAACATTCACTAACAATTTATCAGTTGCCCTATCATGCTCTGGGCATCTGGCAGAAGCTCACTTAACTTAACAAAAAGAGCCTAATAAAACTTTTTCGTTGTACTGTCCAGACAAAACATGAGATAGTGACTCCGTTTACAAGAAATAAATGACTATGTTTCTATTCAAATTTTGTAGCTACTGTTTGTTTTGTTGCTCTTTCGAAGAGTTATTGTTGATTGTATACACTATCGTCTGTCTGTATGTGATTTCTACATCATGGCCTATACACGTGTTCAAAACTCGGGGCATTTCCTCGCTACGCTTGCATGACTAAGATACCTAGGGTTCACAGGGGTTTGCAATGATTGCAACAAAAATTTCCTTTAAAAAAAAATATAATTATAGAGGTGCAGTATCGAAAATTTCTTAAAATAGGCCCTGGGTTGAATCAAGTACTTCGCTCGGACTATTGAAATCACATTTTTCACGCTTCTTTTGATAAGGAACCACTTTATAAGGAACCTACATGTAGAAGGCCGAAATATTTAAAAAGCTTATGCTACTAAAAACGAAATCCCTAATGAACTTTTCGATTTGAAAAATCTTTTTAACTGCAAGCATCAAGAACTAAAAAGCCGGTTCCATTTATTTGCAGTCAATACTTGCATAGATTGTTTGCTATTCGTGTGTCAAGTGCTTCATTTCATTGAGTAGTTTCCGCATATGCTTTCTCGCCCCTCTCTCTATTAAGTGTTAAGGCTTATTGTAGTCAAACAAATTAAGGAGCTTTTGGTACTAGAATTTGATGATTTGAGGTCTACGAATAAGGAACATTTGGAACTAGGCCTTGAGGTAGGTTCCTTATAAGAAAGCAAGTAGTCTTTAACAGTAATGGGAGCAGCTAACTGTTCGAAACAATAGTATTACAAAGTTGTGGTTGTTTAGAAGTAAAAATCAGTAATGTTCTTTACTAAAAAACTCACTAAGAAACGTTCGTGGATTTTGCGCTTGTTTGGATTTCTTACAATAAATAGTCAATTTGTATTAAGTCTTTATCGCTCATCAACAACAATTCTGCGCATGAAAATTGCTGTTGTTATCAAGAATCAAGAACCTTATTAGCTGAAGAAGAAGTAGAGGTCGTTTCTTCTAAGACAAAGAAAAACATTGGCTGCTCTTGAAGATACTATGTCCTGTCAGTCAACCGTTCAGAGTTAGCAATAGGCTTTGTAGCGCGTTTCTGATCGACAGAACATTGCAAATTACGTTGCTGATTGGGTACGTAACAATAGGTCTATTGTGTAGTCCAACCAATGGGAAATCTAAATGGCCAGCGAAATGCGCCGGGATATAGTGCCTTTAACATAATAGGTATCCTGTCGCTATAATCTCTAATGATTTCAGCAGAAGCTTGAAACGTCTTGTTTTATCTTTATTGGATATCTTTGTGTAAACACTGAACAAAGCATTTTTTTAAAAATGGTCTTCGAAATTGATCTAGCTTTACTTACAAATTAGAAAACCAAGGATTCGAAAACGTTTGTTGGAGCCTTGTTAATTCTAGAAGACAAGGTTCTTAAAATTTTTGCCAACAAAGTGTTACTTTATGAAGCCAGTTAAACCAAAACAAAGTGAATGGCAAGGCGTCAGAGTGGAAAATCACTAAGACATCAGGAATGACGTTAAAAGAACTTTTCTATTTATAAAATAATCTTGCTCAAAATCACACACAAAGCAAAGGAAAGTGTATCAACATTCCTGGCTTCATGTTGTTTTGTCTTCAATCCCCTTTTGCCGTCATTCTGCCAATGACAACATTCAATAAAGAAACGAATTACAAGGCCGCCTCCATTTTTCAGATTCATAAATAGTTAGCAAAAATGTGCTTGAAATATGTCAAATCCAATTGCCTAAACTGAAAACACAAAGTTTTTTACGATGCTATTTTTTGATATGATTAAATGTTGAATAGTTATATTTGTCATCTTTTTTATCAATGAGGTAAAGTTTCAATTGAGAAGAACACTGTTAAAAGTTTGTTTTTGGCTCCAACTCCATACACATTGTGCGAATACAAGCCTTTTTTATAAAGCCTGGTTCTCATATATCGGCGATCGTCGCCGATGTGGGCCTTGCAATGCTTGCGGTATATAAGGACATAAGTTTTTGTACATCGCCGATTATCAGCGATCATCACCGATTAACCAAAATAGTTTGTTTCTTGCGATCGTCGCCGATGTGGACCTTGCAATGCCTGCGGTATATAAGGACATAAGTTTTTGTACATCGCCGATTATCAGCGATCATCACCGATTAACCAAAATAGTTTGTTTCTTGCGATCGTCGCCGATGTGGGCCTTGCAATGCTTGCGGTATATAAGGACATAAGTTTTTGTACATCGCCGATTATCAGCGATCATCACCGATTAACCAAAATAGTTTGTTTCTTGCGATCGTCGGCGATGATCGCCGATGGAAAAATGTCTAGCTCCCAGTCTACCTCTATGACCACACTGGCGCCGAGCAAAATGGCCGAACAGAAGGATTTGTCCCAAGAAATCTAAAGAAGTATGAAAATCTATCGATCAATTATGTAAAGGCTTTCAAGACAGGAGAGTATGAGCTAATTGCTGGAAGAAAATTGCAAAGGCATCATCGAAGTTATATTTTCTGTTTCAAAATCTGACTTTATGCATTGGCTGACGTTTTCATTAAGTAAAAACACTGTTATCAGAATTGGCGAAAAATTATCAAAATGAGGCTCTTTGTTTTCATGGTCACAACAGGGCCAGAAGATCGCAGGGGCATCGCAGACAAGCAGTATATGAGAACACTTGCATCGGTGACGGTCGCCGAAGGTCTGCGACATATGCAAAACACCAGGCTGAGGTTTGCCTAAAAAGTAAGAACAACATAAGATACAAGGCAGGTGAAATTCAACAAAGCCCAAGAAATATAATTCCAGTAAAAATTGAAAAATGAAAGAATAGCGACAGAAAAACACAGAAAGCGATTATATTGATGCAAATTGGCATCAATATCTTTCTCAAACACATTTATGTTCGGACCCTACTATGCACAAAAATTCAATTTAAAAAAGAAACAAAATAAGAAACAGGTTAGGCTGAACTTATGCGAAAAACTTAGAAACGCCAGACTGAAACTGGAGCCAAATGTTCTTTTGGAAAAAGAGTGTACCGATAAAGATTTCTGCGAAGCCTGCTTATATTCATGAACATTTATCTACCTTTAGGTCAATTTACTGACAAAGTATCAAAACATGGGAAATGAGGGCATTCCCTCTTTGTAGGCAGGGCGTTATAGGTTTGTAGCTAAAACCCTACGCTAAAACTTTGGTATCATAGACGAAATGGCCTAATACCTAACTGTAAGATGACAACAGCATGTCTAACGCTTCTTGAATATAAAACATTTAAAGGATAATACTATGTATCTAAAATGTGACAAAACTCAATAACAAATACCTCAATCGTTGCAACAACTTTCAGTTTTAAAGGTTCACAACTTTGAGCAACACCTTTCTGAGGCATATCCTCTCTTCTTACTTATTGTCAAATGAAACAATGTAACTTTACGTACAAAATTTCAGGGACTTTACTGCAAATGCGGAAAATTTCCCAATTTTCGCTATTAATGAACTATAATATATTTAATGTAAAAATACTCATTTCACCTATGTGTAGGCCCTTTTTATTTTTATCAAGCCTAAAAGTGATAATAGGCCCTTCATATTTTGTCATCGAGCTTAAAATCATCTCTTTCTATTTCAGGTAGATATCTTATTTCTGTAAACTTTGAGCTACAAACTGCATCTTTGATGGATGTTGTTGAATGCGGATTTCTATCAGTTGAGCAAGGCCAATCAATTTTGAGTGAAAGCTTCAAAGGAAGTGGGCTCTACCAAATATCAGGTATTGCACTGATCGACAAGGCAACGAAAATCACATTCATGTGCACTCCAGAGAACGATATTCAGTTCTTGGGCTTGACATTTATGACCATAACTTTGCTGCAATACTGGAAAGGGATTATCACGTCTGTTGTCAAGAAGGCAGCTGTAATTGATAATATCAAACTTGGTAAGCAATAAAGTTCCTTGATAATTTTTATAATGTTGGCTTTGATTATAGCTCATCTCTCCTGCAAACATATTGAGTTTATTCATCAATAAACTCATTTTATGTCTATGTTTCTGATTGTACATTGATTTCTTATAATTGTCATCTTTAGCCGTATCACCTGGTTTTTTAGCTCAATAAGATTGATTTGGATTAAAGCTTGTCTTTGAATATTTCATACGTCGGTTAAAACATTGCTTTTTCAAACTCTTTCTTTATTAAGGAATCCAGGTACCTAACATATGTTAAGATACATATAATTGAATTAATTCTTTATTTTTATCGATTTTTCTTTGGTAGTTTTCAATGTACTTTCGTTCTAATTCTGCAGAAGTTGAATACAAAACATTGAAGAATAGACCATACATAGTGGTTGTTAGCAACATAAACAGCACATTGAATAACTTTCGATTGACAAAAAGGAAAGATGACGACCAAAAGAATTTTGACGTCATCGTTGATTACAGAGGAACTGTTACACCAGAAAACAAACCTGTATTTGCTGTTGTCTACCTGGGCAGCAATGAACGCCTGGTTTTGGAGTGTGAAGACAGCGCGAACAACTTTGATGCAAACATGACTACATTATACGAAATACCATCTTTGAACGCTGGAATCACTCTGACACTTGTTGAAAATTTGGTGATGAAACCCAGCAATAGAACGTCCAGAGTCTTAGTAGGTTGGGAAAGGATTCTTAACTTTAAGAACGAACTGAAATTTGATTTTCAGCATGGTTTGCTTATCAGCAAACTGCCTGCAGAGTATCTTTTTGTTGTCAATTTCAGATTTGTTGCCCAAAGGAAGGGTAAAAGGTGAGGCTATAATTTTTTCTCAGAATCTAGTAAATTAACGGATCTTTGATTTCCGAAAACATAATTTTTAACTCGTTCCTGATTCTATAGAAATAAAGATTAATATTCAATAGAGAAAATGGTAAGAAAAGATGTTTGGTTCAAGGGTAATTAGTCTTGACAGCAGGCTGAGAGATATGACGAAAAGGTAGCTAACCAACTTTCAAATGCCAATTAAACGTTTGTCAAGTAAGACATGATAACGGCATATTTACATCCATGCTTGTAAATTCAATTAAAAAAGTCGTGTTTAGCATTGCCAAAGAGAAAAGAAATCAGTGATAGAATTAACAGGCAGGTCGAATTCATTGATCCTGATTAAAATTTGCGAAACATTGTCGTAGCATCAGCTTTAATTTGTTGCTTCTGCCAATACATCCTGCATTATTGGCCAATCAGATGCAAAAAAATGTCAAATTTAAAATTTCAAACGATGCCACGATACTTTTAGTCACATGTTGAACGAACAAATAAATGTCCGATATAAGAACAGCATTTTGCTTGCAATTTATGTTATATTGGCTGAAGGTTCTGCATGATAAGCTGAACCCAGTACCAAAAAACTTGTTTTTTCTGCGACTAAATCTATATTGCTACAATCCTTGCCAGAAGTCTTGGTACACCAAGCTAAAATTTTGCATAACTTCAGTAGCATCCCCCTTTCCCCTTTGAAACAATGTTGAATAACAACAGTTTCAAAGCTTGAAATTCGTCCAATGTCAGTTTATCAGCTAGGGTAAGTAATAGGCTTTTCAGCCAACATTGTTTTTGGGGGGAGGGGGGATATTTCTGTATCTTACAGCCGGAAACTTTTATTTCTTCAAAATCTTTCATTGGTCGCAGGGTGTTCCAAGGACTTTTGTCAAGGATTGTAGCATCTGCTTTCTGCTAGTATCAATTGCTTTTTGCGCAATATCTACATAAATCTATATAAATAAAAATTTTTAGAAAGACAATGACAAAAGACAATTTATAATTTTTCTGGAACGCGCTTCATCCTTGCAACGAGGAGTCATCAGCCTACTATAAAAAATGTATATATCTTTATACTGAGTATAGCAAGATATGTGGAAAAGGAAAACTGTATGGTAGGGAATATGGAAAGACATCTGGGATTCACAACACCCCTTCCTCTTTAGTATTTGACTAAGGCTATTAGTAGTTTTTCTCCTTCGTACAGGGGGTATGTCTTGAAAAATGGATTGTGAAAGAATATTTACTTATATGTCAGAGTGATTAGTTAATTTCGCCCAAGCAAGTATTATAAATATGTTCCGAGGCGGTCTGTGAAAACTTTCATTTTCTTGAAACACTAGTTTTGCTGACTCCTAAATGTCACTAAGCCACGACCTTTAGTCTGTTCCCTAGTTGACTTTCTTATTCTCTTCGTGTTAATTATACAAAACAATGACAATTCATCATCATTTCCTTTACAATTTTAGGTCGTTGTTTCTCTCTGTAACAGACGAATTAGAGAAGCATAGCTTTTCTGTTCCACTGTGTGATAACCAGAACGGTAAAACTTGCGGGACAAGTTTCATTACGTCATTGAAGCTTCAAAAATGGCAGACTGTTGGTCTTTACTTGACTCTGACCGATGTAAATGACTCGGTGACGGTATTAAGTGGAACTAGGATGTCGATTGTGATGCTTGGTAAGCCACTGATAGTATTAATTTCTTCCTAAAGATGAATCTTTCTCTTTATTTATTGTTTTCTATGTTTTCAAAGTTGACAAGCCTTAAAATTTTTCATACAGAAAAGACAGCTGCTCTGGCTTATGACGACAGAGGGCCAAGTTTCATTGAGCAGCCTTGGCCAGTGTATACCAATCATTCAAGCATATTTGAATATCAATGTGCAGCTATTGGATCACAAAGCATCACAAAATACACGTGGAATTGGATAAGCAGGGTATGAAGGGTTCTGCTCTTAATCCGTGACATAAATTTTTTATTTGATGTGATAAGATAAAAAACATTGGCAGATGATAGATGCAATAAAGAGCAGCTGCAAGGTTTCTTAGCAAGTGTAAGGGTCGCGCAAGAAGAATCCTACACTGGGTACCAGACCCTCGGTAAAAAGATGGTCGACCCAGGGTAAAAAAATCCTTTCTCTTGTATAACTTGCGATTTGCTTGAATTTTACTGGTGCTACATAGTTACATGATTCACGTAACGAAGATATGCTTAATGGCGGCATGCAAATTTTTGGTCGCTGGTTATGAATTTAGTGCGAAGGAAATATTTTCCGATGATCATTGGCAGTATCTTCACGCCTGCCATTTAGAACTCATAAATAAGGGAATGTAAAATCTACCGAAGAAAGCGAATATTCAAAATTATAGAAGTCCAATAAAAATCAGGAAATTTAAGGTTCAAGATTAGGTAAAAGACACTGGCTGGAATACAAGATTTCTTTTGCAAAATTTCATAAACTTTATTGTTCAAAAGATATAATTCGAAGGCCAGTTAATTCTATTTTAGCTTAAGATTATTATTCATATAAAGTAAATTATCATATAAAATTTCATCATTTCATTTTCTTGACTGTCCTCCAACATTTAAATAAAACGGAGCTCAGAAGAAAGCTCGTCAATTGCGAGATAACGGGCAGTTTCCCTCAAAAGGAAATAAGAAAAGAGCTCGAGACAGATAATTTCTGAGATAAAATTCGAGATAGTGAATGTCTGAAAGACCTTTATTCTTTCAAAACGAGGGGAAATAAAAAGACTTTCAATATAGGGAAGTTCAGGATGTCAATTGCAAATGAAAATTTCAAGCTTCCGCCATTAATTTCTAATTTTCTAGGTTCACTTCATAAAATTCGGAATCTTTCTTAAACCAAAGTTCTGAAACGTTTTCTAGGAAACAAAGTTAAAGAAGGTCGTTGGCTACGGGAAAAGCTTTAAAGTACTCGGAAGACCAGAGGAATCAGGCTATTATTTTTGTACAGCAAATATGAATGGAACAGTACGCAACTCAAGAATTTCTACACTCGACATTTCAGGTAGGCAGTTCAGTAAAGTAACTCTTGACACGGTCTACTTTTCTCACTGGGGCTGTCTACACGTATTTTTTAAAAGGGAAACTTTGTTAGAAAAAGAAAAAATAAGAGAATATTTCCAGGCCTAAAACTTAAACCTATTCTTTGAGGATACCATAGTTGAAAAAATAGGTTTCATGTTCTTGTAAAAATGAGCTGATTGTGGATACTTTCTTGCATCCCACAGCTCAACAACTTCAGTCATTCAACCCTCGTCGATTTTAAACACTTCTCTTTGACTACACGCTATATTTATACGAACGACCCTTATAAGAAACACCAAGCTGAGATTTGCCCAAAAAATGAGAACAACATAAGAAGCAAGGCAGGCTGAAACTTAATAAAACTCAAGATATAAAATACCACCAAAAACTGAAAAATGAAAGAATAGCAACAGAAAAACAAAAAGCGATAAGCAAAATTATCCGGACACTATTATGCACAGAAATTCTGTTAAAGAAATAAGAAACAAGAACATGTTAGGCTGAAATTATGCGAAAAAATAGGAAACGCAAGACTGAAACTGGAGCCAAGTGTTCTTTTAAAAAAAGCGTGTACCGATGAAGAAATCTTTTAAAGCTTACAATTGGCGGGGATAGAAAGAGTAGATTGATTCAGTAATTACAAATTTGTCAATTCTGAAAACTCTGAAACTTGATTGCGCTTGCAGATACTGATGAATGCAAACAAAATGCTACGGAGGAGCTTAAGATGCTTTGCCACACTGACGCATACTGCATTAATACAATTGGCTCGTACCTTTGCCGGTGTAACAATGGTTTCAATGGAGATGGTTTTCGTTATTGTAAAGGTAATTTCAACTTTAGTGAATCCAAATGAAGAAAAATTGCTAGATTGCGTAAATTAGAATTGAATTCATTGTTTGTTGTATAATTCTTGATTACGTTTGTCAGTTCTGAATCAATGTATTCTGAAAATCAAATTGAATTGAATTAAAGAGAACGTCTATCTTGGTTACATTGTGATGGAAATTTGGCGCCACTTTGGTGCGAAATGCTCAATGGAAGTTGAGATGCCTTGGTCAAAGTCGATTTAGAACATACTGCTCAATTCGCCACAGCGAATGCTTTCTAAATTGCATGGCATTTACCAAGTAACAAATTCACAACCAATCGAAACCGAATATCGTTATGTTAATATGTCAGCGAATTGATTCGTTTTTTTCGTTCTAAGGGTAACTTTTCAGCCTGATAACTTTACAACAACTTAGAGTTTTGCGTAAACGTTTAATGATACTGCTGAAAATACAACCTTTGCACTCGACAAATATAAAGACAACTTTTAGCTAAAGAGACCTTTAATGGTTTGTAATGAGGGTGAGGCTTAGAAAAGCTGTCTTTTTCCATCGATAAGATACAGGTCACTTCTGGAGATTTAGATCATAGCACCACAAAACTATTTAACTATTCATGCCGCTCTTTGACGGCTTTTCAGATTAAAAATTTCCAATTTTGCTTCACAGCAATTAAACTTTATGAAACAGGTGCATTTCAAGGCCAGATTGTTCCCCCATAGACCATATTTGTTTCTGAGATTATGTATATTTTTGCGAGGGAAATGTTTTGCGAGGGAAATGAACACTGTGCAAACCACACAATGTCATGTTCTATCTTTCTTGTAGTCACATTTCGCAGATGTATTAAGGCTTATTCTAGCCTTAGCGCAGCAGCTGTAAATTGTTTTCTTAATAACTTGAAGATTAATTATTTTCCTTTGTTATTTCAAATGATGATTTATTTTCTTTTGTTGTCTTACGTTTTTTACATTTACGATAAATAGAAACTCTCGATTATTTTTTTAACGAGTTACGTTTGTTTACGGCCGAACTGACAGTTTTATTGATGTTTTGTTATGATGTAAAATCGCTCACAATTGTTATTCTTTACTGTATGAGAACATGTGGCAGATATGACAGGGTAGAAAACAACTCAACTTGGCCTTCATTCATGATTAAAAAAGGCATTTGATACCGTAAATGATGAAATATTGATAAAAAGTTAGAAAAGAGTTCACGCTTTCATTAAGTGATAGAAAACAGTTCCGCTTAACTAATGGGCACCAGTTAGGGGCTAGATTGGCAACATGTGGTATATCCAAAGGGTGATGCTTGGGACCATTTCTTTTTATCGTCTACCTGAATGAGCTGTGATATTTACGTTCCTATTTATTCCTATTTATTCGTTCCCATTTGTAAGCTAGAGGGATTTTGTGTGTAAAGAACTTTTAATGAAAAGAAATGAAATGAAATGATTGTTCCATAGACGTAGATGAATGTTCGTTGAATGGCACTTGCCACGCCAATGCAACGTGCACGAATTCAATTGGATCTTTCAGTTGCCGGTGCAACACTGGATTCAGAGGCAATGGTACCATGTGCTCAGGTAATCAAACCTTGAATACCACAAAGAAACTAATTTCAAATGATTTTATGCTACAAATTAGTCCGGATTGTGTCAACACGTATAGCCTTTGATACAAAATATTTTACCTGGTATATACACTGCGAAGTTTTGATGTATAAAGGAAGATCATTAATAAATGCGACTTCTGTCACTTAAATCTCCAATTGTACCTTTGCAGTTTCAGAGCTCGGCTCCTTGCTATAGTCATTGCCATAGTAATTCACTATCAACACCATTCATTTAGACAACATTGCAGTGATGTACTTTGGATTTTTGTCTTAGATATCAACGAATGTTTGGAAAGTAATGAATGCAGCAAGGATGCTGATTGTATAAACACTGTTGGTTCTTATCGTTGTGACTGCAAAGAAGGCTTCGATGGTGATGGATATGGATGTGAAAGTGAATACAAATTAAAGTCTATTTTCATTTATGACACACCCTTTTTCTGTAGAGGGGGATTGTTCTTCGTGTAATATAATAAGTAATAATTACCCCACTTTTTAGAAACAATATTTTTAACTCAATTAAAAATGATTTTAAATCAAGCCAAGTAAAAATAATTGCTTGGAACTAATCGTCACAAAATCGTCAGCATGAGACAAGCGATATGAGATATTTAATTAAGATGTTTGGTGCCTCGAAAAATGTACATGAAGTTTGAAACGATGAGAAATGAAAATCAATTCGCCCTGAAACGATTTCTGTACAATGTCTCAACCAAGAATCTTTCTTTTGAATGTATGAAGTGAACTCTGTATACTTTCTCTTAAGCCTGTTTGTTATTTTGCAGCATAATTTAATAGTTGATTTCATTTTTCAGATATAAATGAATGCAACTATGAGAAGAACCCTTGCGATGATGCAGCGACGTGCTCTGATACTTATGGTTCATTTAAATGCCAATGCCGCGAAGGATGGACTGGAAACGGAACCGTTTGTGAAGGTAAAGACAACTTTAAAAGGCAGACTCAATGACAATCTTGAGTTTAATGTTTATGGGATATGCCAGTATAACAAGCATACTGCTTGCATAGGTCACAGATACGTCCAAAAGGCGCACGAATCTTGTTTTCATCTTAAATGGATCTAAGGTCAGAATAAATTCAATTTCATTGCAGATGCTGTTCCAAATTGCTCTACATCTATATGACAAGTTGTTTAATCAACAAAACTGGTTTTGACTGGCTTTGAAGTGTGCTTTTTGTAGATTATATACACGTTAATTTTAAGAGATTAACTCATCCATGGATGTTTGGATTAAACTACTTAACACCTGGTTTATTTCAATAGTTATATATTGCAGTTTTGAATGAAGAAAAGTAATTGTTTTACATTCTAGGCATAGCCACACAATTTTTACTTGTATTGCTATAAAACCGACAATACAATTATGCAGTAAAAGGCTAGGTTTTTGGTTCAGAAAATTCCTATTTATGCATTGAATTTATTTAGATCAACAAACCTTTTAAGATACAAATGTTTTGAATCATCTTTTTCTCTGCAGATATCAACGAATGCCTTTTCACGAACTGCACAGGCAATGCCACGTGTTACAATCAACCTGGCAGCTACAGATGCAAGTGTAACCCTGGATATAAGGGAGATGGTTTTGATTATTGCGAACGTATGATGTTTTCTCTTTCTTTCTCACAACTTGCCTAATTTACTCACACACATAGCTGTTTAGGTCTAAGTACCTGCTTCGTTACATCTCGTATTAAGATTGAAATATGAAAACAATGCAGTTCAAAAATGGGCATGTAAAGATATATACAATGAGATGGTATAGCAAATTATTAGTTACTCTTTAGAATAAGCTATTCCAGATTCTTTTTCAAAAATCAGTTACAAAATACCGCAAATAAACAGCAAAGAAACCAGTGTGTCATTCATTGGTATATTTTCAAATTATGCAGAACATGCACTAGCAATAGACATCTTGATCGATGAGATCAAACAGATGGTGATTGAAATACGGACCAATCCAACACAAGTAGTTTATGAATGACTTTTAAGTAAAGAAGTCATATAGGAGTTATGTATTCTGGATGTTGTGACATTAGGTCTAACAAAACACTTGCAGTAAAGACTATTTTTGTTTGATTAATAAAGTTCTTTCCTCTTTACAAAACAAGGAGTCTTTCCAAAACTGATCATTAATTTTTTTTTTGAGTTCTTTAACATATATAGAAAGTTGAGAAATTTTCCACTACTGTGCAAAAGGAGAAAGGTGGCCTTGTATGTTGTAAAAAACCTATACATCCTGGTATCCAGTAGAAATACTGTATAAATGAACCCTATAATGAATTTACTCCAGCATCATCTTGGCTGATTCTGATCGCCATCAAAAGTACCAAAGATGGTTACATGGCTATCAAAACGAAATGTCCTTTTCCATGTAAGGTTTCTCCAAGGGTATCAGTATTGAAGAAGATCGATTTAGTATTCTGTCAAGAAATTAACGCTTTCTCAAATCTCCTTTTAGCCCTTGGTTGTACTCCACCACCTGAATGCACGGGAGAATTTAAAGCCGCTTGGTGGGCGCGAAGTCCCTACCTAGCAAATTCTTCCAATCAAGAGCCATTTGGTCTTTTCAAAGATTTGCTGACTCAGGTAGTCATCGCTTGCTGTGCAAACTGCTCTCTTTTATCATTTGATGGTCCGTATAATGGCTCGAGTGATGTGGAAGCTGTAATTGAAGTTAACAAAACAGTCGATTTTGGCTGTCCTTTGTATGGCTCTCCGGATCAAACCTTGTTCAAAGGATTGCCGTTCATGCCCATTGGTAATGTCCAATTTTATTTTACGTAGTAATTTGAATTTCATTATGTTCATTTTGATTTATAAACAGCAAACGTTGTCTTTTATTGAAGATTCGTGTAAACATTGTAAGCATCATGACAAGTTTTAACTCTATCAATAGGAAAAGGGTAGTGTAGGGTGGTGCACATTATGTGAACTTTTCCAATAGAGTTTCTACTGCATGAAATTGCTGCATCAAAACTGTCTAGTTAAAAGATAATAAACTTTTATTTGCATTTTACTTTTATCTGTTCATCAAGAAAGCTTTTGCAGTTTAGCTACTTTTTATCAATTTTTAGTCGAATCGCCCGGAATCGCCTTCTTTATAAAAGACAAACCAAAGGAAAAAAGTGCACTTCTCGATTCTCTTGGAAGCACGTGGCCTATTCTTGCAATCACATTTTTGCTTGCGTGTTTATCTGGAGTAATAATTTGGTTTTTGGTATGCTATCGCTCTTTCATTCATATTTACTCAATATTCCATCAATCGCTATACTTTACATTAATAATTTACATTTCTTATCTTTTTTGAGATAGAATTTACGGGTTGTTAAATTATTTCTGCTAAATTTCTGCTGATAACATCCATAGGAACACCATCTTTTAATCTTTAACTGGAATTTCTGACTGGAAAAGTTTCTGTCAGAAGTTAGCAAGAATGCTTACTGAATCAATATATTTCCCCTTTAGTAGTTCAGTCCAAGATAGCACCTATGGTACTCTTTATTCATCCAAGCTTTATATATTCAATCAATAAAGAAGTCTTGTGTTTTCTGCCTAAATTCTTTTTATATTTAACGGTACCTTCGTTTATTTCTAAGGATACAGTACGTAACCCAGTCGAGTTTCCAAACTCCTTTATTGAAGGAAGCTGGGAAGGTTTCTGGTGGGCATTTATCACCATGACAACAGTGGGGTAAGTTCTAGCCGTAGCTAGAATTCAGCAGCTAGGAGTTTTTCTTTAGCTTCTATCGTAACAATGTGTTTTTGCCCTGTTTGTTTTTGCCTTACTGTTTGCTGCCTAACAACAAATGTTAATTATTATGAAGACCTTAATTTAACACCAGGTCCCACCAGGTTCAGCTAAAGCGCACTTGTTGTAGAGCTGACACTATTTGCATTAATAAACGTTACAATAATGAAGATCCTCATTGCTATTTGATAAAACAATCAAAGTCAGAGGACCTAGGCGTGAACCTTGTGGAACTTTCGTTTCATTAGCCCCAACACTAGATTAACAATTTTTCGTAGTTGGAATTTAATTATAGCTATTTGGAATGCAGCTAATGGTAGACTCTGCTTTTGTCCATAAGTATGCCATGGTAGATGACACCTGGGAGTATTGACTAAGTATGCTAACACATAATTTCTTTAATATTTTCTAGATATGGTGACAAAGCTCCACGCTCATTCCCTGCAAGACTGTTTGGAATCGTTTGGATCTTGGTTGGCTTGGTAATTATATCAACATTCACAGCAACAATAACAACAATGCTGACAGCAAGTAGTCTCTCAGACGAAACAAAACTGTACGGTACCAAGGTTGGGGTGCTTGAAAACAGTGAGGAATACAGGCTTGGAGTGAAGCGAAACGCGGAGACTAAAGGTAACATGATTCGAAATATGGATAGACATCATGAATTGAATTAGTTATAAATTAATGAGCAGAGAATGAAAGAATATTGAATTTCAAGTACCTGTGTCTACCAAGTTGTAATTTTACATTCAAACTGGTGAATACTGGAGTGTTTGGGAAAGGCTTTCCTTTTGCGAAATAGGAATATAAGAAACTAATCCCCAAGATGGCGAAAATTAATACAGAGACCAAATTTATAATTGCCTATTACGCTGGTCTAAACATCGGTGTAAGAGACATAGGAGTTGTGTGTATGTGTGTGTGTGTGGGGGGGGGGGGCAGCCTATGGAATAAAATTATCAACTGTAAGTTTCAAATATTTCACGCAAAGTTTTCCATATTGTAAAAGCGTAGTAGAAACATCCTTTAAAAAAATCACTTTTTTGGTAAAGTAGATTTCTTTATAAGTCTATTCAAAAAAGTAATGGTGTGGCAACTTCTATAGCTTTTTCGATCCATGTATTTGCCCTAAATTTTCTTTAACATAGTCTGCTCATTTCTTTAACATAGTCTAGATAAAACTTTTGCACAAATCATTTCTATTTTCAGCCTATAATTCTGTGGAGGAAATTGTTAGCAAAGTCGAAGAGGGTGAAGTGCAAGGAATTCTCTTGGACACGTATATAGCTGGGGAATTTCAAGAACAGTTAAAGTCACTGCGGCTACAGCAAGTTATCGACTATTCATTTTCATACGGAGTAGTGTTGTCAAGAGATGGGCTGGCATTAAGGAAGTGCTTTTCCCACTACTTGGAATCCAAGCAAAGTCAGATATACGCTACGATATCTAAAGTTATCAAGCCATTAAAGGTAAACATTTTGATAAAAGATTCATAGTACCGACGCCTTGGCCCGGGATAGTGAACTAGAATGTATAAAATTGGTTATGCTGTCCGATAATGGAAATGATCTCTTCATCACAATAGCCACAATATTTTTCATTTGCTATGTTGCTTTCATTAACGAAACAATATTAATTGTACTTACTTCAAAGGGCAGGGCATCGTGACCTGAAAATAATTTTGACGGTGTCCTAAAGAGTCTTTTCGCTAGTATTAAAAATTAACACGAAACGTAGATTTTTTCTAGTATTTTAAAACCAAACATTCGATGTTCTTTATCTTTAACCAACGTGTTTATGCAATAAAAGTGAAGTTTCAGCTGAGGACAAAGATGAAGATCTTGTCCATGAGTGCTATGCCGAGAAAATGAAAGCTCTTGCACTTTAAAGAAAGGTCACTGGGACTGGAGAGACTGTACGTTCACTGTATACAGTACCTGTTAGGTTGTTCCATTATAAGGGGTCTGATATCCGCCTAACAGCACCTTTCTCCTACGATGCTCGTTGATCATGAAATTTTTTGGAAATATCCGTAATCGCAGCGATGCCGTAAACGGTTAATCGCACTCGATTTTAGGTCTAATCTGCATAATCGCGTAAATATAGTGGACCCGCTTCAGAAGTTCGTGTGCAAGAAATGCACAAGAGGACTGGTTTCTAATGCTTTCTGACAAGTAGAAACAAGAAGGAATATGATTATTTGATCCCCCAATGCATAATTTTTTATTTTCAAGTATTTCAGTTATTGGCCCTTAATAACAGTCTCGAGTGTCTGCACGAGTGTCTAGGGCCCAAGCTACCTCGGGTTCCCAAATAGCCTCGGGAAGCTTCAGATGTCTGCATAAGTGAATTGATATATGCAGCAAGTAGCAGTCATGAATTTAACGTATTGATTGTCTGTGAAGGAAGATGCAGACCTTGTCAACAAATGGCAGGCTCAGAAAGAAAGCATTTTCATTTTTCTCAAATTAGGTTAAGCTCAAACCAGTTGCAGCACTCAGGGAAAAATATTAAAGCTCGTCCACTCAGCAAATACGATGAATAACAGCTGATTCCAATATTCATTTTTTATGCATTGATTTAATTCCACCAGGTTTTAAAAATTATACAAGTGTTTAGAATGTTACTTCAATTTGGTAATACAAATAATTAGACTCTTACACTCTGGTTTATAGAAGAAGACGGTTTTTAAGTTGCGACTTACAGTTGCACGCTTAATGAGGCCATTGGGGAGCTGTTAAAATTACTCTCTCTTTCTCTATGGATGTTATCATATTAAGTTTATAAGTCCTTGAAGATATCGGGATCATTGTATGGCTATATATGTTTTTTGTAGACAAGAGGGAATTCAAATTTGGCGTCAAAAAAGTCAGCAAATATTTTCGATGCTGATTCTGTTTATTTCAAGTACATTGTGTTCATCGGCCTTGGAACGTTTGTCTTACTTTTTCTCGTTGGCCTTACTTGCGAATGTGTCAATGCGAGAAAGAGAAAATATCAAATGGCTCCCAATAGCGCCACAGATAAAAAAGGTATGCACAGTTTTTCCCAATTGCAATAATTCACGATGGTAATGATTCAATACTTTGTATATCACTGAAAAATTGTACATGACAGGTTGAAGCCCGAATAGCTAACAGCCCCGACAACTCAGTCACGATGATTCGAAGTCCCCGATAACTCATACTGTTTTTAGATTCATTTGAATCATCCCTAATGCGTTGTTCGACATCTTGAAAAAATCAAACATTCGTTAGCTCAAACAATTTCCGTCGTTCTCCTGTAGCGGTTTCAATTATCAGGCCTAAAGAAAAATATCACTTTTTAAGTAATTCTTTTCCTTTTTATGTTTTAATAAAGTCATTTGTACTTTACCAATGATTGGAGTACCGTATTTCCTCTAAAGAATGCCACGACGTTTACTACAAACTCCAAATTTTGGATGCGGCGTTCAATAGAGGGCGGCGTTGATCAGAGGGCGGTGTTCAATACAAAATGAAAAGTTTTTCAAATGAAAAATGCGATGAAAAATAATAAAAACAGACTTTAAACAATGTTTTCTTTTCCCAAAACATGTAATAAAGATTGTGTGAACAATTTTTGAAAATTACAAAAATGTCTTCATGTTATGGAAATGTCAAGGAATTTCAATACCCCTTCCTCCGTCAGAGTCCTCGTCTCTATGACATAAAAACTTTCATAGCTTTTGAATAGTGGTGTGTTTTCTAATGAACGCCGCGGCGTTCATCAGAGGGCGGCGTTTTTTCCAAATGGATGACTGAAGGTGCGGCGTTCAATAGAGGGCGGCGTTTATCAAGGGGCGGGGTTCATTAGAGGAAATACAGTAATGCAATGTGACGATTGCAAACCTAGACATGGAAGAATCAAACCACGATTTTATTTTCTTTTAGAGCCTGAGCTGATGGAGTGGAGGGTTCAGTGGGAATCTGGAAAAGTGAGTTACTTTCAGCGCAACATTTTCAAAAATGACATCAGTGACTTGAAACAACAGATTAAAGAATTTGCAGATAACTGGATAAGACAACTGGAAGAGCTGGAAAGTCGACAAGCTAAAGAAGTAGCGAACATAAGAATGAACGACAGCAAGGTCAGGTTTTTATCAAATTTTCCAGTCGAAGAGAATGGTCATGGTAAAATTGAAAACGTTTAACATTGTCTTTAAAATCTAGGTTTGCTTACTGAATCTCTTGACAGCTGAGTTGCAACTACTTTGTAAGATGGCCATCGCTTTTCATCGGTTGTGTTTGCTTTGGGTAATGGTTTTAGAAGAAGGTTTTGTTGTAAGGAATGAAGTTAAGTCTTTCATTAACGATATCAAGAAGAGGGGAAGTTTGCCGAAGATTTTAAACCCAAAGGATGTTTCAGTATTCACTCATTGCAAATATGCAAAGGATACTTGGATAAAATTAATAAACCCGTATTTGCAATCTGCCGTGAGTACCCCACCCCAACATTGCTGTTAGTGTAGTTTTGAGTCTGATGTTGCTAAGCTCTCTGAATCCAGTAGTTGCAAACAAATTTTCATCTAACAAAAGCAGCTCAAGAAACGTTTAAATTGTAATTGTAGTGAAGATGTCAAGTACATTGAGTTATTCAAACAGCTTGTATTATCAGAACTGTGACAGTGTGCCATGTGCATTTATTTTGATAAAGATGTGCTTAAGTATCTGAGGTCATTCAACTGATTATAATTACCTTCTCAGACTAACTGTGTTGAATTGCTTAGTACTCTTGTTAAAAAGCCTTGGATTTCACCTCATTTTGAATATCACTGTCAAGTGTTTCCTAAAAGTACTGTCAAATTGAGAGAACTAGCATAGAAAGAATCTTCAATCTGCTCAGTTCCCATGGCTTTATCTCAAATTTCAGCTGGGGTTTTCTGATTAAAGTGGATGATAAAGTTCTTAAGATTGACGTCATCAAACTTTTTTTAGAATATTTGACTTTTGAGCACATAGCCTAAAAACATCTTTAGGTACTCCAAAGTATGGAAAATAAGTTAAATTGTTAAAAATTGAGTGTTTTCAGGTTTGCAAACGGATAGTTGCTATTTGGCCTGGTTTATGTAGTTTAAAGAACAAAGACCTAGTGATTTTATAGATCCTGTGAACTTGTAGCCATGTCTCAGCCAATTTGTAGCACATTTAACTGCTTTTGAACATTAAAAAATACTTTGCAACGCTCTTTCAGGCTATTGGATCCAAATTTCAAAGTTCTAAAAATTTGTTTTTATGATGTCATTGCTTAAGTACTCAAAGTCTACCGTTTTTATAAATCAAAGAAATCTAACTTTGGCTGGACAAGAAAGACTTGCTATTTGGTACTTTAAAAAAGCCCAGCTGATTCTTTTTAAAAGAACGTTCGCGGACCTCTAGAGGAAGAACAGGTTTCTAATGCTTACTGAAAGTTAAGGACGGAAAGCGTTTGGTTGGTTTTTTCATTATGTTCCCTCTCAACTTCACCATACCTGTGAAAAACAATTTAAGATATAAATCTAACGTTATGAAACTAATAGTATTAATAGCCATAGGAAGAATTGCTTCATATATATTGTCAAGTTTCATGTAAAAGAAAATTTGATGTTGCAATCTATTGGCTTGAATTTGCTCTATTTTTACATAAAACTTAATACTTAAATTTTGAAGTTGTATGCAGTTTTCTTACAGTTTTGCACCATTCATGCCTGTCTTGCATCAATTCCAAGTGTTTACTTAATCTTTTTTTCTTTGGAGAGGTCTCTTGATGTCAATTCTTTCGAGGCCTTGTCGTATTGTCTACATCTAGATCCTTTTTTGGTCTGGCCTATCTATTTTCCTGAGATATTCTGAGATAAATTTTATTTATTAATTTAATTTCATGTCTTTTCTAATCAATTTGCCTATCTTGAAAACAGCTACACAATGGTAATACCAGAAGCCGACCAGCATTAGAGAGAATATTTAGCGCTTTTAAAAGTCAAAAGAAAAGTGGCAATGGGCATTTGCCAGAATCAAGCACTTCACTGTAACCCATGTCGAAGATCGATCGGGAATTAAATTTCTCTTGCCAGGTGAACAATAAACACCAAAAGCCAAGCTTAAAGGTAAAGGTGCGATTCAGAGAGAGTAGAAAGTGATAAAAACGCTCTTTGTGTATAGAAGGACAAGTATATAGATATCTAATAAAATCAACTTATTTTAAAGTTGTTTTGATCAATAACTAAACAGTTGCTTCGATAAAATGTTTTTGTTTTAATGAAATTAAATTGAAGATTTAATAATAAATTTTTTTAACAAATTATTTTTGCTGCAAAACTGTAGCTATTTAATGTCCTTTTGATTTTAAATAATTAACTGTGATCTTTTTAAGAAGAAAATTAAAATTCTGTTGCAGTTATTGATTTTGTCGTAAACGAACGGTCCTTGATTTCAAAATTTGTACAAAAATAGGATTCTTGGTTGCAAAGAAGTATGCCTCTAGGCTTTAACCTGCTTTTGTAATAGAAGCAACATTTAGTCCTAACCTTTTTTTTATAATCAAGATTGTGCCCTGCTACCGGTAAATCCCTCTACTAGAGGAGTCACTCAAACTTTTTATATACGCAGAGGTCCATCCGCAATTATCAAAATTCACCCAAAGGTATCGAAAACAAATTTGACAGACCCAAAAGTATCAGTCAAAAAGTTTTGATGAAATCCAGAAATATCAGAAGACAAAATCTTTTTGTCGAGCACATTAGAGACTACTAGCCATAGTGATTTAGACTGTTTCTTATAATAATCAGTTTAAACACATCTACTTTTTATTTCTGTTTTTAATATTATTATGTGTTAGTTGGACACATAAGTATCAAAAATATATATTATCAAATACAGATACCCAAAAGTATCAGATCGCAAAAAAATGTTCTTACCAATAATTTTCGGATGGACCCCCTATATAAAAATTTTAAGTGACCCCCCTGGGATTCTACTCCATGACACTTCAAATTATAAAAACGAACACATCATTAAACTTATGATAATGAAACCTGTTGTAAGGTACTTTGATAACTAAAAATGAATTCAACATCTTTTAGTCATTAATTCTTAATCAATTCATCGGTACTGAATTCTGTGGTGCAGTGGAATCTTTTGATCGTTCCAAGCTTTAGCTCGTTGTCTTCTCCCCGATCTGTTTAAGCTAGTTTCTTATGCAAGGTGCAAAGACAGCAATGCCTCTTGGATACAGAAACACGCCCACTTGTTGATCAAAAGGGAAACAATAAAGTGTATTAAACATTGTTAAATAATGCCCGGATCTCGACCTCATACCTAGCCTTATATGCAACTTGCGATTCGAGTATTCGACATAAGAATATAATCATCTCAGGTTTCTGTTTGTATAAATTTCTAAAGCATTATTCTGTACATTAACTCTGGATAGTGTTAATGTTGATCATGAAATAATTTTTCATTCCATCGTCGTTTTTACAGAAGATCACCCTCTGTACGAGCAGCACTATTGTTGAAACCTTAAATTTTACTGCGTAAACTACTAAAATCCTTGCCATAAAAACTGGCAAAGCTACGATGCTCGTCATTTATAAAAACTAGCAGGCAACATGTTCTGACTACCTCCTTCAGTTAATATCCCTTCCTATGTTTTTCGCTTCATTATCCCATCTTCAGAACAATGTCGATTACAATAGTAACAATGTTTGTCATAGCGAGTAAGCAACTTTTTAATGAGGTAAAGTGCCTTTGTAAACTGGCTTCAACATGATAATTTTCTAGTGCTTTTAGAGACATTGTGAGCTCCTAAAAGCTTTGTTCTTTTTTTTAATTCTGATGCACAATAGAAAGAATCTGCATCGATACTCAAAAAACGCTTCTTACTTTTAGCTAAGTGGTGTCATTTCGTGCGCATGACAAGCATGGTGGAGCAAAATGGGCCTTTGCTTTGGTACAAATATGTTTGCACATAGGTGTACGGGACGGGGGGATCTTGGGAGGCTTCAGCCCCCCTAGATTCGAGCAGCTGATTTTTTCGGGCAACATTCGGGCAGGAGCCTTCTCCAAAAACAATAAGTATAAGATAAACTACATTTTGAACATGTTTAAAAATATCTCAGTTGAAAAAATCAAGTGGTCGTAATCGCGAGCGCTTTCGGAGGTAATGGAATATGGTAAAAATCTGTTGGGTGAAAAAAACACAAAAAAGTGACAAGAACAGCAACAGCCCATTTAGTGCCTGAAAAGATTGTCGAAGAAGTAAAAGAAAGCGGCTGTAATGCTGTCATAATTGATGAAACATCTTACTTTCGTCAGCACGAACAAATGTCAGTTTGTGTCAGCTAAATTTTACAAAACTCAGTCTTCAACAGTTGTACAAATTAGGCTTTAAAGCATATGTAGAAACTTGTTGGCCAATGCTTCGACAGTCTAAATGAGCGGCAAAGCCAAGGGCTTGGAAAAGCGAATGGAGGACTGTTCTCCGCTGAGCATCTATGTCCACTGCCTTGGCCATTAGTTGAATCTTGCAGAAAGTGAGGCAATGCGAAATTTGCTTGGTGTTGTTCAAGGTACCTTCAATTTCATTGAAGCCAGCACCAAAAGACATGTAATTCCAAGAGAAAAGTTGAATGAACCGTCAAATAGGTAATATGCACAAAGCACAATCCACTGGGCTTGCCAGAGGGGGAAGGCAGTGGACAGGACACTTACTTTCTTTGCAAGGATGAAGACCTCAAGACCCATCTAGCAAGCAAAGCTCTGTTCAGCTGTTTCTACAATGTAATGGATGAAGTTTGGAAGAAATCTATGTGCGATTTAGTGATAATGACTATCGCATTTCATGTGCTTTGGCGTAACGGAGGCATCTGGGGCCCTAAGCAAAAAACTGCTACGAGACTTTTATTCACGGACAGAAAGAAGATCACATTAAATGGTGCAGAGCATGTCAAACACAATAGAAAAAGATAAAAATGAGAATTATTTTCTCGTTAGCTAAGGAGAACTGAGTTTTAGAGCTTCAGTTGAAGAACTTTCAAAGTTTTCAAAAGTTATTTGAACTTGTGCAAAGGTTTAAAGATCTGGACGTAAAGCACCTTGGGCCCCTTTTGGTCGGGGGCCCTTGGATGTATTGCCTTGAGGTACTGCCTTGAGGTATTGCCTTGATGTATTGCCTAGTGTGCCGTGGAAAATTCTCTAATTTCACTTAAATGGTCTATAAAATTGAAAAAATTAATAACTATCTGCAAATGATATGCCGTGAATAGAAAATGTTGAATAACGCTGAATCAAGATGCCCTTGACTGCGTTACGCCACTGGCCCGTGATTAGGGAATGCAAGCGTGAATGATAACCCTTCAACAGAAATCATCATAAATGTTTGCTCCTTCTACAAATAGATTTTGAGTTTCTGACCTCCTAGAAATGGAACACAAATTGTTCAATGACTACAAGAATATGCAGGTAAGCAAAAAAGTGTATGAACTGCTGAAAATGATTCAAATTATGTTGACAAAAAGATATCGATAAAATAATCGATAATTTGGTCGCTGTCGAGGAAGAGATTTTATCTTTTTTTTACATGAAAATGAGTGAAATTTTAAAAATGCTTATTAGTTAACATTATTTTAATGTCGTTGCACGTCAATAAATTTTGACTAATAAAAGAAGCTCACACGTGTTAAAGTATACTCCTTAAAATTTGGTGTTATTATTTTTCGGGCAAACAAATTTCAGCCCCCCCCCTACCTAAACTCACCCCGTACGCCTATGTGTGTGAAGTTAGTAATAAATTTTCCTGTTAAATTACGCTTTACCAACATACACGAAAAAAGAGCCGACGCAAAAAAGGAATTGTCTAGTTTCCATACTGCTCGACCTGTTAGTCATAAATAAGCATGATTAATAGTCATAAATTAGTATGATTAATTATTTCAAGTAAAGGGTTAGGGTTAGAGTAAGGGTTAAAGTTATGTTTAGGGTTAGGGTTAGGGTTAGGGTTAGGGTTAGGTTTAGGGTAAGGGTTAGAGTTAGGGTTAGGGTTAGGTTTAGGGTTAGGGTTAGGTTTAGGGTAAACTAATTACGTCATTAGGTCGAGAACTATGGAAACTAGACAGCTCAACGCAAAAACTGCATTGACCTCGTTTCATATTCACAATAAGACCGTAGCCTCAGTTTGGATAGCCCGCCAGATACAAAAAGACTGTACAAAATGGCTGACGATTCACCAAACAAATCAAACAAACTTCTTCAGTTGCCATTAACTAGAATTAAAATGATAATGCGAAGTAGTCCAGACCTTGGGAATGTTAACACAGAAGGATATTTTTTGATTGCAAGAGCTGCTGTAAGTATTTTACTAAACGATATTCCAGTGTAGAGTGTATCCCGGTTCCTTTGTCGTCCCCCAGATCTTGTCCTTTTTTGTCAATTGAAAGTATAGAAGTTGCACGCCTGAGTTTTGAACGAAAACAATGTGTGCACGCTTAGAAAACATTCGTTCTTGTCTGAACGAAAATATCTATTTTATTTGGTTTTGCTATATCAGACCCAAATTGCCTTTAAACTTATGCCATCAGAGGATTCTTCATTGTTAAAAGCGGAGCTGACATGAACAATCAACTTTGACCTTTTCTGCGCAAGGCATGTAGCTGAATTCAAAATCTGGTGAAAATTTTCTCATCAAATTATTTGCAGATATGTTAAAATTCTCATTTGTCCTTTAAAAATATTGTTGAGCATTATTTTGGCAAAGATAGTTGTTACCATTGTACTTTATTTGGTCTGTTTACTTGCCCAAAATTCAACCAACTGTTACTTTTTTGGCCAAATAAACATTATTTGTGATGGTTTTTGAAAAGTTTACAAAATTGAGAAAGTTAGCCATCAAAGCAGCCAAATCGCAACCCTACCTGAATCAGTTAGAATTTTGATTGCAGATTCAAGATTTGAGAGCCAGTTTTCAAAATTGAGTGAAACAAATCAAAAAGCATATTTAGGTATTGGGACCTGTTTACATGAGATCCTGACTTATGTAAAGAGTTTTTTGTCTTAGTCTCTTCAACTAGGTGAATAGATAATGGCTACTACTTGGTCAAAAGCTTATCAATTGTTCCTCTCACATTCCTTTTGGTCTGTATATCAGTCCTGGTAATATGAAATTTTTTTCGGGAATTTGTGAAAACGTTTTCCACAGAATAATTTGAAAAAAGCATATAAGATTTTAAAAAGACCCTCTCCCCTACAGAAACACTATCAAGGTTACGATCAGAAAAAAAAAGTTTAAAGAAAATTAGTAAGAAATGAAAGAGACAAAAGAGAAAAGAGAATTCAGTCAAAGCGGGGTGCTGCATGTTCTGTAAAAAGCATGCGTAGAAAGTTTTAAGCCTAATAATACAAGGATTTGTAGTTTGAAATAAATTTCTGCTTACCTTTAGTCATCATCCAATGTTTATCCTCCAATGAGGTTACCTTTAGTTCGTTATGCTTCTGTATTTCCATGTTAAATTCAAATTTTTGTAGTATCAAAGGCTTTTATATTTAATGTGAAATTTTGTATTCCTGAAATCAGATTAAGCGACCTTCAAGTAAATTTTGCTTTATGTAACTTAAGGAGCTGTTTGCACAATACATTGCAAAAGAGGGTTTGAAATCTGAAAGCAATGGCACGGAGCTAAATTACAAAGGGCTTGGTATGTGTTTACAACATTGTTACTTCTTCAGAATGTTTATAAAACTGTGATTGGCATAATTTTTTAGCCAAAGAAAGTATTAAGATGTAGTTTTAATCTACTAGATTTTGGAAAGCAGATGCAGTGATGAAATCGATAAATCATTATAGAAGAAACAAAAGTAACCAGCAAAAAAGTTTCAGTTAACATTGTGCATTTTTCTAAAGTGTTTCATCTCATTTGATATGTCAAACAACACGTAAAATAACAAGATACCTTCATACCTAATATTTTTCAGTAAGTTTGTTTTTCTTGTCTTATTTTGCTTTGCTTTACAATGTAATGCATCAAATAAGCACCGCCTGGGCGCTTATTTAATTTTTGAGACTCCAGGGTGAGCACTTATTCAAGGGAGGCACTTAATCAAGAGGGACACCAATTTAAAAAAATAGATTTTGAAGTAATTTTGAAGGTTGAAGGGCACTTATTTGAGGGGCATGCTTATTTGTGGCATTACAATAGGTCCATCCCATTGTTTTACATGTCTCTCAAATGTTTGAATAATTTCAGTTAAATTTGACATTGTAGGCAAGATGAGAAAATAAGATGTCATGTCACAGGTTTTATGTTATTCAGCAATTTCAAATTTCATTTCAATGCCAATAGTTATAATATTAAAATTTCAATAAGTTAAAGTGAAATTTCTATAAAATAATATCATTTAAAGGAAATTCCAATCAATTTTCATTTGCTAAAACACTAATTTTTCAACTTAGATTTTAGTATAAAAACCTCATTTCTTATTTAGCAAATGCTGTTGAAGGAAATGATACATTGGATTTTCTGGAAGGTTGGGTTCTTATTTTCTAGCATATTATTAACACATTTCACCTCAAACTTCCACATTCTATTTTCTGACATCTGCATGTGAGAAACCAATCAGAGAGAAGTCATTAGCTATCAATTGATCATTATAATGCAAAATTTAGAATTATATTTTGAAAATTTAAAATTTTTGTGAGATCAAAGCAAATCATCTGGATTATATCAAATGCGGGCCAAGGCACTGGCATGTCATGGCACAGACAATACCTCTCAAATAAACTAATTTCTAATGGCACAAAGTATTTGGAATTTCGGACAGAGTTAGCACAGTGTATACAAGTTTCCTTAAATGTTGACAATAGTAAAAGACTGGTGTAAGCAATTCTTTTTCCTTCTTTTATAAATACTCAGTCAATGATTTATTTATATACAGAACTTTTTTGACTCTTTTCTTAAAAATACACTCTTTTTATAAGGACCAGTAAATTCAGTTCAGGCTGACTAATAAGCACCAGTAACTTTTTTCAAAAATTGCGAGACTAGATTGTTCTTAATTTGTCTCAAGTTATTAGGGTGCTGGCCTCATTTCAAGGGCAGCACCACGGAGTGGACATGTCCACCACAGTTTTTTTAGGATCAACTTTCTAATTCTTCCAAAACTGGATTAAAACATAGGGGGGGGGGGGGTTGTTTGTTTCCTCCCTGAGATCAAAACGTTTTTCATTTTGATGGTCAGTTACGGTTCTTTCCATATCTTAGCTGACATAGAGTATAGTGTGTTGGATCATCAGTCCTGTAAATAGTGAGAATCTTAAAAGGAAGATGATCTATAAAATACAGCTTTATCGTCTAAACAGTTGTTTTTTAGAGTGTGGTCTTTGCATTCCTTCCTTGTTGAAGGTTTTTTGGCAATAAATAACTTTAAAACTTGTACCCAAACCTTTTTTAAGCTGTAAGTATAGTTTATAGTATAGTTGCAGCCCCACCTGTTACAGCTGCATCACCTTTTAGCCTCACTGTCAGACGAAAGGTTGAAAAATTTAGTTAAAATTACCATTGCTAGCTAAAAATATCACTCTGAAATTAACTTTTATGTTATTAACTTTTATGTTTGTAAACCTTTGCCTTTGAAATTTAACTCTTCTATTGAGGTTTTCAAAATATGTCAAACTTGGTTATCAATATCGAGCGATTTCTCCTACGGTGTTGCACCGGCTTTTTTCTACCCAGACTCCTTGATCAGCTCCACCCCTTCAATGTCCATCTCACTTTTTTGGGGCTGGCGCCGCCCCTGCCTAATTTGCCAACAAAGTGAGTGAGACAGCCTTAATTTGCTGACAAATTTGAATATTCACCAAAAAGGTACCGACACATCGCTAAAAATCCTCGATTTTGAGAAAAAACGTTGTTCAAAATTGCATTTTGCAGAAGCTCAGCCTCAGCTTGTTCTTAACTTGCTCTTAACTTTTAACCAATTTTGAGGCTTTTGTTCTAATAAAATTGTTCGTATAAAAAATAGTGTATAAGAGTTGGACTTAAAAACTTAAAAGTTGTTTCATCAAAGTATGTATAATAAAAAAGTTTTTCAATTTCAATTTTCTTTTAAAACACCTTTTGTTTTTCTTTTTATAGACATCATACCGCAGAAGATAACAATGAAACAATATTTAGAAAGAAAACCTGATGGAGAGAAATAGGATACCAGTTTAAGATCAAAAAGGAAAACACCTATCTCTTAAATGCTTTGAAAATGCTTTGACAATAACATGTACAAAATCAGCACCTGTTGTTTTGGAAACAAAACACTCCAGAATGACAAAAAGAAAATTAGAGCTTTATGCTTCTGCTGGATATGATTAGTAAGAGAGCCTTCAGTTGTGGAAATTTCCTATTTTATTTGATTGCCTTTAGCAAGTTGAAGAGCAGTAACGCTTGTAGAATGGCAAATTTTTAAGTTTCAGAATTTTGACTTTTTATGGTAAAACTGACTGCATTCTCTTTCTAGATTGACACTGTTTTGCTATTGCATATGAAACATTTTATAATTTCAGCAATTTTTAATTTGCAGATAATCTGCAAAACAAGCCCTGTTGTACCTAAAAGAGTTTGTATCTAGTTTCAAAAAAACGTTTTATTTTGCTATTGCTGTCTTCACTTTGTCGAAATGATGAGAGTTTAAGTTTTCTTTAAGTACTAGTATTTGAAACTAGATTAAAAGATCAAAGAACTCTGTTTGCAGAAAGCAAACGAAGAGAATGTTCTTTTATAAACAAATTGAAAATTAACTTTTAACATTTCCCTTGCGTTTGCATTTATCTACGTTCAATTATAAATGTGCTCATGATAACATATTCCTCAGCTCATGATAACATATTCCTCATCGTCATTAGTATCAGTTGCGACGGAGCTACCAATTTTTTTCAAAAAAGGAATCGTTGATTTTTCGGATCTATCTATCTATGGTTGTAAAGTATTCAGCATGCTTCAAATACTCTTGAGCTGGTTTGAAAAATGAACATTATATTGTAAATAAGTGCTCTCTCTCATATGTCGATAACGTCTTAAAAGACTCATTGCTAACGATGGGCCTTTGCGAGCATGGCGACGATCCAAACAATGGCAGTAAACTTCTACGAATTAACCAAAATTGATTTCAGACTGTCTAAAAATGCATTATGGGATGCTTGCGTAGCGCAATGGCTCATTGTTAGCAATGACTCTTAAAAGGATTTTCCTTGGCCACGTGCTTTGAATCTTGACAGCCTCTTGCTACTCATAGCAAGCTCTTAATCAATATTTTTCTTTGTAGTACTTGTTACTAACTTTCTAATCATTCTCTGTCTTTTCTGGCTTTGTCAAGAAATCTGAACGTCCTTTCGTTCCAATATTTTTGTAATTTTTTAAATCCTTTATCTGCAGCTTAACATTAAAAGATAACAAGCTAGCTAGTAATTATTTTCTTTATTTCGGTTTTTGAAGGATTGCAACATCTAGATGTGATTTGGTCGCTGTCTATTGCGGTAAAAACATGCCAGCAGTCTTACAAACCAACACGACATGCCCATTTTGTTGGAAGTTTGAGAGGAGATCTCGACCAACAGGTTTACTTAAGATATTAACTACCTAAAATGATGTTAAAAATGGCCTTATAACGGATTGCCTAAAAATACTTAACCACTCTTCTTCAAAAACCTCTTAGACAGCACTTCAAAGCCACAGGGGTGAACACACAACATCTAAGTTTATGATGTTTGTAGGGCTTACATACAATTAATTGATGAATTTCCACTATCCGTAGCTAGTTGCCTTACTACAAATCCTTTTAATCTGAAATCCATTTAAATGCAGCTGTGCTGTGTCTTATGAGGTGGAGATAATCTTTTATTCTTATTTGTCATTTTGTCAGTGGAAAAATTGCCGTTTATGTCCGCTGTTTAATTTTGCGATCTCATCTGATTAGTTATAACATCTACTTATTCCTTTAAGCATTGATTTTGTGCAATTAGTTAAATGTTAATCCTTGTAGTCGGTTTTCTATATTATAACTACATTGAGGCAGGCCGTAACTTAAATCCTTGAATTAAATAGTTATACGGCAAGTTGTATAAAAGAGTATTTTCAATAATAGCATTAATTCATTACTTGATTTAAGCTTCTTTCTGCTGTTTTGAAAATGAACAACTTGCCTAGATTTAAAATAAACGGCAAAGATGTGGCCTTTTGCTGTGCTTGCTTTATAAATACGTCAAAGAATTTCATACAGAATAAGCCTTAATCGAACTGACATTCGCCCGTGTTTCTTATCGTTTAGATAATCAGATTTAAAATTTTCCCTGCATATAAGCCTGTTTATAAGACAATAGTGACATTTTCTCGTTAAAAGGCCTGGCATCATTCCTCGAGAAACAGCTGCATGCACTATGGCTACGTGTTTGAATTGTGCGTACGGTTGATTTTCGTTGAAGCGTCGAAATATCTTGTGATTCTAAAGCACCTTGGCAATGAAATACCATTCAAGATAAGTTATATATCTGTAGCTAGAACAAGCACTATTTATGAAATTTCTATGAAATAGAAATATTAACCCATTTCCAATCTAAGTTCTTTAGGCGAAATGAACTCAATCAAGAAGAAAACGTGTTAAATTCCCCTAAACGGAATCTTTTTCCTTAAAGCCTAACTGATTGCATTGTATTTCAATTGCCTTCAACAAGCGTCTCACCAAATAATCCCAGATTAAATATCCTAAAAGATGTGTGTTCAGTTGTACATGCTGTTTGTTAGGCTCGAACGTCTTGAATCTCTACGTCATCATGCTGACGTATAACCTAGTTTATGTTGAGACAAGGTCTCGCAACTAAAGAGGCAGCTGCTTGTTTCTTAGTTTGAAGAATTGGCCTTGAAAATCTCGTTCATATTTACTGAAGTATTGTTACCATGGAGAATGCTGAAGAAAGAATTCAAGAATAATCCCAGGTGTTTGTGAAGAAATTAACAGAGTGTTTCCTTCTCAAAAATACCATATTGGTTTTAACAATGACTTGAAGTTGGCTAAAGTGTTGCAATGAAACGGAAATTTTCGAAATGATGAAGCAGTGGCTTAACAAGGGTAATATTTTTTAACGAATTCAAATTAAGCAAGAATAATGGTGTTCAAAATTCTGATGAAAGTGAAAAGTTTGTTCAGTTAACGTCGAATAGGTCATTAACTCTAGTTGGCCCGAAAATGCGTATCTCACAATATAAACTTATAGCTCAAATTTTTTTGTTTACCCCCCAAATATGTCATTTCTCCGAAACACCGGCCTAAGGACCTACAATTGTGTTAATGCTACAATTTTTTGTGTGCCTATTATTGAGTTTTATTGGGATGATGTCACAAAAATCTTGTTTGAAATTCTTGAATTTGACCAATTAACGTAAAAAAGCATCATGAAATACCTCTTAATACACAAATGCTCTTTCTTTATTAATATCATTGTCTCTGTTCATATATCATGAACTGAGTCATAATCCATTAGCAAACATCTAATCTACCATTTGTCATACCTCGCTCACTTAATAACATCCTTAGCTGATTTTTTTAATCTTGAAGGTAAATAATGGTGTGCTTTAAAATTCTTTGGTCAAAAATCAAAACTCTAAAAACATATTTTTATATCTTCACATATTAAAGCGCAATTGTCTCTTTTCAGTTGTGCCTCTAATGTGCACTCGAGCCCTGTCCAAAAAACTAGTAAAGATAAAGACAGAAAAAACGAAGCTTCTCGTTTATATTTGAACACTCGTAACAAAGGAAATGATATGCCATTTTAAATTATTAAAAAACTAATGCTTGTTATTGTTTGGCAATTTATTTGAACGAACATTTGTCGAGCTTGCTCTACCACACTTGCTTTGCGCGTCTTAATATGTAATTATAGTCGTTTCGTTATGCCAAAATTCCTCGTTGTTTTGTCTTTAGAAAAGATTTCAATCAATAACCAAAAAATTCACACGATGATGACATTCATAAAGAAAAGATCTTTACGCTGATAAAATCAGGTTTTTAAAAGACCGTCACGTCTAGAAACCATAAATTAACTTTAAACATCAAAATATTCACATGAATATATGTCAAGTTGAAATCATCAAATGAAGCTCAAAGAATCTTCGGGACGTAGGCACATAATAATGTGATAGAAGGGCCCCTGTATCAAAGTTGTCTGCGCCCAAGAAATTTCATGATGACCGGCATATAAATAGGTTAAGATTTATAAGATTGTTTCTGCAATGTTTTAGTGGGCTCGATAGCAATAACACCTTTTTCGGAACGTGATGATTCCGTTTATCACAAAATTTTGAATTATTGGCTGAACCAAATTGTGATTGAGCCGGACGCGCATGCCTTTTTCCTGTCGAATGAGGGCTCCTTTCTCGGTCAGCTCGGAGTGTTGTTCTGCTAGAACTTTGAGTTGCTTGGAGTTTTGATGTCTCCCAAACACACCAATAGTTTTTGGCATAATCTATTGAATTTTAGAATCTGATAGATCAACCCATTTTCCCATCTGTCCAACTCTCCTATCAGCCTATGCTTTTTGAATGCAGGGTTGGAGGGGAGGGGGGGCTGGTCTTTTGTCAGTTAGCTCGGTAACTTTCGTGTCTGCAAAACATATTCGTAGTTAATGGCAAAATCTTTTTAAATCAAGAATGTGATATACTGCCCCCTTCTCCCATCTTTCCCAATCTCCCATTAGCCTATCCCCATCTCCCGTCAGCTTACCCTCATCTCCCATCATCCTACCCACTCAACTCATCAGCCCACCTCCATATCCCATCGCCCTATCCCCATTTCCAATCATAATACCCTAATATTTCATCATTATATCCCTTCTTCCATCACTCTGCCCCCTAACTTATCACTCGTCAAGCTACTTTCCATTTTCCTGATCTATAGTATAAAAGAGATACAAATCATTAAAATCCATCACTTTCTTGCACTCGGTGCTCTCACTTACTCATTTGAGATTTTTATGTTTTGTTTATGAAAGCTTGGTGTAAAAGAGCCAAAATTATTCATATTTATAAGTGATATTAGATTTATCGGGATTGGAACTCATACCTGTTTGAAAAATCCTAATAAAATGCCCTCATAAAATGAGTTTTATTTACAAAAAATTGGCGACACAGAATTTAAAAATTGGAAACATTTCGCTTGATACTCTGAATAGTGTCATTTACGATGCGCATCTTTGATATTATGTGAACGTCCTTTAAAATTTGATTTCATCGACATTTTTTGCAGAATCAACTTACATTAAGTTTAGATCTCGTTTATCTTAGGTATTTACAACTCCTTTTTGGATTGATGAAAAATCTTACCAATGATAGTTTGAAACCAGGTTACAATGAAGTTTTTGTTTACGGCTGACGGCTGATAAGTCCTTGCCCCTATCGCTCTTGTTTACTAGCTGCGACTAAAGATATTGCCCTTTGAAAGTTAGGTTTGACTGAAAAGAAAAAATTAAGGCTTCGGAAAATTTGATATCAGTTTGCCGACCTCATCTTCACAATAAAGGAATCTTTAATGGGGCTAAAAAATGTATTTTACTATGACAGCATTTCGTTATTTATTAAATTCAAGTCCAGTAAGCAGGGCCTCCGACGAAGAGCCTTTTTTAAAATTTTTTGTTATGATTGTTAAATTACCTCTTGCCCCCCCCCCCACTTTCCAACCTGCGTCGGATCCCATGGTAAGTGGAACTTACGAGTAGAAAGCATTTGAACCTTCGATTGTACTTACATTTTTAGCGACATTGAATAAGTTACGTTTTTATGATATTTCATGTACACTCTTTTTTTATAAGAACCAGTAAATTTAAGTTCAGGCTGACTGTTCTTAATTTGTTCGAAGAAGGCCGGATTTTCTTAATTTGTTCTTAAATTAAGAGGGTGTAAGCAATTTAGCTTTTTCGCTAAAAATTTTGCGCGATTGACATTGTTTTTTGATTGATATGAGCGAATGAACTCAGGAAGGAAAATAATTCAGGGAACTTTTACTTCAATTTTTCGTGAAAATGCGCGTAGTACATCTGTGCTTGATTGATGTGAGCGAACGAACAATTTGCAGGTGTAAAGAAAGCAACGTATTCATCCATATTGCCATAGGTGTGATAAAAGAAGATGTAACTGCCAGTGGCGGGAGTTATCTGTTTTAATGTAAGTGAGAAGGAAAACCGTTTAGCATTAATACATGTAATGAAAAATTCGCTTATTTCATTGGCCTTTCATATCAGATATACAATGCAACAACAATATGTCTAAATGCAAACAATGAATCGGGATGTTTGCAAAAACATCGTTTTGTCATCTCGTAACAGGTGAATCTTCGACATTAGTCCGACGCAAAACATTTACGAGATTCATTTTGCGCTGCAAACAACTTGGCCATTTGCAGTCAATTCAGTGAACGTGCTACATCTGGCCATCATTGTCCCTTCGCAGTTGCATCCGGCTTAGTTCTCATTGTCAATTGTCAAGGACCGAGGAATGGAGAATGACTTCTGGTGCACACAAGCATAATGTTACGTGTTGAATTTCTTGCATTCGTTTGTTCATGTTTGGCAAAAGGTAAGCATAGTGTTAAAAAAAAACTTTGTTGTTATTACTTCGAATGCAATAAGTTATCAACGGCTTGGTTACATCAATTTCAAGGATAAAAGTTACTACCCGGATGATTTAAACTTCATCACAGTAAAGCAAGCCAACTCCTTGCTTTTAGAGCTTTTTAAAAGCTTTTAAAATATACATCTAAAATCAAAGTATCCATAAATTGATATTTCGTATTTTTATGATTTGGTTTAGCTGTCAGGGAGCGATTGCAAGGATTTGTTACTTGCAGGTTTGTTTACAAATGCTTAAAGAACAAAATGCACGAGAAATGGTATCCATGACAGTTTTTGACCAACTGCTGCGTTTGTTATTCCATCTTTGTTCTTTCTGCAATGGTATTACTTCGTTAACCCAGACATTATCATCGCAAGAGCGGATAATTTTGCTGGGAGCTGATGGAGCATCTTTTCCCTCTCGTTGCAACTTCTGGTGTGCAATTGCTTTTTCGTATTATGATATTTTGTTCAAGAAAATCTTGTTATAAACTATCAAGAATGTAAAGAAAAATATACCCATTTTTAGCATTTTTCCGTAGCTTTCGACTCGGCCATGGAATTATCGGAGACCCCGTAACCCTTTGCGAATTTTTAAAACAATATATAAACTTTATATCTTGACACGTTGCAGCACGAAGAAGATTTTAAAACATTGCTTCAATTTTTAATTTAGAAGGTAGTGCACGGGACATCGGAGCATGGGTGTTTACAGGAACGCCCCCCTCCCATCGCAAAGTATCGCTATTGTTCAATTGCCCCTTTCTGTCATACAGCCTTGTTTGAGCGTCACTGGCTTGAAGGCAACTGATTTCAAAGATAAAAGATGCGTTCTTCTAGTGATTTCGAGGACCTGTCGCTATTTCCAAACCAAGATAACATTTCATTCATTTACTAATTGAAAAATGGACGCTTCAAATTCAAATAAATATGGTAATCATATCAAACTAGATTAGAATTAAAGATAGTCTTTAGCCCCTCATTTAAGAAAATGTGTCTTATCGATTTTGTAGATTTTCTGCGGGTCAGCAACATCGAAAGTCCTGAATGGTAAAAGCTTACTGTCAATAAATGTGTTGGTTTGTTTGATACAATAGCTAGTGGTGTCTTATGGTGTCTTTCAAAACTTCATAATTAATACTTACAAGCCAGGTTTATCTCTATCGGAAGAATTGAAAAAAGCAACAGACGTGTGTTCTACTATTTTTTTGATAACTCCAATTTCCAATCAATTCGTATTTTAACTTAGCTGTCTAAAGACAGAAATACAGAGAATGTCTGGCTTCATTAGGATTTTCTGTTTTTTAATAGATTAAGGGCAAGCCTAATGTTAATTCCCTTTAATTTGGGGGGGGGGGAGAGAGATATTGAAATCAATTAACATATCACATGACTTTGCAGAGAAAAGTGCGATATCCAAATAGTTTTTTCGGATACAAATGAAAGTGTAATGACTCGTTCATACACTTCCTTTGAGAAAAAATGAATGTTACATAAAATTGGAGACAATCAATAAAAACGCTATGGCTATTGTTTGATCACATGTTACATTCTCACCACCACTATTCAGACAGGATTTTGAATAAATTTCAGCCAGATGAAGCTTTCCTTTAGTCAATTCCAATTAATTTTCAGCGTTTGCAAGAAAATGGTTCGGAAACTTTTGATCAATCAAAAAGCTCTTAAGCAATAAATTTTGTTTGCAGTAACCTGCTAACAATTATAATTTCCTGAAATTTGGCAAGAGTGTTTATTTGCAACTGTTTGGTTGATTCTGCTATTCCTGCAAGAGAAAGGGGTTGTGTAGCAGAGGAAATGAGTTGCAAAATGTGAATGTGGGGGAGGGGGGGTTGGGAGGTGAGTGATCAGATCGATTTTGATTTTGGGAGGTGAGTTGATCAGATCGATTTTGATTTTCGACTTGCAAAAAAGCCACCGTTACGAAAAAGGCTGCTTGAAAAAGTTGCTTGCCCAAAGATGGAAAAAAGATAAATTACTGTATTAAATTACGAAAGAGATAAAAGGAGGGCGTGGCCGAGAAAATTTGTTTTCGTCCTCCCCAATGCTACAACACGCCAATCTGGTAGAGCTACGATACGCCATTTTGAAGGCCTAAAATGCACCTCTGTCTACGACCACTCTTTTTCTATAAGATCATTGTTTATAACAATATTCAATTCATTTCTCAGCAGTTGTTCGTTTGGAGTTGCTCCCCTGAAACCATATCAAACTCCTTGAAAATTATATCCTGGCTAAAAACGAAAATTTTTTTAAGAACTTTAGAATTGGCTGGACAAAATATATAGTATTCTAACAAAAAAGGATATTAGTGTATTTTGAATAAAAAGTCTTCTAGGTCCTTGTTTTGTTTTATGTTGTAAACAGTGCTCTGTCTTTCAATTTCTTCAAAGGTGTTTTCTCATACTGGCGGCCAAATTGCAAATCTGGGTATTCAGTAGCGTGGTGGTCAGTCTCACCCTATATATTTATTGAAAATGGGACAGTCGATGGCGTATTACCAGTTATCATGCAGAAAATGGTTAATGAATGCTGCCAAAAACACGTGAACCTCTCTTACGATGCCATGGTAGATAACAGAGTCGAAGCAGTGGAACAAGTCATCAACGGAACATCCGATTTTGTCTTGCCACTTATTGTCAAAAGTGGAAAGCATAAATTTCTTTCTTTTCCGTTGGTCCCATTGGGTAAGTTTGCAAAAATAATTGTTAACAAACTGATAGACCTTTTATGAGAACAAACGCTGGAGCATTTACCCTTCAGATGAAGGCTCCATATCTATGCTTGTATTTTGTTTCAGTTATTTGTACGGACTGCCTTATGGAAAGCTTTATACACCCATGATTTCTGGATCCCTATTATTCTAAATTGGCCCTATATTGTTGCTGTATTTATTGAAAATTCGGGGATCAGCTTTGTTGTGCCCCCGTAAATCCAGAATTGGAAAATGGCAGGTTCTAGTATCGTATGTATTAATTATTTTCTGTATTTAAAATATGTATCTAAAACTGATTATAATGTAGAAAGATCATACTGTGAAAGAAAATAATGCATGCTCCAACCTATCTAATTTCGCAAGATTATCAATCACACAGAAGAACAATGCTCTTTGCTTGGTTTATCGCGAGGGGCTAGGGCTACAGCCCTTTTATCATGAGCCTTTAATCGTCCTGACAAAGAATTTCGTAGCAGCAAAATAGTTATTGGTTGATGTAATACACCTAGTTTGGTTGCAGCTTCTTCTCTTGACGACAAAGCTACAATCCCAAAACAGACATTGCCGAGATTTTGTACCCCATGTATATACGCACGAAATTTGAATTAGGGGAAGAGGGAGATAATCGCCAGTAAACCCCAGTATAATGCCAGGAGTTTTCAAAACAAATAGGATGGTATCCCTTTTACACTCCTCGCAGCAACTCTATTACAAGATGAACAATAAAGCTTGACAAAAGTAAAGGCAATGCCTTTTCCATCCAGCAAAAAACAGATTTGCTTTTTTATTCAATTGATACGAGACTTATACTTACTTATTCTATACTTCTTTTAATTTCAGTTGAGTCGCCAGGCATTGCATTTTACGGCCTTGCACCTTTGGGTACAGGTGAATCGTTGATCAAAATAATTGTAGATGCATCACCGATGCTTGTCATAATGACACTAATGGTAATGGTGGCTGGAATAGTGTTTTGGCTTGTGGTGAGTGCTTGATCAAATTCTACTGTCAAATTCATAGGCATCGGAGACATAGGGGCTAAGGGGCTAGGTGGGCTGCAGCCTCCCTAATAAGGCAACATTAATCGCATTTCAGACTCCATTTGGACAATTATATCTGAATGAAGAAAGAATATTCGGGCAAGATCCCTACTAAGCCCCCCCCCCCCTAAACGTTTTGCATCAGCCATGGTTAGTTTCTGCTGTATACGGTTTTTAAATAGCTAGTATTATAAACGTGCTTCTTCATGAAATTAATCGACATAAAAATTTGGAATCTGTTAAAAGACAATTTCTTTCAATGATACCTTATAATTTTGCAATAGATTGAAGTTTGGTATCCTGATTTCTATAAAAGCTAAAGGTTTAACCTTAGTGATAATGGTAATTTGAGGTCTACAAAAGTTAATAAAAGAAAAATATTATACCTTCAGAAAACTAAAATTACCTTTAAAAATTGTTTTAAGACAGGTTAAAAACGTATTAACACTAAAGCATTCATTAAAAGAAAGAAAATTTTGCTTAATAAACACTAAAGCGTTCAATAAAAGAAAGAAAATATCACCTATTCACTTCTTGCTGTGTGATTGGACACATGCAAGAGTTTCAATAGATATGAAGATGAGTGTCTTTAAATACTTTACAGGGAAAAACATAGATGCGGCCATTAAGCACAATGTTTGCTGGATATATTGATAGCCTTGAAACTTGTATAAGAAGTAAGAATTAATCAGAGATAGAGGAAATATGCCTTATATAGAATAGAAGACAGCAAAGTATCGCTTGAATTTCAAGGATTCGATTGATTTAACGCGAATCAGGGGCGAAGACAAACAAGTTTTTTGGAGGGGTAAAGAAGTGACTTTTGCTGACAAAAATGGTGGGTGTATCTCACTTTTCAAGGGTATGATCAACAGATAAATACTCTTATATGCTGCATTTATTGGTTTCTGGTTCAAATTTCATACTTTAGTGCCATACTTTACAAGTACAACAATTTTAATACGTCACAATTGTTGAATTAAGGTTGCAGATTGAGCATGAAAATTGCTTCTTTTGCCCAACAAAAATATTTGAGACGGATAAAGTGTTGGGGGGGTACCGCACCCCCTGGACCCTCTTTGGCGATGCCCCAGACGCGAATAGAGAGCGATCAAATGTCTTCGTTTGGTAAATCTTTTCATAAGCGCCAATGCCATGTTAAAGTTTCGAAAGGATGCGATTTTTTATAGCTAAATGTGCTGAAGACGCTGGAAAGCTCCAAGGCTGCAGAACATTGATCTAAAAAATGCTTTAAAGAATTTCACAACCAGTGAGAAAGGCATTATTGTGTACTTTGTGTATGGTTAATTGCCAATCTAATTCTTGCATGACAAAGGCCTTAATCTGCAGCAATGTGCAGCAGATGCACGTAAGGATATTCTCCCATGAAAGTAGCTAGGAACATACAACGCCAAAAAGACCCCCCAAAGAGCCCCAAATAAGTTCCAAAAGAGTCGGACAAAGGGTGCTGCTGAGAGTAAAGTTTTTTTCAAAATCCACTAGCAGAATCATCTCAAGCATGTTCGACATTTAGTAATTAGCCAATTGATTTGCTGAAGAGCAGCAGTAATGCAATGAAAAACAATTGCTGCATATTTCGTTTTTTGGTCCGATCAATCTAGTGTTCTTTAGGTCTCTTTAATGCTTCAATTTCTGAAACTATTTTGCTCAGCTTCGGTGAAGATGAGCCACATATCACTCTCTATGTCAGTAGATTTTAGATCGCCAATTTGTCACTTGGGCAGCATCGATGGCATTGAAAGCAGGAAAACTGACATACTCATTTAAACAGAGACTGTGGGTTTTAGCCCCCAAAATCATTTTCAAAATGCAACAAAAACCATAAGAAAAATCGCCATGATCTTTGTTTATAGCACATTTAGCCCCCTCCCACAAATACCTTTAAGCCCCAATATACTCCACGTTACCTGTTTTTAAACTATGGCAAAAACGCAACTTTAGCTGATAGGCGGCTCTTGTTAAAAGTTGATCAATTCATCAATAATACTTAATGTTTTTAGGAAGAGCGGAATGAAACCCCAATAGTGCCTGGCATCATTAATGGCATGTGGTGGGCATTTGTCTCGATGACTACCGTCGGGTAAGTTTCTTAAAAAGCAAGATTTCTGATTGAATGAATTTCATCCTAGGAAAGCATAAAGACGATCAAAATCTCACTTGTCTCTTTAAATTTCTGCCATGAAGGGAACATCTGTTCAAACAAATCTGAAAGAAAACCCGATCGACATTTGCTTGAGTAAATGCCTTTGAAACAAAAACAAATTAAGACAAAATATTATAGTTTAAAGAGAACTCGAGTTGTGGAAAATTTGTTATGTCTTTGCTCTCTCAAAGGACTATTTTCAGCTGGGCAGCATTAAAAAAGCTTTTGCCAGTGTTTGGAGAAAACATACTAATGCCAAAAAAGCAAGTCTGAAATATTAATGAAATTTTGAGGCTTCTTAAGTGATGAACTTATCGTTTATAAAACTCGGAACAAAATTAGAATTTTCGATTTATTTTTTTAGGTATGGGGATATTTCCCCCAAATCAAAGAAAGGGCAAATTGTTGCTGTCATTTGGATACTGTTCGGCTTGGTAGCTTGTTCCTTATTTGTAGCAGTTGTCAGTTCTGTTTTGACCATGGCATGTCTTTCCCAGAAGTTAGAACTACGCGGAAACAAGGTTGCTTCCTTGAATCTCATTGCTCGAATGATCTAGAACAGGAACTAGTCATTCCATCAAGCCAAAAATATGAAAATTTTCGTCACCAAATAGCAATATTAACACCTTTGGTCCAGTGGCGGATTTAAGGGGGGCAACTAGGGGCAGTTGCCCCTCCCTCGATGAGTTGCAGCAAGTCTGGCGCCCCTTTTTTAGAAATTGTGCGCCACTTTTGAAGAATGCGAATCAGGTGAAAAAGTTTCTGAGACCGATAGGTTAATTTGCTTCAAGGATTACCTCAAAGTTATGTTGTTTATTCCAAAAGAGGATCTGAAATTGTTGTATACAGCGTTCTCTCGTCACCAATTATTGAAAATTTTTCAGCGCCCCCACTACCAACTGCCCCTCCTTCAAATTTGCTCTGGATCCGCCCCTGCTTTGGTCTATAAAATTAAAAGGCTCTTCTTCTCATTCTTTAGTCGCACAAGGAGAAGTTTTCTAGATTCTGTTTATGTTATGTTCATACTATTCATTCTACCTATCTTATTGCAATAAGCAAGAAACATTCGTCTATTTATATAAAAATGAAAATTGTGTTAGATTTATAAAGAATATCAAGTAATGTAATCCTTCTTCCAAAATACCATTATCAAAACTGGTAAAAATAATTGGATATTTCATTCCAGATTGCAGTGATTGAAGGCGGCCAGGAACATTCTCTCGCAGTTAGAAAAAGTGCTCTTCCGATTGGTAAGCTTTTTCTCTTATTATGTTATTGCTAATGAATTTTTTTTCCAAAATTACAGCAACATGCACTTTTTATTTTACCAAACAGTTTACTTTAAATGTGCTATTTTATTCGTATAGATTATTTAAAGTTAATTTTTACAATAGTGAACGTACACTAAGACTAACAAAAAGCAATTTCAAGGATTGTATTGAGAGATTACTTACTGCAAAAAAAGCCAGCGCACTTGTTTTTAAGGGACCAAGTTTTAATCAAATTTTTGAATTGTGTACTATTCTTTGCTGTCATCATTGATTCTGGGAGTGAATTCCAGATTTTATGCCCTTCGAAACGTAATGATCTGATACCATTGTTGGTAGTTCTCTGATACCAAAGCTGGCTTTTGAATTGTCAAGAGGGTTTTTGAGTCGAAGGCTGTGACCACTTTCATGGAAACAGGATAAGGTTGCTAAGTTGCTAATGTCTAACTTTTCAGTACTAGATATAAAGAAAAACTGATCTTTGTAGGTTTTTCGGATGTCGAAGAGATAGTGAGATCTCTAGAAGATGGTACATCTGTTGGCGCTCTTCTTGATAGCTATGTTGCTGGCTTTCATCAAGACAAGTTTCAAGAGTTTCGTTTAAATGACATTAAAGAAGATTTGTTTACTTATGGAGTCGTTTTAATGCCGACCGTAATGAAGTATGAAAAATGTTTCAAAGAGTTTCTCATGTCAAACCACGATTTCCTTTCACATGTGGTGTCTTCCAATATAATTCCTCTTAAGGTGAGTATATTACCAACTTTTATATTGGAAATATTTTGAAAATTGAGTTTCAAGTTCAAAATACTTAAATTGTCCATCTATACCGAGACCTAAGCTTTTAGCGATGCCCTCAAAATGGAATAAGGGAGCAAAAAATTTGAATAAAATGAGTTTTATTTTTTAAAGGAAAAAATTTCCTTTTCGAAAGGTCATGAACTTCAAATATGAATTTTAGTTTAAGGACCACGACGAAAGACACGAGCTTCATGCCATAAAGGACAATTCGACACTTTAATGACAAGATTTGACTAAGCCATGTTTGATACGAGTTAAATTATTGACTATACCAAAGTTGATTATTCAGTGAATAAGACATTTACGAGTTCGACGAAGACATATTTCTCATTCTTGTAAATTATAACGTTCAAAGACGGGCTTGTCTAGTCTTCAGCTAAATGAAGAATGAATGGAGTGGCTTAGACAGTGCCAATAGATTGTAGGAAAAAAAATGCATAGTAAATAGCGATCAAAAGATTTCCAAATAAGGTAAGGAAATAGAAATTAACTGACTAAGCAGGACCAGTGAGATCAATCGAGATCTAGCGGTATTGATTAGATTTGTTTACTAACCATGTGGCGATCCCTAAAAATTAAAAATATCGTGTATTAGCAATTAAAATATATAGTTATGATTCGGTCTCTAATCAATTGCATCCTGTAGGCACAAATACTGTACACTAAATGCCAGATGCACTTGTGAACATCCTTTCTTCTTACAAGAATCGGAACTTATTTGGCACTGATTTCCAACTGAAACCAGGGCAAACTCTGTATCACTTTGTATTGCCTCTTTCCTAGCTGTGTTTAGTCAAATAAACCTTGCTTAGGGGCTGTTTTACTTGCAGATTTAAAGTATATTTTCAATGCTTACAGAAATAATCTGCAGTTCATCTGAGTTTTCTTTAGCCACCATTTTCTTGTTTACTACTATTGATTTTCTCTCCAAGATCAAATTCGTCTTGCATGAAACTCTGCCCTCAGGGGCGTAGCTGCCCCCAGGGACGTAGGGGGGTGTACACCCCCCAACTTTCAGAGAACTCGTCGGTAAAATCAAATTTATAACAAAATATTAATGTAACAAAAGAATTCCCGTCGGTAAAATATGGATTTGCATCTCTTACAACCCCTACCCCCACCCCAGCGAGAATGGTTACGCGACGCCACTGTCTGCCCCTCTATCTACTTACTCTCTACTCTGAACATTCAAAACTTCTCTAACACTGAAATCTTCCTTTACGTTTTTAGCGATAAAAATGAACAAGAAATGTTGCTATATCGGCACATTTCAGTGCTGCTTACAAGCTTATTATTTTATTAAAAAGCCTTGTTTTTCAGAAATTGATGCGGCAAAGCTCGTTTTTTCCATCCATGGTTGTGATTTTAGAAATCAAAATAAATGCAAATGTCAAACCTAAAGTATGAAGAAAAATTAGTTTCAAATTCGCAGAACCTAGATTTTTGTCATTAAATCATTATTTGTAATATTGCATTATTATAAACATGCCTTTTAAGGGTATAATCTAATCTAATTTGCTATGAATAATTTACTTGAAAATAGTTATCTGCTGAGAGAGTCGAGGTCAAACACTAGTTATCGTCCGAAAGATTCAAGCAATGACCTAAAGCACTAAAATATTAATCATCAACTTCTCGGAAGGTTTTGGAAGAACGTAAAACATGGACAATTTATCTCCAGCCATTTTCCAGGAACATGGAAGTTTTCTTCCAAAAATAGATTGCTTGATTCCTGTAGATACGGGGCTCAGTGCAGACAGACATGTGATAGAGATTAAATTTCAAAGCAGAAACTATCACAAAGTTCGTGCAATTATTATTTTTACTATACCGCAAATCGTTATAAGCTTCCTAATAGGCCAACGACTTAAGGCCTCAAAAATTGAATCTTTTTAGTGCATATGAAAGCTTTCTGTTTTTCTAGACAATTTAAGAAACAGCCGTCTTTATATTTAAAGCATTTTGTTTTCTAGCACGACTTGAATTTTGCAGCAGCTAAAATCACTGCCAAAAGTCTTGGAACACTAACGTCACCCCCGCTCCCCCTAAGAACAATGTTGATTTACTTTAGGAAAAAGAAAGGAATTGTGGAGTATGCTTTTTCTTGTGGCTTGTTTGATTTTTTTCTTTACTTTCAACATTGTTTTGGGGAGAAAGGGGGACGGGAGTAGTAGTATTCGGGAAAATAAATGAAAAATGGAAAAGCACAGCGCAAAGTGTTGGATGTTCCAAGTAATTTTGGCAGTGATTGTACATTCAAGCGAAATAGTTTTTCTTTTCTTACAGATATTGATTTTCCTATGGTCTTGCCTACTTGTATTGTTCTAGAACTAGCCATTGTCTTTCAAGATTGTCTTTCAGTTAAAGAGGTTTTTCAAGTTCCTTTTTATTTAACAGAAAACAACTGATGAAAGTACTGCGGAAGAAATGTCAAAGAACATCTTTACTTTCGAGACAGTGCCCACATATATACCATTGCTCATAATGTTGGCTTCTCTGTTTGTCATCAGTTGCCCTTTTTTATTGAATGACTACATTAGGAAAAAGAGGAAGAATCCATCAAATAAAGGTTCGTCGCTTAATTTTCTAAAACCTAGTAGCATTACTGAACGGAGATTTGAAAAAAGCATTGACGGGTCCATTAAGAGAATTCTGGGACACCAAGGGTCATCAAAAGGTGATAAAGCCAGGTTGTCAGAGCGCTTTACGTCGGGGTAGAGGGCCCCAGATCGATCTCATGTTAAACCCAAAGACGCCCGCTTTCTATGCACTTGAGGTGAAAAAGGTACCGAGTGACAACCCGCTATCTTACCCTTTGATACTTTTGGCAAAGAGAATAACACGTCTCTCCTCTAGTAGCATTACCCCTACAGTTCTAATACAGGAGTACCCAGTACGTCTTTCTCTCCTCTCTTCTTCTCTGCACTCTCCTGCAACGCTCGCATTTCCCTACCCCCACTTGGCGCTCTGGAACCCAGGGTAAGACAGTAGTTACCTGTTATACATGGGTAAGATTAACCATGGAGAATTACCCTTAGAAACCTATTTCTTTAGCTCTTTAAGTAGTAAAAACACAAATCTTTCAATAAAAAGAAATGCCACCTTCTTTTCGATGGTTTGGTCAAATGTGAAGAAGATTGTTCCAACAACGCATAAAAAGTCCGTACTGTAGATACTCGCTGAAGACTTCAGGTTAACCGAATTCAGCCTAAATCTTATTTCACCAGGGCTGTATGACAGCACAAGTGCAGAGGAGAGATATCTCCATGAAGTCCACATGAAGCAGCTTTCTGATTGCCTCAAACAAATGCACAACGAGGCAGAAATACTGCAACGTATTTGCAACAAGGCTGCTCAGAATGCTGAAACGGAGGCTAAAATTTATGGATATGAAAATATTGTGACAGTGGAGACATGCCTGTGACAGACTGCGCATCTAGAATGTTTGGTTAATATCAACAAAATCTAAAGCCAATCAAAATCAATTGGGACAATGTTTAGCAAAGCTTCATAAGGATATGCAATTACATTGTTCTTTGAAGAGTGTCAAATTGAGAGGAGGGTCCAACTGTTCTTTATCAAAAAACATTTTTCCTGTCTATCTAACATCTTTTATTCATTTCAAATACTATCATAGGACAGCAACTACTAAAACACAATAGAATCAAAATTGTACATATATCGTAAGCACGCTTTGTAATTCTGAGAATTAGTATCAAGTCAAGAATCATTTCGCTATGAGATTATAACCTTTATCTCAATTGAGAACATGGATTTTATTCAAGCAATTTCTATATTTAATTTGGAGCTCAATAAAGGTGAGCAATATTTTTTTAATTATAATTCGGTTAGGCCTATATGAAGCATTTCATCAATTCTGATGGATTAGAATTACTCAATGCCATATTATAGCATCAACTAACAATTCGTTATTCACACAGCTACGCATAGGCTTCAGTAAGCTAAATTATCACAAATTCTGTCACATCTTGGGAGGAACAGTTGCCCGATGTGCCTAATTAACGGCAGTATTGAAGATACCGAACATTTCTTGCTGCATTGCCAGGCCTAGATGATCCAAGGCGTGATCTCTTTGGCGCGATAACGAACCAAATAGCATCTCCCACCTTTCAAATAGACTGGGTTATGTTATGTGGTGATAACAGATTTTCACGTAACCAAAATCAGATAATTTTGGAATCAACGCTAGAATACATTCATACGTCAGAACGTTTTTTTGTATAACAGTAAATACCAAACATTTTTTATAATTTAATCCTTCTCTTTTAATTTTTCTAGCACCAATTGAATAGTAATGTAGCTATAGCACTAAAGGCTATACCAAAATCCTGTGTACATTTTAATGGTTAACGATAAATCAAGCTATAGTATCATTCAAGTTGTAGTTATGGTAGAGGGACAGAGCATGTATGCTTAATATGTTACCTAGGATGACTAGGAATGAAATTACTCAGTAATTTCAATCACAATCGTTTATTTGAGAATTGGATAAAAATAATCACTAGCAAGTAGCCTATAAAAGATAGGGTGCTTCATAAAATGACTATTATCATGAATTAAATGTTAAAGTTAAAAGCATCTCCCTTCATAAAATTCTAAAGACGAATTTTGTTTCTTGTTAAGTTTAAACTTTGTCTCTTTTCTATTCCATTGACCTTGTTTTTAAAACAGATGGACAATCACTGGTACACAATTCCGAGGTTGAAGACATGTTTCATTCCGAGGTTGAAGACATGTTTCTGTTTGTAGCAAACCAAAGTCATTTAAAGGGCGAAATAGAAACTGTTAATATTTTTAAAGACGTTTGGGTCAGATTCAAAGATTTAAAGTATCTAGTGATTAAGACATTAAATTCAATGGTTAAAAAACAGAAAAATCACTGCAGTTTTTAATATTTTATTTCGAACCCTAATAATAAAAACAATTTTTTCTTTTCTTGTAAATCATAATCATCAGAAATTTTTTATCAAAATGCCATGAATGCATTTTAGAAATTAACAGTCATTTTGATGGGAAATTTGACAAGAAAAACATAAATTATGTTTTGAGAGAAAGCTTTAAAAAATTGCAATTTCATGAAAAAATTATTTGAGATTATCAAAATTACGAAGAGAAATTTTTTTAACTGCATTTTTAGAAATTCAAAGTCATTTTAGAAGAAAATTCAACAAGAAAAACAAAAAAGTATGTTTAGAGAGAAAGTAAGGCTATAGGCTTAGAAAAATTGCAGCTTTGATAGAGATTTTTTAGATTGTTGCTTTATATGTTGAAAAACATAAAAAAATATTGCCTAGGGTGCCATTAGCAATAGTTAGCTATTTTAGCAAGCTATTTTGAAAGGAAAACATCAACAGAAACAATGTAAAAGATATTGTGAGAAAAGGTAAGGCATAAGGTTTGAAAAATTTCCATTTTGGTAGAAAATTGCCTTTAGATTACCACTAGAAATAATGAATAGCCATGCGAATCTAGGTTTCAGTTGATGTTTCTTAATCCTTAACATTAGAGAACTAGAATAGATACATTGGTACGGCAAGGCCCAATCATTAAGTGAGGTCCATTTGAATCTGCGGTGTATTCTACTTTCAGTTTTATTGTCTGACAACGGGACTTCACGTTAACCTATAGACAATTGCATTGAGGAAGATGAAAGCCCGCCGTTTTGTATTGCAGTGAAAACTAGGATGATGTTCAAATAAATGGAGTTGTCAGGGCCAAGTCCAAAATTACTGAACAAGGGAGTCGACATTTCATGAAGTAGGAATATTGTAAAAAGTTTTTGCAAAAACATACAGAATTTGGAATTTTTGGTTAAAGGCTTTCGTTGAAGGAACCGGATGGTTTAAATGTAAAGCGAGGGTATTGAAGATTTTGAAGACTGTTCGTTAAATCGTTGATTCGTTGAACGGAAGTAATTAACGTAAAGGTTGTTTTTCGGAATAATTCGTTAAAACAAAGGCTCCGTTCGTTTAAAGGGGAAGTCCTTGGCATGGGGAATCCTTGAAAAGGTGTTGCGCTGTACGAGAAAAGGAGGAGATGCAAAATCAATGCAAGGCAAGCGAATTTTAAAAAAAATACACAGATAGGCCCATATATAACGAACATTTCATTGCAAAAGGCAAACGTAAATATTAAATAAAACTTAAAATTTAACGACTTCTCTTCCATCCAATGCTGCCTCGGCTATTTCAACAAGTTCTTTTAATCTGCCAGGAGCAATTACCTTTCCTTCTAATTTCGTCGTATTTTTTGAAAGTAAAAAGTGTTTTAGAAATAGCTTCAGTCCTTCTCGCAACAGTGACAGCTTTGATAGAGGTGAAATTCGAGAGAATACATTTCTGGAAGAAAAGGTTATTACGAAAATGTGTAGAAAGGACAAAAAAGTTAAAGGGCACTTTATATCATGTTCCATTTATATAAGAAAATCACAACTTCTGTAAACTGAACATAATTTAAGATCCTTGATTTTGCAATCATTAGTCAATAGGAAAATAAGAAAATACTCATTTCTCTTTGATAAGAAAAGATAAGGGCATTTTGTTGGAAAATATGTGCAATGAAAGACGTTTCTTTGCCGTTAGAAGATTTGAGGAAACTTAAAATAATAGGCCATCTTAAGAAAAATATAAAGAAAATGCTTTACTCAATTTTCAAGAAATCCTTTTAAAAGACTTTTATGAATAGACACTTGATCTAAAGAAAACGTGAAGGCATTAAGATCAAGTCTATTCAGTCCTTTAAAAGATCATGGCCTTTTTCACAACGAAATAAACATTGATTGGCCGATCAACATACCTCATCGTGCTCTCAGGGTACTCTGTCAGTAGTACGGTGAACAGCCGCATGAAAAATCGGACTGATGATTTATCGATGGTAGCAAATCCCACGACCTTTGATGAAAAATTTAACGATCAAAACGACTGAAAATTCTCTAAAAAAATTTAAGTAAAAACTAATCTTGACCGGGATTTGTCACATTTGTTATTTGTAGCTTCGAATTTGTTACCCGTAACTTCAACATTGAACTCAGCAAACGAAAACCGGACAATTTTGTGAGTTGATAAAAACTCTGAAAACACCAAGAATACGAGAAAAACAACTAAATAAATTATGCGGCTACAAATTAAACTGACTAAACCTAATCACTTACAAAGCATACCGCTGAATACAAATTTTGATAAACAAGTTCGTCAAGTTTTGACATTAAAAAGAAGTTAAAACAAAGGGAATATATACCACGATAAGTGATATAGCAATGTAATTTAAAATAAAGTTTCGGAAGGCCTTTATCGCTAACAATGTTGCAAGATTTTCGAGCTAAATTTCAGATGATAACAATCGATGATAGGATTAAAGAAAAAACAAATTTCTACTGTTACTGAGTGTTTTGCTGTTTCTAACAATACTCAATTTGGTGGATCTCAATTAAGATAGCATACTAAATTAAGCATTTTTCTAGATAGCAAACAATACCTCAAGACAGCGTTTTATTGCTTTGGAAATTAAAACCACCAACATTTCATAGTTCATTTTTCAAGAAATATAATGCTGATGTTTTGCTAAGCTATATATATCTATATATATATATATGTATATGTATGTAATGCTAAGCTACGAAACTGAAAGGTTTTTCTTGTTATACTTCAAAATTTTAGATGCTCCGCAAAGGAAGCAACCACAATTGCTCTATGTTATTTATGTCCATGTTATTCACGTCCACTTACCTTTAAAATGGACATCGATAATGCGGATGACGCAAACAAATGAGCCAGCAGCTTTGCTAAATTTTCCAGGTTGTGTGGACTTGATGCGGAGATTTGTTTGAATCGGTCCCAGAACGAATACTGGAATGTGACCTGAAGAGAGAAGAGAATGAGGATAAATAAAAACTGGACGAGAGCCATATTCACACTCACAAGGGACTAGGAATATAGAATGGAAATAGAAGGTAATAGAAGGAAGAGAAAGAAGGGAGATAGAAGGGAATGTGAAGTAAGGAAACACAAGGAAATTGAAGACGACAGAGTAGAGGAGATGGGAAAAGAAGGAGGAAAGAGAAGGAAATTGAAGACGACTGAGTAGAGGACATGGGAAAAGAAGGAGGGACAGATGAAAACAGAAGGGACTAGAAGGAAATGAAGTAGAAAGAAGGGAGTAGAAGGAAGAGAAAGAAGGGAGATAGAAGGGAACGTGAAGAGAAGGAAGGGAACACAAGGAAATTGAAGACGACAGAGTAGAGGAGATGGGAAAAGAAGGAGGAAAGAGAAGGAAATTGAAGACGACTGAGTAGAGGAGATGGGAAAAGAAGGAGGGAAAGATGAAAACAGAAGGGACTAGGAGGAAATGAAGTAGAAAGAAGGGAGTAGAAGGAAGAGAAAGAAGGGAGATAGAAGGAAATGTGAAGAGAATGAAGGGAATATAAGGAAATTGAAGACGACAGAGTAGAGGAGATGGGAAAAGAAGGAGGGATAGATGAAAACAGAAGGGACTAGAAGGAAATGAAGTAGAAAGAAGGGAGTAGAAGGAAGAGAAAGAAGGGAGATAGAAGGGAACGTGAAGAGAAGGAAGGGAACACAAGGAAATTGAAGACGACAGAGTAGAGAAGAAGGGAAAAGAAGGAGGGAACAGATGAAAACAGAAGGGACTGGAAGGAAATGAAGTAGAAAGAAGGGAGTAGAAGGAAGAGAAAGAAGGGAGATAGAAGGAAATGTGAAGAGAATGAAGGGAATATAAGGAAATTGAAGACGACAGAGTAGAGGAGATGGGAAAAGAAGGAGGGATAGATGAAAACAGAAGGGACTAGGAGGAAATGAAGTAGAAAGAAGGGAGTAGAAGGAAGAGAAAGAAGGGAGATAGAAGGAAATGTGAAGAGAATGAATGGAATATAAGGAAATTGAAGACGACAGAGTAGAGGAGATGGGAAAAGAAGGAGGGATAGATGAAAACAGAAGGGACTGGAAGGAAATGAAGTAGAAAGAAGGGAGTAGAAGGAAGAGAAAGAAGGGAGATAGAAGGAAATGTGAAGAGAATGAAGGGAATATAAGGAAATTGAAGACGACAGAGTAGAGGAGATGGGAAAAGAAGGAGGGATAGATGAAAACAGAAGGGACTAGGAGGAAATGAAGTAGAAAGAAGGGAGTAGAAGGAAGAGAAAGAAGGGAGATAGAAGGAAATGTGAAGAGAATGAATGGAATATAAGGAAATTGAAGACGACAGAGTAGAGGAGATGGGAAAAGAAGGAGGGATAGATGAAAACAGAAGGGACTGGAAGGAAATGAAGTAGAAAGAAGGGAGTAGAAGGAAGAGAAAGAAGGGAGATAGAAGGAAATGTGAAGAGAATGAAGGGAATATAAGGAAATTGAAGACGACAGAGCGGCAGAGTAGAGGAGAGAGGGAAAGAAGGAGGGAATGATAAAACAGAAGGGACTAGAAGGAAATGAAGTAGAAAGAAGGAGAGTAGAAGGAAGAGAAAGAAGGGAGATAGAAGGATGTGAAGAGAAGGAAGGGAAAAGGAAATTGAAGACGACAGAAGTGAGAGATGGGAAAAGAAGGAGGGAAGATGAAAACAGAAGGACTGGAAGGAAATGAAGTAGAAAGAAGGGAGTAGAAGGAAGAGAAAGAAGGGAGATAGAAGGAAGTGAGAAAGAGAAGGGAAAAAAGGAAATGGAAGACGATAGAGAAGATGGAAAGAAGGAGGGAAGATGAAAACAGAAGGGACTGGAAGGAAATGAAGTAGAAAGAAGGGAGTAGAAGGAAGAGAAAGAAGGGAGATAGAAGGAGTGAGAGAAGGAAGGAAAAAGGATTTGAAAAACGAAGATAGAGAAGATGGGAAAAGAAGGAGGATAGATGAAAACAGAAGGGACTGGAAGGAAATGAAGTAGAAAGAGGGAGTAGAAGAGGAGAAAGAAGGGAGATAGAAGGAAGTGAAGAGAAGAAGGGAAAAAGGAAATGTGCAGAGAGAGAGGGGAAAAGAAGGAGGGAAGATGAAAACAGAAGGGACTGAAGGAAATGAAGTAGAAAGAAGGGAGTAGAAGGAGAGAGAAAGAAGGGAGATAGAAGGAATGAAGAGAGAAGGAGGGAAAAAGGAAATTGAAGACGACAGAGTAGAGAGATGGGAAAAGAAGGAGGGAAGATAAAACAGAAGGGACTGGAAGGAAATGAAGTAGAAAGAAGGGAGTAGAAGGAAGAGAAAGAAGGGAGATAAAGGGAAGTGAAGAAATGAAGGGAATAAGGAAATTGAAAGACGACAGAGAGGAGGGATAGATGAAATAGATGGGAAAAGAAGGAGGGATAGATGAAAACAGAAGGGACTGGAAGGAAATGAAGTAGAAAGAAGGGAGTAGAAGGAAGAGAAAGAAGGGAGATAGAAGGAAATGTGAAGAGAATGAAGGGAATATAAGGAAATTGAAGACTACAGAGTAGAGAAGATGGGAAAAGAAGGAGGGATAGATGAAAACAGAAGGGACTGGAAGGAAATGAAGTAGAAAGAAGGGAGTAGAAGGAAGAGAAAGAAGGGAGATAGAAGGAAATGTGAAGAGAATGAAGGGAATATAAGGAAATTGAAGACGACAGAGTAGAGGAGATGGGAAAAGAAGGAGGGATAGATGAAAACAGAAGGGACTGGAAGGAAATGAAGTAGAAAGAAGGGAGTAGAAGGAAGAGAAAGAAGGGAGATAGAAGGAAATGTGAAGAGAATGAAGGGAATATAAGGAAATTGAAGACGACAGAGTAGAGGAGATGGGAAAAGAAGGAGGGATAGATGAAAACAGAAGGGACTAGGAGGAAATGAAGTAGAAAGAAGGGAGTAGAAGGAAGAGAAAGAAGGGAGATAGAAGGAAATGTGAAGAGAATGAATGGAATATAAGGAAATTGAAGACGACAGAGTAGAGGAGATGGGAAAAGAAGGAGGGATAGATGAAAACAGAAGGGACTGGAAGGAAATGAAGTAGAAAGAAGGGAGTAGGAGGAAGAGAAAGAAGGGAGATAGAAGGAAATGTGAAGAGAATGAAGGGAATATAAGGAAATTGAAGACGACAGAGTAGAGAAGATGGGAAAAGAAGGAGGGATAGATGAAAACAGAAGGGACTAGGAGGAAATGTAGTAGAAAGAAGGGAGTAGAAGGAAGAGAAAGAAGGGAGATAGAAGGAAATGTGAAGAGAATGAAGGGAATATAAGGAAATTGAAGACGACAGAGTAGAGAAGATGGGAAAAGAAGGAGAGAACAGATGAAAACAGAAGGGACTGGAAGGAAATGAAGTAGAAAGAAGGGAGTAGAAGGAAGAGAAAGAAGGGAGATAGAAGGAAATGTGAAGAGAATGAAGGGAATATAAGGAAATTGAAGACGACAGAGTAGAGGAGATGGGAAAAGAAGGAGGGATAGATGAAAACAGAAGGGACTAGGAGGAAATGAAGTAGAAAGAAGGGAGTAGAAGGGACTAGAAGGAAATGGAGTAGAAGGGAGGGAATAGAAAAGATAGAATGAAAAAGAAGTGGATATAAGGGAATAGACGGGACAAGAAAAGAATAGCAAAAAACAGGACATAATAGGGAATGAAATAAGCTCCGCTATTTTGTACGGATTCACCCTTTCATGGGCAAACATGAAAATTTTGTGTTAGACTTTGAAAGTTTTTAATCAAAATTGTTTATTTTTTAAACTAAAAAACAGCTTTGATAATTTGAAAAAGGAATAAAGTTGTGTTGATTTCATCGATAAACAGGTGTACCTGGTTACTACGACTAAATTCGCAGAGCTTTTGAGCAAGAAATGCATAATAAGGATTGTAGATCTTTTCCTAGAAAACAAGCACTCCATTAGTTTATTGGAAGTGAAAAAGTCTGACGTAGACACGATGGTGGCATATACGAAAACAGATAATAGAATACATTAAAGTGATAATAGAATGCATACAAATAACTATTATTGAATACTTAAAATTGTATTCAATAATATTTTCAAGCTACCTGTTACAAAACAAAAAGGGGAAAGATAAAAATTCAATAATTTAGAAATTAAAAGTTGAACATATTCAACATGATACTTTTGTCATCATAAAAAACAATTCAGTATAAAATAAAATGATAGAATCAAACAAAGCCAAGCTAGCATTTTAAGCCATATTAAAATCAAATAACTGAACATAGTCAATAGAAAAATAACATAAAAAAATTACACAATCCAGTATGAAACATCTTAAGGTCTATATAATAATGAGGAAAATCAAAAGGAATATAATGAGTTAGTGAAAGCTGAGGAATGTTGCAGAAAGAATGCATACAGGGCACTAAATCACATGTCAACTGTGTGTGAAGGGCACAGTGCAGAATTTATTTACAAAAAAGTCCTCTTGAAATGCTAGCCTGGTAAATAACACATTAAAAGTAAATAAGCGATACCATCGTAATCAGATTAATCAGGAAAGATAAGTGAAGCATACTTTATAAAAAACGGACTTTGTTTGTCACACATCAAATGAAAATCTAACCTGTACACAGCAGTCAATCAGGACATGAACAATTTCCCTTGCTTGTTTATCTTTGAGATTAAGCTTTAGCAATTTTTCAAAGCAATCGATGTAATCCTGTAAGTAAAAATTGCAGATAAATGTACAAGAAGAGAGAAAAATAAATTGATAGATATAATTTTAATGTATAAAAAATCTTCCGTGACAGAGAGAGAGAGGGGGAGGGGGAGGGGAGGTTGGCATCTAATATGTTAGCAGCGTTCCTTTCGAGCTGACAAGATAACATGAAAGTCTATTACAAGATTGTGACGTGGAACATTTCTTGTAGAATGCCTGGCTCAAGGAATAAGAGCCTGGCAAATCCTACGTTAGCATTGCCGTTGCAACAAAAGTTAAACGAATGCTGGAAAGTTCTGGAACTCTTCAGAATGATTTAAAAAAATTCAACTTGCAAGCCTATTACACTCACTTCACTAGACATTATAACGTAGAAAATCTTTTTGCGAATTTCGGTGTTCATCCGTTGCTGTTTTGCGAGTGAAACGAGATTATTTTCACCAATGTCTTGACGTGAATCTTTCGCAGTAACATCGAGATTTGGATCGCTCTCTCTGCCTGCCCAAGCAGAACCTACCACCCACCAACGTCCTATAATACAATTTGGTTAGCATAGAAGCTATTTTTCCAGAAACTTTTAGCAGAAGGGATTACGATCAAAAGACAAGTGAACAATAAGACGATGTGCTTGGGCTAAATGCTACTGATTTCCAGAAATTCAAACTTATTTCTGCTTTAATAGAGCCCAGTTTTTTTCTAGGGCTCAAATTCTCCACTTTGCATCGACTGAAAATATACTTTGATTCGTTAGTCTTACAGAGAATCTGGATTCAAAAAAGAATTCGGATATCCAAACAAACTAATAAAATTCAATTCTGTACAAACTAGTAAATTCATCCTAAGGACCATCAAATTGGGACGTTGGTCACTTTTTGACAAATGCAATACTGATATCACAATTTTTGAAAGCTGGTGACAATTCATCATTTACATCTCTTGCTGACCATTGCTAACAGCTCCATGTGAAATAAGCATGAAAGCAACAATAGTTTTAATTTAGATAAAAAATTGAAAATATGGACATTTTCCAAGCATTATGCATAATTTCTGCATACGATCTGCAGTGAAATATTAAAAAGAATTCAATCCTCTTTGGCAATTTATCAGCTACTGATTCCATCAGCACGCAATTCGAACTTAAGGCGTGGTTTAAGGAAACATTCCAATGCACCTGAAGCGTATTAGGAACACCAAGTTTTGCCTCCTACTGCCCCAGAAGAAGCTGTCAAAATGTGCCCAGTTTCCAAGTGATATGTTATCCTAACATAGCAGTCCTCTATATTGTCACCAACATACCTAGACTCATGTCAATATTAAAGCTATTGGAACTGTTACGAACATGGCTACCAAAAAGCATACCACTGCAGTTGGTCTTACCCTCACACCCTCCATAATTATTTTTCATAAAACATTTTTAAACTAGACACCGCTGAAAAATTTGTTCGAGAACAGTTTTTTTACCTTTGTCCTTTGCTTGGAGTAAGTCTTTCAAGGAGATTCTGAGTTTGATATCTTGTGACGAATCTACATTTTATATAAATAAGAAATAAAACAATCTATATAGGAAATAAAACAAATTTTTTTAAATGATAAGTACAACAGCAAAAAAAACTAAAGCAAAAAAAGTAAGGATAAACGAGACGTGAATATTGTTATCAGTGAGGGTCATTAAAATAGCAATGGAATGGGGATAAGAAGGGAGCAGAGTGGTTAGGAGCATACTGTAAGTCCTCGAATAAGCTCCCACCCTCGAAGAATACCAAACGCCTGAGATATTGTATTCTTATTTGTATTTGTATTTATAGCTGTATTTTATTTGTTTTTACCTAGCATGCGAAGGTAGTTTCAAGGACACTGGGAAGCTATGCTTATCGAGCAGAGTCCTGGTCCTTCCTCTCGATGTAACCACACCTCAATGTTGCCACCATTATGAATATATCCATAATATATTCATAGGAGCATATCAAGGGTGTATGTAGAAATTTGGGTTGAATTCACTGAAACAACTAATTCACTCATTTATGAGAAATTATGTTTTAAAGTATTTTTGGATTAACAAATACCTTTCAAGCAATTTAATAATAGGGCAGGGATCAGAAGAAAGTGCAATTGGTGATGAGGTTTTCCAAAATGAACTCAAAGCCCCTTCTTAATTAGGCACCGGAGAAAAGTGTATATATACATATAAACGTTTTCAGATATCCACAAAAAGACATTCAAATTCGGATACTTTATTACCATGACGAAAATTTCAACATCAAAAAATATATCCTGAAGTTTAACCCTTAATTAAAATTATAGATCGAAATATTAGTATACTTTTCTTTCGACAAACATCATTAAGAGGTAAACCTCGTCTAAAGGCCAAACTGAAAAAACACATTGGTGATACCTTTATTTTTCAACATGGCTTTTAGTTTCTTTCTCGCATGCTCTGAAACTGCAGGGTCATATTGAGGAATTTTTCGGAGATTATTGTTCCTCAGCGCGGTTATAACATCCAACATGAAACGCACCCTCGACCTAGAGAGAACGAGAACATTTAGAGTGAAATAACGAAACAAAATTACTGTTTACCAATCTATCGCAAAGTGTTCCATGCCATTAAGGCAGAGCTGTACACGTTTTGGTGTATAGAACAGGACGGTTCTAAGTTGCTACTCCAAGTCTCAAGCTTAATACGATATTTCACTCTATGATGCATAGAGTGAAATAACGACGAAAAGCTGCTTTATAATTAGCTGCAAAACTTGGTGATAATTTTCTTATGTATTTAGTCTGAGTATGATAGTGAACAAATTAACTTTTGCAATATGACGTGTCTTTGCGACAATTACAAATATAAATTTCTAACAAGCTATAAAAATTTGCAATGTTTTGCTTTTGCCTAGAACCGGAAACAATGTCTCTATTTCAAAGTGATATACCCTTAATTTGAGGAAGTCGTTCATAACTTCTAGTTCAAATTGTTCAGCAAGTAGTTTGTATATCGCTCTAAAAGTTATTTCTCCATCAAACAAATATTTTCAATTCTTATAACGAAAAAAGAAAAGTTTTACTTACTTCAATTTTTTTTCAATTTTTTTTTAGCTGATTTATATATCCTAGATATTCTAGTCTATGGATTAACGGTATATTTAAGCACAGAGTCCTTATGGGTTTGCTCGGGTTGATACTTATTGAAAGGATGTTAAGGGCTGGCTGATATGAATATGTCTGTATATATCCATAGTAACATATCAGAGAGTCTTTTAGCAAAGGCCATGACAATGAGCATTATACATACTGTTTCATAAGATCAGTACAGGAAGCAGCTTTCGCTTGGATCTCTAAGATAATTTCCTTGGAAAAAAGAAGGGAAGATGGTTTATTGACACAAACCGCAATGACATTCACTTTGTCTTAAATAACATTGAAATAATTTGAGAAAAAGCTTAGTTTCAAGCAGGGGTGTAGTGCTAGGGGGGCTGAGCCCCCCTTATTAGTGCCGGAAAGTAGCCAATCTCTACTTTTGCTATTGTTTTTCGCAGCCTTTTGTCCAAGCACCCTCTTGTTATTTTGATGGCACTATACCTCTGGTTTCAAGGTTGCTAATGAACATGTCAAACAAAAAATCTTTAGATAAGGAGATAAAGTTTACGCCAGGAAAATGTGCTGAAGATGTTACTTTTACACCCGATTTTTTTTCCGTAGTAAGGATATAGAAGCAAGGGAGCACAAAGAATACCAAAGGTAAAACTTTCACAAAACTAGCATTTACCTTGAGACTGCCTGGATCATCACGACGTATTTCCGCACCAACAGCTTCAAAGAAACAATTAAGACATTTATAACATCTTGAAATATCTATAAAAGCTGACATAGCTTATAAAATTATTAATTAAAACTGTTGCCCTCAAAATTGAAATTTTATCTACTGGAGGAAAAAGGAAAGTAGTCAGGTAAAAATTACGAAAATGCAATGAAATAAATTTAAGTGTGACATAAAACAAGCAGACTGGTTTGACATAACCTCCTTTATACTACATTAAGAAAAAAACTGATTAAAATTTTGCGCAAATCAGAGATGAGTTACCACTCAAGCTATCGGCATATTTCACAAGAAAATTTGAGGACGCATTTGAAGAATCGACAAAAATAACTATAATACAGAGCTCTCAATTCCTATGAGCATAACTGTAGTTTTTCTTTGATAACTTGGGGCCAGAGACCGAGATACTGGGGCAAAAAAACTTAACTGGTATAAGTAACTTAACTGGCTGCCCCTTCCCCCCCCCCAAACAAAAAGTTGTATCTCGGTCTTTGCTTGGGGCTATTGTCTTTGTTTACAATCTCTATAAACAACTTGCTTTCTCTGCTGCTTATAAGCATTTTGGTTAGTATTTTCCTATTGCTTTAGATATCAGTTGATATTGAGCACCTAATACCTTTTAGCAGAAGCATCAGCATTTCAATATCTCTTTCAGTGAATGCATTTACCAGTTCGCGTATTAGATCATACACAAGCAAGGAATCGATAACCTGTGAAATAAGAAACTATTTTAGCAAAAGGGGTTTGACGAGTCGACTTATGCAAATAAAAAAATAAAATATCTGGAATGCACTAGCTATCATTCAATACTGAATGCATAATCCCTGGAATTAATTTATGCTTAACGGTTTCAAATTCTAAGCACAAAGTGAATAGATTCTTCAAACACCGGTACCATAAAATACTCGAGAAAAGATATTTTGATTGTACGTCAGATTAGCATTGGCAATATCAACGCTTACATTGTCCTCTTGACATGTAGCAAGTATTCACTACAAGCACACAAGAACCTGTAAGACTCAAATGACACGCAAAGTTTATCATCATATGCACAAATCAAATAATACCTTATCTCCAATATCATGATATATGCTGGTGGTTTTTGAAATAGCTTATCAATAGGTTTTCAATATATTTTGAAAACTTGATGATCATGACAAAAAACTTTGGAAATCTTGGTTTTTGCTATCTTAAACGATAGTTTTCCTAATTGGCTCTAAGTGATCGATATTACACGTTACAAAAAAATTTAGGTCCCTGGCAAGCTAGTTTTTATTCAATAGATCACAATCGCAAATACAGTCACCAAAGGGGTTATAAAATTTTATGCGAATACTTATACAAAAACAAGTGAGCCAAAATATTATGCAAAGACGTTGAAAATACGTATCTACAGGAACATAGAGAATAAACATTATTTCATTTAGCACATGCAGCCATACTTACTGAGAAATTGTACAAATGTGCAATCAATAAAAGAGCGTTGTCGCATTCTTTCCCATTCAAATATTTTTCCGTTGTTGAATGTAACCCATGAAACATTTCTGCTAAAGACTGAACGAAAAATGCACCTATATGGAAAACAAAAAGTATTGAAGTTCTGTCAATAATAACTAATAACTGAAGGCAATTGGCTATTACATATATTTTTTATAAGCAACACTTTTATAAGCAGCATTTTTATAAGGCACTTTTTTACAAACAACTTTTTAAAAGCAACATTATATTAGCAATATTTTAGCATATCAAAGCAATAACTGTTCTCCAAATTGCAAGATTTCTAAGCAACTGTATGCACGTAACATTTGAGTCTAGCAACATTTTTCTGAACTCCAATGTAAGCCGGGCTCAAAAGCTCAAATTCTATCTGAAAGATAGAGATTTTATCGAAAATCTACTCGAACGTCCAAACGTATTGCAATTACGAGCTTTACTACTCTTCAACACTGCTCAACTTTATGATAAACGTGTTTGAATCATTTTTAAGGGAATTATTTAGCAATTCAAGTAGCATGCCAAATGCAGCGTGTACTTCCTTGCAGCGTATATTGTCAGAAAAATAATAACCCATTCTTAGACGAAATACACCAACCCCTCAGAAAATTGTTGGTTCGATTAATCAGCCAACAAGGCCAAAAAGTCTAACACTAAGTTCTCTGCAAATCACATGAATGTAAAGTGTGCTCAAAATTTTAGAGAAACCAGTATTTTTTACTGATCTAAGTCCAATGCAATAAACGATCAATTTTGCCTTTCCTTTCCAGCTGATTTGAATGAGAGCGATAAACTTCAACTCCGGCAAAGGATTCATATTCTATGCGGCTAACAGTAGTAGATTTATAAACGTTAATTCATCGCGTCTATATTCAAACTAAGGTTGAGAAGGTAAACAATATTAGATCTAGATTTCCAATCACGCAACCTACCCGGAGTAACTGATTCAAAATTACATTCTTTATATACATTAATAATATCGTACCAACTTCGTTTCCAACGACGGTATGCAAAATTGCGACTAACATCATGTGCTCCATTAATATTTTCTCTGACATATGGGTTGGTGTGACACAGGCATCGAAGACCAGATTTGAGAGAACACTGTTTGTATCTAAATAATAAAAACTACAAATTTCACGCAGATATCTAAAAGACATGAAAAATTAACAACCAAGGTTCATTTAAAGGGTATATATTGATCGTAAAAGGTAAATGGTTATGTCAATGCTCACTAGAAATATCAGGGTCATTAATTATGAAACAGCTTCCAAATAAATATTCTTATAGACAGTGGCGTAACAGAAACACTCGGGACCCTTAGGAATTTGCTAAGATGGGGCCCTTATTTAGGGACTGCGAAGTGAAGTGAGCTCTACGGGGCAAAGGGGTTCGGGGTAATGTGAAAATGTTTAAAATCGTGCCCTTTAGAACCTCGAGAAATGCACGTGATGTGGTAAAGAAAATGTTTACATATTAAAAAACCAACAGTAAATTAGGTGTTCTTGCTCACAACGTGAGCTTTTCTACGTGCATTAACGTTGGCAAAATCCTTTATAAGCTTTGTTTTGTCAATTATCTTTGCTCTCAATTGACAAAGTTGCTAGGTCGTCCAGTCTCTCCTGTGACATTGTAGATCTTAGATATGTCTTTATCAGTTTCAACTTTCAAAATGATCTTTCTGCCGATGCAACAGTTACTGGCAAAGTGACGAAAAGTGTTGATAGATTGTACATTTCTGGAAAGGATGAACTAATACGGCTCTGAAGCACGAGGTTATTAACTTCTAGAACAGTTTTCTTGACTGCAATCTCCTTTCTGAATTCGGTTGCAAATTATCTCATCCCAGAATCTAATTCATCTGTAAAGTCATTTGGTTATTTCTCACGAATTACTCGTACTGCATTTTCAAGCATGTCAGGACTCAGTGTTGCCAGGTTGTTGGGGTAGAGACAGCTGAATACTGACGTCACCATTGCTTGTCCTTGAACCTTTCTGTCAGTTGCATCAATGCTGCATGAACAGTCTTGTAGAAAACGTTTATCTTGAAACTTTGCTCAGGATCCATCAGTCTTCCATCTACAACAAGTTCATCTGATTCATATCTTGCCTTCTGACCCCTCTTTTGTTGAAACTCTAGCGATCCATCCCAAAGTTTTGCAAGTGCTGTGGCAGTAAGCATTATTGACTGCCATGATTCATCAGCATTATTGGAGCTCCGAGAGTGCAATATTAAGGTGTCTAGAGGCAACTGTTAAGTCAATCCTAGGGGACTGAAGCTCCTTTGATACTGCATTGACCGATCTTAGTATTCTCTCCCAGAATACAAGGAAAATAATAAATTCCAGTGTGTCAATTTTTTTCTTAAGACTCTTTGCGTTGTCACGCTCATTCTTGTTGTTTGATGTTAAGATGAGTCGCGTCAGAAGCCTTATTATCTGGGGATACTTGTCACGCACAGCTCGCACTGCATCAATGCGAGAGCTCCAACGTGTCGTACATAACTTTTTTAGTGTCAGTGATCCTTTCCCAGCTTCGATTCCAAGATCTCTCCATCTATTCAAGGAAGAGCCAAAAAACTGAAGATATCTCGAAGGCTAGCAAAAAAGTTTTCACTCACAACGTGTGACTGCCCACCTAATAACAACGGTTAATTGGTCGACTCTTGTAATATCACTGGTGGAATCCAAGATTATACTCCAGAATGGTGCGGAATTAATATTTTCTACCAAAGTCGAGGATACAGTATTTGCAAGCAAGTGAAACAGCTTATTTTGGATCTTAGCGCTAAGGTATTTTGTTGCTCGGAAGAGATATAACTTCTGCTAGAAATTCATCATATTCAGCCATAAGAGAGACCAATGCCAAGAAATTCCCACCTTCACACACATTATCATGAACCTGCTCTCTGTGCCCTCTGAATGCCAAGGTCAAAGTTGTCATTGTCAGTATAATTGAAATAAGCCATTGAAGAATTATAGCGAATAAACAAAACAAAACAGAATGAATGAATCCAGTGTTGTGTTAGCAACACTGTTTAGTAAGAACTTTTGGGATGGCTTTAGGAAACCTTGTCAACATGGTAAAAAAGCACAATATACGAAAAATTTGAAGGGGGCCCCTTTTGGGCCCTTTTTGGTCGGGGGCCCTTAGTTCTCGAACTAAGGACACCTAAACTGCGTTACGCCACTGCTTATAGAATTAATTAATCGAAGAAGCCCCTATGCGATACTGAGAAGAAACTGCTCATTGGTAGGAGAGAGAGGAATGAAAAATCCATCAGTTTTTCTTGATGCACTAGTTTCTTTGATAAAATGTTTCTTTTGACCAACAATGCTGTTTTGATGCCTCATTCTATGCCGCTGAGTTATTTATTCTTCTTTGAATAATTTTATCACGAATACAACACAGTATATCAGCGATAAATATAAAAAACAGCTTGATACCTACCATTTCTGCTGTTTGTAGCATATACTTCCTCAATTTCAAGAGCGATACTTCTCATATTTGAATCACTCAACCTAATGAAAATAATTCCAGGAAAACTCAAGGAAACCATTCATCTACTTCTATTAACAAAATTAGATTTAGTAAATTAATCAAACAAGTAGTTGCAACACTGCATGAACATTGTAAGATGAAATTTTTCAAAACAGTATTTGCAGTTGTTAAGCGGTACGTGTAATAAATGCTAGATTAATTCAACTGAAGACTTAAACTCAATAGAAAACTCCTAACCTGTTAACTAGACCTTTAAGTTTCTTCTTTAGCCTTTCAATTCGCTGTTCATCAGTAGATTTAGATTTTCCAATCATTTTCCTCAAATGAGGTGGCACGTATTTGGCTGATGGTTCAACAACATCACCGGTTTTTTTATTTTCATCTTGACCAAGTCTTCTAGAATCTTCCTCTCCCAATTCACTTGTTAATACATTTTTATGCGAATTAACTATTTTTCCATAGAGGTCCTTACTATCTGCATTACTTTTCAGGCCTTGAACAGCAACCCCTTCGCTCTCACTTTCTTCGTTATCCAAATCTTCTGTACTAAAATTGCTTTCAGACATGCTGTCGTTTTCATCTAGATATTCATCGTCAGAGTCTTCTTCATCCAATTCTGAATCTTTACCATCTTCATCTTTATCCTGAATCTTTAATTTATTTTCTTTCTCCTATAAAAAGCCATTTATATTATAAATCATTTATATTATTAATTCATTTTCTTTCTCCTATAAAAAGCCATTAAATACACTTTCATAACACAATCATTTCATCGTTTCCAAAAAAAACACATAAATTTGATAATTGTTCAGTTATTATGTTTCACTGAAGGAGTACCAGCGTGGGAACCAAAGACATCAAAAAACTAATTGTGGAAAATATTACAATAAAGAAAATGAAATAAGTTTAAGTTGCTAAAGATGAATGCATATTTAGACTCTTGTTGACTCTTGCCAAAATAAAAATATTCATTGTAAGTATATAGAAAAATATATCTTCATTCCTCTCTCTCCTACCAAAGAGCAGTTTCATCTCAGTATTGCAAGGGGCTCCTAACAGAACTGTTAATGAAAATGATTCTTGGTATGTCAAATTGTTATGTTCAGCAATATGTTGTGTTGTTTCTTCTGTTTCTTGATCAAGATTTTTTATGAATTTATTGCTAGTGAATAGACTTCTGAATAAAGATTTAATCAAAGCCAACTAGAGCACTTAACATCTCATTATTTTTGTTGGCTTTAAGCAGTTGAATACTTTTTCTGTGTAGGAGCAGGTTGTGCAAAAAACTTTGAGTATCAATATGTCCAACAATTTATTTTCACAAGTAAAAATTGAACCTTTTTTATTTATCTATATTTTGTGACAACGATAATAACAAAGAGCAACTGGATGATTATTGGAAAACAAACCTTTGTATTAGCAGCAGGTTTTCCCATATTCTCCTTCCTTTGTTTCCTTTTCGAAGCTTTTGTCTCAGGCTCACTTTCGGAGTCTTCAGCCTTGTTATGCACTATGTCATCTTTCAAGCCACCCTCATCTTCATCAGATAAAAACAATGCCGGATTATCAATTGGTTCACAAAGTTCCAACAAATCTTGTATAGTGGAGTTAAGGGAAACCACATGAATTGCTACTTTATACACCATATGATTGTTTCTTATTAATAGCATTTAAACAATTTTTATAAACCAAGAATCATACATTTAAACAATCAAAGTACATCTTCATCACACATTTTTCAAAGTAAATCAAAACAAAACATATTGGAAAATGAGATATTTTTAAAATAAAACTAGAAAATAAAGTAATCTAAGAACAAAGCCAAAAGGACTTTAATAATTTTTGGACTTAAAAAGCATGGCAGACAAAGCATGTGATGAAAATGGCCAATTACATTTATAGATTGAAAATCCTAAAATGAGAAAGGATACAATCAAATCCATCTTCCTTAAATTTTGAAGGCAAATTCTTTCTTTTTTTCAATCCAAGTTTTTTTTCAAGTCTTGCGATCAATTTATCTTCCTGTTCATTGGCAGCAACTAAGGCGTCTGTGTCTATTTGTTCATTGTCTTTGACTTTCTGCAGAATTCAAATGAATGCTATGTTAACAGACAAAGAGTTGGTAATCTCCTCAAGACAAAAAGAAGACAAATGATAATAACCAACAAAAGTACTCAATAATGTGCTTAATACATCATTTTCATTTTCCTCTTTCTTCTTATTCTTTTTCTTTCTTACAAATGATAATAACAAACAAAAGTACTCAATAATGAGCTTACATCATCTTCATTTTCCTCTTTCTTCTTCTTCTTTTTCTTTCTTTTTTGCACCCTTTTCTTTTTTTTCTTTTCTTCTTCAGCAGGTTTGATATCAATACCCTTAGTAGATAAATTTCAAGAATCAATTTCAAGTTTACAACTTTGCAAAATGAGTCTACTGTATATAGTAAAAGATCATTATTCATCATATTGACAAACTATATCATTACATTTAATACTTACCCTCTTCTTCATCCAAGAGACATGCTGATTTGCTTTAGTTTGGAGTCTTCTCTCTTTCCTTAACAATTTTCTACCTTTTAACCTTTCATCTGTTTCAAAAGTAGAGCAAATTAAGAAAAAACTAAAAATATAAGTTTCTAGCAAAATTTTTCTATGATTCAATAAATGTTTTTGATCTTACTTTTCCATATTTCTTTATGCTAGCATTGCAAATTTAAAGAGGGGCTTTGAACCAAACATCAACAGTTATTTACCTAATCCTACACAGAATAAATGATAATCCTAATTACAGATAAACAATTTACAAGGAGCTTAGAGCACTGGTAGTTTGGGACATACTCAGAAGTTTACATTTGCTAACAAAAGTATTGAGCTCAAGCTTTTCAAACAATACCAAACAACCTTCTCCAAACTCCTGTCAAGTAGAAAAGAAAAAACAGTGATAAAGCAATGATACAAAAATAAAGTTCCATCTTAATAAATAAAGAAGACATTGAAAGTGAGACATACTTTTTACTGATGTTCTTTTCGGCAATTCCAGATCTTCAGCATTACAGTCTGGGTATGAATAAAAAGTGGATCTTTAATCATTATTTACAAAATAACTTGCATTGATAGAGGTACCAGATTTTAACAAAGCACCAGATTTGTTTTTAGCACTCTTTATGCACTCTTAACTGCTTTGCATGAATAACAGGCGACTTTGGGCAGGTATTTTAATATTGTAAAGAGCAGGGGTTTGGGATGTATGCATGCATTTTTACATGGCCATAAGGTCAACTAAGCATCTAAGCCCAAATTTGAACTTTTTCTCAAGATAGATATGTTTTTTTAACAAAAATGCTATGAAATAATTTAATTTTATCATGATTGTTTATTTGGTGTGTAATTTAAAATTTCAGCAAGCTATACCAAATAGAAAATATTTCCCTGACCAACAAGACCCCAAAAAAGTGGACTGGGTATGAACAGGAATTTAGTTTTTAGCGCATTACATTCTGTGCCCTTTTTGCTTTACTGATCATCAACTTATTTAGTGATAATGCATAACTGAACTAAGACAAATAACTTCTTGTTAAAAAGTAATAACTCAGCAGACACATGAAGCCTAAAAATTAGCATTTCAGCCAAGGGCACCATTGCCTTAGTGGTGTTGGGGCAGTATGGGGGCAGCAAAGTGCCCTTTAATTGATTCCCGAGCAATACTAATTCATATAAATATTTAGAATGCTGATAAAGTCTAGGTTTCAAGCATATCTTGATACCTACTACCCTGGGTACAAGAAGTATCAAGATCACTCCTGGTACCGAGGATAGATACCTGCATGCAAGACAAAAGAAATTTGACCAATAAAAATATTTTCTTTAACTTGATAAGTTCTCTTTAACTTCCATGATCATGCTGTACAGATTTCAGACTGCTATCAGTTGGCTCGCATATGTTTGATACATCAGTCAAGGCATCAATGATGTCTAAAATTCCAGTAAAGGCGTAGGAACCGGGGGTACAGTGGGCATGTACTCCCCTTCTTTCCAAAATTCAGTTTACCTGCCCCTTTTCAATCACTGAGTTGCTCTTTTTGCCAACTACATATGCCCTTGAATTGCTTAGGTGCTCTATAAAATAAGCAAAAGGGTGAGGGGCGATGATCTAAAATGTTTCTAGAAACACCAAAAAACTGGCCCACACCAAGGGTTACCGGAAGAAGATGGTGATGGAAAACTGGCCATGGTCCTTGAAGTTTAGGGTGCTCTCGATGTTTTCAGTTTGTGAAAGCAATTAGTAAGACATGAACGATTGCAAGAAGGTGACTGCAAAAATATTCTGAAATGAATTTTTAGGTAATCTAAAGGACATGGTTGCTAAAGTTTTTCTGCTCGCTCTGCCTGCAAAGGGCCTCTGAAGCCCCCTCGCAGCACTACACACAATTATGCCAGAAAATGATATCAATATCATTGTAGCCAGACTTATGTAACAGCCTTATAACAAAAATATAATGACATGATTCCTTCTGCTCTCAAGATCTTTGTCAAACAGACTGAGCCAAATATGGAACTCAGTGCCAAACAAGATATAAGTACTCCCCTACTTTACAAAAATTAAAGGAAAAATTCTCAGAACTTTCATTGTTCAATACTTGTGATCTTTACAAGAAATACCTATGCAACATCATTTATATTTGAATTAAACTATATTTAGCATTGGTAATTTAAATTCTGCAGACTGTACCAAATTTAAATTGATAAAGAAAAAACAGTAAGTTCAGAGGAATTATATCCAAAAGTTATATAAAGCAATTAGATGGTCATCAGAACAAAATTTTGCTTTAATGCAAAGTAGGATTGGGTCCAGCCTCCTTGATTGTTGATATTGGGGTGAAAGGAGTTTCGTAAATAAAGTTTGACTGTAGTCTTGATTGGATTGCATCTTTTATGGGTGTTGCCTTCATTTTTGAGAGTCTTTAGGGCCTAGCTACACAAAATTCCTTGGGGCTACACCCCCAGTACACCGACCCTCTTATCCTTGACAAGGCCTTCACCTAAGCCAGGCTTCGTCATTGGCTAAACTTTGAATCCTGATCTGTTTCATCCGAAAATTTTGACACCTCAAGGTGCCCTTTCTGCCGGTCCTGCCCCCACCGCATCATAAAGCTTCCTGCGGCTCTGATTTCAAGAACATAGTACTAAGAAACAACCATGGTCATAACATAATAAATTCTCCTAAAAATCATTTTGTTAGTAAAGTAAAGCTTGAATAGTTTTATTCTTGTCTTGTTTTTCAATCTCTTCTTTAAGATAAGATACCTTTTACATTAACACGTTGAAATCAAGACTACCTATACAAAGCATTTGTGTAATCTCTTACCCCTCAGTTACTTTCAGCAGCTTTTTTGCTAAGGTGCCCTCTCAAACATGGTACACTTTTCCTCGTCTGAAAGTTTCTACCTAGCCACCGGGATGTTTAGGCATCTTGCAATTATTTTGCTACTTGATTTCAGTTCTTTCAAAATATGGGTATATTTTGTGTGTGTCAGAACAAACCAACAAGAGAAAATGTTACTACGATTTCTGTTAGCTTGATTGGTATAATGATATTTTAAAAGGTAATACCCGGATTCTTCAGTTTCGCCTTTTTAAAATACTCACCTAAACCAATAGCAAATTTTTAAAATGTTCTTGCATTGCATGCGGCCAAAAGTGAGAAAAAATCTTTTTATAAATTTATACATTTATTTAAACCCTAGCCTAGAGCAGTAACTCGTCAAGGCAGCTCCTATTTTCAAATTTGGAGAAGGCAGCTCTTTTTTTCAAATCTTATAATATATGAGAGTAAAATTCAAATATTTTACCTTTCTTGATTGCCGCAAATTCTATACTTCGTAATTTAGTTGAAGTTGATCGCCATTGTCGCGTGTTAGTCATAGACGCCATTTTGCAAATGATCTCTTTGGATAAGAGGCTACTCTTCGATTCAATGTTGTTGTTGTAAGTTTTTCCTCAGCGATTTGAAAATGGAGAAACAATGTGATGACACTGTTGGGTAGTTGGCTGAGCATCCTTGTAAGGATACACGGAAGGTCCTGCGTCCTTAGTTTCCAACATTTACGACAATTGTAAATATTAAGTCCAGCTATAATGACTAAAAGATTGCCAGAAGACGATGATAATAAAACAAACAGTTACATTTTAGACTGTGATGATTTGTGAATGAATAAATGAAATACAGCGTTTCGTTGTGATAATGCGTTCGTTCGCGATGATTTCAGGCGACAACTCTCTTTAACAACTTTAAAGATAACACCTTATACAGAAAAAATAAGAAGGCCCTTACGTAGGCGCTTGTACATAGGGTGACCAACTAAACAAATTCAACAGACACTATAAACATAAATTAGTGATTTTTTTTCAAACTCAAAATCTTTATCAGCAAAAACAAATGTTAATTACAATGAACCAAGAATTAAAAAATAGAATACAAAAGTTAGCATTTTCAAAAATTTAATTAATTAAGTACATCAGATAAATTGGTTTTGTTATGCTGAAGGACACATGAGAAAAACTCGCGAGGAACTATCGAGTCATATGTCATATGTCTTCACTTTGAGCAGATAACCTGGAATAATAATGGAAAATACTTCTCAACGTGGAAAAACAGTTTAATATTTAAAAATGAATAATCTATATCAACATCTATAGCAACGTCCTCTCGAGGACGGAAACAGGTGGCTAATTTTGGGGAGCTCGAGGAATGATGAAAATTCCAACTGTACCTTTAGAATTTTTTTTTTCGACCTGTAAATCTGTTGTACCTACTAAATTTATATTTGGAAATGGCCTATTTCAAGATCTCTAGTTTACTCGTAATTACAAACATTTTACTCATAATAATTAGTCTTAAACATAAAAACACTAAAGATGATAAGGAAAATCTCTAAATTTGGATTAACGTAACAAGAATATTTAATCACTTTGTAAGACGTAAAGCAACATATAAGCATAAACAGTATTAGATCTTAGATATATTTAATCATGGGCGACGCATTTAATCTTTGCAAAAAAGTGTTTTTAAGAGAATAAAAAAATATAAAAATAGCAATAGAAGAAAAGAATAGTGCGATAAATCCTTTTACAGTATTGCTTTATTTGAAAGGAATAAGCCGGGGTCTAAGGTGCCCCATAAAGTGACGAATTCAATTTAAGACTGGAATTATTCAAACGTAAACAACAATGCCTTAAAAATAGCAAAATATTCGCAAAAAACGACCGCAAGGAATATTCTGATATGTATTTTAAGCTAGTCTAGAGGGCGCGGTTGCAAAGGTTTTCTGCTCGCTCGCAAAGAAGCCTACTCTTTGGATATTCCTAAGGTCCCCGACAACCTCTTGCCGGTCTCCCAATGTACCGCTAGCATAACGATTGCCCCATAAAATCATCAGCATAAAATATCGTGAAGCATTTCAGTGCATTTTTTAAAAGTTGGATTTTTATTCTAATAATGTTGTCAACTCGAGCCCTCCACTTTTAATTTCTTGGCGCTGCCCCTGTTAATGATAAAAAGTAATTTCCTTTCAAATCAATTAACTGAGAATTTTCTCACTTTCTGCTTTGCCCACTTAGCCTTTGCCCATATAGATGCAACAAGGAATTGTCCCTTTCTTCTTTTCTACTTGAATTTCAACCAGGTTTACGATTTTTACATTTAAAATCCCAAAATTCCTAAAATATAGATTTCACATATGTGGTCTAAAAGATAGAAAAAATTCCAAGTTAATTGTTTAAATTTCCGACTGTAAATGGATTTTCCAACCTCTTGGGGGCGTCACGCCCCCACGCTCTCTATTATTTTCGTGCCTGCAGGCTGTTTCCCAATCAGGTCACTGTTAAGTCTTTTTGGTTCTAAATTCTTACCAAAACAAGACAAAATACAATACAGCTGACTATTTGAGGTGCAGTGGTTTTCTCAACTTCACGAAAATCTATGGTAATCAGAATAAAGTATTTCACTTTCCAGGAGGCCCCGGACCGTTTTTTATCTAATTTGGAACCAACATTGGCTTATGTGGCCTTGGTGAGTTGGGGTTAAACGGTTCAAGCACGGTGGCTTATTCCTTACAATTTTTACAATGAATATTATCCTATTAGAAATAATACTTTCTTACAATACCGTTCCAGACAAATGTAAGGACCATGGAAACGTATTGCATCCCAAGCTAGTGAGAAAGTCTAGCAGAAGCAAAATGGATACTCTGGACATTGCTCGGCTTCGGTACTCGCTGTTGAAGGAGATGGTCACTCAAGAGACGCAAAGCTTGGTGATTCTTTTATTTGCTACTTAAATGCATAATTTGAATATAAATTTTCTGATATTAACAGTTTTGGCACAAATTGGCAGGCTTTATTATGTATGAATAATGATACAAGTCAATTAAAACGCAAATAATTTTGCTGGTATTTTAGAATAGAACTGAAAAGGAGACTTATTTAAGCACATGCACTAAATTTGCTCAAAAAATGACTAAAAGTTTCTTCGACGTCTTTCAAGTAACCATGGTCTCTTTCAAGTCAATATGAACAAGGATTAGGAAGGAAAGTGTATTTCATTCAAGTTTTTGCATTGACATTTGTTGCTACCAGCAAGCTGCTAGCATCAAAGGACATCACTTAACCAGGGCTGCCACGACAAATTATCAAGAGAGGGGTTTAGGATAAGAAATATGTTAGCAAGATAGGTGTGAAATGTGTTGTGTAGCTGTTGCATGTTCTCTGAAGGTGTGGCCTTAGAAATGATTCTCAAAGAAGCCAAAAGAAACTACATTTCTCGACAACAGCAGCAATTTGCCCCCCTCCCCCCCACTCCGTGCTCTTAATTCCAAGCAACACTCCAGTGACAAATGAAGCGTTTATTTATAACCTTAATACTTTTGGTTATCATCAAATATTTTGTACTCTACCAAAAGTAAGTGAAAATAGGTTAGATGCAAAAAGATTTGCCTTTTTCCACATGTAAACGGATGTTGAGAACAATTTACGATGTTGTAGGAACCAATATCAGTGGAGTGACATTAATTTTTTCAAGGGTTTGACTACTTTGTGGGTAGTATGGAGCTGTGAATGTACCAAAAAGTCAGGTTGGGAAATAGTGGCCGGGAAACAGGCCTAAAAAATCTTCTTCGAACAAGAAAAGAGGTTACGATGATTCTATACGTTGGAGTTTACGGCGATTCTAACGAGTAAAGAAAAGGGGCTGTCCCTGCTGTCACCCACCCCCTCTGGTCATCCTAAAGCTGCCTCTATGCGCGTGGTCTGCCTTCCCCAATCTAGCCGAATAGCACTTTGCTTCATTTTACGGAGATTACCATTGCTAAGAAAAGTATTACACAATGGATTTACTTACAATATATCTCTTTGGCAAAAAGGATAAAAGTTTCAATCTGTAAAATCCTAGATAAGGGAATTCCTCGAAAGATTTTTTATGGCTCTGTTGAGTTTTTGAGAGACTCACTAGAGCGAATCCATAAAAATAGCTTCTCTGACTTGAAAATGACTAAGACAATAACAGTTTATCAGAGGAAAAACCTGTCAAGCGTACAAGCGATACAATGTAAACTAATCTTCAAAGTCAGACAGGTTTCTCGTGGGAAGGTCTGTCTCTAGTTGCTTTGTTTGGTTTAGTCCTGTATAACATATTGCACAGAAGACCGGCCGAAATAACTAATGGAGAACGCTACTAGCAGCGACCGAGATTCGAGGGAAACGGATCTATTAGATGGGTATTATCTGACAGAGGACAAAGAGTTGCTGCGAAAAAGCCTGCTTGATCCTAAGAAGGACTGGACTGAGCAAAAAATAGCATATAAAAAGGAGAGTGACAGCGTGCAGCTTCCAGGCAACAAGAGTCTGAGAGGGCTACACCAAGCACCCGATACTCTTGGAAACCATATATTTGGACGAACATATTCTCAGGTATGAGCATTGATGATTATGCATGTACATCCGTGTTTCTTGATACAGGAGTTGAGTGGCAGGCAATTAAGTGAGATATGATGTATGCTAATAAGCCGGGGCTACCCTGATTGACTTGCAATGAATTCCTTAAAAAATCTGCTCTGCAAATGTCGAAAAAGGTCTCAAGATCACACCCTCATTTTCGTGGACATGAATGTCAAATAAAGATTCCTGGCCATGAAACAATTGTTTTACCTCCAACTAGCAAATTTGTTGGGGTATGATGTGTCGGTCAGTCCTTTCATACGATTATTAAGCTACTGAGAGCATGGTTGACTTATGTTCAAAATAGCAATCCTGAAAAACTAGGGTATCGTACTCATACCAAATCATAAAAAGAACATAAGTATATTCGAACATTTTTCTTGATCCGTTGATTCTTTGTTCACATTTGCTGTAATTATCACGAGAGTAACCGAATTGCCTTTGTAAGTTTGAAACTGTTTCACGACTAATTACCCACATCGCTGACTTCGTCGATGAACTAATTTTCATTTGATCGGAGAAGTCCTGTAACATGATACTTGCCTTTGGATATAAAGGGATTGGGCCAGGCGGAGACTCACGAATTCATGAAAATTGCGAAACAGACCAAAAAGATCGTCATTGTATTCAACTTATCCGCTAATTTTACGTATTTTTGTTATGGTTGGAGTATAATTACACAAATAAAAGGCAACACCTGCCACATCATATCAGCTTACAAGCAAGCAGAAAAGCGCGTAGATTATAGAATAAAGGACCCTGAGTGTACCACCGTCAACAGAGGATTTAGAAGTTCAAATCTTTTCAAACGTTTTAGGCAAAGTATGGGATAAGAGAGCGTTTGTACCGGAAGGGCAGATCGATGTCTATACTTCTAGGGAAAGGACCGTGTGCGCATTTTTATTAAACAAAATCAGGGTGAGGGGTATCGTGCTGAATTTGCCAAGTACATTGCGAAAATGCCGACAGTTTTGCTCTAGAGGGGGCTAATTTAACTGACCATGCTTTTTGAATCCACCTTTTTTCATTCCAAACCATTTCTTTCTTCACTTCTTCGGGCAACTAATTAAAGTTTCATGTTGAGTTTTAGTTGTCTTGTCCTTTGAGCCCAAGAATTTGCATTGCAATTGATCTACCTATAATACCATTAGGTATGAGGGTTGGACGATGAAAAATTTGCACTGACGAGTTTCTTAGGTTTTTGTTTAAAATCAGCATTCTTACTATTATTAAAACTAAGCGTATGAAAATAAAGAAGAGCCTTGAACTAAAGGATCGTGTTCATAATTCTTAGAACACAGACAGTGGAAGAGCCTGTGTTTATGCAGATATTACTTGGCTATGTTAGTATATCTAAAAAAATTCATAAATTTATATAATGTCATCAATAAGCAACATAACATATTGTGTAGCTTACCTGGCAGTACAACAATGAGAATGTATACCTTCCGGAATATATGACGTTAGTATGCAATTTATTGTCCCCTTGAGTTCAGAAAACGTCGTTGTCACTATTGAGAGGGAGAAACAGTAGCAGAAGAGAATGCATGGACGTGACAATGTTAAAAGTAAAGGGTTAAAACAAGGTATAATCTTAAAGTACAGAAGATGCAGGAGTCAAATAAAGAAATGAATTTAGTTGTGAAGATTAAATAGTTTTTATGCGATGGTGATAAAGTCCGAGGATGTTGGCAAGAATATTTGAGCCTGTTTGTGACAGGTGAAACATTTTACAGTATAGGTAAAACGGAACTACAGCACTTCAAAGTCATGAATTAAAATACTATAGAAAAAAAGGAAGGAAGAATGACGGTAAACTTGAAGAAAAAAATGCGGACAAATAAGGAAGATTTTAGCAAGGAATAGACACCAGATACTGAATCGTAAAGCTAAAAACGGTGATGGAAAAGAATAAAGAATATGAGAAGGACTTGCCTTTGTGTTTTATAGACCGGTCCGAAGTCTTTGATGAGATTGTTCATAGCGCACTTTGCATTGAGGTACGAATATGGACGTTTTTATAGGTTTTTATAAGATTTCTATATGATCAACCATAATATATGATCAACAGAAGGTGTTGGTAAGAACAGCTTATGAATAAAATGGTTGGTTTAAAATTTGAGCAAAGAGTGCGGCATGAAGGCATTCTGTCTCCTTGTCTGTTCAAAATGGACTCTAAAACTGTTATAAAATAACTTCAGAGGCCTTTATAGTAAACTGTGCCTTTAGTAGATTTAATACAATCAACTTAAGGTATGCAGATGATGGAGTTTGGATAATTGATAATATCTAGTACATATTCCGAGAAATGCAATAATATTTGCATTTTCTAAATGCTAAAAATGCAAATATTATGGTAATACAATGTCATAGTTCCAGAGATGACGATGGTACGATCAATAAAGAAACCGTACATGATTTTTATCAAGATTCATATCTAGGATCAAGTTTTTTACTTAAGCTTAAGGTGACTCGCGTGAGATAAAGAGAAAGATAGCGATTCCAAACCTGCACAGTAGTACTGTCAACCGCTGGAGAGACAAGCACAGAAGACAGAAGTAAGATAAACACCCTAACTTTCTCTATGGTTCCGAGTTTTTGGTTCTTATAAAGTCTAAAAGGAAAAAATTGACAGGAGAAGCTTTGTTGTTGATGATGATTTCTCCAGCGGACCTTGCTAGGTGGATGTAGCTATAGCATAGACGGGGGGGCTGGGGGCCATAGAAAACACTTTTCAGAAATATTTGCCCTCGCGCCCTTTAGCCTGAAAAAACGTCTATGCGCTGTAGGAATGCATCACTAAACTGGAAGAATCTCAGACATTGTATCCATGCAAACGAAAGATGACGGTTGACAAATGAAAAGAACAAAAATGAAAAATTCCTATAATATTTTAGACCCAGTTTACACTGTATCGGATAAATTTTACCCGCATCAAATATAGTTCAGATAAGCTTCTCGTTTATACTAGACCTACTTTATCCGCACGAATTTGATAGCGGCAATCCGAACAAAACTAGTTCACCTAGGAAAGTGGATTAAATGAGTTCGGATAGCTATGTGGTACAGTGTAAACGCTTTTATCCGGATAAATTTTATTCACATCGTATCTTGCTCGAAAGCGATTGGCTATTTCTTCCTATTTAGTTTTCACTGTCTCCCAATCATGACCTTTCGCCATCTTGGTTGCCTTGTTGTCGATAAATACTCGTGTTAAAAGTGCAGTATCTTGCCAGTCCACGTAAAATTGACATCCTTGTCAGCTTTCTCTACATTCGTTGCTAGTTCAGTGTTATTTGTTTCAAGAACAAACTATTAAAACAAACTAGGCCTAATTTGTATTGACAATATCTTTGGATTTGGTCTAAAATAGAAATATTGCGGCTCTCCTGATCAATGAAAGCTTTAACGGGAACACGGTTCCCCGACGCCGCCCATCCACATTTGTTAAAAACGGTCACATAGATGTAATTAACCAATCACAGTAAAGTCATTTTGCGCGTTTTTGCTTGCTGTTATTTTGTTGTCAGATATTTTATCGCTTTCCGACAGTTGTCAACTTGTCCGCGATCAATGGAAACACTTTTTCTTTGATCGTTATAGAATAAGGGATCGGCGACACGTTCCCGACTTTTACGATGTTATGGGAATCAGGCCTATAGTAAGAGGAAGGCGTGGCTGCAATATAAGAGCAAATATGCAAAGGAAAATACATTCAAGTAGAATAGAGACTACTTAGTAAATGTTGCGGTGAGTGACAAGAAACACAGGATACACAGTAACAAGTGACTTCAGGGACGTGAACCCTAAAGAAGCTGATAAATCTTCATAGAACTGTTCTATTGTTTTCTGGGCAGAAAAGTCTTGGTAAAATTAGCCTCAAACAATGCATCTCGGCTTACTATCAGCTTAGGGAAAATTCATTTAGTTGTGCAGATACGCATTTGATGATACGGAACGAGCTTCAGAAAGTCACGTTTCACGTAGTATTACACAGGATTTGAAAAACTGCATTGACTCCATTCAGGATTAAATGTGAATTGAATAACAAATTTTCTGATCTGTACAAAATCAGTGACAAATCTTCAATAATCTGAAAACTAAAGAGGTATGATGAAGAATATGACGACCTTTTGATCCATCTATTATTCCTCTAAAATAAATGTCAAACAAATAAATAACACGAAAAGAAATTGATATCGGCTATCAATCCTTCGTATCTTTGTTATAAAGCATTTTTGTCTTGGTGAGGATTGAATTAAATGAAAGAAATATGATACTTGTCACTGTTTAGAAACAATGACAAAGGGTCATTATCTTTATAACGTCAAACGATCGGACTTTCCAAAGATAAGCTTACTCGTTATATTGTAATTTCACATGGTGCTACTTATAATGTCCCTGTTTTGATAACAGTGCAATATTTATCAAACCTTGTGGCTTATTATTATCGTGCTTTATATGTTATGTTATGTTATGTTATGTTATGTTATGTTATGTTATGTTATGTTATGTTATGTTATGTTATGTTATGTTATGTTATGTTATGTTATGTTATGTTATGTTATGTTATGTTATGTTATGTTATGTTATGTTATGTTATGTTATGTTATGTTATGTTATGTTATGTTATGTTATGTTATGTTATGTTATGTTATGTTATGTTATGTTATGTTATGTTATGTTATGTTATGTTATGTTATGTTATGTTATGTTATGTTATGTTATATGTTATGCAAAAAAGAAGTGAATAAGCAATGCAAATGGGATTCAATTTTAAAATACTGCTTTAAAGTCTGAATTGGCTTTTCCAAGATCTAAGAATAGACACTGAATTGTTTGTGCTTATCCTCAATTTTTTGCAGGTCAAAGTCATTTGATATTAATATTCACCCGCTTCAGTTTGAGGTATTTGAAAATAACTTCCTATGTTGACGCAAGAGGGCCTTTTTGCTTTGCCTGTTGTTAGTTAACACTATCTATGTAAGATGTGTTTTACATAGATAAAATAGGTAATCATGACTGCAATTCAATAGATACTTTGTTTGCAACTGGCGTTACAGCTTGGCGTCATTGTAGCCCCTGGGCGCTAATGATGAAATGATCTTGGCAAGACCTCGGTATTGCATACGAAGATATCAAAGGCAACCTCACTGATAGGCCTAAAACCATATTTGCTCTGTCGGTTAACTTTAATTATAGCTGAAAATAATTCAGCTTTAAATACAAAAACTAACCTTTATCCAATGAAAGATGTAATTTCAGTAACAATGCGGTGGACGAAGGTGTGGCCAAATGTTTTGCATTTAGTAATTTTACACTCTAACTAAAGCTCGAATCCAAAGAAATAAACAGCTTTCTTGAATTTCAAATTCTTCTTTCATCCTCAAGTTGTACCATCCGTTTGCAGAAGCAGAAGGTAATCTAGAGAGATGCTAGTGTCTTGCGTATAGGCAATCTGAGACAATACCATTGAAGTTGAGGGAAATTACAAAGCTAAAAAGTGTTGAAATTCTGGCATTTCAAGAGAGATTTAAAATCCTATCGTAAGTGCTTATTTAAAAAATGAAACACGATCTCCTTGAAGAGCAAACAGATCCAAAAAGCCATTTTGTCTGCATGTACACTATCAGATTATGTTTTGGATAATAAATTAATCTTTTTACAATTGTATTTCATGCTGAAAGGGATTTTGTGTAACAAACGTGAAAGTATAGACACAGCTGTACGCGCTTTTAGTGTGTCATCAATTATCGGGGATATCAAATATGAATATAAAACATGGATATGTTTGTGAAAATGAGATGAATAAGATTCATATAGTGATTTGCTTCTTAGATTATGCCAACGTTTTGCTGTTATGTTCAAGAGAAAAAATGTGTTTCATGGTTTCAATAACTCAAAAAGGGTAAACTTTTTGATGTTCCGAATCAGTATTACTTGGGATGATGTTAAGTTTAAAAGACGATAGAATGTAAAGTATCCTTTATAAAAATATTCCCCGAGGAGTGAATGTAACGGTGTAGAAAAACTGTGGGCAAATTATTTAACACCGAGTATCACTTACTTCGTGACTTGTGGTTCACCAACCTCAAAGGTCTAATTCTTTTTTGAATGATGTTTGTAGAATCCTTGGCAATTGAGAGATTGAAATTTCATGCTTTTGGTACACATAATCCATAGATTCATCATTTCGATCAACACGGCTAACCTTGTTGAAAAAGAATGTCGCTCTTTGATAGTGGCACATAGTTTTCTTAGTCCTATGTTAAAATTGATATCTTTAGTGTTGGTTTTTAATTCAAACCTCTGTCTGTGGATAAAACCCTGTAGAAATTTACTCTATTGTGCACAAGTGTCTTAAATAGCAAGAATTGTCGAATACCACTAATTCAAATCGTATTTGATATAAGTGGCAAAACCCCTAACTGAACTCCATTGATCTGGACATGTGCAGCAATCTTTCTTTTGTATACTGGTTTGACGCTTATTAAACATAAGTAGTTAGAGCAATTCGTACAGCACAAGCAAATGATATCTTAAAAAAGCCATCAACAAATTCTTGAGTCGCTTTAGTCCTTATCGTAACAGCTAGCTCAGTCATTGCACTTCGCAATCGTTTACCTAACGCTACTGTTCTAACAAAGGATGTCACACTGCTCGCACCGTTTTGGTTTATCTTATTCACGAAGTTACAGATACTTGACTTGCTCTACATTCCCCTTGATCCATGGGCTGCCCCCTCCCCTAATTCGTAATGCGATAATCGTTCCAACTTCATAATGCTGAAACAAATTTGTTTAAGTTATTTGGAATCTTTGACATAAATTTTGCAAAAGTTCTGATTGGCTTCTGAAATTCCTGAAGCGTTTATTTTTCTTTGACTTCTTCCGTTAGTTACTCACTTAAACAAATATTATACAACCCACCCGTCAGAAGCGACTAAATGTCAAAATATAGCCAAATTGACTTTGAAAGCATAAAACATAGCAGTTTATTTAAAGTTAATATTTTAGAATCGTAACTGTTCGCAGCTTAAGAAAGAAACTTTTGCATCGAATAGCCGAACGGCATGAAAGTGTTTTTTGTTTTGATTATTTGTTAATACCTTTAATCAACCATCAGGTCATCTTTAAACCTTCAGAGCAAAATCTTCGCTCAAATTACAATGGTAGCTTTAAAATCTCTGTAAACGTCAAGCAGGAAATGAGTAATTAACGCAAGCACCTTGAATCAGGGCTTACGATCCCGCGGCTATAGCTGTGTATCGCCTCGGCTAACCATTGGCCACACAACATTAACCAACCACCAAGATTGACAGTTAGTGACTAGATTTCTTAAAGCGTTGTTGACGAGTATCTCAGACCATTCACTGACTTATCAATATCCGCGCTCTTCGCAGAAGACAGACAGCTCCACGCAAACTGCACGAAAGCAAAGAATGGGAATGGTTGACGAAATGAAAGAAGTCGGCTTCTGGAAGGCGATATTCGCCGAATTCCTTGCGACGACGATCTTCTTGCTGAATATCATCATGGTGGCATGCGGTTCAGGCGTTGGTACACAGCAAAGTTTTTCAGCCAGCACTGTCTCAATTGGTATTGGAATCGCGCTGAGCATTTCAACCCTTGCACAAGCAATAGGACATGTCAGTGGAGGGCACATAAACCCCGCAGTGACTGCTGGCATGATGGCAATTAGAAAGATTTCCCCAATCAAGGGCTTTCTCTACATAATTGCCCAACTACTTGGTGGTAAGTTTTGACATTGTTTGTAATAACAGCTTAGAAAAATTCTCTTTTTTCGTTGATTCTTTTTCTTTGATCAAGTCCTTTGCACATTGGTGTATGAGAATTAGAGAATTAAACCTTTTAGAACTTTTAAAAATGTTTACGCAAGGTTATATGATCTGATACACAATAGTGTAAAACGCGAGAAAAAGAAAAAGTTGAAAAGAATTCCATTTGAGCAAATTTAGCAATGTCTCTCATCTTTGTAAGAAAAATAAGCTTTTTATAAAGAATACACACGTTATCTGTTTGATGACATTTTGCGATATATGATATTGAAGTACATGCCTCAAGGGCATTGACACCGATCAACCCAGAAGGTGCCGTTTGATAACGGTTAAGATAAGAGCCATTGTCTCGTGTAATCTTCATCCGTGAAGCAAAGAACATCTTCAAAAACAATGCATGGGAAAGTGGAATATTCGCATTATTCAACACAAGTTATAATTTTTGCGGTTTTATGAGTTTGCTGTTGAATATATAATAGTATGTTTCAATTTTGTGTGCGAAAGTTTCTTATATATTTCTTTAATTGTCTTCTCTGGATGTATGAGTGAATATTTATCAACTTCCCGTTGTTAGTTAATATCAATGTATTTCAAGATCAAAGGTCTTCCACATTCAAGTCATATCTTCTTTATAGTGACGTTAATAGCTCACAGATTGTTTGTTTGCTGCAGTGAGGACACAGCTATACAGCCACACTAAAACCTCTAATGCATGTTGGTTGGTTGCATAATCCTACAATTGAATTACATGTTTCAAGTCCTGTCTAAAGAACACAAGTAGATATTAAACGAAATCTGCTTTTGTAACAAATTATGCAAAAACAACCATATCATTTACAACGAAGGAATAGATACATTTGTGAATCAAGCTATCTTTTTATTTGATCTGTAAAGTCCAGGCATATGACAACTATTATTCAAAACAAATGATGGATATCCTTAAGAGGGAAATGCGGCTGTTAAAACGTATCTTGTGCTTTTCCATTAGATAAATTGAAAAATAAGTTTTTAATGCGTTAGACTCACTTGATGTAGTGGTGAAGACAATCTTGTTAGAACACAAGGAGAAAGTTACGTTCTTTAAAAGCTGCAAATTATTCTCGATCGACAAAATAGTCTCTTTTGCTACATCAGACTTGGTTGCTTACGCCTAGACATTTGAATATGCTATTAGAGCATAGGTTCCAAATTATTGATTGGCTGACAGATTTCCTGTACTCTGATTGGTCAATATGGAGATTTCAGACATCTCAGCTAATCAAAGGTTTGGGGTTTTTCCTTGCTACCAACGAATGAATGGTTTTTCTTGCTTCCTTGCGATCAACGAATGTAGAAAATCCACTACCGGGTCTTTTACCTCATTAAATGAAATTACATTCTTAAATCTTTACATTCTTAATGATATTATAATATTTGACCAAGACAGGAATATTTCATAAGTATGTCCTCGCTTCTTATTCTAATAATTGTAGGAGAAAAACACTTTGGGCGATTTCAAAAAGCTGGACACGCAGCTTTTTGTCTAGCTTAACTCAATTCTCGATGACAGCAGAGCAGTAAACTGATCATGTGTGTCTCTACCCACTGGCCAGAAAGCTAGGAACTTTGATCCTTTATTCCCCCTAGCCTCCGGATTTCTAACCAAGTTCTTTATTCTACCAAACGGATATCAAAATGGCAACTTCATAGCTGTTATCACATCCAATAAAAACTAACCTTTGGTGAGAGGGGAAGAAGATCCCTCAAGACATAAGGTTAACCTCGCATTTGTGGTTGCTTTCAGCCTCCCATTCATGTATCGTGAGAGATACTTTGGCAAACCAAATAGGTGGTACAGTGAGCCGTTATTAGAGCCAGTCATTGAGCCCTGATATACAGCAGGATCAATAAGGGATCTAGTGGCTTGAACCGAACCGAATCAAACATTCAGCTACTGTTCTATACATAGTTTGCAACCTGCAATTAAATGTCAGTGTAGACTACAATTACAACTGAGAACTGATATCAAAAATCTAATGCATGTTTGTTATGAGATTGATGAAATTTAGCGATTTCGGGTGCAGCCTTGAATATTGATTGTTGGTTCTTTAGTTCAAATACCTAATATCTAAGCAAGCTTTCTAGAGAGGCAAACAGCAAATAAGCACTTGGCTGCCTGCCTCCAGTTTTGTGTTGGGTCGCTCGTCCACTGTTTTGTTATCATTGCCCAGGTCTCTTATAAGCCTGGTACTCACTGGACGATTATCACGATTATCACGATTACCACGTTCACGATAAAATATTTCTTGACAGTAGGATGCTCAGCTAAATCATATAGTCACTGACGCGTTAATCGTTTGCTCAAAATGACTGTTCACAGGAGTAAAAAACTCCTTGCTATGTTGAGCGTTTTATACATTTAAGAAAACGTAGACAGAGAAGAGAATAGGTAAAAGATCGAGAGAAAAAGAAGAGGTTGTAGGTCAGAGATATTTTCAAAAATAAAACTTCTAGCGAAAATCATGGATTGGCTCGAGAACAACGACTGAACGACCGCGAATTTCATTACAGATATTTTCTCACAGCTTCAGAAAGTTTCTCGTCGACTTGCTAGTTTTCATTCTCCATTTTGAAATCAGAATGTTAGATGAGATATACTTCACATAACGCACACCGAATGACTAAATTGAAAGTTTTTCTACATTTTCCACAGTGCCTTGGATAATCCTTTCCCTTCATAAATTCTTCACATTATTTTGAACAGAAGGGGTGACGTCATCGGATCACGATTACCGCGAAAAAATATCAAAAAGTTTTGATATCCTTTCGCGATAATCGTGATGGTTTTATCACGATTAGAGGGCATAACACGATTACATTTGATGTAATCACTGTGGATAGAGACGATTACAGCCTAATCGTTATCGTGATTATCGTGATAATCGTCTAGTGAGTACCAGGCTTTCGCGTTAATCGTGATGGTTTTATCACGATTAGAGGGCATAACACGATTACATTTGATGTACTCACTATGGATAAAGACGATTACAGCCTAATCGTTATCGTGATAATCGTGATAATCGTCTAGTGAGTACCAGGCTTTCGCGATAATCGTGATGGTTTTATCACGATTAGAAGGCATAACACGATTACATTTGATGTACTCACTGTGGATAAAGACGATTACAGCCAGTACCAGGCTTTAGAGCTTCCAAAGAAGAAATATTCTTGAAAACTCAAAGAAGAAGTTTGAATGAACAAACGACAATTGTGTCATTTTTGTGTAAATCTCTCTAGATATGTCCTAGTTCGCTCAAAAAAATGGTAGCCTTGACTCGCTGAATTGATTTAGCCATTAAGTAAGTTAGCGACATTGCAGCAGCCTGCGTCACAAGAGTTTCTGGATGCTCGGGGAGAAATTTTAATAGATTGGATAAGCAATAGCAGGAACAGGTCAATTTTATTTTTAAAAGGGACTAAAATCTACGACAGAAAAGCCAACATTGAGGATAAGTCTGAACAGTTTATTGTCGTCTCACTTGAACAAGTTATTGCATCGAGAAAGTAATGTTTAGATACGGCACAGGAAATCATTTAGATGTACAGGAAATTCTAAGGACAATGCAAGAAGCAAATGCGAAACTACAGCCACCACACGAAGAAGGCCCTCTTTAAATGAAACTAGCTTAATTCTCAAGTAGAATTTCAGTGCCTTTAGCAGTGTCAAAGACGGTTACTTCATCCTGACCACAACCTTTGAAAGAGAAGCTATTATTCTATAAAGCTGGTACTACCCCATATTGTCCGTGAAGGAATTTTTTGTGGGAAGGTTTACTTTTCACAAGATTAAGGGCACATAAGCAGGAGTGAAACTGGACCTTCTGTGGTCGCTTTTTTTTCATTCTCTGTATCCCATGGTCGACAGAAGGTAGACCGTTGATGACAAATATCAGCTTCAATGCACAAAATAATTTTCCATTAGTTGAAAACCATCCATAACTTGATCTTGGTCAAATTCTGGCTTTCGGGGTTTATCATGTTACCTATAGAATGTCCCAACTTTCTAAAATGTGTCCCAATTAAGAAAATGAAGCATGATCCGTGACAAGGTGCCTGAACAGAGGAGATAATATCATGTTCTAGCGATTTTCCATCAACACGACATTGCTCTCAAGTCAAGAGTTACTTTTGTGTGAGAAAATCGAGCAAAGACTGTCCAAAACGAAAATAGCCTGGAAATTTTGTCCAGAACATAGATTTCTAATGTCTAAAACAAAAATTTCACTGGGGCTGGTGGGGGCACACTTCCAAGCCAGTAAGTTGTACTAACCTCTGATGCATGTGAGCAGTTTTTTGGACAGTTCTATCAAAGTTCAGCCCGGTGGAATCTTTTCCTTTCATGATACATTTATTCAAGGCTTGCATTTTCAGAGAGAACATCGTTCCTTGATAAGCTTTTCTTAAAGACAAGGCTGGTTCTTTCGGCTTAGAAACAGCTTCTAAAAATCACACGTTTTCCTTTCATTCTCATGATCAATTAATCTTAAGTACAAAACTGAACAAAAAGATTAAACAAATAAGTACAATACTAACAGACAAATCACATGGATGTTGTATTTAAGATCGACTGATAAAAAAGGAGCTATTAGAATAGTTTTATTATTCGAAAGTGTTCTCCCTTACAACAGCAAGAAAAAACTTTATGTTGAGATAAGAAAAGTCAAGAGAAAAAAAAGTTATGCAACTTAGTTATAAGTAACAACGAAGTAAGACTGAAATTTCGACTTAAATACTATTGATGAAGTAATAACACGTTTGTTATTGATCGATGTAATTAGAAACATTAGAAAAAGTATAGATTTTTTTGTCTATCAAATTACAACTGCATTGCAAAGAAAACTGAATGGCTGCGAAATTATTTTCCTATCTTTCGCCCAGGGTCTTTTATAATCATCACTTTTATCAATGCAAGCGCCGTTAATTTGAATATCATCTTCCTTATCTTCAGCTTTTCATATAGCTGAGCTGAACATACGGCAATCGAATTCCCCCAAAGCCCCAAAGCTTTACGCATCCTAGCTAATGCAAATACCTAAAGTCAATGTAGTTTGCGCATTCTTGGGATCCTGAGAACGCTAGGAATTTAAGACTTTGGCTTAAGATTAATGCCGGTTAAGTAGTAAGTTTATTGCAGTTTCTTTCTGACAGTACTTGAGGAGACTTTACAAAGGCAGTAAAAATTTATCATTTTACGAACTTTTGATGCTATTAAACTATGCAAACTGGGGACCGGATGCAAAGGTCAGGGTAAAGGCAAATCAAACTAAACTGGCGTGCCAGAAATAGAGAATAAGTAAGCTCGTGAAACTTTTTAAACAATTTTCTCAAACTTCCGAAAAGCTCTAAACTTTTTGGGCATTGAGATCTTTAGCTTCACCAGCTTCATGACAATGGGTAAGTGAAGAAAATTGTTGCATGGGCTAGAGCTGTCCCTTGTTTGTTGAAAGGAGATTGTCTAGCCCAGTCATCGCACTTGTTGTTGCCTTTAAAGAATAGGCCGTCATTCTACCATTGCTTTGAGTATCGATTGTTTTTCAGCTGTCGCTGGCTCTGGTCTCGGATACGGCCTAACCCCAGCAAAGGTTCGTGGTGGGCTCGGCATCAATGCATTGAATGAAGCGATTGGAGTGAAGCCTGTTCAGGGATTCGGTTTGGAACTATTCTTCACATTCCTTCTAGTTCTGACCGTTTGTGCAGTAACTGATCCAGGCAAGAAAGTTGAGCCATACGGAACTACATTGGCGATTGGAATTTCAATCTTGGTTTGCCATGTCTGCTTGGTAGGTTCAAATCTAATCATTTTTTAAATCTTTAGCTTAGACTAATGACTCATTCATTAATGACCGTGGTATGCGGGAGAGGCGGAGGGGGAGGGTTGATACAGTATCCCACCAACTCACAGCCACAGCAATTTTCTTCAATCGACTGTTATTTGGCTTGGCATAATTACATTTTTTCTGAATTCCTTACTAGTTAATTTCCAGAAACCATGAAAGAGTCCACAAAATTTAAAAAAAAAGACTTGACCTTGTTTTTAAATGCTTTACAAATTCATTGCTTGTCTCCATAACATAGCAAAGGAGCCAAATTATTGCCATCCACCTTTCAAGCAATACTACATCGATGGATCATGAATATCCTGATGTTTGCAATCTTTCTATTCCACATTTGCAGCCGAAGCAGCTAGTTGTGAAAATTATTCTCCGGTGATCGGTTTTGATTTATTTCTGGTGATCTTCGAACGCTAAACACGCAGAATTATCAACTTGAGACCAACAATAGTTGGCCAAATTCTCAAAAGTAGAATCTATAATAAAGATTTAAACAAATATGACCAGAAATTTATGATGTATAGCAACTTTCTCAAACGTTAACAGTATTAAAATCTGCTCTAGAAAATTCGTAAATTGATCGATCTTTCTATCATTTGATTGCAAAATGCAGAGTTGTTGATGAAATCATTTATTACTTACTAATCTGTTCTGCAGTAGCCAATTCTAAGATAATTGCATGGAACAACTGCATAAAAAGTATGATCTAGGCTTATTTTTTCATCACGCATATGAAGTCAATACCAAATAATGCACAGACGGCTGTAGATAGATCTTTAATAAACATTCTGTATATTGCAAAATGTTCAAGAGAGTACACTAATGCCAATATTACCAATACTACTATCGCTAAAATTTCTATCCTTACACTAAGCGAAGACTTTTGCACTCTTTTTCTCTTTCTCAACATTATCATTGTATGTAAGATTTCCTTTTCCACTTCGCTGATAGTAAATTTAACAAATTTATCTTCTTTCATGAGTTTTTTGAGAAGGATAAGGCAATTCTTACTAGCTGACATGACTGATACTTGAATCTCACTGTCTATTTGGGGACTGTCGTCATTGATAATGCTATTTGGATATTCCTCATACAACCCATGAATAAAAGCGATTTTAAATATTCCATGGATAAACAGTAAAAGTCGTGCATATTTCTGTATTATAACAGTGTCTAGTAACAAAACTGCCAAAAGGAGATTGTCTGCATGAGACTAAAAGAATTCGATCAAAGCATAAACACGGGCCTATAAATAAGAAGAGTATGCATTCACGAAGTAGAATATTCTGACTTGTCAAAAAGCCACGATAAAATACGCAGATAAACTGTTCTATTAAGTGAGGTGTATATATATGTTTACTCAATTAATCTTGCATATATGTCCACTTAGTAGTTTTCGCTTAAGAAAAGAGTGAGTCATATTTCAGTACGTTAGAAAACAGCAGGGATGCCGGAGAATGGGGGCGAGGGGGTCAACCGCCCCTGTTGCCTTCTGATAGGAGAGGCAAGAGGGGCCAGAGTGCTCAATTGATTGAAGTACCCTCAAAACTGGCCAATGGTAATAATCAGGAAGATGAAATTCTGATTGCAGTGCTTAATTCATGACGACATTTCTCAAAATATGTAAAATAAATTCTTATGCCAAAAGTAAGCCAATTTTTCAAATACCTACAGAAGATCGAGATAAAATGGCAATTAGTAGAAGGAATTAGTAGGGAGTTATCTTTCAAAGGCCCTTTAACTCAAGTTTGCCCCCTTGCCCTTTGGTCGTTCCGGCGTCCGTGGGAAACAGCTACAGGTTGAGAATTTCAATCTACATCAAAGGAATCATTACAGAGTCCCAAACCAACAAACTTCATCTGAAAATCTATCAGTCGTTTAAATTTAATCTGTTCAATAACCTCTCGACTTGCCCACTGAAATGGTTGCAAATTTCGTCAGGATTGTCTAATATTGACTCATCGCTCTGAACGCCGATACATATCTTCTCGTTGTAGCTAGTAATTGAGAAGGTCATCCCAAGGTTACCTCTGGGAGGAGCCCAGAATGTCATGTTTTCGATACTACATCCAGCTAAAGTTAAAGGATTTTGTGGCCCAGGGACGTTTGATAATACCCCGGTACTTTTTTGAACAATGAAATTGAAGATTGGTGAGATAATCCAGGTGGGCAGGATAGTTAGGAGAGTGTCCATGGATGGCCCAACAGCAAATGGTTCCCCTGATGTTTTGAAGTCATTCATTCGACTTTGGACTTTGTATAACTGTGCCAAAGGATCACTGATCCCCGTTGGCAAGGCTAACTGCAGAACCGCAAATCTGTTCTCAAACTCAACAGCATCCAAATCCCAGTTTTTGCGTAAATCGATGGGGATAGAGACCTTGACATCTTGAGGTGGATCTATTTCTTTGCTGATGAAAAATTCTCTTATTGAGGCGGTCATGCAGGCGACAAGCACGTCATTCAGTGTGGTTCCAGTGGCTGTTTTAATTCTCTTCATGGTTTTCATGCTCAGAGGATCAGACCAAGTGAGGACCTTTTTCCCGCTGAGAGGTTTTCCGTGCAGAATTGTCGAGTCACTTCGGCTTAGAAGCATTTTGGCCACAAATATCGGGCTGAATAAAGCACCTTTTAGACTCATGAAAATTCTCCCCGTCTGTGTAAATTTCTTGAACTTTATAGGTTCTGCATTATTATCTGTGAGCGCATTTGTCAAATAATTCATCAAAGAACCACCATCGGCCAGGCTATGGTTCACTCGAAACATAACAGCTGATTTTTTCCCGCCATTTTCCATCCAGGGAATGATCACGAATTCCCATTGGGACATCCCCAAACGAAAAGGAAGTGCACACAATCGTGACATTATTGCACGAACCTCTTCTTTGGACTTTGCCGTCTCGGGCCACTTTTTCACGTGTTCTCCTATATCAAAATTCTCCTCGTCTTCCCAGAAGTGATTAAGAAATGCACTTCTGACTTTTTTCGTCAAACGTCGATAAGGATTACTGGTTATCTTGGCTCCCTGCTCCTTCGTTTCAAGTACACGTTTCTTAAGTTTCTCGAGGTCCATTTCGCTGCTAAATGTCAATAGAGCAGCAATTATCCCTGGATTTTCCGGTCCATTGGACAGCCATACCGAATCACCACCTGTTACTGCTTCTAAACCATGCACACGCCAGTAGACAAGGCGTTCTATAAACCTCGCTAATACGAATGTAGCCACCACTGGTGCAATAGGTATGATTATGTAAACAATTAAGGCGATCCATGCAATAGATGATATAAATAACTGTAAACAAATTTCTCCTGCATTCAAGATCATGCATGCAAATGACTTTTTACCTTGGCTTTTTCTGACTGTTTTAAGCGACTTTATCGACTTCTCTGAATTTTTGTTTATATCCATTATGTTTGGACAAAGCTTGAAAACCTCGTGCAGTTGTCAACATCAAGCACACTGAGCTATGCCTTGAAACCTACCACTAAGAATTCCAACAACACACAATGTCCACTTAATCTGCACTTCTGAACTCTTGAGCATGTACGTTCTGTTGTTGAGGGCAAAGATCATTTTGAGTCAGGTGATCATCACATTCACTGGTAAATGCGGAAACGAAGGCGGGAATGAAGGCGGAAATCAATTCCTATGTTTTTATTTTTGTCCAAAACGAGCTTGCTAAATGCAGAGAGGCGGATCCAGACTACAGCAACCTATGCAGAAGCATAAGTCAGATTTTTACAACAACAAAAGAAAACATTGAAACTATGAAAATCTTTAATCAATAGTTCCTTTGTCGAATTCTTTAGTAACTTCCGTCCTAGATCTGCTCCCAATGATACCAACTGCATGCGAAGGACAGAGCTTATTTTTTGCTGACTACCTTTTTCTATTTTCCTGCAGGTAGATTTACCCTTCCATACCTTTGTAGGTCGGTTCTACAGGCACCGCGGAGCAGTGGGGGCTGGGAGGGCTTTAGCCCCCCCCCCACTTTTTGCAAAAAATGTCAAATATTAGACCAGAAAAGCCTCTTTTTATACGGTTTTAGCCCCCCCCCCACTTTTTCTAGACCCCCCACTTTTCTCAACGCCCCGCGGTGCCTGTTCCATCGACCTCCTTTTATGAACCCACTTTCTAAATATCAGTGATAATGATTTTATTTCAGAAAATTGTGGGCGTTTCCAACACAAAAGGGCGTGGCTTTTGCACAGGTCAGAATTCAAGCTGGATCCGCGCCTGATGCATCATTACCAGAGTGTATTTATCATTTTCATTTGCCATTGTTCTGGTGATGCTTTTCGTGTTGAAGTATTCCTCAGGTTAATTATGGAAACAGGTTTCAAAGATGTAACATCCAACGAGTTTCCTATACCAGGCTCATGAAGAATTAGCTCGGGCTATGAGTGAGACCAGGATCGTCACTGTCGGGGGCATGAGAGGGGGTGACACCGATTTGAAAAAAAAATCCGTTTCGCAATGTCTGCAGATTCTCTATGAAATTTTCAGACTTGTCAGCAAATAAAGGATGGTCCACACCTAAATTCGCAAAGGCAGATAACCCCTTTAAGCACAATGGCTAGTGACTGCCCTGCCTGGAGCCTCCTAAAAAACGGACATTCCGTACAGTGGATGCCATTTTCTGGAAGGAAAGGATACTTTTATTAGAAATGAGTCTCTCTACAATAAAATCGTGGAGACACTCACGTTTAAAAAACTGCAAGAAAGAAAGCAATGTCTGCCTAAATAATTGACTCATATGTTGACATTTTTACGTATTTTATCAGCTAATCAGCTGTGTCAAGTCATGCAAAACCTTTTATTAGAAACAGTTTACAGTGTGTTAAATCTGAAATAAGAACAACATTAATAGCGCTCGAGCCTTGGCAGATGTTATCAGGTTTTTATAGAAGAAAAAATGTCATAGAGATTCCAAAACATTACGCAAAAAGGCACTTGGACAATAGCCATTTTGAGCAAGATGCACCCTTATTCAAACCTGTTCTGCTCAATGGGCCTTCTACTTAGAAGCTCAAGTGTTGTCAGTCAAATGATGCAATATTCCGTCCAACATTTGTTGCATTGATTTGAATCCTGGATTTTAGTTGGTGGCCCAACGCCTCACGCAACATTTATCTTGAAAGGAACTGGGATCAAATCACTGATGTATCATTTAATTTATCTGTTTCCTAAGTTTCTTCGAGATTTAGCGAGAAGTGCTGCTCATAAGAATAAGCAAAGAAAAATGGGAATCAAAATATCGTTGTTAAAGACCATATGGTAACCAGTTGTGCATTAAACTTTGGCTTGGCCTAATCAGTGAGACGCCATAAAAAGTTTTAGACAATTTTATCTGCAATATGGAAGGTTAGAGGGCAAGAATTGAGCCAAGGGCAAGTGGTTGTTTATTTAAATGTTATCTTAAATGAGAGCTACAGAAATGAGATGTCTGCTACAATTCAATGACTCTAATGCTAAATCAAATTATATTAAGTCAAGCCCTCTGTTAAGATGTGAAGGAAATAGAACGCATGGGTTGAACGGAACAGAATGATAACTGCAAATAATGTAGACTGTGATCTGAAGCTCTATATAAACATGGGTCACATGAAGTAATGCTCCTGCGCATAGTCTATTAGGTTACTACACCTTCAAAGCTATTTTATTTGATGCTTTCTCAAAAAACTTTTCAACGCAGTAAGGCCATGTTAAACTTAAAATATACAGAAGAATGCTGAAAATTATTCATCCTGTAGTTCAAGTATGCAAATTTTATTACATATGCAAAATTCTGGAATGAGTACCTAGTGGTATGATGTACTTTGAAATTCAACCATATTTTTGAGAGTCGATACAATTCACGTTTATATGTAGGATCTAATCTTTTCCCTAGTTTACCAAAGCTACGTTAAAGATAGACGTTGAAGTTTCTCTTGTCTTTGGTCATTAGACAAAGCCGATGGAAATTTGCGATTACAAATGTTAAAGAGAATTGTGACAATTTGCATTATATTATGTTGATTGTAAACAGCTGGCGCCAGATTCCTTAAGTTTTTATCCTTCCTAACGACAATATCTTATTTTGTGACAATACGCTAAAGCTTTAAAGGTTTCATCAAAAAAACAAAGGAGGCGGGGTTTTGGTTTGGCACCTATGCTTTTATACGTCTTCAACCGTCGTACTAGTAGACCATGTTACGGCTGTGTTTTCCGGGCTCTTGCTGACATATTTTCACAATGAACATACTTTTTAGTTCCCTATTTCACATTTTACTTCAACCAACTCCTGCACTGCAAAAGGAAATCTGAGCAATGCATGGCCGTAGAATCAGCCACAAGCAAAGTCCTCGACAGCCAGCAAACGCCTCTTTGTATGCCAGCAAAAAACTTTATTTTGTCTTTACATTACCCTATAAACCTCTAAATTTCTGGCAAGACTCTTTATTTGTCCATGTCTTGTGATTTGCACCCCCATTAAACAGATCTATTTTCCTGGCCTCCTAGGGGAACATTTGGGACAAAGTGACGTTTTATACTTAATCTGCCGTTTCTTTATTTCAGATTCCATACACAGGATGCTCAGTGAATCCAGCAAGATCGTTTGGGCCAGCAGTCGTTACCAACTCGTGGGATGACCATTGGGTGCGTTTCTTATTATAGTTTTGGCACAATTTGGGCCTTCTAGTAAGTGCTGTCCCATGGAAGCATCACAAAAATTGCGACATGTTTCCATCCCCCATTTAGCAGTGTTAGAACATATCTACAAAAAAGGTTGTAGACATTTCTGTTTTTTAACGACCCCACACTAACCTTCTTGTGGTCCCTGCGCCATTATTTCTTATAAAAAACCAAATAAACAGAACCTGACCTAATGGTGATCAATTGTTATGAACATCAAGGACAAACAGTGGCGGCGCCAGCTACTGCAGAGTGGGAGGATAATGGACGTGGCCTATGAGACCACTCCCCTTTTGCCTTGTTTCATTGCTTTGTACCAAGTTAATTTCCCTTAGGAAATATGATCAACCCCTACCTATCACTTCTAAATCCGCTTCTAGAGGAAATATGTATTTTCGCATTTTATTTTCATATTTTCACAAAAAATGGTAAAGGAGGGGAGTAATTACCACCCCACCCCCCTATACCCCCTTGGTGCCGCCACTGTGAACACAGTTGTTCCTAGTTTAATGGTCAAACTTGCTGTTATTGTTTATAGAGGTGTACCCTGGGTACCAGAGCCTCAGTGAAAGAGATGGTGGAAAACTTTTCGCTCTTTCATCCCCTCTTTCACCTACCCACTTCCTCTGAGGCTCTGGTGGCACCCAGGGTAACAGAGGTATCTCTTTTTCATTCAGATTTTCTGGATTGGACCAATGCTTGGTGGAGTTTTGGGAGCAATTCTTTACGAATATGTCTTCAAGACCAAAGAGGTAAATGAAAACTGCCGGGATGAGAATAGCTCACACAACGAAGGAACTGAACTCAAATCAAGAGTCTGATCAGTTGAAGATGGGGGTGATGATGCATAATCGGTGTTTCTAAAGAACTGCAGGGAGATGCCTTTGGCAAAAGACTATCATGTTCTTATGAATTTTTTCAAATGAACGAAAATTAGGAGGAACAGCATAAATTTTCCAAGAAATATATAAGACAATGGAATTTGATTAAAGATAGACAAGTATTATTTCTGAAACTATCTAGGTTTATGCTTTTAAACAGTTTACTTTCTTTTAAACAGTAAATAGTATGCAAAACTTAATTCTTTAATACCCATGTTGATGTTTCCCTTTAAATTTGCTCTTACCTCCTAATCACTTCCCCCTCCCACAAAAGATCACATTTGCTGCCATTGTTTTCACATGGCATAAATTTTTAGAATTGGGTTTCCCCATTTTTGAAATTCCAAGCTTTTCTAGCATTAATGTTACATATTTTAGTGAATGTTCTTTGTTGGGGCTGCTTACGTTTTTATTTTGCTCGTAGGCCTGAGCTCAAGAAACACCAAGAAAAGCAATAAATTGACATTTCACTGCCTACTTCTACTCATATCGGTGAAGGTTCTTTACAATATTCTTAACTTTGCTTCGAAATCCTTTAGCAAGCTTTACTACTAGTTTTGCATAGTAAAACGTACCGAGACTTACAAAATTTATAATTCATTAAAATGACTGGTCAGCCTTACATTGGGAAGTCACAAGGAGGCTACGTATGGCCCTCTCCCTTATTAAATTTAGCTTGTCCTTAGTTCATCAAACCTGCTAAAAGACCATAAGGTTGTGTTTGCCGTATTGCCATTTATTATTTACTATTTTATAGCTTTACTTATTTTAGACTGCTAAATAGTCTTCTAAGAATATATCATTTTAAATATATCTGCAAAACATTAAAATTTTTAATCAACTATTCCATATGTATTCCGCTTTGCATGTAGCCTGTAAGTAGAGTTGTTTTATAGTATTTTGTGTTTGCTACGATAAAAAGCTTTTTAGCATTGTTTTTGCTTAATCTCCTTCTTTCTTTATCATCTTGAAATCTCATATTGCAGCACTAAATAAAAATTATTAAAACCTAAAATCTTGATGATCGTATTCCTCGACGATAGCTCCTGAGCTTCTGTGCTTGTATTTTGACTCCATGCTCGTTCTAGGCATTATTTTAATGCAAGGAGAGAGGGGAGGGGAGTGATTCAAATATTTTAAGGTAATGTTTTATAAGGACTTGATCAAGAAAATGTAACCTTTCCAACCTGGGGGCCAAATTGACAACATTTTGTACCATGGTAGAGTGGGTCTGGCCAGGAAGGAGTGAGCAGAATTTGAAAACACCTTTCAATGGAAAACTATCAGAGCGTATCAGGATTGAAGCAGGTAGATACGGGAAGAATTCTATTCCCAGAGGCGCCGGAAACTTCATGATGCAGCGGGGGCAGGATTGCCAGAAAGGGGTGTCCAAGTTTGCTGAATAAAAAGATTGGGAATCGTCGTTTAGCCAGTGATGAAGCCTGGTTGTAGGTTAAGGCCCTGTCGAGGGAGTTCTGGGTGTTCTGGGTCGTCGCCCCTAGGGACATTTTGCGTTGCTACGCCCTAACAACTCTTGAAAATTGAGGCAACACCCAAGATACATTTGAATCAAGATTACAGTTAAACTTCATTCTCGAAATTCCTTTCACCCCAACATCAACCATCAAAGAAGACTGGACCCAAACCTACTTTACATTTAAACAATTTTGTTCTGATGACCATCTACATGGATTGATATAACGTTTGGATATAACTCCTCTGAACTTTCTGCTATTTCCTTTCTTTATTTAAAGTTGGTACAATCTGCAGCCATATTCAAGCTATAAAAATGCAACTGATTTAAACTACCAATGCTAAATAAAATTTGAACCAAATATAACTGATCCATTGCCACCACCTTCCGGTAACCCTGGTTGATCTAGTTTTTTGGTGTTTTTAACAGTTTGAAAAGAAATATTTTAGATCATCGCCCCAAAAGGTCACCCCTGTGCTCAATTCGTATAGCACCTAAGCAATTCAAGGGCACTTTTTAGTTATGCAGGTGGCAAAAAAGCAACTCAGTGAGCTGCAAAGGGGCAGGTAAATTGAATTTTGCAAAAGGGGGGTACGTGTCCAACCCCCCGGTTCATACGCCTTAGCTTGAATTCAAGACATTATTGATGCCTTGACTGACCTAACGAACATATGGGAGCCAAAATTTATAGGATTCTGAAATCTGTTCAGCATGATCAAGAAAGTTAAAGGGAACTTTTCATCGAAAATATCTTTGTTGCTCGAATTGCAATGCAATTCTTTTTTCAGTTCTCATCAAAATGGAAAATATTGACTTTTATCTTAGGTATTAAGACTAAAATTTCCCAGAATCTCATCACTTTATCTTTGCGTTAAGTTTATCTGGTTGTTGCGTCAAGAAGATATGGGTTGTCAATGTCTGATTTCAGTAGCCCATTTTGTATAGCTATCACGGGAATCTTTTGGGAAGCCCTCTATGTGTATGTTTAGGCCTACGTAACGTTTACTGTTTAGCTCCTAATCATTTTTACATTTGCTTATCTTTGTGTTAGCTGTTTGCTGTATTCTGAAATTTATTCTGGAAAATTTGTAGCTGATTAAATTCATTTTTGGGGAAAATTGCTTCCAAATAAATACACTTGGTAAGATCTTGATACTTTTCGTTTGGGAATAAACTTCAATACTAGGGACACGAAATATTTCATGTATACCGATAATATTTTGCAACAAGCTATCACCTTCGTAGCTTTCAAAAGACATCTTTGTTCTTTGAATGTTCAATTCTGAAGGTCTGAGGGAAACAAAAAAGTTGGTTGAAGGGTCGGATTTGGCCTGCGGGTCGTATCTTTGACCTAATCTTCCACAAATCTTGAACCAGGAAAAAGCTACGTCTAAAAATGTAACAAAGCACGGCAACAGAAAAGGCGCGGGGCCTTATCTTTAGCTTCAGGAAAGTGTGGAGTAAAGGACGACCCGGATGAACAAGATGATATGTGGAGGGGGGGGGGGGGGGGGTGGAGTGGTCAATCTTTTTTGAAGAGTCAAAGACACCTGAAATTTTGTTTCAAAAATTTTATGGACACTCAAAGTATATATAAACACTATTTTTACAATATATGAATTTTGACCTCATAATGAAAAACGAACACCATGAAATACTTTTAAATATGCAGACGCAAATGAGATTTGAAATTTCCTAACGGATTACTGTTATTTTGGCTCAAGTTATGACCGGAGACCAAAATAAGGGTGTTTGATGAGGAAAGACTAAAGAACTTGACTGCTTTAATCTCACTTTTCGTTCGACCATTTCTTCTTAATAAAATGCGTTTTCTTTTGTTATGCTATGACCTTATGACTTTTACTGACCTGTTCTAAACAAGTTTAACTGAGTTTGCACAATTTCATGTATTTGATGATGTTCTTTCAGATGAAAAGTTCAAAATTCACAAATTCTGAAAATGTTTTTTTGTGACGACATCATTCAAGAACTCGACTGCTTTAATTGATTTAATGTAATCCTTGTTACTTCTTATATTTGTATGGTCTTTTTTATTTTTCTATGTCAAAATTCCAGTCATGTATCACGTGACTTTGACGATGACGTCATTTTTAAGAAATAACCGACAATTAGTTAGTAACGTTTCTGCATAGAATTTTGAATGAAAAAATAGATAAAATTATATCATTACGATCTAGACATCTGGCCTGGGAATTTAAGACCTATAAACAATATAGTCTTCAAAGTCAGGAAAACATTACGGTCGCACGGCCACGGACCGGAGGAAGGTCCACGAAAAACAATAGAAGCTCCTATGACACACCAAAGTCACGCCCACTTTATAATGTTTTGTGAGGAAGGTTTGCCTTCTGGGATGTTTTTGTCTGGAGGAAGGTTAACAACTTTTCTGGACTCTGATAATCTTATATCGTTGAACAGATTTCCTTGTTAGTATATCGAGAAATGCTCTATTTGTGCTGCTTGTGTAATTGTTCAGGAAAACAAGATCTTTAGTCTGCCAGCCCGCCATATTGAATTTGCCAAAATTCAATTTACCAACTTAAGAAAAGTTTGCCCCGATAGCAGTTCCTCGATTAGCATGATTTGGTTTCTTAAATCAAACTTAGCAAATTATTTGAATGTCAAAAATAGATGCTTCTTGCACTTTATTGTGTACTCTTGTTATTGTCTTGAATAATCATGACGTCATATCTATTTATGAACATATTTTTTTTCAATAAATGATTCATTATAGCCTTTGCTATAACTATGGCCAATTTTTGTCAACATATACCAAAGAACAACGATTTTAGCGTGGGGGAGGGGATGAATGAGCTTCCCCTAAGTCTTCTAGCAGCTCAAAAGCCCGATCTGGATGGGGTTAATCTTTCTTTTTGTTCGACCATTTCTTCTTAATGAAATGTATTTCTTTTTGCTATGACTTTATAAATTTTTCCAAATTTTTCCAGGCTCAAACCGCAATTTTCTAAGAAAACAATGGTGGAAAGTAATGTTTAATATTCTTGGAAAAACGAGCTTACAATCCACTTTCTTGCATCTTACAGCTCAACAACTTCATTCATTCATTGAATTTTTAAAGCATCTCTTTGACTACTTACACTACGGAGCATATATCTGTATTTTATCCACAAACCTTATGGCAAAAAATCCGTCAAGTTAAAAGACAAAATATCCACTACATCAGCAATAATATTTACCGTAAAAACGGTGTGATTTTCATTTATGTTTTTATCAAGAAAAAGTGCAGCAAAAATACAGTGAAGAGAGTTCGATCTAAAAGAAATGATTTTTTCAAGAAGTTATACTGTTTGGTAAACATTTTTTGTAAAGAATTTTCAGGACAAAGTATGTGAAAGCATGAATGTTTCACGGCTGATTGTTTTGCTTCTCGAAGTTTAGTCCGCCAAAAAACTTTCGCGGACTAATCAACGATCCTCACCGGTCAAGAAAAGTTTTTTTTCTCAAAAGTCACATATGTATGCCTTATTACACATATCTGACAAAACATGGAGTTTTAAATATACACGGAGCCTCGGCAAAAGAATTTTTTGAGGAGGTAACGTCAGCAAATAATTGAATATGCTTGTATGAAATGTAGACCTGGTGACCTGGCGGTAAAGGTAAAGAAAGGCGTCAATACTTGTATATTGGGTCTCATATCTTTGGTATTCAACAAAAAATATCTCAGTCTAAATAACAGTATATACTTTGTTGTTATGTTTTTCAAAATAGACAAGAAAGTGTCTCATAAATAGTTAAAATGCAGGAAGTTCTCGTGGAGGATTCAAACTGGAATTCACAATGCATACTTAACATTTCAATGTATTCGTTTGAAGCCTGTATTAAGCAACCTGCTCGGTCGCCATGCAAATATCGTCATCTAGAAACGCGAGTAGATACTTTATGGACCATATTTATTTCGTAATAGACAACATCAGCAGATTTTTAAAGTTCGTTGTTGGACGAATTTTGATCTAGTGAAAATAAGAAGCTAGACCTCGTGTAGGATAGCAGGTGTTCTTTTTAGAAAAACAGATGAAAATGGCCTGCAGTCGAAAGCTGAAATTCAATCGAAAAGTGTTTCAAACTTTCTTTTTTATGATCCTGAGTCAGTTCACAGTTTTGAAAGGTATGTTGCAATTGTGAAAACATAGTTTCGTTTGCCTTAACTGTTGCATTAGAGCCATCTGATAATGATGAGGAATTAAAATAAGAAATAAAATGGTTAAACAAACAAATTTTAATGCTCAAACGTTTAGTACGAAAGGATGCCAGAAAAAGCGCTGACAAAATAGCTAGAAGAGGGCTCAAGCTGGCTACTGCAGAAATTAAGAAGTTTTTTGATAAAACATGCTAAATTGTTCATGTTTTCTTGTGAAGAGGGGGACAAACAATATGCTTCCTTGCTTCTGAAACGTATTGTGCGTGATTGTGTACAAGGTTTCAGTTTTGAAATAAACTGCACTTCCAAAAGACGATTTCGTTTAGGATAAAATCAGGCTATAAATCATAACAGTTAAAACATCCTTCCCTTGACTAATGTTGGAAGACAGTCTTGCGATTTTGAAAAGAGCAAGCTTCATAGATTTAACAATCATCATAAAGATATGTGTTTGATAGATTTACTTACAAAAGCAAACATGCCAAAAATAACTTTTTACAGATTATTTTAAAGATAGGGTCTTTAAGGTGTGAGTGTAGAGCACAAATCAAGGCTTCAAGGAATTTCACAGCTCCGTTGAAATAAGGTTTCTGAAAAATTAAATAAAGGCAGAACTTCACTTCTTTTGCAGTAACATAAAAGAATTTTTGCTTTCCATTTTGAATCGGTCTTAAGAAATCGGTCTAACTAGCTTCTTTTCACATGTCAGTTCATAGGCCTAGTAGATGTCAAACGTTTAGGGGGAGGAATAGTATGGGTCTTTTTCTTAAGGTTCTTTTTATTTATGACTTAACGGACATTTTAAAAAATATGTGAAATAATGGCAAGTAAACAAAAATAGAAAATGTATATTGTCTATTCTATTGTCGCTTTGCAATAATCCCAGGATTGCGACATTTATAACATCTTACTTTAAATAATTTTAATCCTAGGCTAAATCAATTTGCTATTTTTAGCCGTTCGGTTTTCTGGGGTAACATCAACCATTGACAGCTTGCAAAATTTTCAAGCATCTGGTTGGAATTATGTGAAGAGCTGGAACTCCAATGCAGATGTTGGTAAACCTGGTATATTTCTGGCAGGTAAGATGTTTTATCGCTGTGAGGCCATACATATTGATTAAATCGTTATCAACCACACAAATTTTTCAATTATTGGCTGGCAATTTTTGAATGAAAGTGACCTATGGCCGCACATTTTCTACAAAGCCTCTTTTCATAATTAGTCGCTATATTTTGCCATTTACCCTAATATTTCGTCCCAAATTAGGCAGAATGCACTTTTTGAATATTCTAAAGTAATTTTGCTCAGAATTCAAATGTAAGTTAATTTTGCCCTAGATATTTATTTGAATGTTTCAATGCAAAAGTTAATATTTTAGTGGCAAATGATTTGCTAGCATAAAACGATTACAATAGGCTGTTGCGAATTCAATTTTCCAATTTTATGTGACAAACAAATATTATACCATTTTGTTCGTTTTTCTAGTTTAATAGTTTTTTTGTTTACGTTTTATTCGATGAGCATTATACAAAATATATCAAAAGCAACAAGTTATTGTTTCCCTGAAAGATAAAAAACCTGCTAGCTTTTTAGTAACTGATTCACCCCCCTGTACACAAGCAAAGAACGTAGCTGTAATTACTATCAAATGCGCGTGCTCGTTGAATGTTTGGACGGGGGTGTAAACAAGCCATTAAAGGCACAATGTCCCGAAACATTTCGCTGGCTATTTGAATTTCTCATTGGTTGAACTACACAATAGTTCTATTGCTACGTATCCAATCGGCAACGTAAGGCTGATTTGCAATGTTCTGTCGATCATAAATGCGCTGCAAAGCCTATTGCTAACTCTGAACGATTGACTGAAGGGACATAGTGCCTTTAACGTTCTGAGAGATGCATTACATCTTAATTTCTCAAATTTTATTTGTTTTTAAGGCTTCTCAAAGAGCAGCGATGATAGCACGTATGTGGTGAATATTCCCGGTGTCTACTACATCAGCTATAGCCTACACCTAAAAACAACCAGCCAATCAAATATTATCGGAGGTCTTGTAATTGACTCAGACTTGAAGTCTGGACTTGCACTTCAAAGCTATGGCAATGCCAACGGAGCCTCGTCAAGCCTTGCAGCGGCTGGGTTTATCAGACTCACGAGTTTTAATAACATCTCAGTTGCATTAAAAGCGATGGATGGGCAAAGCAATGCTGTCGAGCTGCTACCAGGGAGCTCCTTCTCAGTAGCATCAATAACTACAGCTGGAATGGTTCCAGCGTTTTCATTCAGTTTAACAAAAGATTTGACTTTTGAGAACAACAATACAAGGCTTGTTACAGGTTGGTCTGAGGACAAAAAAGGCGAGTTCCATGTTTCAACTGGCTTCATTAATTCCAAGAATTATGTGCAAGTGATTTGTGATGGAATATATCTCTTTTCAGCAAACATGATAATAAAAGGACCGTTGAATAGCAAGGCCGTTCTAACGTTCACCGTGAACCTAGCAACGTTGCATGAAATCAAGTTAAGTTTTCAAAATCAAACAACTCTGAGTGTTAACATTCATCAAATAATGAGCTCGTATAAAGCCGACATTGTGAAAATTTCCATAACGTCATTTAACTCTAAAGTAGAGATCTTAAAGGAGAGCAGTTTTTCAGCTTCTTTGATTAATAAAATTTCTCAACATACGACTGGTTTCGCATCATTCCTGAGGTTTAATTTTACAATACCAGGCAACAATGCACACTTGCCAATCGCTGGCTGGCCCACAGACTTTAATGGAGTGGCTGAATTCAAATCCCCGAATCTCTTTGCTCAACTTGTTAATAACAAACAGGATTTCAATCCACCACAACGTGGAATTTACCTTATAACTACAAATTTGGTTGTGCAATGTGATGTTGTGACATGTACAGATGTTACTGTTTCTATATATTCACCTGCTTCTAAATTTGCCTTAGCATCAAAAACAATAACTAGAAATTTTGGACCACATCAGTCGGTCTATATTTCTGTTACATCCGCTGCAGATATAACAAGCACAAGCTCATTTGCTGTTGCTGTCAAATCAAAAACAGGAAAAGTATTTGTTATGCCTGGATCAAGTTTTGCTGTTTGCCAGTTGCCAATATATTACCCAGGAATGCTTGCAAGGTTGACCAAGCCAATCTCATTTTCAGTTATCAAAAAATGGGAAACTGTCACTGGCTGGAAAACATCTCAAATTAAAGGCGATTACGACTTTTTCGGAAACATGAATGAAACCAGTGGCAAATATGAAATTCCATTGGATGGAATTTATCTATTATCAGCTAACGTAATAATAGTAGATATGGAACAGGCAGAGGCATTCATTACAGTTGGAAAGACGTTTGATTTGACCAAAGGTTTTTTCACTTCGACTGGAAATCCACAAGCAGTGACAACACTCAATTTTGGTGGACTTATGAATCTCAAGAGGGGAGATCAGTTTATCTGACTATCAAATCAGATTCAGACTCTGATTGGTCAGTGAAAGAGAATTCTGGGTTTTCCGTAGCATATATCGGACAAAGCTCGCATGCTCTACTTGCTTCTGTGAAAGACCAGATACTGGTTCGAAATACTGGCTGGACCAAGATATCATCATTGCAAGCAGAAATCAACAACGGTGGATCATTCCAAACCAACAGCGGACAATTTGTTATTCCTGTCTCCGGTGTTTATTATGTGATGGTAAATATCATACTACAGGATGCTGACCAGGTAGAATCAAGCTCAAAATATAAAATTGCGATTCGTATTAATGGTATCCCAGTCAGTGGATTGTCTGCAAGCCGAGTTCCAATGATCACACCACCAAGGCGTCGATACTACCCCTTGTTCTTGAGCGGCTCATTCAAAGCTACAAAGGGTGACGTCATCTCTCTAGCAACATACTCAGCTGTAGACTCGTCATATGCGATTCTTGTATCGAGCAGCTGGTCCATGTTCTTGGTCGCTGAAGATGGTAACAGTGATCAAGTTGGCTTTGCTGGACCAAAGAAGAGCACTCAAAATATGTTCTCAACTGAGGCTAGTTCCTGGTTCGATGTCAACAACTGGCAACCTTCATCGTCTAACCTTGGCTCATTTTATACACCATCAAAAATCAATTTTGACGACAGTAACATGGCGATAATAAAGACAACAGGGTTTTATCTGATATCAGCAAATGTTGAAATCCAGCATTCTTCAGAAGCACCACCGGTTATGAAAATTGCACTTTTCATACAAAATGAATTGCAACAAAACGGTATCACGTACGAGAATATTCGTGGATGGAATTCTTTTTCGATGCATTTCAATGGAGTTGCTTTCCTAATCGAAGGTGATACTGTGTCTTTGAAGATTACTAGCACGAGTAATTTTGATGGACTTGTCATTAATCAAGAAAGCGGATTTTCAATAACAAGACTACCGGTTGCAGAGCTCTTTCCAGCAGCATCGCTCACTGCTTTGGTAAGAATGTCTTACGCGTTGCTTTGATTATATATGCGTTTTCATACCTTTTGACGTGATATATTGTCAGTCTGTATGCTGAAATGTTAAAAAATAGTTACCACTTCTGTTTCACTTCATTTAAAAGATGATAGACTAGTCATATTTTCCCTTTATTCATTGTTGATTTCGTGCAAAGCTATTTTCATGTAGAAATCCTAGGTCAAAAAGGCGTCCTGCTGAGATTCGAAGAACAAAATCATAATTTTCATCGAATTAAAATTTTATAAGTTAGCAAAAGTTCAAATTTATTTTGGTTTTCGTATTATCAAGTTTTTATGATTCTTTCTATACAGGATGCTTGTTCCTTTACTTTAAATGATGGACTTGGACAAAGCAAAATGTTAAATTTCATTCAATCGTTATTGAATGAAACTTTGATATTTTATTGCATGGTTGTGCTTTTTTTAGGCAAAGTTCAAAATCCCATTGGCAACAAGTCTTCCTATTAAAGTATGGACGGCAGAAAACAGTGAAGCCTCATTTTCATTTACAAGTGGCAAGAGGTACAACAAAACCTCAGGTATATTTCGGGTTAACACGGCAGGTTACTACCTCATCTCTATGAACCTCGTTCTACAGTCACAGTCACATAACAAGACCAACATCAGCCTCACAATGATGCATGGCAGCGGAAGTGATACGTTTGAGCTGACAATGACGAATGGGTAAACATAATTATGCTTAATGAATGAAAAATCTTGAGTATTTCTGAAATGCTAAAGAATCTAGTTGTGATAATTTTACTTTGCAAAATAATTTTAAGAACTTGATTGCAATTTACGATTATTATATGTAAAAATTCCGCTGTTAACTCTAATGTTGATTGATGTGTGTAATTTGCCAAAAAAAGCTTCTGTCTGGTGTCGTGCTCTCAGAGGCTACGCAGGGTTAGGCCGGTTTCAAATATGGTCAATGGAAATTGCGGCATCATTTCTTGCAAAAATAGAAACTGCCTGAAAAACTTTGGAGAAAACAGATTTGTGACATTCATGAAGTGTTTACAAAGAATGATTGCCAATGCTTACGTCCATTTCACCTCTTCACCTCTCCGAAGTTAAATTCTGATAAGAGACGTGAATTGATTAGACGTTTTAACAGGTACAAGATGGATTTGAAATTTCCATTCTTATGGCTGCCTCAATGAGAAATAGACCAGCAGCAACATTATTGCATATATGGGACATGCTTCCTATACACGATTGCATATTTGGGACATGCTGAAACAATTTTCCCTGAATTTTTCTCTCTGCATATCCAAAGCTTATATGGCGGATCAGGGATTCTTTGCGACGGTCTGCATGAAGATTTTAGAGGGTAGTATTTGCTGCTGTTTCCACAACTGGGGCCTTGTTTTCATAAGCGATGAACGCTGTTGCAGCTAACTCAAGTTTACTCTCCATAATTTTGAGTCCTCTCAGGCTGAGGAAATTTTTGAGCTCTTTCATTTGCGAAAATTTGTCGTGATTCATCGTGCGCAAGCTTTCTCGATCGGCGACCTCCCTACCCTGTTAGAACACCATAATTGACAGAAGCTTTTAAAAGACATGCTTTCGAGATAAAAGACTACGAAAGATGTTTAAAAAGAAAATTCCGAATACTTTTGATGCGAATTCGGGCAATATTTAGTCGCCAGTAAACGCCGTATCTATATGTAGACATAGGCCTGTGGCAACTTTTTCACCGAATTACTCGCCCCAGTCTCTTTATGCAGAATAAGCGTGCGGATATCGAAAAGGGGGAATTGCAATAACAGAAAAAAACACAAATCAATAATAACATGACTCAGAATGATCATGATTATAATTATGCAATACAATGGACCGTCAAATGTTTTTTGGCTTTCAGATCAGTATCAAGTTTGTCATCAACTATTCTCAAGTTTCAAGAAGTCGGTAGCACCATATTCATAGCAACGAACATTTCCTTGCCATTTGGGAACTTTGCCAGCTTCAACAATTCTACCTCGTTTCCGTCATCAGATATTGTCCTACAAGAAGGAAGCAGTTTTTCTGCCATCCACTTTCCGCTGAAAACAACAGCAGCAACAACGTCTGAAGCTGTTTATGCAAACAGCTACTCGTACAGCAAAGCAACAATAACAGAGCTCTCTGACTGGACGGTTTCATCGGAGGTTGATAAATCCCCTGCGATTTATAGAGCAGACAAAGATGGTATCTACTTTCTAAGTATGAATTTGAAGTTAATTGAATTCATCGGCTGTGTGACATTTTACTTCAAGTCAAACCGAGGCAACATGGCAACATCAACAGTCACTTGTAAAAAGCATTGCCGGGAGTACATTACACTGAACAATTTTGTTCGCCTGCGCAATGGCGACAGACTATCGGTCTTCATGCACCTGGAGCCTAACTCTTATTTGACAATTGCTAAAGATAGTCGTAGAACAATAACATACATGCGACCTTATGAGGAAGAAACGGGCCTAAGTGTACGGATAATTAACACATCATTGGCACCTGCAACTATGGGCCATTGGGTACCATTATACGAGTATTCACTTGGAAATGACACTCATGGAGTGTTTGATGCCCGGGGAAATTATTCGTCTTTTGAAGGCATGATAATACCATCCACTGGTGCATACCAAGTTATCGTCAACCTCGTGATGCTTTTCGCGAATAGTAGCAGCGGGTAAGGAGATGGATTATAAAAACTAATTATATAATTAATGAAACATTCATACAGTTTTATCTATCCTGTAGAATTTTGATGGTTGTAGAGAATAATTTCTGCTAATTCAACATTTTTTATTAGAAAATTTGATGCGAAGTTGCCTTGTCAAGATTTTGGTTGGTGACGGTGGTGCAATGTAACCAAGTGCCTTGTCTTGACATTTTCATGCTTAGAACATGCCCCTCTCAGACGGTATTCAAAGTTACTACAAGATCTTCTTACAAGATCGTACACAATACGTTGCATAAAGCAAACATAGCTAATATTTGCTAGATTGATATTTCAAATTCATTCACTACTATTTACGTATACGTATCTTTTAAGAATAAGGAACTTTTTTGACAGAATGGGGACAGTTGAGATCGTCGTATCAAAGGATGGTGCAATTTCTACAACTGGTGGATTGTATATGAAAAAGAAGTTTCAAGTAGGGCAAAACTTCACAATGCATGTAATGTCAAGCGTTGTTCTGCCAAAATGGACGAAACTTAAACTCTTTATTCGATCCGATGCCGATGTTTATATTCAAGAAGGCAGCACTGTGGCACTTGCATATCTAGGTAATTATTTGCTCTACATTTTATGCTATTGCCAGTGAATTTTGATGTCATATTCAGTTAGAAGTATGCAAGGGTTCTTATCTATTGAAAGCTAAAGTAATGAATACACCAAAAATAACCCGCTGTGTTAAAGTAGATATTGATGATTAGCGTCTGCAAGAGGTAGCTGTTTGCTTTCATTGAGCCTTTTGCTTGCGCTAAGGGTAATAAACTTTAGCTGGTATATTTTCCAAGACCATTGTTCCTTTTCGCAGGGATAGGTCTTCGTGCTAGTTAAAGTTCTGTGTTCTGATGTATTAATTTTCTTTTTCCAGACTAGCATTTCAAAATGAAGTCCGGTGCTCTATGTGATTATTTCCAATAGAGTGTTGGAATTATTTCCACAGTGCTAGCCCTATTGAAACTGCATTCTGAATGAGAATCGTAAAATCTGACAGGAGACTAATAAATTTGGTAGAATAGCAAGTTCTATTCATGATATATGTTTGTTTTAGATTCGATAATACGCGAAATATGCAGAGACGAGGGACCAGTTATGGGAGACCCTTTGAGACCAGCGTATATCGCTTCAGCAATTGTTGGAGAGAAACGCGAATGGCGATGTCAAGCCTTTGGAAACAAACCCGCAAAGCATCTTTGGTACAAAAATAATCAGGTATCCAATTTGGAAAAAAATGGAGTAGCTTTTAAATAGACTTTATCAGTACAGTTTATTGTATGTTCATGGGAAACTTTTAAATAGTTTCCATATTACAGTGTTCTATTACTTTATCACTTGTTTTTAAGAAACTGAACTAAGAGTTTTATACAAGGGTACCTACAATCCCGGACAAAAATGGTTGAGACTTTTCAAGGAAAGCCTATATTTTCACTTTTCTTTAAAAACTAACTTCCCCCCTCCCCCAATTCAATATTGAATGCATGATTTTGAAGGAGAAATGATAGAACTACAAATCCAACATGCTTCGGGGGGGGGGGGGAAGCGGGGGTTCGAATTTACAAGGGCAAGGTTAAGTAGAAAATAACAAAAATTGCATTTTGTATCAACATTTTTGTCTGGGATTGTAGATATATATTTGTTTAATAGTACTGGAAATGTACTGATGACCTATAAGCCGTCTTTATTCTCATATTGGTGGAAAATATCTGAGATCGCGGCAAATCAAGATAACTGTTTATGTAAAAAGGCATTTGCAATAGCATGTTAAAAAAATGTTTGTAAGGTTTTTCTAAAAATACTTTGAAGAAAGGCATCCTCTGAAAAGCATTCTACTACTACTTCTTTTAAGAAGATCTATCAAGTGCATCGCGAGTGCATCTTTGGTAGAAGATATATTAGATAGTACGGATAATTAAGTTGAAACAAGGACGACCAGCAATGTTTTAAATCTCAAAAGAACTGCATCAATACGGTTTCCACGCTTGAATTTTGACATTTAAACAAGAGCCCTGAGCAGTAATAATAATAATGATGTTGACAGGTTATATGTAGGAAGAAAGGACGGTGGAAGGGGGCCTACTTCTATTGAGCAGTGTGTTGAGAATTCTGTGCTCGGTTTGAGAGATATGTTGAGAACAGTAACGAAAAGCTGTTAAGAGCAGCAAAAGATTGGTATGAAGAATCTGAAGAATCTGTGTATGACCTTAAACAACGCAGAGCAGCAGAAAGAAAGGAGAGGTGGAAAGAGAAACCAATGCATGGACAGTTCATAAGACAAACGAAGGGTATAGCAGATGATATGTCTAGGCATGGCTCAGAAGTGGAATATTAGAACGAGAAACTGAATCACTGACTACCGCTGCACAAGATCAATGCATTCGGACAAATTACATCAAGGCAGAATAGATGAAACCCAGGAAAATAGCCCATGTCGTATGTGTGGACAACAAGAAGAAACGGTAATGCGCATCATTTGTGAATACACGAAACTTGCACAACAGGAGTACAAAAGGAGACACGATTTGGTAGGAACAAAAATCCATTGGGAATTATGCAAGCAGCTAGAATTCAATCATGCTGTGCAGACGGGTCATCATATAGAAGCTAGAAGGCCTGACCTCATAATTGTTGACAAAGAAAAGAAGACATGTCAGATTGTGGATTTTGCAATACCTGGAGATCACAGAGTTGAAATGAAAGAACGAGAAAAAAGAGAGAAATATCAAGATTTGGCAAGAGAACTACAAGTTCTATGGAATAAGAAAGTAACTGTTATTCCAGTAGTGATCGGGGCTTTGGGAACTGCCAGTGCTTAAAGCAGAAGTATACGATAATGATAATAATAACAGTAATACTGAATCTTTATACAGGATTTTACATGTTATGCTGTTGTCAATGTGTTAAGATAAATTGCTATTACATCCTAAATGTTATTGTTCCTAGATTATCAGCAAGAAAGAATACTTACAAATAGATGGGAACTTAAACGACACAGGAAGATACCACTGTGTTGCCAGCATAGATGGAATAATGGCAGAATCAAATCAAGTTCAGGTGCAGATTTATGGTAAGACAACAACATTCTGCTTTGTTTTGCTCTACAAGTTTGTCTTCGAATTCATATCGCGAAGCAACGATGGACGGAAGCATACATATTCTGAGTAAGGGAAATTGATGATCCCCTGTCATTTACCTAGTAAACTACTGCTGACATTGAGAGCAGCAAAAGATCAGTTAAGAGATGAACAATTTCAGCATGTAATGCAAAGATAGATTACAGAAATTAACAGTTAACGTTTGGTTCTTTGTTATTAGTTCTCTTTAAACCACATTGCTAAGGATGAATGAGAGCCAGACATTTTAAACCAAAAGATGTGATTATATGACCACGCAGGTAAAAATATCTTGTTATTTTTGTTTAGATGTTGACGAGTGTCATTACAAGAACCATACATGCGATTTGAATGCTACATGTGCGAATACACTTGGTTCATTTACATGCACGTGCAATGCTGGATTTGTAGGAAATGGATTCAAGTGTAATGGTAAGTGAATAAAAAAAAAGTAAAATTGAAAATTAATAAGTCATTCGCACATATAATTGACAATCGACAATGCATCGGACAAATTGTTTCTTTGTATATATTTTATTGTACTGCTTCTCTACAACGTACCTTAAAAACGAAGAGTAGCTAACAAAGGTTCACTTCTGAGCCTGAAGTAATAGCTGACAATGTAGGGATCTTAGAGTTCTTCGAGATTTGAATACAGTAGATATCCAGTAATTCTCGATAAGAAGCAGCGTGCCAATATCTCTCAGAATGTTTCTAGTTGGCTTGTGGAGAAAGCTAATCCCTACTAAGAAAGCTAATGTTTCTAGCGATGAACATATTAACTCTTGACTGAATCGTATATTCATTATTAGCAGTAACAACCGTTAGTCGTTAGAGAAGACCAGTAGAGAGAAGAGCAAGGAATTTCAATTGATCATCATATCTTGGATAAACCTTGTTTATCGAGCATTGCAAATATATGAATATGCAAGTTTAACATCAATTCATATTCAAGATGTCTCATTTCTAGATACCAACGAGTGTTCCCTTGGCACACATAATTGTGCTAACCACTCTATGTGCATCAACACACAAGGGGCATTCAACTGTCGCTGCTTGGATGGTTTCTTTGGAGATGGAGTAAAGTTCTGCAATGGTAATTTTGCGCAATTTGAGAAAATTATACTTGCATCTATAACTTGACCATTATACATTATAATTGGTGATCTACATGTTGAAAAATTCAATTGCTGTGGGCTTTGATTTTCTTAGAAATTCTTTAGCAGAGGTTAGATGAAAATTATGAGTTACAGCCACAAAAAAACGAGAACTTATATGAGATAATAAAGATCTTGAGCATCATTGTTTTTAAAAATATACAGTTATTTTGTCTATCAATAAAATATTGGCAACAACAGCACAACATGACAACAAGCTCATTGTAAAGCTCGATCTGGTTACGAATGATTTTGGCACATCGGTTAGTCATATAGGCCTTTATCTTGCTGGACAATGACAAGGAAAATGTTATAGAAGCAACATAATGAATTTTAGTACACAGGCTTCCGTAGATAATTTACGTCACAGGTATGTTATCTGAGTAATCTTTGATAGATGACGTCGTTCCTTGTTTTAGATATTGACGAATGCCTATTGAGCTTGGACAAGTGCGATAGACACGCAACATGCAACAATCTTGTTGGAACTTATAATTGTACTTGCAACAAAGGGTGGTTTGGATCTGGTTTTACCTGTTTAGGTAGGACATAGATATGATCTTTGTTTACGTTTTGAGCATACACTCTTAAAAAAAAGCTGTTAATTTATTCCATACGCTAGTAAAAAACATCAAGACACTTTTTATCGAGACAACATCGTAAAAAACGTTTTTGATATTGCAAGGAGGCTAGGCCAAGGCTCCTCCGTTCATTAAGTTAGACAGTGCGCAAAAGAATCGAGAACTAACGTCGTTGGTCTAAGTATGAAGCTTTCTTCACAAATTTTGACGGTAATAGGACTCGAGCTGGAAAACAGAAATTCTATTCCACGGCAAGAAAAAATTCAAGAACATAATCTTCGAGAATTATAGGCTCATTCTTCTTTCTATTCTCATTCTTTCTTCTTCTTATCTTCCTTAATCACTTTTTCTTCTTCATCTTCTTTTTCTTTTTCTTCTTTCCCTTCTTCATCTTCTCCATCTTCTTTATATTCTTTCTCTTCTTTTTCTTTCTCTTCATTTTACTTTTTTTCCTTTCTCCTCTTCTTCTTCTTTCTCCTCAGCTTCCATTTCATCTTCTTCTTTTCGCTTCTCCTTTTTCCTCTTCTTCTCCTTCTTTATTTCTTTTTTTATCTTCTTTTTCCTTTCCTAACCTTGTCTTGACGTTGTCAGCTATCGAAATCTTCCATCGTCAACGTTTTTTATCTCTTACAACTTCTGCAGTGTGATTTAGCTTCTTTCAAAACATTTTTGACATCTTGCTGTCGACTTTCTGCGTTCACGGTTCCTTTGAACGGTTGTGTTTGCAACTCTTTAGCAGACTTTTCAGTTTATATTTTTCCTAGCTTTTCTGCGCCATATGACACATTTTTAAAACGTAAGGCCCATTAAGCTTCATTGATTATTTAAAAGACATTTAAAACCCACACCAAAGGCTTCTAAACTTTTTTGACCCAGGCAAGATACTGTACCAAAGTGTCTTTTAGATGGTATTTTATTTAAAGAATGAGAATCTAATCAAGTTTTTTCTCTGAAAAAGATGCAAACGAATGCGCTTTGTTGACACACAATTGTGACAAGAATGCCTACTGTAACAATACAAATGGAACTGCAAAGTGCACCTGCAAAGAGGGCTTTGTTGGAAATGGAGTCGCGGGCAACTGCTCTGGTAAGACCCCTCTTATTCTGCATTCTTATTCACAAGTCTTAGTCATATTCATGCAAACACCTACAAATATAAAAGTTTATTTTGTCTTAAAAAGGTATTTTCTATAAAGTGCATTGATGGTTAACTTGGGGAATCTAAGTCTTTAGAATTTTCTTTAAGAATCCAATTTTGTTTATTGAAATATATTTGTAAATGTCAATGATATTTTAGGACAACGATTTAGAGCTTTCAGGAATTGGCATTTCAAAGCTATACTCACTAAGCCAAAAATATCTTATGTATATTTGATTATAGAATAAGTGCAACCATTTCTTACAATGTACCAAATTTTTCAAGTAAGGTGTAGAACGAGAAAAAAAATCTAATTGAGTAGCAAGAATTATGCTATTTGATGCTAAGTTGATTCAACGCTCTTTCAGACATAAACGAATGTCTTCTGCTGCCAACTGCAACTCCAGCTACATTAAAAAATGCGTCATCACCAAACAAGCTGTACTGTGACGCATTTGCTGACTGTGTCAATTTGCAAGGGAGCTACACCTGTCGCTGCAAAGCTGGCTTTATTGGAAATGGAACGAGCTGTCAAGGTTATCATTTTCACTTTTGCTTTTCTTTTGTGCTATACTGAGTTAAACCGTTTAAATTTCTTAATTTAAGCCCTACCAAAAGCCTATCTAATGGGAACAATTTGATAACATTTCCGCCTATATTATAAAGATTATAGAGTCACAATTTTTCAGTGAGAAGAATGGTGTCATTGAGAATTTTGAAAATCTACTTTGGCAGGGACTTTAAAAAGACCTAAAAACACACATGAAATTATTTTCCAAAGCGCGTGTTTACCAAGATTTAGTGTCCTGCGTAAACATAGACTTTAGTGAACCATTTCTAGAGGGATAAACTGCACGTGGGTATGGCTTTCTTTCCACAATGCCACATTTGTTTTCTAAACACCAATCCTGACAAATTGATCATCTTTAAACCTATATTGACTTTTTTGCAGATATTAACGAATGTGAGCTTGGAAGTCAGTCAATTAAATGCGCACAAGTGGCTGACTGCATAAATCTGCCTGGCTCTTATCAGTGCAAATGCCGAGCTGGATATACCGGAGATGGCATCCAGTGTGCAGGTTAATGTTTCTTCTTTCCTTATTCTCTTTTAACAGACCTGGGAATCCTACCGCCCGCGGGCCAAGTCCGGTTCTTTAGACGTTCCAGTCCAGCCCGCGTAAGTGCATCGACAATCAAAACATTAACTTTTCTAAGACTTTTTCTCACTTGACCTACACCACTACTTCAAATTTTTATATACACATTTTATATGTATATATTTATATATCTTTTGGACAATAGGTATCGGCTAAAATAAAGTATAATTTGTTGCTTTTTACATTGGAAGAAGAAAACGAATATTGTGCAGAGGAAAGTTATCGTTGGTTTGGCCCCCCAACACCAGTCAGGTTTCTCATGTAGCCCCTTAATTGCCCATGCCTACCCTATAACAAGACAAAACACGGTAGTTCAATTTGGAATTTCTTACCTTTACGTTTTTTCCGATATTTTCAATGTTTACTATTGACTTTTGGTTTCTTCTGCAATTTCAGACCTTGATGAATGTGCCATCAAAACCTTTGTATGCGATCCTCTGGCAAACTGTTCGAATACATACGGCTCGTACCAATGCAGTTGTCCCAAAGGGTATATTGGTGACGGAAAGACCTGTGCAGGTTTGTAATACCTACTTGTAATATAATAGAAATATACAAGACTGCACAGACTGCAAAATACTTATTTTCTAGCATTCATTGATAAAACTACCTGAATCAAGTTTGCATGTAGCATTTCTCGCTTAAAAACCCCGCTGTCACAAGAGAATTGCTTAGTTCTCATGGGGGCCTACTAGAATGGAACGTCTCTTTTAACGTGGTGAAAGACAATGAACATGCTAACTGAACAATAGGTTAAGCGTAAAAACAATAAGAATACTTGATGTTATTGCTATCGTTTTCATGAAAGGTGCTTGCCTCTTCGACAAATCAATACTTTTGCTTGCATCTTGTTTGAGAGGGAAAACGATAGTTTATAATAGTTATTGCTGAAAAAGGTATTAGTTAATATCTGCATTGCAAAAACTTTCTAGAGACTAGAGATACAGCATTATCCTATAATTAAAATCCCTACCAATTTATTTCTAGACAACGCTGAAATTGGTAAATCAACTGACCCGTGTGTAAAAGATTCCACGTCTTTGACATGCATTTGCAAAAATTCAAAGACACGTGATCAGAACATACTTTGCAATGGACTCTTCGTGGCGATCATTATCCTGTCAGTTGTGGCAATAATTGTTATTTTGTTTGTTATTAAGTATATAAAATCAAGAAGGAATATCAAGATTGGACCAGTAAAAACTGCAAGAGGAAAGTACATAGAAATGGAAGACGAGTCTGAAGTATGAATATATTTTCACTCTGATTCATTGAATCCGAGTCAGAGTTTATCTTTATGGCAGCAACTATATGTGGATCGAGAACGTTTTGGACACTTGACATCAACTATTTTCAAATATTTTGACATCAACAGTGAATTTTTAAAATGATATGATACGAACTTAACCTGTAATTATGTATAAAACTTTAAAAGTAGTAGCATTGATCTCTTCCCAAATGATATTTCTAGCTAAACTTGAAACAGAGATGTGGAAACTGTAAGCAAACAGAGCGATTTCTTTCATAAAGAAGGTTTTATCTAGGTTTCGTTTGAGGCAGCCATTAAAGAGGGAAGGAAAAGCAATCCAAGACTCAGGTTTATTTAAGAGAATAGATAGAATTCTCGAAATGTTGACGCCATAAGAATATATAATTCAGAAATTTTGGACTTAAAGTACAAATCAATTAAATATGATACTAATCGGTTAAGATACTTCTTAATATCACACTTCCCTTACCAATGTTGATAGCTGTTAATAATTTTCTTTATGAATGCATCTCTGGTTCAGCGTCTATACCTCGGCTAATATTTTGTAGATTAAACAAAATTCTCAAATGTAGGCCTGTTTTTCAATTCTTTCCGATCTAAGGTCCAACTTCTAAGGGCCTGTTTACAAGTGACCGGATCCAAACAGCATCGGATCCAAACAGCATCGGATCTCATTTTTCAGAGTGCGTTTACACGGGATCGGATCCGTATGGATCCAAGTTGAGCGGGTTTGTGTGCGCAATCAATTACGAAATTTTGGCGCCAATTACAAGGATACCATATAGGATGCACCTCGTAATGTACAATTTTCGCCTCATTTTGGATCCGTACATGTTTAGATCCGATCCCATATCGTTTACACGAGACCTTTTTGGGATCGGATCCAAACGGGACCACCTTCAAAAGCGATCCCAAACGGGTACGGATAGCAGATCCAAATTGGATCGGATCCGCCAGGTCCCGTGTAAACCCAAAGCCTATCCACTGCTAAGCCAAACCCTAAGCCTAAGCCAAACCCAAATTCACTGCTCACTTTGGGTACGGATCCATGTGGATCCGATCCTGTGTAAACAGGCCCTAAAACTACAACTGATGACGACATTTTTTCTCCACTCTTTAGTGAATAGTGATAACCAATATATACAAAGTAAGCAGTGAATTTTTACGGCCTAACTCTGGTGCAGAACACAATTGTTTACGTTTGACATATTATTGGCGTATGACCAAAGATAGTAAGATGAAAATAAGGAAATTAGCCTATTAGGTCCGTTTTCACAAATTTTGTAGCAAAATTGCATTTAAACTGATCAAACTGAAACAATTACTTAATTACGTTGGTTTCTGCTATCAGTAAAAGAAATGAGAGCACTTTCACTTTGTAAAAACTTGCAAACACTAAAAAATTTTAGCAATAAAGTTAACTTTATATTCCCCAAGCAGTCTTTTGTTAAGAACAAATTAAAAATGATTAAAGCTTTTGTCAAAAGAACGACTGAAACGGGTTTTATGGTATTCTGTGCTTGTTTTCCTTATAAAATTGTCAACTGTAAATGCAGTATGATTTTTACTTGTAGGAACACATAGCATATTCTTTTGTGTTCACATGGAACATAGCTCACTTAAGTGTCCCTTTCAAAGATACTTACCCTGTTTGGCAAAAATAGGCAGCTTATGTGTAGTGTAGACCTCTGGTATGCAAATGGGGTGCTGAGAATGCTGTTCAATGAAAAGATACATACAGGCCTTGGAGGGGGGATTACTTGTCCAATCACCTCTGCGCCCTTACAAATCTGTGATTGCTGATGATCATCATTTCATGGTGATCTTCTTGTCATTTCAAGATCATCCACCCAGAAAACTCACAACTGCTGAATATATGTTAGTATTCAACTTGACTGACATTTCAACAACTTATCTAGTTTTAGTGTACATAGTATTTAGGTGCTGAAATGCAAAGGGTTTTGCGTAAACCCCTTACCTTGTCTTAAAACAAGTTTTGAATGAGACTTCTTTCAAGATTGTGCCAAAAACAAGCAAAAAGAAAATCACAAAGTCTTGTTTACAAGTACTAAAATATTAAAATGATAAATTAGCTACTGCCAAAGTAAGACAACTAGATATATCAGTAAATGCTAACATGAATTTGCTTAAAATGCAACAAGCAGAGGATAAAAGCCCTTAACTTTGCAATCCTTACAATCATGTGGTTACTTTACTTTCTAAAACAATAATATCTTACACGTCTTTAACTTAAATGGGGCAGAAACCTTGGGTAAAAATCATTCTTTATAATTGATAGGTAAATAAAACAGTAAATTATCACAAGGAGGTCCAATTCTTAAATTCAAATGACATTTTCCACACACTGTTTCACTCTAATTGGGAACAGATGTGTTCCATTGGTAAAAATGCCATAAATAGTCAAGCTTGGACAAGGGAAGATACTAATGATAGTCTAATAAATGAATTAAGGCATCAATTTTCTAAGTAACTTTTCGTATCAAACAGTCTTTCGTCCTGTAATTGTGCACAAGTTATCATTTATCATAAATAATCCTTTAAATGGTAAGTTTGCTTGTTTATATGTGTCCAATATGATTTCATGATTTAGCTTCCATTCTCATAATCATCATCAATCTTGTCTCCAACACCATCTTCATGATTTTGTGTGTCCTGTTGGTCCTCATCTTCATGATTCCGCTTTGGAGACATTGATCTTGAGCGCGATCTTGACTTTCCACCAGATGCACTTCTACTTCTGTAGAAGCAGAGAAATGTTTTAAACATCTGACTTCTTTTAACATACATATATGCATTAAAATTATGAAATAAGAGCTAATGATATAATAAAGGTGACAAGGTGTTTTAAATTAAAGTATCAGAGGAACAGTATCAAAATTGGCTGATCACCAACTCTCCCCAACCAAAGCAAAATTAAACAAAAAATGCCTCAGATGCATGAGACCTGTGACAAAACCTGTGCAAAAATGCAAAATGGTAGATCAATAAATGAGGAAAGTGAAAGAAAGTTGTTTAACCTTTTTCTTGTTCTTTCCTTCGATTCTGATCTTGATCGTTTCCTATAAAGATTAGAAAAATTTTTGCCATGAGAATGTGAAGAATGAAACTTGTTCCTCTTGGCATCTTGTTAATTGAACACAAAGAATATGTTTGCTCTGACTCAGAGCCACGTGGATGGAGGCATGCCCTTAATTACAAGGAGACAGAAACACCTTTATAGACCTGGGCATCCTACTCAATATAACCCCTCTCAATATAAAAAGGTATCAACAGTCAACAACCAGTTTCCTTTGTTTTCAGTGGTATTGTAGAAATTAAACTGGCAGTAGCATCATTATGGCTAAACCCTCAATTTCCTCAATTGACAGTTTCCAAAAACACATTTTCATATTGGTCTTGACCAAATTGAAAGAATGCAAAAATGATGATCACATAACAATATAAAACAGAAACTTGTGCACTCTTGTCTTTTGTGTCTTTTGCATGCAAAACACTTTTTGCAATGAGTTTTTGAGTGTCCTGGCATATGTTATTGCCCAGATAAAACATATATATAGGTTAAGATCTATACATATATTTATAGCCCATTAAAGTTCACTAGACAGGATTTTTGCAGTCTAGCTTACCTGTCACGAGATCTTGATCTTGATGTTGAATGTCTTCGTCTGTCATCTTTCTTTTGCCTTGATCTTGATCTAGACCTGGATCTAGACCTAACAAATATTGAACATTGATCAATAGCTTTGTTGTGTATGATATTTGATTATTTTCTTTTATAAATACAGCAGAAAATTTACACAAGGCCTCTTCATCTAGGGTACAAATTCCAAACATACACATTTTGCAAATATTCTGAGAAGCTGATATGCACAAAGATGCATCGCATTCTCTTCCATCCTTTTTCATTCAACAACTTTTCTAGAGTACATAAGGATATGAAAATGTAACATCACAATGGGATGGGACCATTAGTGCACAAGAGCACTAGTCAGTTTCAACAAAATCTCTGTTACTTTAAAGTAATATTTGCAAATGCATGTAAAATTATAATTTTAATAATATTTACAGATGCACATAGCAATTAAAATATATAAAAATATACCTTCTTGGAGATCTACTTGATGACCTTCTTCTGTCACGTGACCTACAAAATATTAGCATTTTATTACTAATAAACCTTTAAAGGTATTTAATTCAACTGAATTGAATTGCACAATAATACAACAAATCAAATTAAATAAACAAGTACATTTCTGCTATTAACATATATGCCTTTAGTAGGATAAACAGTCAATGCCTTATTTGTAGAGAAAATTATTTTAAAATGCCACAACATTCAACATAATCTAATTTTTGCTTTCAATTTTGTTTTCTTACAATGTACATATCTCACAGGAAGTTGCACATAAAAACAGCTCTCAAAATATGCCAGTAGAGGAAACAGTATTTATGAGCTACTTCTTTCTTTGGTCTTTTGGCTGTCAGAATGCATGTATAAGGTTGGCATAAAAATAGCACGTAAATATATACATATATGCTACATATAAAATGAAAGAAAACAGCAGGTTCAAAAACTAAATATAAATATTGAAGGAACTTGTCTGTCCCTGTGAAAAAATTGGAAACAGGCCAGAAAAATATACATATAAAACTATTAAAAATAATATAAAAGCAGTTAATACTTTCTTTCTAAGCATATGGTACAAAAATCTACTAACAGCTCGAAGGATAAAATAGTTGACAAATTTGATAAAAAACTTTACGTATGTATATATGTATTTTGAATAAAGAAAAAGATGTGTTGCAATGCAGAAATAGTTGTGTTGCAATGTAAGGTACAAGGAGACAGTAGTTTAGTTCAAAAGATTTACAACCGAAAGCGACCATTGCTTTTCTAAAAATGCGACAGCACACGGATGATTATTGTTTTTTACTTCCAAAGAAATCAAGCCACTTACCTACTAAGATGGATGGTGTTTTGAACACACCAACAAACACGTGTGAAAACATTTAAATGCACACTTGAGATACTATTTTGCTAACCTTTGATAAAGTTGTCATCATTTGAATAACAGACAGCCAGCATTTGTAGCTTTGGCGTGAAAAAGTTGGTTTATCAACCACATGGGAAGGAGTGACCATGTGGCCATATTAGAAGGAATTCCAAATCAGCAGAATTTTCTGAATGGCTGCTGTTGGTTGTAGCTCGTAGCCGATTTCTGAAGAAGGCCCTTGTATAGTACGTAGTAGATGAAATGTTTGGTCATGTAGACACTTTACGACGAAATTTGTATAACCGATGGTTGGGAGATGGTAAGACGTAAGACGGAGGTTTGGTGAAGGTAGTTTTGGGACCTGCAGGATGCCATTGAAATCAATTAACAAACACATCACGTATACAAACTAAGATAGAATACATTATCTTTCATGCTTAATCCAAATTATCTAACTATTGGGGAAAATTTTACTGCGACAAAAATAAAAAAGGGACAAATTCCTATTTATTTGCCATAATGAGCGAAGCAAAATAGATCACAGCCTTTCCAGACGCATGCGGTAGATAACGCTCAACATACCTAACCTTATCACTGTATCAATTAGAAATTATTTTTACTAACCAGCACAATTCATAAATAAACCTGCTAGGGCCTCTAAATGTAAGTTAAATGACTAACTTTGATCGTGAGCGGCGCCTTCTTGAGGAGCGATCAGTTTCGCCTTTTCGTGTGCATTGTCTTGCTGAATGTCCTATCCTGCCACATTCATAGCATTGCATATCCCGGTTCTGCCGGGAGCTTCTGCCACCACGAGTTGGTCCCCGGGCCATCTCAACTCTGACTCTAGAGCCGCAAACTCGTCTTCCATCCATCTCTCTAACTGCATCCTCTGCATCTCTAGCGTCGTCAAACACGATGAACCCGAAACCGGGAGGATTTCGAGCGACCCAAACATCTCTTAGCGGTCCATAATATTCGAATTCTCGTTCAACTTCTCTTCTAGAAGCATCTGGAGGCAGGCCGCCTACATATATTCTACTCATTGTTGTATTTTCCTCTCAACCTCAAGGAATAACGGCAATGCAGGCAAAGATGCTGCTTCTACAACACTTTTTACAAACTGCCGCACTTTCGATAGTCAAAGGAAAGCTCGAAGTACAATGCGTGCAGTTGAAAGACCCATGATGCATTTTATTCGTACCCAGGCCTTTCGTTGTCAACAGTAACAACCCTAATTTTTTTCAACAAAAAGAACAGTTTTTGGAGGTACAGAACCAAGCACGAAGCCAGCACTGAAAAGATGGGCGGGAACAGGGGCGAAGCCAAAAAGTTTTTTCGGAAGGGTAGTATCGCTTTTGCCGACAAAAAGGGCGTGTCACTTTTATTGGGTGTGGTCATAGAATAAGTAACTTTATATGCTGCTTTTATTTGTTTTTAACTTAATATTCAGAATTCTAAAATTTAAATTTGTATATTTTTAGTGCATACTTTAAAAGTTTAGCGGCTACAGAAATTTTAGCACGTTACAACTGCTACAAATTATAATTATACTACTGGTTGAGAAAAAATTATGTAACGACAGACAAAGTATAGGGAGCAAGCACCCTACTTTATAGCCTGATAACCAGCCCATTATTCTAAAGAAATAAGTGTATAAAGTGAATAATGGGCTGGTTATCAGGCTACCTCCTTTAGCGACGCCCCAGCCCCGAAATTCCGAGTAAATGTTGGCTTGTAAACTGGGCGAAACGAAGGAACTCACTGCTTCTTATTTGAAAGCAAGAACTTAAGTGACGGTTTTGAAGAACCTTTAAAAATTTTAAACTAAAAGACTGTACAAAACTTGAAAATGGCTTTGAAAAAATCAAACATTTCATAACATATAAAAGCTTTTACGTCTAACATCCCTCAGAGCAAAAAAATGTCAGAATAAAGGTCCGAAAGAACACGATGAAAAATATACTTCTTAACTTCTCCAATGAGATCCATGTATCTATTGTCGTTCTCTGCAGTGATCAGGGACAGTGGCGTAGCGTCCGGGTATTCAAGGTATTCAGTGAATACCCTGAGATTTCTCAGAAAAAATATTAATACGACGTATAATTGTAATAAGTAAAAAATGTTTTGGGGCTATTGATTCTGGTTGAATTCGTTACCTTCGGTATTCTACATTTTGTACAAGTACAAAATATCATCAAATTCATGGAAACAATAACGCTGCGAAGCATAGAGAAGCTGGGAGATCTTTGAAGCTAATTTTGAAGATTGAGCTACTTCATGTTGTATGGAGATCGGTCATGAATACGCAGTGAATACCCTAGACGGTACTTTAACCAATCAAAATGCTCCTTTCCATGAATAATATTTGCCGTTAGTCAGCTAAAACAATGGTCTTGTACGCTGAGAAATATGCAGCGTACAGCCTCAAAGTTGGTTCAAAATAGTCTCGTTATGAGATCGATATAAACAGTTAATGGACGTCGGAGCGGTTGGAGTGATGGAGCTACCGCATGCTATTCAGACAGAGAATGAGAATGAGATTCAGAATGAGATTCGACATCAGAATGACATACAGAATGAGATTGAATCCGAACCACGAAAGACTAAAACTGTCTAAAATGTATTTCTGATGTTTGATTTAATAATTTCTAAGCCATCTTGTCTAAATGATTTTTTTAGCACCTTTTTACACAAAAAAACTGAGAATTGCGTGCGAAATTTTCGCGTTGTTTCCTGTCTACATATGGGGTCCCTATGGTCGAAAAAAGGGTATTTTGCCGGGCACGAAACAATCAACGATATCTTCCAAAAACAAGAAGCAATTCTCAAAATTTTTTCTGCGTAAAAAAGTACAATAAGTAAATTATCCGAAATGATTTTATTTGACAACGAAAGCTCTTTTTATCTGGCAGAACTCACTCGATTTTCCTCAGAATGAGATTCAATCCTTTAGGCCCTCTAGACGTAAACAACACCACTCCATATCAACGAATTGATGCTCAAAACCAGGAGTTTTTCATAAAATCCTCACAATTGCAACAAAATTTGCCAAATGTAATGAAAAATTGTTCTGCCAGATAAAAAGAGCTTTCGTTGTCAAATAAAATCATTTCGGATAATTTACTTATTGTACTTTTTTACGCAGAAAAAATTTTGAGAATTGCTTCTTGTTTTTGGAAGATATCGTTGATTGTTTCGTGCCCGGCAAAATACCCTTTTTTCGACCATAGGGACCCCATATGTAGACAGGAAACAACGCGAAAATTTCGCACGCAATTCTCAGTTTTTTTGTGTAAAAAGGTGCTAAAAGAATCATTTAGACAAGATGGCTTAGAAATTATTAAATCAAACATCAGAAATACATTTTAGACAGTTTTAGTCTTTCGTGGTTCGGATTCAATCTCATTCTGTATGTCATTCTGATGTCGAATCTCATTCTGAATCTCATTCTCATTCTCTGTCTGAATAGCATGCGGTGATGGAGCTGCATCGAAAACAGTAAACATGGCTTAATTAAAAAACTATTGCAATGTCCGTATTACTGTTTCATAATCATTCTCTCATTTGACCCCTAATCTTAATCTACCAACAGCAAAGTGGAAAGGAAAGGTAGGCTGCTCTGCTACATAATGCTACACTGACTCAGATCTGTTCCCTCTTGAAATGCCAATTTGTTATTGCTTGCCAATCAGGGATGTTTCTGTTTGTATTATGTGATAGAATTAAAGTAAATGCAGATAGGCCTGGATAATATCCTTATAGTTGCCTGGTGTATTCAGTTATCTTGTTGGCCTATTCTGTTTGCATTATTCGAGCGCATTTATTTGCATTATTGTGCAGTCTCATCTCATTACCTTCGATTCTTTCAAATATTAACTTGCATTGAAAATATCACGATTAGACCATGAAGAAAAACGTCTATACTGCATACCACAAAATCATTTATAACTCATGTAATGCCCTATGTGAATAATTTTGAAACTTTTGAAAGCCCTTTTGTATTAAGGTATTAAGAGTAGGTGTTTACAGTTACTTCCTCTTTACATCAGTGCAAATGTTAGACGATTCAACAACAACTATTGGGACGTATTTCGACCAGTAAAATTTTACTGGCTTTCAATGATATGTTTTGATTTGAATCACTTTTGATGAAATGGTTAGTGGTAATTTGATGCAACGAATGAGTTCGAAGAGTATATTTGAAAAGGGTCCTTTAGCAAAGTATCGTTTTCATCATAGTAATGCCCTGACAGTGTAGTACTTGCCAACCGAACCAAAAAGAAAATTAGATAAAATGTCAATAGCTAGTCCTTTTAATCTTCCTATTATCCCCCTTTTTTCATCAAGCCACATCAAGCCACACCCTGCCACACCCTGCCCCAGGGAATGCTCACTGTTTTTGTCTTGACTTCATGCTATGATTGATTGCATGAGTGAGAAATATATTTTGATTGGATAACATGGGTATCCTCATCGCATGGCACGATTTTGAAAATTCCCCAACATTCCTGGACGAAGTATATTGCACATGCGCATGGGCGATGCCGGACAGCTAATGGGATGATTCCCTGAAAAATGGCGAGGGTTGGCAGGTTTCCAGTTAAATATTGTTTTTTGCAAGATTACAATGAATAATACGAGTTCAGATAGAATCCTGGCATTACTGTCAAACCTTTGATTATACATGTCTACAACTACACTCTTTTTTTAAGAACAATTTTATAAGAACACGAGCCTCAAAATTGGTCAAAAGTTAAGAACAAATGAAGTTTAACAAGTGTAATTAAGACATTTATCGGGAAAGTATTACCATTTCCCAACCTAGAACCGGAACTGTTCACAAAAAAGTTGAAACGATTTCAATTTTATTTTCGATCCGTTTCGATCCGTCGCGGATCAGCCATGTGACCATTTTTGCATCCAAAGCACGTGCGCAACACAAAATCTGATCCAATCCGCGGACCATTTTCCGGAGTGGGTCTTCGGCTTTAAATCGTATTCTTATTTGGATCGCCAAAACTGTGTTGTGGTTAATTTGCCTGTCCGCCGTTACCCATGAATGCCCGATATTACCCACATAGAGTGATTAGCGTTCACTTCAGAGAAACAACAAACTATGGAACTGTAATGTAAAAATAAGTTCATCAGAAAATTTCCTTACAGATATGGTTTCTTAAGAACAAACAATTTTATTACCCATGCCCGACATTACCCATGTCTACCCTATTTCAAGTTTCTTGTCTTTTCATTTCATTTTTTTCAATTAACGAATGCTTTACAAATTTCCAATACTTTCGAAAGAAGACATCTTTTTCCAAGTATGTGCAAAAAACTTAACACAAATTTTTTACAGGTAACCCCACCATCATAGCCTTTTATTACGATTTTGCACTTGCTGACATGATCTGAATTACTTTCCATAGAAAAGCATATCTTGCATTTGCTATTTTGATCATTCTTATTTCTGATGATTATTTTTTTTTTATTTCAATCTCGATAAATTTTCAAGTGACATCTGGCTTGAAAGAAATCTTAAAAGTTTCACTTTTGTTTCTTCAGTGTTGACTCGAAATACCACCAAGACTGTTCTTGGGGAAATAAAAAGTAAGAAAATATGTTATCCCATGTACAACAAGTTTCATATTTTTGTCTGAGATTGCAAGATGCACGAGAACGTCGAATGTATGCCAAGGTTCGAAGAATCTTCCAAAGAACGAAAGGTCGATCTCATAAAAGCCAGAAATATAGGCATATAAAACAACCTACAAAATATTTCCAGATTGAAATGGGAGCCCATGCAGGGGTAACTTATTTGTCTGTGTTGGATTGAAAAACATCCTTTACCTTGAGGGAAATATTTTTCACGAACTTTTAACACCAGAGAGAATTTGAATACATTGGAAAATAATTGGCGAAATCTCAAAAGGACAAACGAAGCAGTAAAAGAAAATAACGGACAAATTTTTTTTACTAATTTATAAAATTTGTACAAAATCATACTCTGCAATTATTTTCAAAATTAAATCGATACAAGGCAAGACAAAAATTGGTCAGAACATCACTTAAGACAAAATCATACGGACATTGAGTCATTTACAAATATCTTAACACAAAAAGTTGGCTTTAAAGTAAAATTCCTAGGACCTTTTGATGAATAAGAATGGTACCTACATTGTGCTCGGGCTACCCTACAATTTAGGGCTTTGCATACACTGATCAAAAAAAGACTGGATCGAGCTTTTATTGTAATAAAAGAATCACAATCTAGGAAGAGGGCTCCAAAACAGCCCATTCGATGAAAGGGCCTTCTCTATCACTCCTAACAGCGTTTTCATTTGTTTTGGCCGTTTCCTTATTCTGCACTCACATAAACAGCATTGCGTTTCTTGCTTATCTATATTATTCAAGCACTGGTTTGGAAGAGTGGCTCCTGTTATTTGTCCTCTTTCTTTGAAAGTGAGCGGGACTTAAACTTTGATTTTTCAAGACATTAAGAAGCTTGATCCAGTCTTTTTTATAGGTCACTGTGTATGGTGTTTCGCATATGACATGCTTGTTTGAAAGTGGACCCGCGACCAGTGCTTTTTGAGTTTAGCATTTGCCAAAAAGTTTATTTTGTCAATTATATAAAATTGTATTTACCGCAAGTTCTAGACTAGGCTCCCGGGGGTTTATTTGGAAAAAAAATTTGGGGTAAGGGCTTATTCCAGGAGGGTGCTTATTCGAGGGTGGGGCCTTATTCGAGGATTTACGGTAGTTGTAACTTGAAAACTAGACAAATCAAATGCAACGGGTTGCTCATTAGTACACTTAACCCAATATCGGGTGAAAGGTACTCTCTTTATACACATCATCGTTATTTATACACAGGGGCAGATCCAGAGCAAACTTTAAGGAGGGGCAGTTGGTAGTGGGGGCGCTGACAAATTTTCAAAAATTGATGACGAGAGTACGCTGTATTCAACAATTTCAGATCCATTTTCGGAATAAACAATATAACTTCAAGAAAATCTTCTAAGCAAATTAACCTATCAGTCTCAGAAACTATTTCACCTGATTCTCATCCTTCAAAAGGGGCGCACAATTTCCAAAAAAGGGGTGCTAGACTTGCTTCAACTCGTCGAGAGAGGAGAAACTGCCCCTAGTTGCCCCCCCCTTAAATCCGCCACTGTTTATACATTGATAAGTATGATGCGCTGATTACAGCTTCGCTTCAAAAACAGGAACATAAACAGAATGTCTATGGTTCTTATTGCTTATAACTATAATTCAGCATCCAATTTTCTTGACAACTTTCTATTCTGGTGAAATACCTCACTTTCGTGCAGGTATCTTCGACTCCAACTTATCAAGGACTGTTGCTGCGACCATGATTTGACCAAAAATGCCTGCAGGAGAACCATCAGGATTGTCACTAACTTCACTTGTTTCCCTTATCTTTAGATCTGAAACCATCTGAAAAAGAAATACTTTCATTGCTTACCTTTGAAATCTTCTATTTCAGATCGTTTCTAAACGGTAGCGGAACTAAAGTGGGGTGGTGTGGGGGCTGCAATCCCTGCAACATCGGCAAAGATAACAAAAAATTGGGATGAGTGACCTGAACCTGTTGCAAATGCAGCAAATCACCAAAGCCGCTTCTTTCAAAAATCCGTTTTGCTCTTTCAAAAATCTGTTTCAAAAATGGTCGGTGTCAGTACGGATAGTAAAGCAGGCAGATATCTTTTTATGTTCGCTGCTGGCTGAATTTCTTTACTTGAAGTTGATTCTGCTTTTATTATCTTTAGATAAAAACCAAACGACAATTATTTTATCCAGAAGATATTATTTGACTCCTTTAAAAACATTAGGAACTGCGATTGCCCCTAATGTCTATATCAGAAACCTGACACATTGATGCCCTATTTCTACAGGGACGCGGGAGCACATTTGGGGGGGGGGATTCTTCAGACAATCTCTCGAATATCATACTTCAGTAAAAATGTGAGAGGGCTATAGCCCTCCAGCCCCCCACCCCAAAGACCATGACCAAGTACATGTTTCTGTAAGAGCAATGTGGGTAGGTATTGTGAGTAGGTTGGGAAGAGCACTTAGCATGTTTAGTCCCCCCCCCCCCCCCCCAAAGAAACGTATTTAGCTCTGTGATATGCTGCGCGGTTCTTGATCGGCTGTTGCAGCAAATCTTCGCCTCAATTAGTTCCAAGGCCACATCGATAGAGAATATACAGCGCTCATCTTATGGGCAAATTTCTTTTGTTTCACACCTTCCTTTTCCCCCGCATCTTCCAAATAGAATTCCGCCAAAACAACAAAGTCTAGCGTTTTACCGCCACACACTTTTTTATAAAAATAAACTTTAAATTTTGCTGAGCCTTGGTATAATAAAATATTTTTTATTCCCAGCCTAAAATAATTATTAAATAACTATTAAAAAGAAAGTTAAAAACACTCCAGGAAACGACTTACAGTGAAAGTGTTTCCAGTGAAAGTCACGCCTATCCTTTATTCTGAAATAAACTCATCTGGATAAAAGTGATATTGTCGATATAATTTGAGCCTGGCTATTATTCTTAATTCATTCGATATTTCACTATCTTCGTACAACGATATTCTTCTGTATTTAGCAAAGGTGTTTGGTTAATAAGCCTAGGCTATCAAATTATTTTAAGCAGACTGTGTCTCGCTTTGGCGACAGGCTTAATTTGAAAGAACGGAGAGCCGGGGCACAAAATCCCATGATATTTTCGTGAAATTGGTATGTGATAAGATATAAGACAAAAGGGCCTAAGGAAAAGACCACGCCAACATTTCCTGCCAAAACCATAACAAAATTATGATCACAATTAAAAGCCGTTCTGTTGCAGGCTAGCTCTCGCAAAATTTAGCACGTACGGCCGATGTAATAGCTTTTACTCGGCCAAAACGAAATTTCTAAACTTTGCATCGAACTGATTTTTCGCAACATATAGAGAAACAGTACTGTAGCCATCATTGGGCAAGTTGCCTTCGGCTGTAAGCGAGAGTCGACTAGGTACAACTCGATAGACTCTTTGTCGCTGAGTTTTGAGGTCGTTTGCGTTTAAACAGGTCTTTCTGCGGTGCGAATTTTTCAATTTGCATATTGATAATAGAGAATAAGATTGAGGATCAATTTGACAACAAAACACAGTCCGATCGAGAGCTTGAATTACCACGACAGATTTTGAGGTGTCTTGACAATGAATCCGGTGTTCTTTTGTTTACAAAGCGCGACAACAATAGAACAAGTAGCCTCGACTTCCTTTCGTTCTCGAGACCTTCGAGTCGCAGCTTGCAGGAGAAGAATGGAAAGATTTCTCCTTTACAGACGTTTTAAAACTCGGCATGGCAAATAACGAAACAATGCAGGAAAAAACTAAAACCAGCACTTCGGAGGCATTTTCGTATTCTTGGTACCCCACGCAGTGTGAGATTGGAGCGTCTTCACGGGAAACAGCTCCGACTAACAACGACAGCCTAAGTCAGGATTCCTATCGAGTATTTAAGACCGACACAGATGATGATGAAATGGTGGTAGTGCAGCAGGACGCGCCTGAGCAAGCTAGCCGACGACCTACGCAGTATGTAGTCAACCTTAGCAACAAGTTTACTGACCAGCAAGTCAAGGTCTTGATGAAGACTTGGAAAGAACTTTACGACAGACGGCAACATTTTCGAACTAGCGAAAGTGACTGGCATGACATAACCGACAAGGTAAACATGGCGCCGGGCTCTGCAAAAACAGTAAAACAAGTCAAAAAGAAATTTAAAAATTTACGAGACAGGTATCGAGCTTCAAAAATAAAAAATAAAAAAAGGAATTTTGGCTTTAGCAAATCGATTTCATTTGCTCAGTTCGAACAGGTGTATGGAGATTTAGACAAACAAGATACTAGGCATGGCCCCCGGAACTCAAGGGAGGACGACTTACAAAATACAGAAGAAGCACGAGCTGGCCGGAGGACCGTCAAGCCTACTAACCAGTTGCAGAGTGCTAGATCCATGCAAGTAGAAACAACAAGAAATCCTGCAGAGCCACAAAACTCTCTGGAAATGCACAAAAAATCTTCGCCAACATATTCTCACACTCAGTCGACTCGCATGTCGGCTCCAAGCCTGACAATTTCAATGCAAGGAAATAATGACATGAGCACTGCACACGCTCAAAGCCAGAAATTCAACTTTCCTGGGAATATACCTCAAAACACAACTTCGATGCGCGGAGCAGCTCTCGAAGTTGCAGACTTCAGATCTGGTATAATAAACAGCATATCTCCAATAACAACAAACACGGGAGCTCGTCACCCCTCGCTTTGTGACAGTGTGCAAGATTCGCAACTGGTAAACGCTGTAAGGGAACTGCAACAACAACAGATAACGATGCAGCGTGAGCTTATGCGAAGTATGAAACAAATGGAGGATAGAATCATGGGAGAAATTTCAATAAAAATGCGTGAAAGCGAAGAGCAGTTTAGACAACAAATCGCCAATGCGTTAACCCAACTTGGAAATCTTATACGCATTACATAGGCAGCAAGAAGTCGCAGCTGAAAAGTTTTACGAATTTTTTGTCCCTTTGCAAGGTAATGCTAATTTCAAGAATTCAATTTCTTAGCCGACGAAGGAAACTTCCAAAAAACAACGAAAAGTTTGGAAAGAAAGAGGCATCAAGGCAAAAAACAGTTCTGTAAAAAAGTTGAACTTTGCATGACAAAATTTAGTTTAAATCTACAGGAGACTTAAGTATTTTTATTTAAAACATCTTATTTACCAAGAAAAAAATTGAAGAAAAGTTTTTGCTTGCGGGTCTATGGCCAACGATTCAACGATTAGTCATCATCAACCATCACCACCCAATCATCATCAAGAATCAGCAATCATCATCACCCACTCATCATCAAGAATCAGCAATCATCATCATCCAATCATCAAGAATCAGCAATCATCGTCACTCACTCATCATCAAGAATCAGCAATCATCATCATCCAATTATCATCAAGAATTAGCAATCATCAGCGTCAATCATTTTCACCGTAGTTATCATTCATCATCATCATCATGAACCAACATAATCGTCATAAAGGAAACACATTTGATTTTATAATCTACAAATCTCTAATGGCATTCTTGCAGTACAACATATTCCGCCTTGGACTGTTCATTTGATAACAGAAGCATGGAAACTGGTGAAGAAAGACTATTTAACATAGGCAAATTATAAAAATACAGCAATAGCTTTTTTAAATGAAGAATAGTAGAGTCAGGTCGACATTTTTCTAAAACAGGAATGGGCAACTATCTGAGCATCAGTGCTCGTATAAAAAGTGTAGGATGAAAGCTTAAGGTAATGAAGTAAAGTGTAGTAATAGTAAAGAAAGCTTTGTAAGGAAAAAGGCTAAAATATAGGCAAAATATAAATAAAGGAAAAGGGCATTAATAGAAAAAGCAGATGAATATATCCTGAGTAGGATATAGCTTTTGTCTATTCGAAATCGTCTGAGATAAAGCAGTATCAGCTTGGGATATTTCTCTTAAAAGCCACTTGTGCTTTTCCCTGGCTGCTTGTTTCGGGTTTAGTCTGTATTTCTTTTCATTTTCATTCATATTTATACTACGGTGATTTTATGAAACATAAAACTTTCATTCTTTACAAATTATTCTGACGAGCCAAGAGAACTCTTACAGATTTCGAAAAAACACCGATCAGAGATACAGCATAAGATTGGTCGGAATTTTCGCTCCCATATTTTTGCTTTTGTAGGTTAAGAATTTATCAAAACTTTATTTAAAACGGCGCTCCCGTTTTTTACTGGCGTTTTGCGATCCTGGTTTTATATTTTCTAACTTCATATTTCCCACGTTTATTCTGACAGTTCATACTTGGAGTGTAAGACGAAAAGCTCTATTTTGTCCAAAAGTGTTTTCTTTTTTTCAAAACTATGCAATGCCTTGACAATTTTAGCCCTTTTCGCCATTTATTGATAGCATCCTAACATTTCAAGACAATTTCTGATCGATTTAGAATGCAATCATGACAATAAAAAACAAGAAGATAATGGGAAATCTGTGGTTGTTTCCATATTGCTTCTGAAAAATAGCAGAAAATAGGATATAAAATCGTAATTGGGCACAGCAGCTTAAGCAGTTTCAGATTTCCTTTAGCGAGCAGTAGAAACTCTACAATGCCTGTCAAAACTCTTGGTACACAAATGCCAGTTTTCAATGGCAAATCCAGCCATTCCTCTTCCCCCCCCTCCCTTTGAACAATGTTTACTACCAAACTACGTGGGTGATTAGGAAGTAAGCTTTCATGCGGAAATAGGAGTATGCGGGAAAGAAATGAAAAATATAAAAACACAACGCAAATTGCTTGGTGTTCCAAGTACTTTTGGCAATGATTGTAGTTACCAAAAAATGCTTAAGCAAGCATTGCGACGTCTTTCAATTGTAAAATAGGAAAATTGTAAGGGTACCTGTTTGGACTCAGTCCGTCCCATGTCTCCGCGTAATGACAGTAATGCAAGCGCATGCTCCGCGCGGAAATCAGGATACTTCTCAGCCAATCCCTGTATTAAAAAACAATGAGCTAATCTCACATATAATTATGACTTTACTTGTAACGATTCCAAAAAATCAAAACAAGTGATTGATAAAAACCAATGTTAAAGGAATCAGGTAACAAGAGATGCGTTGGTTAACAGCAAATTAAAAAGCTGCAAATATTCAAACGAATCTACTAAACTTACAGATATCTCTAACGAAACGATAGCAGAATCTTTGACTTTCAAAACTTCAGCCATCATAGCCAGTACACAACATGGCGAATCATCCTGGGAATTGGAAAAATTCAGAGACTAACTAGAAAAAAAGGTGGCAAAAATATTTGACCTAATTTACAAAATTCCTCTTTCGCAAAATACTGGCTTTGATTTGTATATATATTCAACTTTCAGGTTCAAGGTAATAAATTATATTTTTCAATAATTCATTAAAATTAATTCTCTGCATTGATGCAGCAGTTGACAAATTTTACAAACTCAAAGAATGAGATAACGCATGTGCCAACCACATAAACTAAAACCTGTCTGTCAAAATCTTCCTTTAACGTCCCTTACCGATAGAATAAAATGACCATTAGGTAATCTGAATGGATTTATTTAACTCCTTAAAAAGATAACGATACAGATGAGTAAAAAATACATCAACCGGATGCAGAAAATCAGACATGGACGCTGGAAAAATGTGGAAACATAAGATATATTTTATGATATTTCTTGAAAACCATATCATGGACATGCTCCACATTGTTTCAAATTCAAGCTGAAAATTGTAGAGCCAATAATTATTGTTTTTACAAAAAACCAGACAATAAAATTATTTTTCGCCAAAATTTCAGATTGGTAATTAAGTAATCAAGGTTATGGTAGACCAAAATTATAAAAAAAAACAAAACCATACAAGTGGCGGCAGCTTTGCCAGCCTGGTGAATGCTTCTGCAATTTTATTTGCTTCTTCGATTATTTGGTTTCCTGCATCCTTTCTCTCTTCAAATGATCGAAACGTTATCCTCCTGTAACAGAATGAAATATAAATCCTTTGGATAGAATTAAAGATCAAAGATATGTCAGCGCAAATGCCAGTGCCTGCTTGACTCACGCGAGGCAGCCCGCACGAGCTCACGCACTTAAAAGAGACAGCAGTGAGCAAAAGACTTGTCGTCTTCGTCTTATGTCTTGTCGTTTGGCATCAGAGTGCCACGTGGTCGGCGTCGTAAATTTAAAAGAAAAGGAAGAAAGAAAAAAATGAAAACAAAAGGGAGGCGAGGAAATAGACAAGAGATAAAGAACAAGAGATGCAGCGGCGGATACCTGGGGTGGCGTTCGCCCCCCCCCCCCTACCAATAATTTGGAGGACAGTGGTCTTTTGTTCTAAAACAATAGGAAAATGTGATGTCATCTTGTCAAAACAATACAATATTTGACCAAGTGTCTGCCCCTGAAGAGGCGAGAAATTAGACTTAAGGCAGTATGGAAGAAGCAATCTGGACATAAAGTCATCGAAAAAGTAGGGTGGAGTTTTTAATAATCTATATTATTTTTTCATGATTTCGAGTTTTCTTTTGACCTTTTGATTTGAAAGGCATTTACTTACGATTCTAAGGTATTGCAAAATTAAACAGCATTTGTTTTTTCAACGATTTTACCAAACAAACCAAAGTTCTTACAGTTCTAGAATCAAAGCTCAATTAAAATTTTGATCTGCGTAACCTGAAAATATTAATACTTGCAATGAAACTATCTTTTGCATAGTGTACGATAAAGTATAGCAAGAGTTTGCATTAAGCGTCGAACTCCGAACATAACTTTGGATCTTCCTGCTTTTATCGAAGCAAGTAAAGTAATTGATACCAAATGCTGCTAAAGGTAGTTTCTAATGATAACTGAATTTGAAAAGTATTTTCTGTATAAAAGTAGTAACATCGAGTTTATGGGAGAAAATTACTTAACAAAGAAGATTAAAAACGTCACCTGACCTTGACATGATTGCTTTTACGTATTCAATAACTAATTTTTCTTCAGCCTTCTCCATAATGAATTTGGCATACCTGTGAAAAATACGAATACTTATTTGCAATGCAAAAAATGCTAACATCTTTTCCCCACGAAGACAGCATGCCTGACCAGAAGATGCATGACTTGTTATTCATTGTAAATAAGCAAGACAATGCAATGTCACTCCTCATGTTCACTCATGGCTAATTAAATGTGTGATAGATACCTAGTGTAGAGTACAGTTTGCTAATGAATTATTAAGGGGCGATTTGGGACAAATTACTATTGAAGAACAGTTCGTGTATCACCGGATTTAGTAGAAAATTTAGAGTGGGTTTCTGAGAAAAAAGAAATCTGTTCTGGCCGTTTAAATGTTTCTACCATACGTCATGACACATGTACCCAGTGTTGAACAGTGTGCAAAATATTTCACGATAAAACCTCTTTCATTGTGTAGAAAATGAAAAAACTCTTTCAGCTGAGGCATGAACCCTGTGGCAGAGAGTCTTAAAGGAAGTCTTACGGTAAATGCGAACAATTTGGACTGCTGAAGTCTGTGTGTTCCTAGCAATTTACCACAATAAGACGCCTGAGGTTATATGCCATCAAATCAGATGAATACAAAAGCTCTCTTTCGCCTTCTTCATTTAACTGCTCAAACCAAACATCACCCTCATTCCGAATCAGCCACTTCCTACAAACTAAAATCTTGACAATCAACTTTCCCTAGGTACTTACGACGGCTTCAAATGGACATAATCGCGATTGTAATCTTCAAACGTCAGTACCATGGTGTCTACGGCAACATTTGACTTTAACCTAAAGCAAAAGAAACATTATACAGGGATGGATATGGAAAAAATATCAAAACTATGGCATGTTGACACAATACGTCAAAGAAAGGTTGAAGAAAACAAAGAAGACAACTTTATGAATGAAGACCTTACAAATGAACATAAATAATGCGTTAAAATGCAAGCCTAATTATTATAACACCAAGTCAAAGCTGCGAGAAAGTGAATCCAATGTGAATATCAAGTTATTGACATGATCATTTCGAGCCCTCATTTTGAAATATTAAATAACCAGCCTAAAGGCATTAACATTTACAACCATAGCATTTTTGCTTTGAGAGAAGATCACTGCAGCAAGCAAGCTCTTATCAAGCCAAAGGTACTCAACAAATATGTATGAATTAATCAAAAATATATCTGATTGTTCAAGAATCAAGAACTACCATTTTTTGGTCATGAGATCTGTGAAAAACTCTTGCAAGTCGATTAGAGCTCCATCCAAAAGCAGAGTGCAACTGTAATTCAAAACAGGATTATTTCTTAATGAACTTTAGTTACACACGCACATCTTAATGTCTAGTGCGAACACAAAGTACATACACAATTTCAAAGTTTCGTGAAATTAAATGACTAATGTGTAGCTATTTCAACAAGAACGTCTCAGAATAAAGCCAGCCATTTCCCATCTTTGAACCTAATAATCGTAAGTATTGCAAATATGTTATGCAGTTGCCTGGTGGTCCCAGAAATCGTGGTACTCAGAGCTGCAATCTAGAACTGTTCGATGCTACACACCAAAGCGTGCAAAACTCGGCCTATACGGCATCGAGCACTAAAATGACTGACCGGTAAATCTGTAATATCAAATCAGAATCACAAATTAGAAAAAGTTTTGGAGTCAGAGCTAGAATCACTTAACAATAGATAGAAACCTTCAGGCTGCTCCCACTAAGGAAGTTTTTATTAGAAAAAGAAATTGAGTTTTTGCCCCCATATGTTTTACAAATGCAGATTTATATGCGAAATTTGAAGTTTCCCTGCTCTCAATTCCATTCCCCTGTTTTATGAACGAAAACGATTAAGACTAAAATTCTGAAATTTTTTAATTTGCTTGCAACAATTTCTGAAAATGCTTTCGCTTTAAACTGTCAACCACTTAAATATAAAATGTTGGAATTGGTCATGCATCTCCCTACCCCGGTTTACCTCAACTCCTCTCCCTTCCCCTTTACCTTATACCCGACCTCGGTGTAGGTTCAGGTAGGTAATACATCCCAATCAAAGACACGAGAACAAATTGGTAACAAAGAAATCGTCAAGCCGACTTTAACTTACGCCTCCTCGCCGAGTCTTTGGAAAGCAACGATTACTTCTTCGAAGTTCTTAAGTCTTGTCTCACCAAATGCACTAGAAAGCTCTGCCCTTTTCTGATTCTAAGGTAGACATGGGATGAAAAGTAACTTATAGAACGACTCCTATACCTTAAGATGACACAAACTGGTGCAGTAGATCTAACTACGTACAGACTCGTTATAAGGAAAATTCACCCTTTATTCTGTTATGAAATGAAATATCAACCAAGCCAAATGAAATACAATGAGACAGAATAGATTTTAAAGTCTCTGTTCAATTTGAACCAAACAAACAAAAAAGTAGTCCTTTTGTAGACTTGCCTATCTCAATCATATAACAACAGAAAGTGAACTGATATTGCACAATTTGAGACATTGCATGTTGTTCTTCCAGATTATAAAATACAAACTCGATTTACCACTAGTGAAATGGCAAGTTGATGTAAAGGAATGTAATAAAACGAGGGGCTCAACAAGTGAGTTGAAAGGGAAAGAAATACGATGGCGAAAGAAGGAGCTCATTTTGGTGTATTATGTAGGAGCAGACAGGGCTGTTGGAGGTACAATTAAAAAAAGGGTGTGAATAAATATAGAATATCGACAGCGTCCGAATGAAAACAAATTGCTTAAATATTTTACCTTCATCTGTTCTCCAAACACAGTGATCGACTGACAATTATTGATGATTGCAATCTACGAGATGTACCAACGAATTAGAGTGGAAAAATACCTGAGTAAATGCAACATTATCTAGAAATATTTACTAAACTGCTCAAGAACAAAGTGTCAAACTGAAGAAGGCGACTGGTGATCAAAAGAAAAATCTGGATTTGAAAGACTATAAGACATGTATGTTTCTGTGTTTCTATAAAATAGGAGTTTCTACAAAATAAATGCTTCTGCTTTAATCAACTGTTTTGATAAAAAACAGAGAAAAGGTTTAAAGACTTGCTTTTATTGTACACGGGTCCTTTCAAGCTAAATTCACCAGAATACGTCCATGAAAGGTCTATGATATATTTCCGAATTGTTAAGCGTGTTTCGAGAAGATTCTCAAATACATATACAGATTCTCAAATATACGATAATAATACTTACCATGTAGGCTTCAAAGTATTGTAAAATACTTCTGTTTCCAAAATGCTTTTCTTTATAACACTTAATTGCATCTGAAGGAGATTAAGATTAAAAATACTTTTTGATCACAGTAGAACGTAATATTGAAAACAAGTTTAAAACGTTTAAAGTAGACTTACAAGTGAACAGCAGTAAAAAGATTATGAATGCTTACAGTAACTTAGTCAAGAATTAAATGATTAATAATCATTTAGTTCAACAACAGAAAATATTCTATATAATATTACAGAATTAAAAAAATTAAAAATGTCTGTTGAGGGACTTACTTTGCAATTCTATGGTAAAGTCAATAAGAGCAGTTATGCAAGCGTCCAAAACCTACAAAAATTCAGCGATAAATTGATGATCAAAAGTCTAGATGAAGAAAATCAACAAAACTAGTTACTGAAGCACATTCCACACTTAAAACATATTGGCGGGGTAAATTCATCTAACTTAAAATATATTCATTTGGCGGGGTAATTTCATCTAGAAACTCGTGCTTTTTTTAGGGTCAACTCGTAAAATTTTGCAATCACAATGTTTTCCACTACTTACCACTCAATTATTTATGCCGCTATAATATTCCTTTTCTGATGATCGACAAAGGTATATTCTTAAACGACAATCAACACAACAACGAGAGCGGGTAAGCATGCTTATGGAACTGGCATAAAGCCGTTCTATTACAATTCAGATTGTGTTGTTATCTTTCAATACAAAATCAAATCATTTCAGAGAACTGGCTATCATGATCAGTTCAAAATTTCTTTGCATATCATACAAACTGCTATTTAGCCTGATTTCACAAGCAAGTCAGAAAATGATTCTAAAGTATCTCACTTTAATTTCCATTCCTTTCTCAATTTGTGCAGCAACTTGTAGCTGTGAAACAGAACAGTACGCATATCAAAGATAGAATGTAGCTCTTTAAAATCAAAAACAGAAAGTGAAAGACTGAGACTAAATAAGCAAATAATAAGGTGTTTTGAAACGATTTAATATCACAGACTAAGATAAAAAACCTATATTGCTGGGCTAGACAATTTTTGGTTCCTCCACCTGCAACACAGCAAAATCGGCCAGATTTCATAGCTACATAACAGTTTTATCGCTATTTCACTTAAAGATACTATTCTCGTCAGTAAACCGTTTAAAGTTAACAACAAGCTCTACAGCGCGCTTATGATTGAGAAAACAGGGAGAATCAGTCTTACGCTGCTCATTGGATAAGTAACACTACGTTCTCTGTATAGTCCAACCAATGAAAATCTAAATAACCATCGAAATGTGTCGGGATATAGTGCCTATAAGTTCTCTTCCCGGGTAACAAAAAAACCAGACTTCCCTTCATATCAAGGATAATCTTATTCACCATGACATAACCACTATCACTTAATCAAAAACTGCATCTTGAAAATCTCTTCTAAGATCCTTAATGATGAACGATCGGGAAAATTATGTATCCGTTTTAATAAAAAGAAAGATTGAAAAGCTTACATTCTGGTCCAGCATTTGAAACAGAATGATTGGTAGCGATGTTTGATAATATCCATCGACATCTGTTTCTGGAGGCTTATCCACAAGCCAATCCTATGAAGAAATCATGTTGAAACCCACAATTTTGAATATTCATTTCATTTTTCAAGCCATTCTTTTAATTCAGGACAATCGATTCGTATTCAGAACCTATTTTTAATTCAAAACAAAAGATTGTTTGCAGATTCGTATTCTCTGTGAAATGATTTTCTTATAAGGCCTTTTCTTAATTAAAACCAACAGCATAGATACATACATAAATTTGTGAAAGAAGTAGCTTACTAAGACTTTTTCGGGCAGTACAATAAAAAGATTATAAGAAATATAAAAAAGATTACAACTAACGTCCATATGTTTTACAGGGTTTATCAACTCCTGGTCCAGGTTTATTGGCAACCAAAAAGATTTTCTTGTGTGTTTTATGGTTCAAATTAATCTAATGCCACTTCCCTAATAAAAGTTGAATAAAAAACCCATCATGAATGACACAGTCTTTTTGCAGTTGTTTCAACCAATGATTTGAGGTAATAGAAAACTCAATGAGGAGGAAGAAGTACCTGCGACTCTGTTTCAACCATTTTCGACAACCAACTTTGCATGTTGCGCTCTGTCGTCTTCAAGTAGCTAAAAAGGTTTACAGAGAAGATAGAAACTTGAAACGCACAAGTGGAAGAACAATGTCTGTCCGTCGGTAGGGCACATGAATTACATTAAAACTATGCAAAGACGAAAATTTAAGAGCTTACGCTGTCTTTCTTTGATTAAGCACTTTGTATATTAGAATATTTTCTAGGCCGAAAAATATACAAGGTACTGAATGCAATAAGCATCTTCATGAATTTTTGCACCTTGACTAAGGATCATTTTTATTTGCAGTCTGCATGTAGGCAATTTTGAGCAAAAAAACCCAAAAAGTCTTTATTGTTATTTATTTAGAAAAAAGTTGTGTCTTTGAAAAATTGTAAGTAATTTTGTGTAAGATATTTTGGCTCTTTTGCCTCGAATGCAAGTAATGCATCTCTTGGAATAAGAACCTTTGTTCCTTAAATGACCATATCCACCTTTGAAATGAGGACCAAAAACAGTCTGACTCTTGAAAAAGTCGGTTCTCCGTTGCATGCATGGTCAATGTACATAATCTTCAGTGCAGTCTAGATAGGTCTACATCTTGAGCATATTTAAGTATACTAATGTTAATTTACTTAAAGCCTAGTTCTATAAAATGATCATGCCTACAGTTGCAAATAAGATTGACTTTCATAGACTCAGACGCAAGTTAGAAGGTGGAGGGGCCAAGGACAAATTAAAGACTTACAACAAAATAGTGTGGGAAACAGTCGGGGGAATCATAGCCCTACCGCCTTTAGGGGCCCTGGCTTTGATATCAACTAAATGGGCAAGACATGTGCAAGCATATGGCAGTTAGCAAAACAGCTATTGCCGGCATATGCATATTTAAATCAGCCATTCAGCAAATTGATTAGGCGTAAGGAACCATTATGCCGTTTACCATACAGGCTGAAAAGTTCTCTCGGTAAGTTAAATCATCCATGTATCAAGTACGTGTAATGCTACAGGTTTAAACCCAATGATATAAACATTTGAAGCTAAAAAGTAAAAAGTACATAATCGACTAACGTATCATTTAGAGACTCCAAGACTGATCTGCTAAGTAGAGGGCCAAGCTCCTCTTGGAGGTTGAAATCAATTTGATCAACTGCAAATTCATCGTTGCCCATTAGTTCTTCTCCACTGAAAAAGAGCACAATATTATCGAAAAACCCAAAGGGCTTATATAATCGAAGGGTACAAAAATGGAATGGAGGTTAGTCAGCAGTGAGGCTATATAATAAGAACATCTCAAGGAAAAATGGAAGATCTTGGAGCAGGAGATAATACAGAGACAGCTACAAATAAATGGCGACAAAGGGACATAAAGGATGTTTAGATAAATGCAAATATACTTGAAAAATAATGGTAAGAATTAGATTGAGGCCTGGAAGGGATTTCAACCTCAATGTGACTCGCATGGATACCGTATGAATAAATCCAGTACTGTACATAATAGATAGAGCGCAAACTGTTCGCTGGAAATGGTTTCTTGGAAGAAAAAAAGGTACAATTCCTAATAACGACTGAAGCATTCCAAGAAAACATAACATAAAACAGCCATGATTAAGACACATATCATGTAAATCTTGCAACTACCTACAAAAATACTGAGTGAATAAATTTGCTCTTACTAATAATCTTTTATCCAAGTGAGCAGTGTTATACATTCACTCGGATCATTTCGAGCCATTGCCAAATCTTCTAGCTAAGAGAAAAATGCCAACTTCATCGATACATATCTCGAATATAGTTCCAACATTGTTTTGACAAATTTCTTAACTTCAGTTCTCAATACAAATGATTTTTTAGGCAGTTAATGTCAGGGAAAGACCCGGGAATCTATAGCAAAGCCCTAGCAAGGGAAAACAGGGGGAGAATAGGAAAGAGAAAGGGGTACAATCAAGGGCGTTGATTTTAGGTTTGGATAAAAAATAAAGTTTGGGAAATATAAATAAAACCAAACCTGATAAAGCCAATCTTAATGAAATAAGTAAATGAGATGAGTTAAGTGTTACTGATAAGAAATAACAAACAAAAATGACAAAAAATAGCCGCAATCGAGAAAGGCAAAGTTGTTTAACATAGCCATGGAAACATAAAATTATACGAAAAAGAAGATTAAAAGGATCTGTCTTACCAATTGCTATGATTCAAGGAGCTCAAAATTCGTAAGAATTCAATGTTCTCAGACATATAACAAAACAAACCTAAGATTATTCTCGTGATATACTAAAAATCATGACGATTATAACCTTATGATGTTTTACTACAAACAATTCAAGTTGAACATTCTAGCAGATCTGCATCTTCACTTTGCTACAACCAATTTTAAAACATTAACCATCACAAGTTCATAAGATCATTTTTTCTATATCAATGAAGTAAGTTTTCAATCACAGTACGCACCGTTCTTGATGTTGCCTCGTGGTAAATTTTTGCGTATTCTTTGAATATTTCGTAAGTCGCAGGAAAGCAAGGCCGGACTAGCTCCTAAAATACAACGTCGACTTAGAACCTACTTCAGTTAAAGGCAGGATTTTACATTTATTGTGCTTCACAAATAAAATAATAGTTTACACTAGTTAATACAAAAAAATGAGAGACAGTTTCAAGTTGAAAATATCTATTTGTGTATTTCATGAACAATCTGAAACCGGAAGAAAACCAGGGGTAACAGTAAAAGAAGGGAATGTTCTAGCTTCTGGTCATTGACAGAAGTCAACGCATTAACCATTCCAAATAAAGAGATTTCATTATGTTTACTTCCACTTGAAAGTCACCTTCATGGTTGTCTTAGGGAGGAGAAGTTTGCAAGTGAGGAAAGATGTCCTCTCAAGCGGCCGTCACAAGAGCAAGAGTTACTTTTCTACAAAAATTAAATAGATTGGAGTGAGCGGGAAACAATTGTCCAATGATGGAAAATTCAACAAAAACAGGGCATTACAGAATCCTTAATCTAGGTTAGTGAAACTTTTAACGAACCATGAACTCATAGATTTCAGTATAGCTTGTGCATTGTATTGTCATCTTTACTTTTATGCTGTCAACAAAATGACTGACTGCAAACAAATACATGAAAGGCAAGGCAGTAATATTTGAGCTATTTACACAAGAATGAAATAAATATTAATTCATAAAACCTTGACAGTGACGAGGTCCTCCAGGATGAAAGCTCTCATTCTTTCAAGGTGTCGGACAAGCCACATTTTGTCTGTCCGTCGGTCTAGCTCCAGTTGGTTACTCTCAAACCTAGCAAACCAAAATTATAGAATCATTATAAATTCAAGCTTTAGTCCTGAGCCTAATTGCACCCAGAATGGACAAGGAGACATTGGGAGGGGGCACGAAGTATTGCATTAAGGCTTCAAATGGAAACAGAAGAGATTCATAGGGATCTAATAGATGGGATCAAAAGGAAATCAGATGCATCAATAATTATCATACCAATATTATACAAAGCCGTTTAAAGACTATTATATTACGCGCAGATGAGATCAATGCCTCGACGGCTTCCAGTCCATCACCTTTTAGATATGTGATTGTTCAAACTATTGCATGTTAAAATTTTTGCAGCATGGTTTGTTGTAACATAAAAAAAACTCGCTTTGGTAAACAATAGAGTGACACGGGATAATAGACAAGATTTTAGAAAATCTATATACTTTGCTTTATTCAAAAAATTAATCTGTGATGTTAGGCTTTAATCACTTCCTAGTTAACTATAGAGGTGGTACCAGAGAGAGAATTAAGGAGGGCCGGTTTTTCCAGTTCATTTCCAGGGATGACAGTAGGCTTAAAAAACATACCTGTTATCGACAGACTTTCTTATTACTGCCATGCAACGACTTTTCCATACTTTTGGCCTCGTAGCAGGCAAAAAATTGGTTTTCTTTTGTTGCTCTAGAGCTCTTCTGTCTGACCTGAAAATCAATAAACCCCAGGTTTAGAATACAGTGAAATCCCCACAGAGTGGAGTTACAATCCTCTTGTAGAGAGGTGTATGTTGTCTGGAGTTCCTTCAATGATGGATTGACAGTAAAGAAAAAACATGGGACGAAATTGTTGTATGCAAATAAAACCATGCACATAATGAGTAGCATGCTCGAACCGGATGGCATGCGTAGTTTCATACAACCTTAAACCCATCTTCAGATATTCGAGGTTGGGTATATATTTCAAATAGTAGAGCTGCCAATCATAATCTTGGGGGTGGGGTATATGTAAATAGAGGAATGGAAGAAATCTAAGCTTAAAATACCAATAATCGCTTCATTGAATAAGATAAGATCAATATATCTCTAGAATTCAAATCCAAGGATGAATGGAGTCGAGATCAGCAATAAAAGATTAAAAGCCTGTGTGCCTTTGAAGTCCACGTCATTTTTAAAGTCCGTGCCGCTGGAAAGAGAATTGTTTACTAGGGAAAAACATATTTTTTTAGTCTTGAAACATCACAGAAAGAATATACGGCGATGGCAATGCAAAATGATGACTCTTAAAAATAAGTACCTTTCCTCTCTTTCTATAATTCTCAACGCTGTTACAATCTGTGTAGGATTGCTTCTCGCAGCACTCAGTGTCTGCGATATTACCGTCCATAGCTGCTTGGCTAGTAAATCCTGAAGGTGAAAGCAAAAAGAAGTTAATAAGATATTGAATAGCCTAAAGAATCATTCGTCACCACCAGTCTATGCAAAGGACTTGAAATGAACGATTTTGAGCTTCAGTGCATTGGGCAGATTCTGGTCAGATTTTTCAAACTAAAGAGAAAGAAAAATTGCTCACCGATAATCCCCCGACTCTTGAAAAATACAAATCTAGTGGCTGCAAAAAATAAAAACAGACTTCAAAAATAGTGCATCATTTCATATCAATCTCTGCTCTAAATAAGCCCTATATTTTATATGACATTTGAGTTAGCATCATCATGTCTCGCACTCATTTCTCACTAAGATGTCTTTCATTGAAATTATTGTATAATAATTGGCGAATTGAACAATTTTGAGTACGTTGATAAATATGATAATAACATATAAATATATTATGAGCACATAATAGATGGCTATGAAATACGATTGTTGTAAAATATAAGAAGTGATTTAGCCAAAAGATTGTTCTTGTAGCTTATCTTGCATTAAAAAACAGTTAAGGGAAAGTTATCTCACAGTTTTGCGATATAAAATTATTCAATGTAGAGTTATTCCTGAATGAGGTATTTTTTTTAGCTATGATCTTTCACTTTTTTATGATGCATTTAAGGTTTTTGCGACACATCTTCATTGGGTTGATAGCAATGCAGCAGCTTAAAATGCTACGTCCTTCTATGGCATAACAATTTGAAATATAATCTAACCTCGGATTCCAAGAACTCAATTCCTTGCTCAATCTTCTGCTGGTGGACTTCAAACAATATCTCATCTCGTGTTGCTTCGAGTTCCATAAGGCTAATAGAAAAGGGTCATTGCTTGCTTAACATCAATTTGAATTTCTTTTTAATTAACAATCAACGCCTTTAATGAGTTAGGAAGGGCAGACGATTGGGCGAGGTTATACAGAAGAGTAGTTTACATTAAACGCTTTACAGACCAACATGAAAACCAATTATATAAATCAAAATGAAGTCACATTTTTTATTTGCTACATGGCTTTATTTGATGTCAACTAATAATTATTAACCATAGTCTACATCAGTTTCAGTATCAGTATCTTTTTTAGTTTTCTCACACAAAATAACAAAATATGCTTTGGGCAATAAACATACTTTTTGTGTGCTTGAAGATAATTTCCTTCCAAAATCATACTTCGCGTCTTCTCCACAGTTTCTGGCACATTGAAAATCTGCTTCAAATGCTCATTTGTCTTTGCCAGCTGAGAAAAAAATTACATCACTTGCACTTACGACGATAAATCAGACTGCATTTATTTACACGCTTTCTTTTTCACGCGCCAAGTATTAGTACTTTCATAAAATAAGTTAACCTTACTCTAGGGCCTGCAGCAAAACATTCTTTCTGGAATAAACGGAAATTATGGCTAGCAGTTCCTTAACATTGGAAATAAGGATGCATTGTTTTTTTAATAGAAAAAAGCATATCTAAAACAAACAGAAAAAAAAATTTCGCTCTTTCCTTGCTGTTTCTTCATATAGAAGGTTCCAAAATAATAAACGGGGATCTGTGAGTTTGGCGGATTTTTTTCGAAAAACCAATAAGCGTGGGGGTAAAGTATATAGACACACTATTTTAATGATATGGTATACTTATGTTCTGTTATCTAGCATACTAAGTTTTAGGATCAAGGTGTGATTGAAGTACGAAGGTTGAATTCCGTTATGTTTGAAATAAACAAGAACTTCTTTCTTGAGTTGACGTAAAGGATTATAAATTACTACAGAGGGTTTGCTAGCAAAAGCCAGCAGGTAAAACGCTTTTGTTTATCTCAGTGCAAAGAATGAGACTTTCTGCCTCAACATGTGACAAACTGAGCAAAACGTACTTACTGAGACTAAACAAGGAAACCATTAAATGAAATTGGCCTTTAAAAGTAAATGAAAGCTTGCACAAACCTGAGCATGTCGAGACTGCTGCAACCTTAATTCAGACAAATGCTTGTTAAGAACACTACTCTCATCAAATGCACCATCCAGTTCCTGAATCCTGTCAACATAAAGGTATATTTTAGGCGAATTGTCAGAAACGACAGCTGAAATCGGCTACGCATAATTTTGTAAATTTTTTCACCAGAGAAAAGAGCAGATTTAATTGACAGAAATATCAATTATTGCATATAGATCCAACTGCAAATTAATAATTAATATGTTTCTTTTTTATAACTAAATCAAAATTAATATTTTTTTTCTACAAACATTGCTCCAAATATCATCTTCAGTTTCTAAATATCTACTGGTATGGTAAATATAAACACAACTCACAAATGGTAAGACTATTACAAAGTGAAAAATGGAAAAAATTGCTTAACAGGTTATATGCTTTGACCTTTCTCCAACTTACCATTCTTTTACTTCACCTATCTCACCAACAGCACTGTAAGAAAAAAGTAAATTTACAATAATAAATCAATGAAATATATCTTTTAATAAGGCACTGACTTTGTATGTTTAGAAAAAATTTCAAGATAGAAACATATAAAGAGAGGTATTTGGTCATTTTCACTCAAATTTTACAAGCTTTGTAAGTTCCTCTTTTGCATTAAGTTAAATCTGTGTTATGAAGATCTGCAGTCAGGACAGGAATTTATACTTGGCCTTTTATGATAATATATTGCTTTAAAAACCTTTTCAGTTCATTTAATCCTGATCGAATTCCATCTAACTGTGATTGAACAGCTGTCTTCAACCTTGAATCTACTGATGCCTGTGAACAAATATTAGAAGGAACCCATCATTAAAAGTAAAAATTGAACAACACACATATAACAAAAGATACTTTATTACTAGCATAATAGAAATCTGAATCAACATAACTTGTGTCATAGTTACTTTTCATCACTCTCTACCTGATTCTATATAGCTATTAAAGGTTCGTCTTTAAATTAATAAACATTCCTGACCTTTGTTCGTAAAACTCTTCTTCTGATTTGCTCTACCTTGTCTAGCTGGTCTGGTCTCTAGAAAACGTAGCAAATCTGGTTATTTAAGCTCCACAAATAACAGAAAAGTAGTTTGTAACAAAAAAGCCAATTTAATAATCTTATTTTCAATAATTCTTTTTTATTTTGACATTGTTTCTTGTTGTATCTTGTTATATACTGAAATATTTCTTTATGAATTTAAAGTGAAAATGTTCAAAATTATTCAACATGAGACTTGTTGGTAATATAAAAAGTGCATGCACACAGGTCATTACATAACAGTTTTGTTTAAAAATGCAAATTCACAGCATCTCACCCAGTTTTGCAACTAAATACATCTACTTTAAGACAGGCAATCTGAGATCATGGACTTTTGAGCATTTTCCCTATACTAGCTACATAAAGTAAGTGATGGTAGGTAGTCAAGTCACAAAATTATTCCAAACCCAAGTGTTATGTTTATTTTTATTGAGAATATTCCAAACCCCTTGCATATTTCAAAGTTAACATTGTCTTCCTGACAGTGTTCATTTGTTTCTGGAAAATTCTCCAAACCCCTGTTTATTCCAACCCATTCACTTTTATGGGAGATTTCATACAGGGCATGTTTCTCTCTCTATGTGGGTTTTCAGCCAAAAAAAGCCAAGCTTATCCTATCATAACCTGGTCCTTCATGGGAAAATGCCTGGGATGGAATCTGTAATGCTTTCACAAAGGAGGCTTGCCAGTAGACAAGAGACTATAACCTAAGACTCTGAAAAATTAAAAAATTCAAAAAAGTCATCAAGCCAATTAAGTAGCATGTTAGCCTTTGGGATAAATACAAGCAAGATTTAGATAAAGCAGACACAGGTTCTATCCTGAAACCATGCCTTAGGATTTCATGGCTAGATAATAAAGACTTTTTCTTCACTCTAAGGATCTGAGGTTCTCTGCCATTTTACCATGCCTTGTACCCGTGAAAATATATTGTTTGGGTGCTGAGTATGGCTTGTGCACACCCAAAATATGTTTTCTAAAATGTTCCAGCACACCTGGTAAAGGGTGTAACATTTGAGATCTTGGGGTGGCATTGATGTGTCCTAATGCTAAGGACAATGAAGAATTGGGTTTCCTTAAAATAGACATAGTCCTGCATTGGTTTGATAACAAAATATCTAACAATCATGAACATTTTCTTTTCTTAGTTTATTTTCACTTCTCAATTGATATCCTTGGGCTCTAGAATAGTTTGCACACTAGCACAACTGAAGTGCACACATTTACAGAAACGCACACTTCAAGTTTTGCTCTTGCACACAAAAAGATCTCGTTAGAAACTGCCATACTCTACAGCCAAGGTTTTGGTGGATTGAATCGCATCTTCAATGTTCACTGCAAAATTTTGCTATTAAACATACTTCAGCTAGCCTGCAAGCTCTAAGGTAATTTTCTGCTGCAAAAATTTTGGTACCCTTTTATAAACAGACGTAGAAACAATTTTAAAGTTCGGGGGGGAGGGCATATGTATAGGCTAAAAAAGAAAGGGTGGTACCGCTGAACGTTCCAAACATCATTCTTTGAAAAAAAATTCTAGTCCAAAGTTGGACCTGTCGTTTCAATTTTAAGGAGCCAAAATCCTTATAAAAATGCACGCTTGATCTTTTATAAAATTTGGTAGAAAGTTTAGCAAATTATACTTCTAGTCCAAAGTTAGTTTAGGTTTCTAAAAAACAAAATTGTAATTTAGGCCCTCTTCTTCAAACCCTTTAAGCACCTACCTACCAAAACCACGACAGGATTCAATTTCAAAAAAGCTATGAGCTAATGTGAAAAGTTTCATATACCTGGAGCAAATTTGCCACATACTTGGCAGCACAGTTAAGAGCATCTTCCTTGCACTTCTCAATTTCATTACCTTCCGTCATTTTCTCCTCCTGCCTTCGAACTCTCCATATGATTGAATACGAGGCCAGTTGTTTTGATTTCCACAATCTATGATTGATAGGCACTTGAACATTTTTAAGGAAATACTTTTAGGTACAATAGTAGTACAATACAAATAGAATAGTAGTACAATAAAAGTTACGAACAATAGTAGTACAATAAAAGTTAGGTACAATACAAATACTTTTAATAACAATAACATGTTTGGATACAAATCAGGCACAGCGCAGCCATTGGTCTAGCAGGGGCTATAGCTCCCCCCATTTTTTGCAATAATAGGCTAGATAATTTTTTGAAAAGTTTACCCTAACGCAACTTTGGATAGTTAACTCCTATGTAGTAGCAGTTCTTCTTGACTGTGAATCTTTTTTGTTAATTTTCTTGTTGTTGTTAATTTCCAAGTAAACATTACAATATCCAAAGGTATTAGAGTTCTGTATAAACTAAGGCATTTTGTGCCAAAAACTACTTTAAGAACACTTTATAACTCATTCATTCAATTCCATGCAATGTATGGCATATTAAATGGAGGGTGCGCAAACAAATCAACTCTAGAAACCCTAAAATGCAGCTTACGAAAACCTGCAGTTTATTTTTTTGTCTATTTAGTATATTTTAGTATATTTAGTATATTTAGTATATTCAGTCTATTTTAAGCAGTTTTTAAGCAGTCACCCGAAGGACTAATTTGTTTCTGATTTGCATTTTCGTCAGCCCCCCCTCGCTACGCTACTGCTCCAGACCCCTTTCTTGAAGGTAGAGATTTGGACAATATTAATAAGCTTGTTTTTATTTCCATGCTCATCAGTAATATAATTTAGGCCTATATATGACACTCCATTTTGAAGAAAATATTTCGAAATACATTTATAATGTAATATCAATTTGCGAAAAGAGCAAGTAGATTCTAACTCGGTTTGGAAGCAAAATTATAAAGTACATTATGGCAGAAAACCAAATTCTCGAGTAAATGACAACCATTGTGAGTTCTTGGTGATATAGAGTCACAAGATACCAAGTTCAACTATATAGAATCTTGAAAAAACCAAATTGTGTTTGTAGAATGACATTTAATAGCAATGTAATACTGTTTATAATGTTTTAAAAACTTTGATGTCGTTTTTTCTCGAGCTCTGCCAATTAAACGGACGAAACCGATGACGATAAAGCAAGGTATAACTAGCAATTGCACAGCAATTTGAGAAGTAAATGTTAAATTATTTTCAATTTAGTTGTCAGTCTGCTTTTTTTGACCACGCAACTGTAAAATTTAAATCAGAAACTGGTGACATGATTTATTTTTTTGTTCTGAATTCTAAATGTTCTCTAATTTAAGAGTTTAAACAGCCTCCTGCTTGGATTTATCAATTTAGTGCTTCGTGTATGTGTGCCTCAAAAACGATCTAGCGACTATGAAGTTTCGTAAAAATTATATTCCCTCTACATCGAATGTCTTTCTATAACTATAATTTCTATATCCCCATAAGTTTGTGTTTAATTTGAGCGCCAGCTTCATTATCTTCCTGTGTTTCATCATTCAAACTTTTGTGCGTTTTTTTCTGCAAAAGTTTTCCTTAATTTTTTGTTCATTAAAGTAAAATTTTAGAACAGCACAGACCTTTTTAAGAACTGCACATTTTGTGTATAACTGCACGTTAAAAAAACCCTGTTTGTTACAAGGGAGCTGAAGTCTATTTCAGCATGAAGTGCGCCGTTTAGCACACAAAGAAAACAAAAACTTTTCATGTTTTTTTAAGACATATTCCCGATTTTAAACTGGTTCAGGCCTGGCAATCTGGCAATCTTTTGGGTGTTCCTCTGTTTTGTAACACCGAAAGGGCCCCGAAATAAGATGGTCACTTGCCCACCATGGCCCCTGGCCATTAGACCTTTGTGATGAGCTCCTCGGCTCCAAAGTCTTTCTTAGAGCTTGGCAAGAATCTAGAGCTTCAAGCCAGGCACTTTGTTCAATTTCATGTCGCCATAATATTAATTTAAGATCTGCTTTGTATTAGGGTAAGAGGTATAGCATTGTATGGCAAATGAAAAGCACCAATGGAAAAATTCCAAATTTTGTCTGGCAGTTTCTTCTGAATTGTAATATCAGGGTTATCAATCAAGTTACTTGGGTATAATTTTGAGAACAAAAAAATAGAAAAGACCTTTGTCACAGAGAATGTATGACAGGAAACATTTATATTTTGCTATGTAAGTCTATGAAGAATTGGGCGACGACAGAACAGTGTTGTTTTGATAGTTTCAAGCAACAGCAGACGCCACTTTATCAAAACTGATTTATGTCCTATATATTCAGCTGTTAGCCGCTTATTGCAAAGACAAATTTAATAGTAATCAGTAGCGGCGCCATGGGGGAACTGGGGGACAGTTCTCGGCAGGATCAATTTTGAATTTCGTCTATATCCGATGAAAAATGTTGGTGGACGTGTAATATTTTGGCAACGTACTTTTTTCGATGTCATCCTTTGATTTTCGAACTGCCTTTACATAGCCAAAAGTTAGTTTTGGGCGTTTCTTTCAGGTAAAGTTGGCTTTCCTTGTTTGTAAAAGGGCCTTTTCTGGTGCTAAAAGGGCGTGGCCTAAATTTGTTTGTTTTGTTTAATTCCATTATTCATATGAGACATATAGCATAACAAGCAATATTATAAATGGTTTAGCGGTACATTTATACGTTTTTTTAAAAAGATTGGAGCGCCCTTTGAAAAAATATGTTGTTTGAAACAGCCTGGCCTTTGAGTGTTAGTTTTTGTACGAAGAACACCATTAGAAAATAGGCACTTTCATCTTTATCGTCAATATCTCATCAGGGAAAGGATAGCTCTGCAGCACGAGAGTTGGTTTTCAAGGGGCTTTATTTTAAAATATGCGTGGTTTGCATGAAATTATGAAATATAGACTAAAGTTTGCAATATTTAGTCCATGATTCTTCTTTTTCTTTCAAATTTTTCGTTATCATTACATTTATCGTTACATTAGGAAAATTAACATCACCTAACAACAAATAATCAACGACATTATCCGAAGACGACTTGAACTCAGCTGAATTGACAACGATTTGGAGGAACGCCTATTTCAGCGTATCTGATGCTCACACACATCCTAATTTAGTATTGTTTAGTGCAGTAATTTTCAGTCCTTACAAATAAATTCAAACAGTCCTTTGTGCCCATAAAGCGACATAAATTAAAACAGACGTGATGGTTTATCACATCAAATTAACTGTTTATAGACTTCTAAAGTCAGGAAGAAATGGGCAGAAAATAGTTGATGTGAAATATCTCTGATAGCTTCTTTCCCAATTTTAATATATGATCAAGGTATAAATCAAATGTGTCAAGCAAGACAGTGGTGTTTAATTGTAGAAATGACGCGAGCAAGGCATTATAGATGCATATCGAAGTCATGTTTTATGTAAAATTTCATCAGCCAGGGCCTAGAAGCTGAACACATAAACGTTCATATTGTGTTTCTTGAATATGCCGATTATAATGTCTGAAAGTGAAGTCTGGAAAAAGGATCGATGTTGTACTTAGTTTCACAAATGGATATATTTATTGTTATTTTTTACAAATCTGGACTCAATTTATTTTCTTTTAAGAATATCAGCATTAAGCATTATCTGCAAAGAAACAAAATATTTCAATTTTCTTGACACATTAGCTAATAGATTAATAGCGATAAGGCAAATCAGAGATCTAAGTACCGATCCTTGAGGTACACCACAAGAAAAAAGTTTGAAAAAAAGAAAAAACTATTACTAATAACTGTGATGTATCGATATCTCTTTTAAATGTTGAGTCGAACCTGATGTCACGAACTCGGACACACCAATATATTGACTTGCTATAACAATAACTAGCTATATAAATGCTATAAAGTTTTTATTTCTAGCGACTTTAGATTAAATTGACTTTGTTTAGAAAAACATTAAATAGCGACTCTTTCTAGTTATGCAGCGAAGATTTTTATTTCAGTTATAAGTACAAACAGTAAAATAAGAGTAGGCCAAAAGCAATACACAGATAGAGGCGAACATGGAACTCAGTTCCAAATGAGATAAAGTAGTCCCCTACTTTACAAATATTCAAGAAAAAAATTTCAGAATTTACATCGTTTAATTGTACTTGTAATCTTTGCTGTACGTTAGGAATACGTTAGCAACATCGGTTATATTTGATTTATATTATATTTAGCGTTGGTAATTTAAATTAGTTGGTTTTAATGTATGCATAGCTAGAAATTGTACCAACTTTAAAAAAGAAAGAAAAAACAGTTTCACTTCGGGGCATCTCGGGGAGAGGAGAGCGCAATGGAGGAGAACAGCAACAACATTCAGAGCAATAGAGTTCTCAAATGTGACGTCACAAAAACTTTAAAATTTTGAAATTTTGACCACATAACATGAAAGAACATCATAAAATTGTGGCATGTATGCAAAATCAGTAGAATTTGTCAAAATTTGTCAGACACTGTCAAGTTAGGGGTCTGGGACACAGGCTAACCCGAGTCTATTCTGATCTCTAAAAGTATTTTTCTTTTTTTAGAGATCACATCAGTGGTCGGATTTTTTGACCTTTTGTCACAAATAGAATGTTACTCGCAAATTTTCAGCACATTAGAGATTTACGACCGGTTTTTTCATGTAAGTTTATCAAGAGGATCAACCAGTCAAGACATATACAAACTACAACTGTGCTTGGATTGAAAATGAATAATTCCCAAGACAATTTTCTGAAGGCTGCGTTGGCTATGAGTGAGGCAAAGACATTAGTGGTGACAGCTGGTGCTGGAATTGGCGTTGATAGTGGGCTTCCTGATTTTAGAGGGCCTGAGGGCTTTTGGAGAGCGTATCCACCATTGAAAAAGCTTGGATTAACCCTCCCTGAGATGAGTACTCCTGCCTGGTTTACAGATGATCCGCATTTCGCCTGGGGATTTTTTGGGCACAGGAAAAATCTTTAAAGGCTACAAAGCCACACAAAGGCTTTGATATTTTGAAAGAATGGGCTGATTCCATGGAGAATGGATATTTTGTTTTTACGAGTAATGTTGATGGTCACTTTCAGAAAGCAGGGTTTGATGAAGACAGAGTAGTGGAATGCCATGGAAGTATAAACTATCTCCAACAGGTCAATGGGAGAGGTAAAATATGGCCATTCCCTGATGATCAGAAAGTTAATGTTGATGAAAACACACTACAAGCAATGGATCCACTACCCTCGGGACCTCCTGGTATGTTGACATTGACATGGCAAAAAGATGAGGGGGCCAGAATAGGGCAATATGTTCCTAATTGCATTTTCAGTCTTTTTCAGCAGTGCAAGAAATGTCACATTTTGTCTTTATGTTGGCACCCCCTCTCCAAAAAATCTAATCATATAATCTGTATTTTATTGACATGATATAACATGTGACACAAAAGCAACATTACACTTAAAATATCTACTTTATAGTATCATTTAGTATGGGAACATTGTGTAGAAGGATCAGACCAGTTCATTAATTATTTTCATTTAACAGTGCATATAAATTGTAAATTATCCCAGACAAATCCAAGTGGTTTAATTGGATGATTTTTTAGGGTCAAAAATTAGCAAAATGAAGCATTTGGTTCAACCATCTATTAGTTTGCCTGATTTTCTTTTCCTTTTAGATCTGGAGGCATCCAAACAGCAACTTGCCAGACCAAATATATTAATGTTTGGAGACTGGGAGTTTATTGAAACAAGGACATCAGAGCAATATGCAAGATTTGATGCTTTTGTTAAAGAGAAACTGAAAGGTCTATCAGATAACTTTGTTGTCATAGAGATAGGGGCTGGGCTATATGTTCCAACTGTTAGATTTCAGAGTGAACGATTAGTTAGTGGTAGAAAAAATGGGACTTTGATAAGGATAAACCCTGTTGATCATGATGTTCCATTTGGTAAGCATCTTTCATTGCCACACAGTGGACTAGAGGCTTTGACAAAGCTGAAAAGTGAGCTATCCAAGTTATAGCTATGGTCAACTGCGAGCAGGGACTGCACACCAGTCTAAATGTGGGAAGGCTGAAAAGGGCGTAACCAAAATTTTTTGAGGCCATGCCCTCTAGAACACCGGAAAACATCCCTTTTAGAAAATACTGGCTCATTTCTACTGGGGTTTAATAAACAGTCTGGTTCAGAGAATATATTAATAGCTATAGAATAGATAAAATTAGCTTGAGATCCCCAAGATAATCAAACATCAAGAAAAACACTTAGAAAATGAACAAAAAGGGTTCCCAGTCAAGAAGAACTGCTTTTACTTAGAAGTATACTATTCAACATTGTGTAAACTTTCTAAAAGGTTTTCCAACATATATTAATTATCGCAAGCTAGCCCAATGGCTGTGCGGTGCCTGAATGCAAGTACAAGGGTTTAGATTGAGAATGCATGCTCGATTTTAACAAGAATTTTTAAGTTGCTTATTTGCATTTTGTAATTACTGATTGACTTCCGTGCTTGAGTTTTAAAGAAAGAGTAATTAATTACCCAATTGTGGTAAGTGTAGCAAAAGTTTTAGCAGTTTATATGAGTCAACTGAAAAAGTTTACAATTTTCATAAGAATAATCTAGCCATGAATAAACATGTAACTGAAAGAATCTGGTTTAATTCTAAAACACTCATTAAATCATCATCTTCACCAATAGCAGCCATTTTGCTATCAAGAGTTTTCCTGGTCAACAAGTGGTTTTCGGTGTGGAAATATTTAATGCCCTTTAATCCAAATACAAGCCTGAGATAATTGAAAGATTTATTAAAGTCAGAAACTTTCCAACTATTTTTTTTAAATTGAAACTCGTGTTTTGTTATTACTAGCTCTATAATGTGCATGACAGCTATTGAAATTAGCCAAGCACTAAATCAAATAATGTGAAATCAAGACTTCAAACAATGGTAATAAATTATCCCAATGGAATGATAGTTTCCAGGAAATGTTTCTAATGTGCATTAAACTCTCAAGTTTTTCATCAAGCATTGGACAAGGTTCTAATGTTTATAGATATTTTGCCTTTTCAAAATGTCCTTGTTCTTTTTTCCAACAGCAAATGAGATATGCCTTGGGCAGGGGCAGAAAGATATGCCTTGGGCAATTGATACTTTTTACTTTTGGAAGCCACATCCCTGCCGTTTCTATACATTTATGCCCCTTTTTATGCACTAAACGTTTACTCGATCACAGAATTTTTTTAATTTCAACACGTTACATTTCACAAATTGATTCAAGATATATTTGTACATTTTTAATATTATAATTGATTAATTGATCATTGCTAACTGCTTTGTCAATTTCCTTTTTAGTATTCTCTTGCTTGATTTTGAGGGTTCTGGAGTTTTAGTATCCGTCTGTATAAACTCTGCTTTCTGATTCTTTATTGGGACTTGAAATACTTTCTGGGCCCTATGGTCCAGTGGTACGATGCTTTTTTCAACCCTGGTCTTGGACCATATTGTGGTCCAAAGAAATGGGTATTCTTCCATAGCAAGAATGTCTGTGTTTGAGTTTATATTTTTCGTACCAGGGTCCTTTTTGCGCTGCCCGTTGGTGTGCAAGGGCGTCTTCTAGATGGGAATGATTTTTAATTACAGGGTAACGATGCTGGTTGGCAAATTGTCGTTCAATCATTGGCAGGAAGTCAGAGCTAAAATGTAATCTTAAAAAACTAATTCTGAAATAGTAACAACTTTTTCAAAATTTCCCGTAAATTGAAATGCTTGGCTGGGGCTATAGCTCCTGGCCTCCCATTCCCTAGCTCTCCAGCTACTTCTCTCATATTTACTGATAACCATGGGCTCCGACGCAGGTTGGGAATCGGGGGGGGGGGGCAAGGGAGATTTTAATAATCATAGCAAAAGATTTTTAAAAAGCCCTATTGTTTTGCAAAAAGCCATGGCCCGGCTACCATTCGTTGAAGGCCCTGGTGACGGTATTTCTAAGACCCAATGCAATGAACATGCAAACAAGGAAATTCTTGATAGTTTTTTAACATTGGGTAATGTTTCCACCGGTCCATAAATCGGAAAAAAAACACCAAAGACAATAGAAATCTCAGATGAAATTATACTTACAAAGATGTATCGAGTGCTTGCTTCTCTTTTACTACGCTTTAATCAATTTCGACAGACCAATTCTCAGCACAACTTGCTTTACTTTCGCCCTAATTTGCTAACAAGAATCCAGTTTGTGCCAGCTGATAAGGTATTGACACCCCTGTAACCCCTGTAGGGAAGCCTATATATGACATCAAAAATATAACCAGAGTGTTCCGTAGTTCCCCAGTTTTAACTGGAAGTTTTAACAAAGTGATGCAGAAAGTACTTAATTTATCTCCATATATAAAGCTAAAACTGAATTACCTGAAGCGTGCGGCACCAAAATCGAATCGTTATCTAACACCCCCCCCCCATCCTTGTCGCTTAAATCCCCCCCTGTTGGTAAATCTATTAATATTCCCTTGAATTTCCCGGACACAAGGGTTATAAAGCCGAGCAGTCAAAAAACTTTTCAATGAACAGCTTCATAGCTGATTTTAATTTCCTTCACGGAAAAGAGATGTTATTTTTGAGTGACAATCTGTTTTTACATGGTGTCATACTGGAACCATTTGATCTCTCTTATCAGATAAGGAGAAGTGACACGCACAAAGAAAAGCTTTTCACACAAAAGCAAGATATTGCCATTTTGCGATGCATATGACATACAATGAAATCGCTAGGTTGTCGTTGACAGGGCCTCCGACAAAGGGGGGGGGGGGCCGGGGGGCCATGACCCCCTCACTTTTTTGCAAAGCAATACAGCTTTTTAAAAAAAAACGTTTGTTATGATTGTTACACTTTCTCTTGACCCCTCCACTTTCCAACCTGCGTCGGAGCCCACGGTTGAGTCACCTGAACAGCTTCTTCATGACTTGTTCGAACTAAAACAAGCCATCGTAGTTGAAAAACAATACCTTCACAAAGTAATTTATGTCACATCTTTTAGCTTGGTGGAAAGTGACATTCTTCGAAGGTTATCTAGAGGAAAAAAAACCTTAATGGTAAGATACTCATCAAAATTCTTATGTAAGGCAAAAATACGTTTTTATATCAATAGACGGTAGCTCTGACCTGTGAATAAATGAATGAATTCGATAAAGGATTTGCAAATTGCAAAGGGTGTCTAGTGCATTGAATGTAGATTTTTGTTTTTGCTTGCTCAACCGAGACGAGCATGCGTCTTGCCACCTGCTCCACAAATCGAATATTCTCGTTCGCATAAACGCATTTGTATAATATGAAGAATATTTCCAAATCGATGTGCAAGCACAGTCAAACCGGGGGTGGTAGGGGGGCGGCAAAAGCCTCCCAATTTTTGTTGAAACATAATATATACGGTTGTGGCATTAAAGATAGTGGCAAACTCCAATAAAAGTTTGCAAACTTGTCTAAATAGAGCCCCAACCCCCCCCCCACCAAATATAGCCCCAACTCCGGTGTCTCCAATGCTACAGGAATGTAACATATAGGGGGCATAGGACCCTAGTCATTTTGTTAGAATAGATCTTGAAAGCTAAATTCTAGATCGTAAGGTGTATAATACACCTTCTTCTGGTTTCAGGAAATATTTACCAAAACAATTTTTCTATTTGTTACTGCAGGTATGATGGTCATCTTGCAAATTTTCTCCAAAATATCCATTAAAAACGAAATTTTTTGGATCAGAACCATCTAAATGCAATGCAGTATGATTCATAGACTATCCCATTGATTCTGGCTGGGTTTAGAGATTCTGGAACGGCAGTCATGGTTAAGATTTCTTTTTGTCTCAAGGTACAGTGAGTTTATTTGCTCTAATTGGCTATTAGTTAATTTAATCCATTAGTTGTTATCAACTAATTCGCTCGCAAAAATGCTGTAGTATTTTATTCATACACAATTATTTGTCCACTTGAATTGTATTGTAGATGGTTCTCATCTTTAGAAAACAATCTAATTTCAAAATGTGACCCCAGTGAAACCCCAATGTGTTTGTAAAATGAATAAGTGTCTTACTGTTTTCATTAAATGCTAGGTAGAATCACCTTTAAGCCCAGTCTTGGTAATTTTTTCTAAAATACTGGTCTCCGCTGTACCAAAGAGTGTTGTGCGCCCTGGGAATAGAACATACCTGGAAGGAGCTTGCATATTTCTTTGGCACTTACAAATTATGCACATCCTCGCGCCGATCTTTTTGCATCCTGTTGAGTAAGGTGTCTTTCAAAGATTTGCAATTACAATCCTAGCGTGTCAGACTGATTACAGGATGGCGTTGCAAGTTTTCTTGAGCGTTATCTATAAAATCTTATAGCCAGCAATTGCACGTTGCTCTTGAGAACCTATTCTTTTTCTGGGTCAAATTGATAAATTCGATTTGTCTGCATGACACTTAATGGTAATAGCTTCGAGTTTTGCGAAACATGTCTATAAGAGGAAGACATGAAAGGAAAATTTAAATATCTTGGCAGAATACTTAAAAAGTGTATCAAATTTGTTGCACTATAAATACTTCTCATGTGTTACAAGTATATCACGGGCCCCAGCACAGATTCCTGTGAAGTTCCATTTTAATTATATTGTACTACAATTTTCTAGAACATTTCATTACATTGCACAAAGTTGCATTAGAAGAGTAGTTCATATTTCACCATATTTTTCGCAGATTGCAACGCTATATTTCGCAAATAATAATCTTTCTGCAGGCAAACGGCCAATGACAATTGTTTGTTGAAAAAAACTAACAAATTGATCAATCGACATGGAAATTGGTTTAGGGCTTCAGAAGCTTAACAACGCCAATTATTTATGAATTCCTATCTAAGCCTAAAACGGAGGGAAATTGTCAAGGTCATTTTAGTGAAGCCGTGATGGAAGTTCTTATAATGCGCACAGCGTTATCTTATATCGACCATATTGAAGTAAGACATCAACGGACACCGAGATCTCAGATCTAGCGAACGAAACGAAGCCCAGAATGCGACGATATCGTTGGACCAGCCCAAAGGTAAACCACTCTAAAAAATCTCGTACATCTTTGGTAAAAATCCTATTGTTTTGTCTGAAAATCCCTGGAAATCCTTTTGTTTTAGGGAAAATCTCGTACGCTATTTGCAATAGTGAATTGCCCCTCGGGAACAGCAGTTTTTTGTAAGATAAAGTCCAGTGTCTACGCTTTATCCTATCTTCAAATACGACAAATCATGCCCATTCACGCACATCGGATTCACCAGGGAAGGGAAAGAGATTCAAATAAAAAGAAAGGAAAACAAATAAGTCAAATAAGGGAAAAAAAATTTCAAGTTTCAAGTTGAAGTTTCAAGAATCCGCCAGGCCAATTCCAAAGTTGGTTTTAGGATCTTGGCTTCATGCTTTTGTTTGAAATTTTGCTTGCTTTTTCATTTGATCAATGTATTCGAAATCACTTTTTGATCATTTCAGCCTGTTTTGCGACCCCCTTCCCCTAATCCAGATTGTCATCTGTCCCTCCAGGGATTTCTTTGACCAATCACAAGCCTTACATACTGAATGCTGGCTTACTGTCAAAGTTTGAAAAGTCATAAAAGGAATTCGTCTTAGCTTATTCAAAAGAGAGTCTAGATGAAAATATTACTGTTCACCTTTATACTTAACTTATGAAACCTAATGCAAGAGGCAGGTAAGGTGGGACCAGAATTTGAATGAACCACTCAGCACACATCTTGATCAAAAGTGCTATTTACATTCATTTTCATGTTATAGGTAAAGGTAATATTACAAAAATGAATCTAATCGAATGTCTTCAATGAAAACATTCGTTTTATCGTATTTTAATTATTATCCTCCTATTTAGATGTTTTGCAGTAAGAAAGGTAATAGCCGGAAAAACTGGATTCTTGTAAGGGCATTGAGAATTACCTGTAGAAAATGGTTTATTATTATTCTTATTATCAATATTTATAGCACATAACGATTATCATTCAAGTTTTGAACAATTTTTAGCAAATAATAAAACAATCAACTTTGTTTACAATTTTTTGCAATGGATATATATAAAACAATTAATGGTTTAAATCCATCTTTTATGGATAAAATTTTTTCCCCAATTTAAAGCAACGGAGCCACATTACAAAATATATGGATTAAATACCGAACAAACACAGATTTAGCCAACGAAATAAAATGCTTCCCGAACTTACAAATGTTCAAGAAAAAATTTCATCAATCAATTGGCCTTGTGATTTCTGCAAGAAATACATGTGCAACATCAGTTGTTTAAGATTTGTATTATGCAATGGTAATTTGAATTAGTTGGATTTAATAAGCTTTATTATAGCTAAACATTGTACCAACTTTAGATAAAGAAAGAAGGTTTTTCACCTTTTTTCTTTTCACAAAGTTATATCTTAACTGTACAAAATTGCTTATCTTTTTATTTTTAGTTGATGGTTCTTCTGTTGATATTTCAACGTTAATGTTTTTCATTAATCCGTGTTTCATTGATTTTTCTCCCTCGTCTTATTTCGGGTACTTTTAAAATCTAAAAAAGGTTTCATTTCGAGCTATACGATAGTGGTTATTCTAAAACTTTGCAAAACTTTTCTATTTCACGTAAACATCACAAAAGACGCGACTATGCGACACCTTCAGTCAAAATTCACTTTAGATACAGTTTCTGGCCATCCCTAAGACACCATGATTCTAAAAATTTCTAAAAATTCTAAAAAGCCTTTCCTAAGTCCTTTCAAGACTTTGAATTTTGGCCCCTCCACTTTCAAATACGATTCGCCGACCCTGCCACAGCTAGTCTTTATTGTGGCTGACGATTTCAAAGTTTTTGACAGGTTCCACTAGAAAAGTCCAAGTTACCCTCTTCCCCATCTTGCTATTTTCTTCGATCTTAGATAAAAACTTCATTTGTGTATAACGATGGATAAAATATGCAAAAACGCTCCAATTTTTTTGTGTACACTAGTGGGCGATGACTTTCGGAAGATTTACAGCCTAAGGAAGAACCACGCACTTTATTTTTATGATCTGAAATTTTACATATTTGTGATAAAAATCATTCTACTCCTAGATTTCCGTTTACACAAGAAAAAGGGCCCTGAATGCGACCATGAAACATGTTTACGCGAGAGAAAAGTAGTCCCAAAAGTAACCGCACTGAATCTGGCTCTAGTTGAATTGCCAAAGCCAGCTCGGTTTGAGATCACAAAATGTAAATGAGAGTTTGTCTCATGTAAACGGGTCTATCATTCGAATATGCTTGTTACTCTCCTGGTATCAATAAAAATTCATTATTTTTACAGAGATCCTTTCCAATGTTTTTCTCACATTTCTAAATGCCTAAATGACGTCTTTGCCACATTTACCGATTGTGGTCGAAATTTTTATTACGTTTGAGTTGACATTGGCATAGAGCCCGTTTATGTTTTAACCATTACTCCTTAAAGAATTATGAAGTTAAGTTTTTAAATTTGGAGTGGCCTATGATGGGTGAATAATGTTTCTAGTACTCTGACTCTTTGTGGTCGATTTTCACTCTTCATTAGACATTTGTAAAAGAATAAATTGCTTATCTGCATGCAGGAATTCTTGTAATTTAAGCAAATTATTTAGTATTTAACTGTTTTGTGAATTCCAAAAAACTCTATCACAGTTGCAAATATCTCGGTTTTGGGTTAAAGTTTCAAACTGCAAAGAAACGAATTTCAGGATAGTTTGAAATTTCTACATAAAACAGACTTTAATAGCCATCATCAACGCGCAACTTTATTTACTTGATAAAAAATCTTATAAAGCTAAGAAACTTAAGTTTTCCCAACATTTTCGTAAAAACTGAGGCAATATTCAAACGCAAAATCTGTATTTTTCCTTGCATTTTCGACTCAGTTTCCCCATATTGCCATTTGCTTGCTTTCAATTATATCACTTTGTCAAAGGTTGCATTGTCTAAATGTGCGTGACGTCACCGACCACATGCGCCTTCTGCTCAATCCTTTCTCCCCATTTTCCTAAATTACTTGCTCTGATCCTTTACGAAACCTTTTCTTTATTTTATCCTCAAATTTCGCACTGGAATTGTATGGTTTACGATCGCTGGGAGACAACTAAGTTTGTTAAAGGTAAGGTGAATTTGTTGCGTGTGTTTTTAAGTCACAGTTCTAAGATTTTAGATCGAATTTGGCTTTCATTTCCTGCCTTATATCAAGCGAAATTCAACCGAAATCGTTCGTTTATTTCAAACTGCATTACATGCTTGTTGTTGATCCGAAGCCCTCGAAGGCTTCCACGCTTTCGTTGTTAAAAGAACGTCGCTTTTCTCTCAGTAAGTGGCTTTATCATTTTATTTTTGACTCTCAAAATGTCATGAAACAATTCTTTATAAAGTTTTTCTTCACTTAGCCATATATTCAGCGGGTAAACTCCGGTTTTTGGCTCAAAATCCACGTTGTTTTCAGGGCGTGAAATTAATCGAAAACCTGCCTTTCTGGCCTGCGTTATTGTTCCTCCATGATGATTAATTCTTCGAACGGATTTTCGTGTACAATTAGAAGCATTTCTACCCTTTTACAACTCTTTCTTGTCTGTATAGGAATGTTGTTTTGGGCCTAAATACATCACAAGTCATATAATAAACCCATTTTCAACCTTCAGTCGTTGGGGATTCTGGACAAAGCACGTTTCTGCCAAAGTACAAGTTTTTCTCTCCGGGATAAAAGTAAAATGGATTCTGTATTTTGTTTAGTTAAAATGAAGGACAAATTTATGTTGTAACCATTTTGAAGAACAAAGAATAATAACAAACCTTAAAACTTAGTCAGCGCTTGCATCTCTGGTATAATTCAAGAAATTTTCATTGTTGCCTTCCATGTAAGGGAAAGTGTACCCGATCCTCTATATTTAAGGCCTAAGTTATCCATCTTAAGTCGTTCGTTGCTATTCTTTATATATACTCTCTCAATCTTTAACAGTGTTTTGCATTTTATGTAACATTTCATCGTCTTCTTTTGTGAAAGTTTTAAACATATAAAAGCGAATTTATCAAGACGAGTTTAGTACTTGCAATAAATTAGAAAGTCTAGTTTTACAACAAAATTCCATTTTGATATTATTTGTGAATTGCCTATTTTGGCAACTTTAATCTACAGTTAAAGAAAACCATTTTCAAAATTTTGACTGTATTTTATTGCTGTTAGACTTTATAATGCTTCTTTTCTTGGCCTGATCACTTCATTCATTTGCAAAGATTATGGTCTATTTTTAGATGTTATCTTCAATTTAAATATACTTCAAAGTCATCTTCCCTGATTATAACTGAGTGTCAAAAAATTATATTAACTTTGAAATTAACAAATGAAATGATATCTGAAACGATATCCATACTAAGGCTGTTTAAAGACTTGCCTGGCATTTTGTTGTTCCTTTATCTCTTAATGTTTTTGTATCTTTGATTTACCCATTAAACATTTGTTCGCATTTGGAAAGCAACAATTATAGGAACAATTAAAACGTCTTATATGTATAAGATGCACAAAATATTTAATAAAACATAATACAAGACAACAAGACAACCAGATATTTACTATGTAGGTTTCAATTTAAATCAGATCTAGTGTACCCAAATATTTTTAAGGTCTTCCTTATAAAATAAACTTTTAGTACTAAATATGTTTTTTTCTTGACTCTCTTCAAGCCATGGAATGTTGGGTAATCTTCAAGCCAAGAGAATTGTTCTCCAACCATGCCTCACCCACCATCATGAATTTTGATCCTTTCAGTTCTCTCTTGAAAAAGGGGTAGGACCCCCTGATGGATGTCTAAAACAGGAATTTCTCATATCTTCCTTTATGCTTCACATCAACCTGATACCTCTTACTTTGCCTTTCTGGCAAATTGCATATCACAACATCAAAAGCATTTTTTTGTAGACTTGGCAGGGAAAATTGTTTTATGTATTAGATAGAAGATTTTAAGATATTTTTATACAACAAGCTGTTCATCAAAATCATGTTCATGAATTAACCTGATTTACACTGACTTTTCTCCATACTGGGTACCTATGCCAAAATCCTGACACTTAGTAAAATGGGCCCCTAGGTGCCCCTTGGTGGCTTCATCATACAAGTGGCCAATTTGTCGTTGATGAATAGTTATTCTGTGGAATATGCAACCAGATTGTGAATCTTTAAGCCAAGAGTTACTATGTGTCAATTTGATTTGTTACCTGTACAGAATGGTAGACCTTTTGTAAACAGGAAGCAATTTTATCTCTTGGCAAATATAATTTAATCATCTATTGTGTTGGAAGCAAGGCACAACCAATGATTATCACGAGACAAAAGCTAATATTTGGTCATGACATTGTTTTCTGTAATCTTATGATAAGATAACTTTTAGCAGGATCCCTGCTAGCACCATAAGACTGGGCTGGATGACAAAGGGGTATCTTAACCATGTTCTTCTGACTTACAAGTAACAGTGTATGTTCCCTCTGTTCACACTTTGATCTATTTTTAAGCACTTGCAGATCGATATTTGTTGCTCCACAGACAGATTCTTGAATATCAAAATAATCTTATTTGATTTAAAAGAAACGTTTCCCGGTGCTACTGGCAATTAAAGTTGTTGGCTTTTGTTCAATTTTGTTGATGACACCTTTTTATGCACAGAAAGACGTTTTATTCATGGCAGCCAAAGTGACAAAGCAAATAAATATTCCAAGTCATTGGAAGTCGATATTGAACTTTGGACCTCTATATGAATCTGGATATTTTTATCCCACAGTCCATACTGTGGTAACTTCCCTGGTTTAAAAATGCTTCAGGCACAAGCTGTCAGTTTAAAGTGTTATCTGATTTTTGTGTGAACAGGAGCTTGTTTTTGAATGTTTTAATGCATCCAGATGCAGTGAAGCTGAATTATTTTTGAGGACTATCAGAAAGAGTTTTGTTTCAAACATATAAAAAGAGGGAACTGAGCTTCAAAATTTATTTATCAGCAGTTTATACGTAGAAGAGAAAACATGATTACTTTTTGCAAAGTTTATTCTGTCAATTTATTTAGAAATGCCAATATTTTGCATAGATGATGTGGAAAGTAAAAGTCAAATGGCAAAAAGTCCTGCTGACTTAAGATTTAAGTAATTAAACTTGAAGGAATTTTGTATTTGCTAATGTGAAAGTTGTCATTTATTATGATAGAAAATCTTTGATTGAATTTCTTCGATAATTTTGATCCAAATGTAAGAGTATGAGTTTTTTCAAATCATAACATTTTCTGAATACAAATTATTTACAAAACCCCAAGCTTTTTAACAGCTAAAATTATAAAGATTTTATAAAAAACTTCTAAAATATGTAATTAACTTGAGTTTCTGCTTCATAGAATACCATTCATCCTGTTTAACAGGATGTGCAAACATCAATTTGTTTTGTGTTCTTTACATTTTTTCATAGTTGTTCGTGGTTTGATAAATCTAGACTGATATAACAGGATCCACGGTATCCCCAGCCTGCTTTGGCATTTCCTTATGTCGCCAGAAATTTAAAGTTAATGAGATGAGATACTGATATATACATAGCATTTATATGAGGACATGTATTTTTTACTTCTCTAGAAAATGCTTTGATGTACCTGCAGCATGGAAGGAAGGGAGAATGCTCCAGGACATTCCAGAGGTATTTATTAACGCAAGGACCTTGTAATGTAAATTTAAGTGCAACTATCTGTTTTTTATCACTCCAAAGTTCTGTTTTTTAGACAACAAGAAGCAAACAAATTTGTATAAATAGCAATTTATGCACGTCACTGACAAAATATCTGAAACTTTTCCAAATGTGTGGAAGTAAATTCAAAAGAAAATGAAACGTTAAGTAACAACTTTTCAATCCTCTAGTTATAGGCTGCAAGATACATTTTGTAAAGATATATAACTTCAAACATTGTCAATAATTTTTTGTAGGCCACCACTTTGGGCATGGGCTCTATCCATTTTCAAGCCATTGGCCAAGTTATTCTCCGGGGAATGTGAGCAACTCCTCCTCCGGTGCGAGCTCATCACCTACAAGTGCGCAGAACAGTTCAGCAAAAACTACTGCAACAACACTTGTCACTTCAAGCAGTGCCCAGTCTGCACTTGGTCCTAGCTGGTGGCATCCTCATTCCTATCCGACGTCAGAAATGCTTCATTTTTCGTCCCCACCTTGGAGTAGTCATGACCATCATGAGTCACATAGTGCCTCTAGAGACAGTGGACCTTTGTACCATGGCTCGCACTCTAGGAATGGCCCATATCATTCATCAGGGCATCATGGTCACAGCCATATTCATGGACATAGTGTTAGCCATGGTCATTCGTACCATCCAGGAAGAGGCAGCCATGCACATGGTGGTACTCTCATCCACTTTCCCCATTCGTCAGGACATCAGTCACAAAACAGCAGGGATGAAAAATCGTCAACACCGTCACTAGTAGCAGAAGAATCTTCATCGCCAGGCATAAAAGAAAAACACAGCAGATCAGCACTCAATGATGCTGGTCCTCAAAGTGATTTTATAGAAAGGGAGCATAAATGGGAGGATATCTCAAAGTCATACATCGATAAAGCTCTCCTGGATGAAGCAAAACATCTTCAAAGAAGTGACAGCTTTTCACCCCAGAACAGGATAGAGAATAATAGCAAACATACAAGAGGCGATGTTGATAATGAAATGGCAATAGAAAGTGAAGGGAAAGATTCAAAGCCTGGACGAATGGGAATGCCTTTAGATGCGAGAGAGCAAGACAAATGGCACGAAAAACATCATCACATGTCTAACTTTGATGAAAGAGGAAGGGCAGATGTTATTTCGAAACATGATCAAAGACACAATCATGATCCGATGTTACCACGCTCAACCAAACCTTCCTATATTTCATCAGTTTCTGAGAAAGCCTTGGCATCTGCAAAGGCTTCTTACTTAAGTAAGGACAACACGGACAGAGGTTATGGCGCTCGTGCCCATGAGGAGAAGCACCATGGCTCATTTCCCTTTTCCCCAATGAGAGAGAAAGAAGTTCCGCGTCAGAGGCCAGGTATTATGGGTCCATTGGCATCAATGGGAGATAGAGAAATGGATTACAAGAGGGATCTACATCACCGGGAGCATGTACATAATCGAGGGTCACCAGTTCACCGAGAGTCGAGTAACAGTAGCCCACAGAATGAGAGAATGATAAGGGCGGAGGCAACCCGAGAATGGGTCAGTAAACAGCCAAGCATGTTTGAGCCATCTTCATATGTAAAGCCAGACCAAAGGGGCAGTTTCACTGATGGAGCTATTTTAAATAGAAAACGGGACAGCCCAAAAAGTATGAGTTCAAAAAGTGGAAGTGGGAAACAGGAGAAGTTCGCTAAAAAGGAGCAACACTATGAGAGCCCATTGAACTCTTCCCTTCCTCGATACAGTGTACCTGGCAGAGCAGGAAGATCTGAATTAGACACCGCGACACCTGAGGCTCCATTGCCAAAAAATCATCACGGTAAAAATCCGTTCAATGTCGATTTTCTTAGTGTCAGCTCAGATATGGAAGCAAAATCGAAAAGAGAGGTAGATCGCCATTACCACGTGCCATTAAGCCAGGATAACACTTCAGACAGGGTGTCTGTAATTAAGTCATCTTTACCGATGCCTCAGCTGCATAGGGATGCAAGGGACTCACCATTTATGGACAGACCCAGGCATGGTCATGGAATAGAATTTTCAGAACAAGCATATTTGCCTAAGCCGACGTCCTTGTTAGACAGTCCAATTCCTCCTAAAGTAGTTCCTCCTGTCACTGGTAAGCCACGGTCCTTTACCAGGCCAGATGACATTAGTTCAAAAAACAGTGAAAGCAGTAGCAGTAGCGAAGAGGATTCTGCGGACCAGATCGAAGACGAGGCTGACCCAAAGGAGGCTCATATTGCGCGAAGTGATGATTTGGATGGCGATGGTACTGAGAATGATGGTATGTAGCTCTAAGTTTCAAATCATGAATTAGGGCTGGCCTATAATTTCTTTACAGGTGGTACGGTTTACATTGTCCCAAAGAGATAAGAGATATTTCCTCTGGTCGCGAAAGACTTATCATAATCACTAAAAATCTCTTTCTGAGCTCACCCAAGTCTTCGAAGACAAAAATTAGTTGGAAAAAATTCTATATTCTAAATTCTAAAACTCTTTCGTGGTTTTATATGCGGCAGTAAAGTCTAGCACAATTTATTTTAAAAAATGCATGTTCTAAGGATTTAAAATCACAATTAATATAAGTAAGTCTTTTATATTTTTGCTAGTTGAAATTTACTAAATTGCTTGCTTTTCATTTAACAATGAATAATTTTGCTTGTTTTTCTGGCTCTTCCCCGGTATTTAAAACTTAAAAACGTAGCTAGTGACTGAATTCTATTTCGAACGGTCACTGAAACTTTAGATTCACTGTTTTGTTGTTGCTTTGTTCGGAATGGTTGCTGGTCATTGCTTACTTGGTGTCAAGCGCTTCATTTCAAGATTTATATTCATTTATTGTTTTTAATACAGATATTCTGTATCTTTTGCAGAAGTTGAAAGCCAGGAAGTAAGTGAAGCTGAATCGGGTAGTGGCTCCGAGGGCGGAGACAGTTCAGCGGGATCTGGGTCCGAGTCTGGTGATGATGACAACCAATCGCAGTCGACCCAAGATGCATCTGATAATTTCAGTGTAACAGATTCGACTCCGGAGAAGAGAAAGGGGGCTGCAGCAACAGGGAGTGAGCCAAAGCGTAGAAAAATTGTTGATGACAACATGCTTCGAGTACCTTTAGCAGAAGGGTAAGCAACACATTTAGCCTGTGAATATTTCATCACGACCGCCCGCGTTTCTAAACTTCTTATTTAAATGTTGATTATTCCGTGATTTTTAGAAATAAATCTTGTGACCAAATGCTCCACCTAAAAGGGGTAACCTACTTCTATATCTAGACACTTGTTTAGTGGGACTTTTGAAAGAAAATAATTTAGTTTTTCGGGGAAAGTTATAGAAATCAGGGATGTATGCCTAATCGTCGAAGAGTAGAAAACCTCTTCCAAATGTTTGTTACTTAGTGAATTTTTGTTGAAAAACTCGTTTATGAACTGCCGAAAGCATTAAATATCTATCAAAGGCATGGAACATTTTTTGCTGTCCTCTTTCTATCTTGTTTGCGTTTTAGAGCTGCTCTTTTTTCAGAAACCTTACTTGCCTGAAACCTCTCTGCCTTCATGCGTGAAATAACTTCAGTGTTTTAACTAAATGCTTTTGTCTGTTTGTCCGATTTGTCTAGGTGGCGAAGGCAAACCAGAATCAAGGCGGGCGGCAACGGGGAAAGTCTCAGGGGAGATGTGTATTATTTTGCGCCGTGTGGGAAAAAGATTCGAACGTACCCAGAGTTGCTAAAATACTTGGAGAAGAATGAGATTGAACACCTTAACCTTGACCACTTCAGCTTCTCAACCAAGACCGTGGTTGGCGAATTCATGGAATCCAAGCAGGTATGCCCTGTACATTAGACCGTGACATTTTTAAATATGAACAGCGCCTCTACCCAAACGGAATTTTGCATACAAATATGATCGAGTATAATTTAGCCTTTACTGCCTACTGATGGAGCAATTTTAGCAAAACTGAAATCAGCATTACCGAATAAGACCTTATTAAGCCCCCAACTTTTAATAAGCCCCCCTCTCTATTAAGCCCCCCCTCTTAAGCTTTTCATGTCAAACAAAGAAATCATGTGCATTTAGTGGGTCTCTTGAAGGGTGTGATGATAATAAGATGCATCACTGCTCCGAAACATAGCAGGATTTTTTCAGAGTATAATGTACTTGATTGGCGCTATCCTTGATTTTCCTACTGATAGTATATATCTTTTTTCAAAATTACAGGGAGCAAAATTTGAGATACTTTCTGAGGAAGAAGTTTTAAGACGGCATGCTTTGGAGAAGGAAAGGCAGATCGCAAAAAGTGAAAGACTTGCAAAACGAAGAGAAAAGAAAAAGTTGAAAAACGGTATTTCAGTTCTTTCTTACATTTTGAACAAGATTAATTTTTACGGATATTTAAGTTAGATTTTGTGCCAAATTATTACCAGACGTTATTGTTCAATGAATTTTTTTGCTGCATAAAAAGGTTCCAAACAGCTGTCACGGTGCTTGCTTTCGAAGCCTGATCACTTTACATGTTCTCTTTTTTTGTTTGAGTGGTTTGGACAACTTTTGGAATCGCATGTACACCCGTCTGTTTTATTAGAGGTACTTTTGGACTCAGAGTCTGACTTTTTCACTAAGTTAAAGGCTGATTAGCTGAATATATTTTAACAGAAATGGCTAAACGAGCGCAGGAGGCCAGACAACGAAGACATGTTGAGAAGCAGGTTGCATTTGAAGCAAAGCTCTCAAGAAAGCGTCACCGTAAGTATTTTTCCTAATACGAGCTGACAATGTTTACAATTTTTGTCTTTCAATTTCATGAAACATTTAGCAGTTGAATTGTACTACAAAGTGTATACTACGAAAGTTACCTTTGCAATAATTGTTAAAAATAAGTCTGATGGGAACCCAGAATGATTATGAGAATGAAACATTTTGAAACTTTTCTTTTAAATCACTCACATTTGAGAAAATGCTAAGAAACGTGTTGCTTTATTTGCTTGGCTTATAATCTAACATGTGGTTGTTTGATTCATCACTCAGTTTTGTTCTTGATATTTTTTTCCGTGTCACCAGAACGTGTCACTGCTGAGGAGAAAAGAGTCAAGAAAGAGAACGAGAGACAGCAACGAGAACTGGTTCGTCTTCTGGAATTTCGCTATTTCGATCTTAAAATATTTCAGCTTCTTCTGCTGCAATTCGTGGCCTTCATTGGTGTCCAAGGCAACGAATAAAGATTTTTGACCGAGTACCATCAAATGTTTTTTGTGCCTTTAAGTAATATCTTTTGTGCCTTTAAGTATATACCTATCGATTATTGTTTTCTTCTTAGGAAAGGCTTCAACGTCAAGAACAACTGAGGGTTGAGAGAGAAATGAGAGCAAGATCGATCCAGCAGGTTAGGCGAATTGAGTTTCTTGTTGAAATGTTCAGTGTTATGATGATGAAGAGGCAATCGATTGTCGATACTCTTAAACGCACTATTTCCTATGATTAATAATCTCCTGGTTCCGATCAATAACGAGATCTGCTCTTTGCTTCCATTAAACGCTTCCTTAAAGTTATAACCTGTCAATCTAATAACAAATCTTTCTTGGCACTCAAAAAATGTGGGTTCCTTAAAGAAAGGTGTTATAGTTTTGGAAAAGTGGTTTTTTAGAAAACACATTGGTCATCAGAATCTGTTGCAGTTTTGTAGTCAATGATATTTACTTTCGTAAAATGTCAATGACACTCTGATTTCGGTCAGCTACTTTCATTATTGTCATTAATTTTCTTCTCTGAGAATAGTTTCAAAACTTTTAAGATCGCGAGGATTGGTACATTACCAGACGTTTTCTCTCTGTTGCTGGTAATTAATCTGAACGTCTTAGTCGGTCAATGCATCTGTCTGTTTTAGGCTCGTAGAAGCAAGAAGGAAGCACTGCAACACGCAAAAATGGAAGAAGCTTTACGAAAAGCACGGGTATGCTTAAAAGCAGTTTAGCTTTTTCGAGAAAGTTTCCGTCAATCATATGGTCCAAATTCTCAATAAACGACAAGGGGCACATGAAAAATTACTGTTTTTTTAAAAAGTCGCTGAGGCCCAGAATCTGATGATCACGGTATTTCTGTGTTTTGTGCTTTTTATGAATTACAAGACCATCTTTTTGAGTTTAATCATATTGCAATCCTAATGGTCGTATATTTTTTTGCAGGAGCGTGAGATGAAACGACAGCAAACGGTTATCCTAAAACAACAAGAGAAGGAAAGACGAAAGCAACATTTGATGATGATAAGGGCATTAGAGTCTCAGCGTAAAGCAGAGGTACGCAGCGTTTCTTGTCATACTAAGATCTTGATTGGTTATTTTTTATGGATTCAGTGATCCAATGTTTTTAAAGTAATAAGAAAAAAACTTTGATTTATTTCTTTTTTTTTATGGCGAGTGCCTTGCTTTTCAGGAAAGAGAACGCAAAAAGGAGGAAAAGCGATTAGAGAAAAGACTACTTAAGCAAAGAAAAATGGTTTGTTTTGAGAATATTGTGTTCAAGAGATAATTGTTTCACCTTTTTACAGTTAAGAGCTATTAAGCTGGAAGGAGAGATTAGAATCTTGAGTGTCCCCCTCCTTCTGTTTTCCAGGAAGAGTTTTCTTTTCAATCTCTGTTATACATATGAATGAGTATCTCAGGTTGCTTGAATATACCATATAGGTTTAAAATATGTGCATACTATTGTTTTTGTTTTCGTCGTATAGATTACTGCAGAAAGATATGTATATATTTCTGTAACTCAACTTCAATTCATCACGAAATGTTGCGTTTTTAGGAGCAAAGGAGATTGGAAAGATCCATTGCACGGGAGCTGAAAAAGCCAGTCGATGATATGGTTTTGAATGACGGAAAGGTGCGACTTCAATACTCATCAAATTTTCCACCCAATTCTTAACTTATTTACACTAATATAAAGAAACAATTATATATTGATACTCAGCATGGTTTTGATATTGTTCTTCACTTTTTCTGTTTTTCTTTGACAGCCTTTGCCCGAGTTCTCAAGAATCAAGGGCCTCAACATCCCAGGCCGCGCGTATGCAGATCTGCTGATGGTTGAAGAGTTTGTGTACTGTTTTGGTCATGTCCTTGACATAGGTAAGCTTCTAAACGTTGTTTTCTGGTTTTTTTAATGGAAATAAACCATCAGATGACAACAGGAAAACATGTAAGTAAGTTAAGTAGCTGCTTCACAAGAAACTTCATTCATCAAATGTATATATAATGTATTTAGTAGACTTGAGAAGAAACTTGACAAAGAACATTCAAGATGCATTTCACGTTGTTCCTTGTACCACCAGTTCTAAACCTGACTTGTTAATTTGGTTTATGCGTTTTTCTGCACAGATCCAGAAACAGACTTTCCTTGTCTAGCTGATCTTCAGTCTGCGTTATTGAACGAATCAGGCAGTGACGATGCCTTGATAACGGCATGCGAATCTCTTCTTACTGCAGCGCTTCAAGACCCTGGAGTTGTGGTAATACACATTGATTGTAGAGAATTGCTAGTAAATGCTATTGACACGTTTATACCATTAATGAATGAATCAGTGAATCAATGAATAAAACGGTGAATCAATGAATGAATCAGTGAATCAATGAATTACTTTGTTGATTAATTAAAAAGAATGAGTGAGTGAATGATAAACCGAGTAAATTGATAAATATGTGAATGAATAAATGAATGATTTAATAAATAAATAAATTAATTAATTATTTAATTAATTAATCGATTAATTGCTTAGTTAATTGATTAATTAATTGATTAATTATTAATTTTTAGTTGATTATTTGGTGCATCAAATAATTATTTTGTTCGTTACTTAAAACTGAACGAAAGAGTGAATAAACGAGTGAATGATTAACGCGTATTATTGAAGTTCAGTATTGAAACCACATATACAAACCATTATACACCCCATAGTTTCATTACAGAAATTGTTTGTATTACAGGCAAAAACGAAGCTAGGAGTATCCCTAGAAGACATTGAGCTTAATGATGCTAACATGTCTGAAGTTTTAAGGCTCTTCATCATCGCAAGAAACGACGATGTAGATCATGAGGTAAACAACTTGATGGATTTTTTAACTTGTAAACTTTCTGGAAATTTCATTAACTCACTACCAAGCTATTCAATAGTGATATGATCACAATTTACATGCATCAAACTTTCCATTTCAGCTGTCCGATCTGCTTAAAGAAAAACCTATCCACAGCTTGTCTCCCGTGCAAAAGGCAGCAGTTTTAGCCTTTCTCGTTAATGAATTGCTATGCAGTAACAAAATCTACAAGTAAGCTTCATTGTTTGGTATTTTTTTGTATTATCGTCGTTCTGTTTCAATCCTCAATTTCGTTATGCATACAAGATTTGAAGTGAATCAAACTGCTAATGTTTCTGAACCATTTTTACAGCATTAGTCGACTTGCAAACTATACACATAGTATTTTAGCTACAAATAAAGAAGCTTCGGTATTTTGATCATTTTCGTGACTAAAAGAAGACACGGGTGCCCTTTATGGTTTAGCTATCCAAGTTGAATCAGCCAACCTACTGTTGATCGAGTTAAACTGATAGTCGAGTTGAACAGTTGACAAATAGACCTCTATGAAGCCTCTGTTATAAAAAAGCCGAATGAATGGATTTTTGAAAATTCACATTGTAAATCTCTTTGGTAATTTCTTATCGCGTACGGCCAAACATACATAGAGACGAATCTTTTTTCAAACAAACAAGCAAACAAACAAACAAACAAACCAAGGACCTACTCTTACATCCACAATAAACCGACGATGAGGGAATATCTTTAAAATCTAATAAGCGGGAGGTGAAAAGTAGTGGGGGTGGAGAAATTTGCAATTATATGATATTAGTGTTTTAATTTAGGATATAACAATTGTGAACAAAAGAATTATAAACCTTTTATAAATCAATTTTCCACGAAGGTGTCCAAGCTCATTGAAGATTACAGGCATAATGACACAAGACAGATAGAAATGTGGCTTAAGCCGGGGTTCTGGATGGGCAGGCTTAAAATGTAAAGATAATGAGGATCGGCTGAGAATTTTCAATGCTTAATTAAGTCCTGTCAAACATATCTCGGAACTCACAAAACCTGAGAATCATTGTCTGGCAACTTATTATTTTATGTAACAGATCTGCGATAGTGTATATTTATCAACGAACCATGAACTTTTTCACTTGTTGTAGTGGTTCTTAGTAAGGCTTAGTAATTCTTAGTAATTCTGGTTTTAGTAATACTTTACAGAACTAAGTGGATGTCGAACATGAGAAAAGTTAATCCATTTTCTTTACTTATAAGATCTAATATTGACAGTTTGAGCGATGAGACATCTTAACAAATTCATTCATTTGACAAACCAAGTAGAAATTATTTTAAATTGCAATGTTCTCTTTCCAGTGAGATGGACAATTGTCTAGAACACATGTCAAACCTCAGAAGGGACAAATGGAATATGGAAGGAAGGATAAGAAAGTATGTGTTCAAATGAACGATATTTGCACTGACTATATTCAGCTGCACCGTCGTGCAATATACGTAGCCAATTGATTCTTGCTGACCTTTTATTTTGTAAGAAAACTAGAATAATTTTAAGAAAGAAAGTGGTTTCTCTTAGTAGTTTAAGTATAAGGATGTTTTGGTATGTCTTAAAGCATTTTACATAAAGCAACAAGAAATTTAATTTGAAAGCTTGGACAAAAAGCTTAAACACAGCATGCTTCAGTACGTTTTGTATTCAATCAACGTTATACTCTGAGGCAGGGGCGGATCCAGAGAAAATTTGAAGGAGGGGCAGTTTGTAGTGGGGGCGCTGAAAATTTTTCAGAAATTGATGATGAATTCAATTTGTAAGGAAATTTTTCACAATAATGTTGTATACTTTGAAGATTTGAAGAAATTTTTGAGGTAAGTTAACCTAGAAGTCTCAGAAAATTTTTCACCTGCTTCTGATTCTTCAAAAGGGGCGCAAAATTTCCAAAAAAAGGGCCCGAGACTTGCTTCAACTCGGTGAGAGAGGGGCAACTGCCCCTAGCTTTCTCCCCCCCCCTTAAATCCGCCACAGCTCTGAGGTATGCCGGACGAAAGAACTTGATTCTGCTATGTTTTCACTTTTCCTTGCTATCATTTTTTTTGCGGTACGAAAAGGTTGTTCTGATATATGTACCTCCAAAATACCCAAAAAATACAAATTTTGCTTCTCGGCAGTTTCTATAATTTAATCTTTTTTTGCCACAAACTTTAGAGCAGAGTTTATCGCATTTTGTTGATCAGTTGCCGGATATTAGGAACGATGCCCGCTACTTAATATCTGTTCCAGGAGGTGTTGAACTCTCTTGATTATTTTGTTTTTTTTCTGCTTGGTGACACATTTCGCTCCCTTGTTACGCTGCCGCAACTTGTTGTGATTTGATTATTTTCAGGCTTAAAGCTGACTTGAAGACAAAGAAAATCGAAAGAGGTCCGGTCGCTGCAGACGTACAAGCCAACGAGAGCAATAGCACGACAAAGCCGAAAGCAAGCCAGAGCAAGAAAAAGGTTGCTGTTGATGATGAAGCTAGCAATTTGTCACAAATCACAAAAGACGAACAGGATGACGATGAAGAGGATGAGGAAGATGAAGACGATGAAGAAAAGGATAGTGATGATGAAGAAGGGGATGAAGAAGATGCTGCTGAAGACGACAACGAAGAAGAGGACAGTGAAGATACAGATGTAAGCTATAAAGACATCATGTTTTGTCATAGAGATAATTCTAATGAAGGAAAGAGAGTAGGGGAGGGGGGTTGTCTCAGTAGTTTTCAACACGGCCTGAAAAACCCAAGAGTGGATCTAATTATTTTTTTGTTTCTGTTTTATCTTGTTGTAATACCTCATCATTGACTTTACATACCTCAAGATGCATCAACACAAAAAATTGGCATCACCAAAAAACGTTTTTCGTCGTTCTAGTTTGTTTTGTGAACAGCAAAGACTATCACAAAAAGGCTCAATGTTGTCTTGAATACAGAAAGGGGGTCTAATTTAGGGAAAGAAAGTTGAAGCGAGCAAGGAGACGAGTGCCCACGAGCGCGGGTTGTCTGGAGGCCGATATCGGAAGATTTGAACGAGCGCGTGATTGTTGTCACGATTGATGAAAATTGAAAACAAACCAATTTTGAACGAACATGGCGCAGAAAGGATGAAAGAGGAAACAACCTTTTCTATTCTGGACAAGGTCTCACCAGTGAGGGTTAACAAGTAGTATAGTAGTATAACTATATTCATTTTATAACGGGAAAGTTAAGCATCTAATACCTAGTAGGCCTAGGAGAGGTCGGTTGGGAGCGGTTCGTGACTTATTTTTGACTGGTTTAATTCTTTCTTGATTATATAAACCTTTTTAATTTCATCGACGTTAGCAGCCATTACCGCTGGGCAGAAGCTTGCCCTGTATCGATAAATCTCCATCGACCGAGAGCTTTCACAATTATTTTCGGATTTCACATGATCAATTTATCATTGTTGATGACTTTCGGACCGTAGAAATACTAGTTTACCTTAAAATTCAGTCGTGCTGGTTTCTCTCGCTTGTTTCTCGCAACGTGTATGTGATACAAAGCATGTAAAACCATTTTTCGGTAGAACTTTTCTTTTACCCCCTTTTCATATTACCAAAATCTTTTTGCAATTTTCGGTGGTCGAAATTTTACGTTGATACCTCTTTAATGTTGATCGGGTTTAGGTATTTATGTGTGCTTAGCGTTTTATTTAATTTTTTTAAGTTTTGTCATATATCTTTTGTCAACCTTTACGGCCTTCTTTCTCCTTTTAGTTCTAAAATCTACCTTATGCCTGTTACCAATTCTTTCATTCATTATTGGAAATGTGTTTAATGAAAGGATTAATAAAATTGTGATTATTGTGATTTTTCCATAGGACGGAACTGATCCAACAACAGCGGAAGAGATAGAAAAGAGAATAACTAAACTTGAAAAGGTAAGTGCTATCTGATGAAACCCCAATTTTTTTAACTCGAAGCTTTCCCTCTCTCGTATTCTTTTTTTATTTGCATTTTATTTCAAACAAAATATTCAAACATTCGCAACATGCTAGACACTTCCCTGTATTTTCGTAGTTTTCGCCTTTATATTAGACTTTTTGATTGTTTTAAGCTTTCATTTATCTAATAATAATTATCTTTCCCAGAAACATTCTAAATACCGTCACAAGCTGTTCACAGCATCTCACACTCTTCGCGGGCTATGCATCGGACAAGACAGATACAAGCGCCGGTATCACATTCTTCCCCATGCCGGCGGTGTTTATGTCGAGGGGATAGAAAGTGGGGAGTTGCAGGAAAATGACGAAAATCCTTCTGCAAATGATAAATCAAAGGATGAGAAGGAAAAAGGCCGTAGAAGAACATCAAGTGGAAATAGTATTTCTGACAGCAACTCGACTCCGACGAGTGAAACCAAACAAAAATTGACTTTGGACATTAAAACTAACGACAATGCATCCGGGCAGATTGGTGCGGATGTTGTCAAGAGTCCGAACCAGAAGAATCTTCTGCAAAGCCCAGCCTTAGTTTCACCTATACATTTTGGTAGTAAATTAAACAACGTATTTGATAAAGAATTTAGTCCATATGCTAAAGTTAAGACGGAAGAGCCTAAGATAGTCTCTCCAAATCATAGTATTGTATCGCCTAACTCGAGAGTGTTTTCACCCAAGGATGGGTTAATGTCGCCGCCCCATAGCATTAAAAGCCCAGTTGAAAAGAAAGAGCCTTCTGGGAAATGGTTCAGCCTCTTTCCAATGAAAGCTTGCGATGAAACGTCGCTGACCAGATCGAGTATCATTCTGCCTGCTGTCAATAAAGGAAAGCCCATTGTTCCTCCTAACGTTGATTTACTCAGTCAAGATCGAAATTTCTGCGATTCACTAGCAAGCAGACATTTCTTCGGCCACAGCCCGATGCATGGGTATATGCCAGAACTTCACGGACATCATCATCATCATAACCACCATCCTCACCACCACCACCATCACCACCACCATGTCAATCACGGCTTCCATAGCAATATGGGTGATCAGCCACACCACACAGCAAATGGAAGTGGTTACCCCGTGTTTCACTACCCTGGCAAGCAGACAGACATTGAGGGACATGAGTGGAAGGGGCAACAGGATGAAATGAGTAAGGCCTCGATGCTTGGTTTAGCGCCACCGGGGGTTGACATACAAAAATTGATTCAGCAAGACCCGCAAAAAGCCGCCGTTCTTTTGGAGATGCAAATGCTGGAGCCTGCTGCTGTGCCAGATGGTAAATATGCCGAATGATTTAGGAAATATTGTTTATCTTGATTTACGATCAGCATAAATTTGTTAACCGTTTCGAAGGTAAGATTAGCAGGATGAAAAATGTGTCAAGAGTAGCATTTGCAGGCTTCGAATGACTAGTGTTGATTATAGTCATTTGTTCAAAATATTAATTGCAGACAGATAAGTTTTAATTACTAGATGTATTAGATATAGTGGAAAACCCTTGTCATATTGGATAATTTTGTGATAGGCTTGTCTCATCTTCTACTCGATCGGATGAAAAATTTACATTTTATTTTGTTGCTTTCGATTTGTTTCCAAGTATATGAGTTTTCTGTTTCTATACGCTTAGAAAATTTAGTCACATTTTTGCTTCAAATTTTGGAAATAGTTTTAACGGCCTGGTTTGAACCCATTGAAAAGGAAAACCCATGAATTGGATACTTTCTTCCTCATTTTCTCGTTTCTCCATCTAATAAACGATTTCTATGTTTGTTTTTTTCAGATAAGCGATATGGCTGGTGGAGAATAGCTGATCCTGACGTCATTCACAGGCTGTTAAAAATTTTACACACAAGGTATTTGGAGATGTTTTATTTTGTTTTATAATTTCGAATTATGCCTAAATAATTGAATATATTTAACTGAAAAGTGGTTAGAAATTGCAGTTGATTACATGTAAGGCTCCAAAGCTGCGGGAGACAGGGTAGATTGATGAATGTTTTTGATTTGTAGGGGAATTCGAGAGAAGATGTTGCATAAAAGTCTCACTCGACATACAGAATATGCCTGCAGTTCTTGTAAGAAAAACAAGGAAGCATGTGAGTATGAGGCCGACCGGTCCTGCTCTTCTTCGTTCGTTGATACAGTAGAAACCCGCATAAAAGAACCTAGATTTTTTTCTGACAGCCTGAATAGGTTCTTAATTAACAGGCTGCTATTCGAAATTCCAGTCTGAAAGGTTCTTAACAAGGTTCTCATATACGTACAGGCCTTGCACACATTCACAATGTTTTCCACCGCAAGAATTCTAATGGACACACTTAAACCAGCTTTTTTATGTTAAATTTCAACCAATGTAATGAATTTGTGTTGTTAGATTGTCCAATTAGAATGCAACATATCATAACCTGATTTACTCTGAAAACCCTTTTTTATATTTCCGCAGTGGAAATGGTTTATGTAAAGCTCACATAGATTTCTCATTTTTGAAGCATAGCTTAACCAACTCTCATTAAAATAAAGGTTTTACTTCATCTTTTTTCAACAAAGTCCCCAATAATTCTTTAAATATGTAGATGTGCCTGGCTATTTAATGTCTCGTGCTGATATCTGAATGCTTTGCAAATCTTCAACGAAGACAGCTAATTTTTTTAATATAGACTACTATCCAATAACCGACAACTCTAAATGAGTAATACGAAAAATTATACCTTTTAGTCTTAATACATCACAAGGACGAAGATGAAAACAAGGAACCAGAAGTGTTGAAAAGCCCTAAAAAGGAAAAACACAAGGGTCTGAAAACAGCACCTCAAGGGAAGATCGAGGACCGAACCTTTCCACTGGTGGCATTCTCCGTTGACAAGGACATATTGATTGAGATCGAAGAACTGGAAGAGAAAATGTTTTCTGCAAGTCTGCAAAATAAGGCAAGTTTCGAGTTTAAATCAATTGAGTCACCCACAACATCTAGTGTCTTTCTTAATAATGACTGGTCTTCCATCTAAGATCTTTAGACCTTAAGAATCAGGCCACTGCATACCCCAACACAAATTTGCCTTCAAGATCCATTATGCAAACTTTCTGCCTTTCAAACCTACGAAGATTACGAAATACCGCTATAAATCTCTATTACACATTGTGTATTGCCTATAAGCTATTCTAGTGGCTAAAAATCTCCCTTCCCCTGCGGTTATAAGTTTTGAAATCAGTCAAGCAATGGACTAATGGGAACACTGCAATATAGATGTTTTTTAGTTTAGAAAAGAAGCTGCCTATCTAGGATACGGATAAGTGCCCGGAGCAGAAGTACATAAAACTGCTTACATAATCTTGTTCACGCCCGTATGGCTTGTCAAATTGATGCATGTTCCTAGTCATTTGGCCGTAAATTTTGTGCCTCTTTCGGATTTAATGCCATTTCAGTATAATTTACTGATTTCATTGTTTTTGCAGACCTGGAGACTCTCGCAAAAGGCCTCTTCCAATCTCACATACGTAAAGAAAGGTATTTATAGTACATGTAATTATTCTGTCATTTGCCTGTCTTGCTTGTATCTTTCTTAAATTGTTTGTGCCTCCGCGGATGACTCCCATAGTCCTAAGAAAGATTCTTTGGAAAATTTTGATCAAAAAAATCATTCTACTGGGAAAAATTTGGACGCCTTTTTTATATTCGTGAAGAACTTTAGTATTTTGCTTATTGGTTTTGTAATTTTTCAAGCTTTCAAGGCTGGTTTCCATTTGATTCTCTATGGTCATGCGACGATTCATTGATGTGCTTTTCTCGAAGTAGCGCGGCCAGTGTGACGTAATCGGAACCTGGTTTTTGCTGTTGAGCTATAAATGTTTTAATGATTCAAGACTCTATTTCGTATGCAGAATCCAAGATGAAACCGGAAGAAAAACCATTGGAACTCGCAAAGTCGAGGCTGTTGTCATTGGAAAAAGGAATCGAAAGAAGATATTTGAAGCCTCCGTTCCGCCTTGAGTATGCGTTTTGAATAAAAGTTGACAACTTCGCTTTTTGATTAAAAATTACACGTGATGATAATTTCTCACAGTCTTTTTCATGGATTTGTTGGGCTTTTATAATCAGATGCAATTTGCTTTTGTAGGAAACATCCAAATCAAGCTCATATTGCCAAAAGTAACGGAGATAATTCTCAAGGTACGACCAACATTTTGTTGATCAATCTTCGATGATCAATCTTCAACAATTTTGTTGAAACATCATTTGACGACCTCTTGGGACCATTGTTTTACAATGTTTTTTCAGGACAACCGCACTTCGTTCCACTTTTTTTGGCTAAAACTTTCATAAATCGTTACCAAGCTTTCTTTCTCCCCTTTTTTATTTCCACAGATTTTTACCTTTTATTTTAATTTCTTTTCTTTTTTGCTTCCTCAGATGGACATCCTTTGAGGTATGCTTTTTCATTCAATTCACGTCAACTTGTTGTAAACTTGTAAAAAGATGTGAAGAAAACGACAGAATAAACGTCTGGACATATCTAGCATGGTCCGTAACCAAAAAGCTATAGTTAAAACGTAGCCGTAATGAAACTTGCTAAACAGGACTTAAACAGTATTTTAATTAGTTCTTCATGGTAAGCAATGTAGGTTTGATTTAGGACCATGCTAGATATGTCTTTTGTGTTTTTTAGGACTCTTTCTCTTCTCTTTTTGATCTTGACTCTTTTGTGAAAATTTCATTGCCTCTTTATCAGCTCTGACAAAGACTGGAGAATAACGCCAAGCCTTCTACTTTGGAGAGAGACAGTCGAATCTTGTACATCAGCCGCTCAGTTAGCGATGTGCATCAGTATGCTTAAAGACTGCATTGCTTGGGAGAGATCAATCATGAAAGTTGTATGTATTTCTGTCTATTGTATTCAAAAACACTGTTGATATTTTCTCTTTTCTTTTCTTGTTTCACGCCTGGCTGGCTAAGGGTAGCATCATAAGTTTTTACTACTGTCCCAGTTTTGTGCCAAACGCTCTAAGTGACGATGCTTTTGTTACTTGCCAATCCCAAGAATTTCGAGCATCCTACTTTTTAAACGCTTGGTACAAAATAAAGATTAGAGACAGTCCTTTACGGTTTAGCATTAGAGTATTAAAAGCAATGTGTTAAAGGATTCCATCTTGTGTGTATGCAGTCATTATCCCATGATACAAAAGCACACTCTTCTTCCTTCAATTTTATTTTTCAAAGGCAGTCATTTAATCTATATATTTATCGCAGCAGTCTATTCCTTTGTGAGTCCATCAAAACCAAGAAACTTTGTTTTATAGCTCTTTTTACTATTCAAGTAGTTATAATTCAAGTAACTAACACTCGAATTGCTACACCCTAAAACCTCAACCAAAATGAACTGGAAATACTCTTCTGTTCTAGAAGACATTGTTAACATCGTAGCTTTATTATTGATTGTTGACCAAGATGGCCAGGTTCCTTTGGTTTTCAGTGGCTCTTTTTAACTAACCGTATTTCGTTTTCTTTTCAGTTCTGCATCGAATGTCGCAAAGGAGACAACGAAGACCTTCTCCTTTTGTGTGACCAATGTGATCGAGGATGTCATACTTATTGTTGCAACGTGAGTCAAATAAAATTTAAATTCTTCTATAGTTGGATTTTCATCTTCTTTTACTGTTTTACGAGGTTGACCTTCTCAAACCTTGTGGGGAGTGGGAAAAGGTCGACCAATAAGAGCAGGGCTTCAAATAGAAAAGCTGAAAGCTATCGAAATGTTCTTTGTTTTTAGTGATTTTCGAATGATTTCACATAATACAAGTTCAAAATTTGGCGAGGAACTTCTTGTTTATTTATTTTCTGCTTCATTCCAGCCAAAACTGGCGAAAATTCCTGATGGTGATTGGTTCTGTAGAGAATGCATCATGATGGTAAGTAGAAAATATTAAGATAGAACCCGTCTATAAATTGGTTGTGAATTTGAAGTTCAAGAATATATTCTTTGATTCGAACAAGATTATTTGCATCTGGGTCATCTGCACTATTTTGGCGTGGTTGTTTCAATTGCGGAAATTCTAAAAACTTTCAGATATGTGGCGATGTTCAGTGCTCACTATGGTGCCGCAAGTTGTTTTTAGATATGGCTTCGGCAGAGTCTCCCTTAATTGTTTTCGTTGTAACCGATCTGTTTATTTTAATAAGCGAAGAGTCGAAGAGAAAAACTACATACGAAAAAACAACATACGCAAAATCAGATCCTTGTCCTTGCAAGATTGTTTTGAAAGCGTTTTGATATAAAAATGACATGAATACCGAGCTGGCATTTAAACGGAGAAACAATAAACTACCTTGTAAGACATGTCATACATATCATAGACTTTTCAATTTCATTAAGAGGATTTCGTTTGCGCGATTTTGCATTTTTATCGTTTGTTTTTCGTTTAGGCCTCCGGAAGCGATCAGTGTTATGGTTGTCAAGGATCGACTGGAAAAAGACTCAAATGTCAATTTTGCCCAAGATATTATCATCTGTTTTGTCTTGATCCGCCTTTACAAAAGTAAGTCGAACTATCTCTTATAAGACTAATTTCTCTTTGCTATCATTTTTGGCATAAAAAGACTTCTTGAAGTCAAAGTCGTGGATCAATTTCGTTGTAGTTCATATTGAAGTATCTGAATTTTGAAAACCTGTCTATATTTGACAAGGGTTGTCACGATTCCTACACTTTGTTTACTTTAAAACCGATGCATCCGATTTTAGAACACCTCGATCGCCTTGGGCTTGCCCGGTTTGCAAGAAGGCTCGGCTGCAGAGCAAGAGAACTACAAAACGGAAAAAGAAACCGGAAGATGAATTCGAAAGCTTTTCATCCTTTGACCTTTACGATCAACCAAGTGAGTATGAGCATTTAGTTATGACATTTATGCCGGAATATGTTTTATGTATATGTTTTGTACCTACCATAGTTATACAACCTTAGCCAGGTTTCAAACTCTCCTTTGTTGATTTTTCCATTGAAATAGTATCGCAATAAAAATATTGCTTGCAAATCTCGTGGCTTTCTTATGTCCTATTTCCACCATTTCATAGGACTACTCCCTACTGTTAAGTCTGTTAGATATTTTTCAAAACGAAGGAATCTACTCTTGATTGTATGTTGTGGTGACAAATTTCTGCCTTCTCGGAAGTCTTCATCTTGTTGTAGATTCATCCATGTGTAAACTCAAGAATTGTTTGTCCTCTTCATTTTAGCCAAACAAGGAAGAGCTAAGAAAAACAAAATGAACAACAGGAAGCAAGCGATGGAACTTATGCAACCTTGTCGTCAAATGTTGGCAGAGATGGAAAGACACGAATGTTCCTGGCCTTTTCTCGTACCAGTTAATGCTAAACAGGTATTTTGGACACACACTTTATGAATTTTAAATTTCAAGCCCACTGGTTAAACACACAGATTAAGCAGAAATGCTGCATTACCAATCGATTTTATATTTAGTAAATTTTTGTTTCCATGACAAACCAGGAATGATTTTAAGTAGAATTACACAACCGACATCATTTTGGTTATTTCATTTTTATGGAATTTATCTTACCTTGTTTCGCATACTCACTTACGAAGTTAATCCGCTGTATGTATATTTCATTGTGAATGTTGTAAGAAAGATATTGTAAGTGGTTTTTTACATGATTGCAATGAATTCAAATCAGACTCAATGCACTGTATGAAAAGAGGTCTATTTGCACCGATTGATAATGGTAGCAGTAAAGTTCTTAATTCCGCAATGTAAAAATATGGTATTCTTTATAATTGATCAAGTTTAAAGAAAACTATAAATATCTAAAAGCCAATTTCTTATTAAATTTATTACATATTTTGATTTATCAAAATGTTTATCAATTAGGCTAATTAATTCCTGTTTCATTTTTCAGTTCCCAGAGTATTACAGAATTATCAAAAATCCAATGGATTTTCATACGATGAAAGTGAAATTACGTGATTTCCAGTAAGTTCCTTATTGTTTCTATCAGCAAAAATGTTACTGTGAAGCAAGATATTTTTTGCGTTTTTACTAATAAGCCTCTTGGCTAGATAACAGAAATTTATAGTCGATAGACCTTATATTAAGAATCATTCACAGAAAAATCAGCTTTGTCAGTCATGTGCTGAGAAAATAGAAGATCTGGCGCTGACTGGTCGTATCGAAGGAAAATGAGCACGTAGTCGCCAACGTCCAACTTTCCTAGATAGACATAAGGATGTGATCCCTGACATGGCACACTAATTGACTGACTGATTAAGAACTCCTAATACAGTCAACTATTAAGTTTTGAATGTTTGGTTCTGGCAGATTTGTCCCTTTGCAATTTATAGCATGCAGTCAAGGAAAATGAGATTATCCGTTATTGGTTACTTTGTGCCTATAAAACGTACCCTATATAATGTTCAAAGAGTAAATATATACCGATATATTTTGCTTTTACCCATACGAAAGAAAAGCTATTTATCTAGTATCAAAATTTCTATTTTATGCAAGATATAACTTTTTGTTTAACGAAATATTTAGGTACAAAAGTCAGGATGAATTCGCAAACGATGCAAGACTGGTCTTCAGAAACTGTGACATTTTTAATGAAGACGATTCTGAAGTATGTTTTTTACAGTTATGCTTTTTAGAACTTTGTCCGCTCGGAGTGATTTGAAGTTGTTGCGAACATTCTAAATTTTTCTTGATTTTTTGTCCTTTTTCTCGGGCAATTTTGAGGCTCAAATTCCACTTATACGATATTCTATATGCTGTTTTTAATAGTTGCATAATGTATTTTATCGAAGGTTGGTCAGGCTGGTAAAAACATGTTAAAGTTTTTCGAGAAACGGTGGATTGAGGTGTTGGCGAACGAGTGTGAAAGCAAGGGAAGAAGATCAAGCAAAGGAAATGTCAGTGATGGCAACGGAACTGCGGAGGAAACAAGTGGAGATACTGAGTCAGAAGAGGATGATAACGAGGAGGAAGAAGATGAGAACGAGGATGGAGATGACGATAACGAGGATGGAGATGATGATGATGAAGAGGATGAAGAAGAGGGGGAAGGAGAGTGAAGAGATAGGTAAATTGCTCTGTTGTTGAGCTTCCTTTTTTCTAGTTTTTTCTTTATGATCAAATTATCTGTAGAATATGATAAGTATATTATGTGCATATTCATTAAATTTCAATTTGATTTCGTTTCATTTAACATCAATTTCATTCCTTAAAGATGCCCTCAAATTGTTGCTGCTGTTTAAAAATTTTGTTAGCAAATATTGAAAAGGAAAGAGGTCTATTAGAAAGACGCAGTTTTTCCAACTTTAGACATAATGAAAAGTTCCCTTAGATAAAAAAGGCTCTTCGCCCATGTACATGTCTTTTTGGTATATGTCCTAAAAAGCGCGTTGAAAAATACTGTTGAGGACTGGAACTACTACAGTAATGTATTGGACATTAGTCGTTTTCGAAAACCAGTAAGCAAAAGCAAACCAATCTTTTAATATTTTGCTTTCCATGTTTCGAGAATTCTTAAACTAGATATGTAAGTCGTTTTTTGTTTTTTCTTTCAGACTTTTAAACTGTCCCATGAGAGTATAGACGGAAATGATGACAGTCATTCCTACAGAATCTTTGAGACAACATCACGTGTGTTTCGGAAGGTGTGTTTTGTAGTTGAAGTAGGAAAGTCCCAGAAATTTTGTCTTGGGTAAAAAAGTGCTTCTTTGCGTGACTTAAACAAAGATAAAATACAGAAAGGTACTGCAAGACTTACTTGAACATCGATATTTTATCAGTATAGCATCTTTGACAGAAAAAACAGCTATTTAAATTTGTTTCAAGTGAGTTCTCGTATTTCCTTTATAAAGTAGTGTTGCCTTCGCCTTAAAAATCAAGCAGTCAGCATTATAATTGCAAGCCTGTCCGAAACTAAATAAAACTCCTCTACCTGTGTCAGCTAGGCAATTTCAGCTGTAAATTTCTTTAAAAGCAAATACAAAACTTGATCTACCTTTGTTTTCCAAAACTATTTTGAACAACCCTGGGTATTATTACAATGAGATGGAGGACAAAATTGTTGTCTTTCTCCGCAGTAAGACTTTTCACAGCAAAAGAGCTGGTTACATCTTCTTATACCATGAGTCCGTTTTTCCTAGAACCGATATCCCCAGTGGACCATTTCACGTTATCCTTTTGTTTACAGTTTAATTTTGAAGATACTCCTCCCATTAGCAATTATTACAGTTTATTTTTACAAGGTTTTTCAGTCACTGTGAGCAAAAAATATTTAAATACAAAGGCCTTAACAGTGCATTTATATTCTTATCGATAAAAATCATTCTCGATGTTATTTTTGCATTGTCAATACTGAGTGTGAAATTAACAAAGCTGATATTTTTAAAGCTTATGTGATTGACCCTTCCCCCCTCTCCTCCCTATAACACACTCTTCTCGTAATCCTTAATGTTCTGATTGCCTAAGCAATATTAACAATATCAGAAATCATACTCCATGTAAATTATTTTGCACCTTTTCTTACTTGCTCAACCACCTCCCCCTCCCCCTCCCCATGTCTTTATTTTTGAAAGCATTTCACGGCTCTATTCTAAACCACAAGGTATCTAGAGACTGTGAAAACCTCGTTTTGCTGTAAGAACCATCTCTAGCTGCGCACATGCTTTCTTAATAAATCCCAGAGCCAAAAACTCCTTGTTAGTTCGTCATCTCTTTGTCGTATCTTTCTGAGTTGATGCTGAAAAACTAACCATTTGCAGGTGTAAATGTTCTGTTTTCTATTTTATCATAAATCAAGTCTTTTCGAATTATTAAATCGGTTGTTATAAACTGTCCCTGTCCGTACGATGCCCAAACACAAGGATTATTCTGTGTATATTTTGTGATTACTGCTTGAAAAAGATTTGTTTTATTAAAAGAGGCTTGTACGTTTTCATGTCTTTTTGTTTGTCTTCGTCTGTTCTTTAAACTGAGCTCTAATCGCATGAGTTTAAAGAATTTTGCTAATTTTGAAATTTTTAAGCTTTCTTAAGAGCATGTTTCAGCAGAATTTTCACCGCGCAATTGAAATAAAAAGCAATGTTTTTTCCTGGCATTTCTTATCAACTTAAAAAAAGTACAAAATTGTCAAAATCCACGTAATGGTAGAGGCAGGGCCTTTGTTGCAAAAGATGAGCAACTCATGTTTGAACACAAACAGAAGAATGATTTTGTAGAAGATAACCACAAGTAGCCACAGAAGTTTTCTTGAATACCTATGAATCTTTCCGTTAAAGAGTTTGTTGAAAGGTATTCTTTGAAATGAACTCAAAATTTTTATTGACGTCTGTTGCTGTTAAGGTAGGAAAAAAGTAATGTTTGTCGTATTTGCAGCTATTACAGTCCTCTCCGAATTGAAGTATCACTCCTCTTCAATACGATCCAAAGGTGGCTTCGATGGACCTGGCTTTTCTCCGTCCTCGACATTCCCAGTACAGCAACAACAGCAATCCAGAAATCTTTCTTTCGTCGTCCTTTTTATCACTCCAAGAGTATTTGTGTATTCACCATGTTGCAATGCGTACAGAAATGGGTCCGAAGCTGCGTGAAAATACACTGCCCAAAAAGCGATTTGGTCGGCCATCGTAAGCCACGTTTGTCCGACAAGATTGAACGTATTAAGTAATATTGAGATGAAAAATGGCGCACGGAAAACGACAAATGCCCCAAATGCCAAAATTATCGCAGACCTGCCGCTTGATTTTCCAGCCTCTAAAGATTTATGCCCAACAATGTCACTAGCTAAAACGTGTTCTTTTGCTGCGCGAACTTCAGGGTCTCTGATATGAATGCTGATTGCTATGCAACAGAACCCCATCCACAGAAACGGCAGAGCGTATAGAACTGTCATCAATGTCCCATTGTAAACAAGTCTTTCCACAGTTCCGATGGTTTGCGGGAAAGCACAACCGAAAATCGTGGATGAAAACTCATACTTGCCCCATCCGAATAGAGGTCCGATAGCAAGTGAAATTGCTACCATCCATGCAAGGATTAAGGAAACGCAGCTATGAAGAGACGAGACGTTGCTGTCTAATGGCCCAGACACCATCAGGTATTGATAGAAATGGAATACAGCGATTATCAAAGCAGATGAGCCAACAAAAAGGGTTGTCACTAACGAATTCACTGTGCAGAATGTTGGAGTAAGCCCCTGGAACAGAAAAAAGACATTTAATAAGGCAACTACTTTGTGAAAAGCCAAGGCTAGTATTATAACGTCGATAGCAGCGTCAATATGCCATAAAATAAATTGTTTGCTGCAGCTTGATAGAAGTATAGGTGTTTTGTGAAACACAAGGCCATAGGCCATGAAAAATTAAGTTAAGGAAGAGATTAATCCCTCCGGCAAAAGGAATACAATCAACTAGAAGAACATTTAGGATAAGTTCACCATGAACAGCCTGCTTCGTTAGTTTATTTCTCTTTTGGTAAAGCTGGAATTAACATTAGCAGAGTTACCCTTGACATGCGCATAAACTGAACAGTTGTCTAACGTTCCAACAGCAAAGTCTGATTTTGCGTCATAAAATTTGTCGAAAAAATACCCCTTGAATATATGATTCACAGGAAATAGACATTTTAAAGAAATTTGTTCAGACAATTTGCCAGACACTCAAAAAGATCTCTTTTTGACCTGTATTCCAACATCTTCCTCTGCCAAATCAAAGAACTGAGATTTTTCTATTTGCTTAGCTTGAGAAAATATCAAATCTTGCTTAACATAAATATTTTTAGCAGATTGGCGGGAATTACACCTCATAAATATTTATTTAATTTGATAAAACGTTGAAAAGGAGCTTCAAATATAAAGGGACTGCAAATATAAAATACCTGGTTTTTAAATGCAATTTGTCCAACAGCATACGGTATACATGTACAAGCAACTCCAATGTCTGCTAATGCCAAGTTAAAAAGAAATATATTGAGTGGTTTTTTAATGGATAGATTCCAGCACACGACGATGAAAACCAGCGAGTTAGCAATGATTGCAAACATCGTCACGACGGCCATGAAAATGCCAACGACAGTGCTCAGCATCATCGTGGTTTCTTTCCTTCCAAGAAAATATCTAGGCTCGTTTCTGTTTTCACTGCAATAACAGCTCACGGTATGTGCACACCATAGAGTTCGTTATGAAATTCTGAAATGTCTTTGAAATGATAGCATTTAAAGCAGCAGGTTCTACGTGCTACGATGCGACTGCATTTGCGAGCGCACTTACGAGAGCTTTACGACATTTGTCGAACTGAAAATAGTTCCTACATCCATAGATACAAGCAGATGAGAGCAATCCATTTCCATATGCTTACAATTGAGGCAGATATTTTTCTTTATATATAAACACTTCATAATGTTTTATTCATGCAGGTTGTCGAATAATAGGTAAAATTTGGTTGTGCGTTATGTCTAGCCATGTGTATCGAGAGCCAAGAGCTATCGTGTGTCCTGTGCAGCACCAACGACACCTGCCTGAAAAAAGAATTAGGATAGCTTACATGATTTCTGACTGTGAAGTTCTATTTTTGATGAGGAGAGGGGGCCTTCACGATGCCTGGCCTGTGCTCGCATTATTAAGAAAGCCGTGCCTTGACGGCACTGGAATAACCGATATTTTCAAAAATCTGTTTTCTTCAAAGACTCAGTGTCCATAACCTTCATAATGAGAGTGACAGATTTGGCAGGAACCCAACTCCTAGAAATGGTAGAGCATGCCTATTTTGTAACTTACAATGACTAAGCACTTTTGAAGATGGGCTTCACTTTCTTCCAGCACGTCCACTCTATCACGGAGAAAGAAACCAAATGTTAGCAGTCATCTACTCAAAATTCACCTTGGTTTTAAATCTTGACACAACGGCCAAATTCATATGGCTAATGAGCCAAAGAAATAAAAATGCTTAATAGCAGTGTCAAGATTTGTTAAATTTCATTTGAAAAATGATAAGGCCTAACAATTGAAGTGTCTGGAGTCTTCTTTTCTCATTTGATACATAACTTTAAGTGGATAGATTGATTTATAACGGATATTAGTGTGATTTTCAGTAATATGTAGTTAATGAGATCTTGTATCATACTGTTATCATACTGTTAGCTTAAATCTTATGGTTAAATTGTTCTGTCATGTTGTTAAGATTGAGTTTGAGTAACCAGTTCGAAAGAAATTCATCACGTGGTATCCAAAACGAGGCGAGTTGGGGAGGAGGTTATGTGGCCTAGCATTAACTCTTATTTTTTTCTTACCCAAGAGTTCTTTCGAAATGTGAATTTACATCCAAAGCAGCTTTCGGCTTGTGTTGTGACCGGCTGCCATCATGCTGCTGACAACAAGTCGGACGAGCATCAGTTATTTGGCGCGAAGGACGGATGGTATATTTTTGTGCCTTAATTTCTTGACATAAAGTAATGTTGATAAATTGATAATTGATATTGAGCGTCGCTGACAAAAGGGGGGGGGGTCTGGGCGTCTATAAAAAATATGTTGCGTTCGCGTCCTAATTGCCCTCTCGAAACGAGTGGGCCGGTACGAAATCTTGTCGGGTTTTCCAAAATTAGAAAAATCCGACTAATCCAATAGGTAATGTCAAGTAGAGGCTATTAAAAAAGCTTGTACGCATGTATTTTTACCTTCTCTATGCTTTCACCAGTGGCCAAAACGACCTGGTACCAAAAAACTTCGTTAAAATGACCAATTTCGACTTCAACTTCCATGATGCTGCTTCATCAAGCACTTTTTGGGATGGGTTGAAGAAATGTGCTCACTCAATGCAGTTTTTCGGTTTCTCCTTTACAATGGCTTTCTATAGAATTCAGGGGTATGTTTGCCCAAAATCAGACCAAAGGATATTCAAATGCAAGAGAGGAGAGTGTACTGACTTTGATTGTTTAATTGTGGAGACGTACAAATATATTTCTTGTCATTTAAAAAAAATTTTCATTTTTCAGACTTTCCTAATCGGGATTTTGCTGGAAGACAGAGTCGCCCGGGCGATGTGAACCCAACCCCTTTTTTATGGCTGCCCTACCCCTAATATAAAGTCTGCAATCCTTGCAGTGTCTGGGAGCTCCTTACAGTCCACAGCTTCCAGCTACATCTGCGCCAATTTTTGTGACAGGGCTACCCAGCACTTCCACTACCTTCACCTCTAGAATTAGAATAGAACATCACTTTCTCTTCTTCCATGGAATGGTTCACGCCCTCTCCTCTTCCTGTTTTTAAGAAACGTGTTTACAAAGAATTGTAAAGAGAATGTTTATGATGATGGAATCAAGTGGACATCCAAATTTTATAGTACAAAATTCACTGCAGCCAGCAAATTCTGGTGAACTAAAAATACCATAATATTCAAAACATAATATCATGCCTCTGATAGTCAAAAACACAGAAGTCTACAGTTTTTGAGAAACTCCTGTAGATAGCAAGGTGCATAATTGATGACTTTGACTGGGAACTGAGAATTGTCACCATACTGTAGAGTTTAGTCTTGTGCTGGACTGCAGAGTATGTTGGTTTCTAACGAGATCTCAGGTGTACAAGAGAACAATTTCAAGTGTGCAAGTAGGAACTTTGGTTTAAACTAAATAGTGTTCACTACAATTGTGCACATTAGTTAACACAACTATGTTAAATCCAGAGAATATCAATTGAGAAGGGAATATGAACGAAGTTAGAAAATGTACATGATTGATAGGTATTTTGTTATAAAACCAATGCAAGAAATTTAACTCTTCATTTGGCCTAAGTAATAGGACACACCCATGTCACGCCATAATCTTAAAATGCTACACCTTTCACCAGGTGTGCAGTGCCATTTGTGCATTTGCCATATTCTGAAGTCTTGGTCTGTTGGGGAATGGCAATAGTTTTTATCCTTTATACTGCCCACCCATTATTAAAAATATGCCATCAAGTCCATGAACAATGTAATTTTTCATCTGGTTATATTCCTGAGAATGTTCTACCATTTAAACTTCTGGCTACTCATTACAAGCAAAAAAAGAATACAGGATCTTTTCCAAAGCTGTTGCTATAAATTATGTACACAATTTCTCTTTAGATGCTGCAGATTTGAATTTTAGCCTTTCCCAACAGAATTTCTGGCTTTCCCCACACAGAAAAAGTACTTTTCAGTCTGGTATTGACAAGTAACAAGAAAAGAAGCATGATTTTACTTGTAACTGCAGGTCAGGTCTCCTCAAATGGCCAGGCCTGCTTAGGCATGTCCCCTTTCCCCCCCCTAAATTCCCCTGGTTTAGAAAGATTGTGTGTGAGATGGAAGAACCACAGGATAGGCTGTATGCCGGATTCTGTGGATGAATCTTGCAATGAGTAAAGAGAATCCAATGTATGAGATAAATTTTCCAAAATAAATTTAATTATTATCTCTCACAACATTGGGTTCTCCTCGTCGTTTTGCTTTGTTTCTGAATTTTATCCTCGTATTTAGAAAGATTGGTATCTTTTGCCAGAAAATCTTTCTGCATATTTTTAGGAGCCATATCTGCTGCTCTCCTTCAAAGAGTAACTTGCAGCTCAAAATATGCTCAAGTAAGAGGACACGCTGATCAAAGTAAGTCCACTGAAAGAAGAGTGGTTTGTACAGGCCTTGGTAAGTGAGTTACTGTTTTTGCAATGAAAATTTTTTCTACAAACCTCAATTAATTTCAAGTGATAATCTTCAATTTGAAATGTGATTGGTGCAAAGATATTTACCAGAGAGCAATTTATTTAACATCTGGTTTCTTGCACATTGAGTGTCAAGTCGAATGAACTCATATTATTTTGTAGGGCTTGTAACTCCTCTTGGATGTGAAATTGAGGAAGTCTGGAGAAGACTTACAGAGGGGGAGTGTGGTGTGTCAGCAATTGAATCCAAAGGTGAGAAAAGTAGCTGAGAAAAAGAACTTTTAAACATGATATCAGGTTTAATAGACTTTATTCCAAGACATCTAACTGGTTCTAACTCTAGGCATTCTAATGCACAATCTAGGCCTTATAAGAAAATCCTAATGGCCAGCCAGGTTTTCTGACTTGTAAGATTATAGACCTGTCATTTTACTACTTTTTCATTTGTCATTTCCCTGAGTTAGGTCAATGTTAGGTTAATTTCAAATTTCAAATCTTATTTTTAATCACTAATTTTAAGTTTTGAATTTACAGAATTTTCAGACCTGCCATCAAGAATTGGTAAGTTTCACTTCTTTTATGAGATTCTTCATAAAATTGTTTTTCATGCCATTCTGTTAATCATTTCAGTATTGTTTTTTTATTTTAATTGCAAACTGGCAAAATGTACATCTTTCTAAATTTAAAATTTTCCTTGTAGCTGCGTTTGTTCCTACTGGAACAGAGCCAGGTCAGTTTGATGAAACAAAAGTTGCATCCAAAGGGGTAGGTAAGCTTCACTGGCTTACTGCACAAGCAATCTCCAACTCCTAATCAAGTTATGAAAACCATGAAATATTTTCACTAAATACCATATAACCAAATGCATCATTGTTAGGTCAAATTAAGTTGGTATGTTCCATTGACATTTCAATCAAAATATTTTGTGGCAAAACATTTTTTATTTTCACCATATGTGGTTTTTTTAGCTTTTTTCCCTTGAAATTCCAGAAAGATATTCATGACACATCCCCATTCAGAAATTCAAATTTGGAGTCCCAAGTTGGTAATTTTTATCTGGGTAGAACCAAACTTATATAGCACATTGTCATAAATATGAATCAAAAGAGGCATAAAATTATGTATCACTGTGATTGATAAAACATCAAAACTATACTAAAGGTTTGTTTTTGTTAGGAAAGACGAAACATTTTAAAAGCAGCCCTGTTTGCATTGGACTGTGCTGACAGAGCACTAAATGACTCCAGCTGGAAACCGGTGACAGAGGAAGACTATGAGAGAACAGTATGGCTTTTACAATTTCTAAACTCTACCATTATTCTCAGAGATTTGGCATGTTTGCTCAAATCTTTTTGTCAGCAGATCTAAACCATGCTTGTATCTCCAAATAATTGCGAAGAATTCTTTATGATCCTACAGAATGATTACCTGTGGATTGTAAAAAGATCTAAACTCATATCTTTTGTTGTTGGTCTACGTTTTAGCTAAGGGAGGTGCTTTCTTTAAAAAATTGAAATGATTTTCTATAGGGTATTGCTGTTGGCACAGGTATGACAGGGCTGGATGAAATCGCTAGCACTGGACATGCTTTCTATACTCAGGTAGGAATTTTCAAGTTTTGAAAAATTAGGAAATGATCATGAACAATGGATGTGTAAGCTCATATATTTCTTGTGTTTAAACCTGTTCTTTTAAGAAGAATTATCTCAACCCATCATGAACACATCAATTCTACATCCTTCATGTTTCAGCCTTCATCTGTCATCGTCTTTGCTCTTAAATACTGCAGATGTCATATTTCAATCTAAGACGGTCTTTCCAGTTCAGTAAAAATCAAGCTTTTTTAAGCCTTAGTTGTTGTTTGTTGGCTGAATAGAAATGTGTTCAGAACATCGCAAACTGTGCTCCATGATGGAATTTTTTGCAGTTGGTCCTCTGGACAACCCCTTTATTATATTCACACAAGTAGCACTACATATTAACTGGTATAGTCACGGATGTAAAGCTATGAAATAGACAAAGGGGCCCTTCCAAAAACAACAAGTAAAATAGGGTAACTTTTCATTAACAGTTTGGGGGCTCAGCCTCCTTCTACCGCCTTAGGTGTAGTTGCAAACTGTGTAAAATGTTCTTGAACACATTGTTGGTAAAACAGTGGTTCTTATTGAAATCAGTCAGGCGCTACAGCGGCAGAGCATTTTTGATCAAGGAACAAACCGTACCGCTAACCAGGGGCTAAAATAAAAACAGTGTGATTGTACCATTTGGCAAGTATTTTTGGTCAGTGCAATGGTGTTGAAAATACAAAATAGAAAGTTATTTATGCAGTAAAAAAACCGTTTTCTCATAACGAGTTGATAATCAAATTTATTTACACTGTATTGCTTTATTACAATATGAAGATTGAGATTTCCGCAAAATCAAGATTTTCGAATTGGTTAAGTTTATAAGACTTTATTGTGAAAAGATATGCTTCTTCTACAGGGCTACAAGAAAATCAGTCCATACTTCATCCCAAAAATTCTTACCAATATGCCAACTGGTCATATAAGCATCCGCTATGGATTCAAGGTATTAATTTCTTTCCTTTTTCTTACTTATCCCTCCACTTGATACCGAATCTTCAATAGTTTCTCTTTTCTAAATATATAAAATTATCAATGCCTTTTTTGTCATTCTATAAATGGAAACCGTACAGTTACCATCAATCATCAGTTATCAAGCCAGGATCTCTGTTAGCACTTGGACATGTTATATTTTGGATCCAGTGAGCACAGTTATTTAGTGCCAAAGATAATAGGGCTCTGTCCATTCCCAGACTTTAAGACCACCTTATTTTTTGAGGCAAGCGGGCAAATAGTTTTTGGTTTGAAAACTACGTGATTTTCAAAATATTGCCAACTTGAATCTCTTTCATAGAAAGAGTACTTTCAAAGAGACATCAGCATGATTTATTTTTAAAACCAAGTGAAATATTTCAATACAAACTACATATTACTATACTTGCTAAATACTCTACGATACTAAAGCTACGATACCATGGGAAACAAAGGACAATGCAACCCCATTGCCATTACATGATGCAATACATGCAACTAGACAAGCAAATATCAACGCTACACGTACACATAATGAATGTTAACAAAAAAAGAAAAGAAATATATATATATATAGGCATGAATTTCCAGACAACTTGAATTTTGAGGCCTATGTGAATTGCTTTCTGAACCACTGCATATTACAATATGTCCGTTGTCCGAACAACTTCATCCTTTGCTTAATCCTTAGGGACCCAATCATTCAGTATCAACCGCGTGCACAACCGGAGCCCATTCTATTGGCGATGCATTTAATATGATCCGCAGAGGCTACGCTGATGTGATGCTTTGTGGAGGGACTGAGGCTAGCATTTCCCCACTCGCATGTGCTGGATTTGCAAGGTATTAGCTATTCTTCTTGTCCTAAGGCTCGTTCGGTACTCTAAAACGTAAGCATTGTGGAAATTCGTGTGATATTATGGTTCCTTAGGTAAACAGGTGCCTTTGTTCGACGGAGAGAATTCTGCACTTTTCCTTTATGGTTACGCTTCTAAAACTTTTTTAACAGGCTACAGTGGATTTCATACGTGGATCTGCTTTGCCCTTGAAATTATAAACTGCTATACGTCCATTTGCTCATTAAAGTAACTGTTTCAATTTCCATCTTGAATTTTCATACACGAAAACATTTCAACTTACACAATTGATTGAGTTAAAAATATAGGTACAATAACCTATCTGCGTATTAGCTGCTTTTTGATGACATCGTGTTGGATTATTTCTTGGAATTTTTAGGTCCCTTAAAAAGATACCTTCTGTGTCAACAAATTCTTTTCTTGCCATCGATTTTTCAATGACAGGACCAACATTTTCCAGAGGAAAAATTGAGTTCTCAAAGCTACTGTCAGCAATCACAGTTTTTGAGATTTTAAATTTTTTGTTTTTGTTTTTGCAGTGCATAACTAAACTGTTTACTGCACAAAGAATTCTCGTTGTATTTGACAGGTATTCATAGATATTCTATGTTGTTTTTTTTACAATATAAAATATATGTTCATGTTATAGGGCCAGAGCTCTGTCTACAAGCTTTAATGATGATCCTCAAAGGGCTTCACGACCCTTTGACAAAGACAGAGATGGATTTGTGATAGGTGAAGGAGCCGCTGTGCTGATTCTTGAGGTGTTTACTAATTTCTGTAGCTATTTAGAACCCCGAATAACTGTAATTAATTTGTATGCTCCGAATATCAATTGTGATAAAATCTTATTTTTTGAAAAATTTATCACTGCACAAATGAGAAAAAGGGCAAATTGGCTGGGGCCATTGAAGGGTTTTTCACATTTTTCACGAAACGGCAACAAAACCTCATTAGAATAACCCCTGAGCCCTTGTGCAGTTTAAACCCTTTTTGGCTATTAATGTGATCAATGCTTTTTTGTCACAAACTTCATTAAACATTTTTATTGATATCGCATTTGATACCTAAACTAAAGCAAAAGGGGATAGAGAAGAAAAAGGCCATATGATTACACTTTTGTCAAGTCATTCAAAATACCATTTTTTTCCTGTGAAGTGCTGGCAAAAGTGCAGCAGGTAGATTCATGTTGTTACATTTCTTTGTATTTGTCCATGAATTTTGAAGTTTATGAGGAAAATGCTTAAAATTTTTCCACCATGACTGTAAATTGTTTTATCACTGCTCACACTGAATTTTTGTCACTGCACAAACCCGTTTTACTACTAAACAAATTGTTTATCACTGAATCTTAAAATTAGGTATGATTGTGAGCAACATTTAAATAAATCAGGGGTTTGGGAGAGTTAGAAGAAAAAAAGAGGGGGAGGGGGTGAAAAGGGATGGGAGACGTGGATGAAAATAGGTAAGTTAAAGAAAGGAACCTCGCTGTTAAGCAAAGCATCGATTAAGAATCGTTTAATATCAAATTTTAGTGTCTGTTATTTCGCTTGACACTACCTTGCAGCTATCGCTTTACCTCTGCGGGGAAGCATTTCATAGCCTCCTCAAAGCTCGCCTCCTTCGGGTAATTTCTTTCTTTTCCTGCGTGTGCTTTCATGTGTTTCGGGATTTTCTGATAAACTCGCTTTAATTCCTTATCGTCCCCTTTTTTAAAGCGAAATTAAATTGAACATATTGTAAATCTGAACTGATATTGCTTTTCTACGGGAAATAACTATGTAAACGTTTGACCTGCTTTTATTAAGTATCTTTTTATCAAGTTAAGAGTTATTCAATACAGTATTCATCTGAATAGGAGATGGACCATGCAATAAAACGAAACGCAAAATTGTACGCAGAAGTTCTCGGCTATGGAATGTCAGGTAATTTTATAAAACGATATACAAATGAGATTGCCTTGCGGTGTAGAACACTACAGCTCTCTATCATCCTATCATACAGCAGTATTGTGTAGATTCTTCAAAAGCGTTATCTTATGGTTTAAGAAGTAGCTACCGTCTTTGTTCCTCTTTCTTATGAAGATTAGATTAAATCCTTAGCATATGAACCAAACAATCTCCTTGCTAGGAGATGCCTATCATATAACTGCTCCGTCTGAAAGTGGTCGTGGTGCGTATTTGTCAATGAAAACAGCATTAAAAGACGCTGGTCTTCGACCTGACGAAGTGCAATATATCAATGCTCACGCAACATCCACCCCTCTTGGTATGTATTTGTCAAATATTTACGTTTTTTAAAATTTATGTCAATTTCCGTTTTCAGCTGTTCAGTAGTTCTCTTTGAAACATTTCTCAAATTGATTGTCAACACATACTAGGTTGTTTCTTGTTTTTTCAAAAACTTGGTCGCAACGGTTAATTTTGTTTTTGATAAATCAATGTATCTTTTATCTGTTTTTGTATTTGTTTTTGCAAAAATTCCAAGCTAATTTTAAGGACACTGAGAAACTTGGCTTATCAAACAGTTTACTGGTCCTTCCTCTCGATGTGACCACACCATGTTATCCTACGCCTGTAAAGGCCGATTTCCATTTGACATTTTTCGTGCGCGTGGGCGTAACGCCCAAATCTGAGCATGCGTAGCTATGTGCTGCTGCCAAAAGGCTCTGAGTGAAAGTTTGATCATGTGAGGTACTTGAACCCCAGACTCTTACCGTTTTGTCTCACAACCAAATGAAACAAAGCAATTTCAGTAAGTGCGCGGGGGAAAAGAGGCAGCTAAAAATGGGGCGAGTGTAGAAGCAAAGCGTGCATTGAGATAAATTTAAATGACTGGGTAAAACCCTTTTGGAAATGATTCGAAGAGAAAGGAAGCTGGGAGGATTCGAGGATAAAGGGGAGCAAGGATGAAGAAAGAGAGAAGAGGGGGAAGAAAAGGGAATAAAGGGAGGGATAAAAAGGGAATAAGAGAAGGGAAGAAAGGAAGGGAGGGAGGGGAAGGAGAGAGAGAGCAAGCGATTGAAAGGACGAAGAAGAAAGAGGGGGCGCCTGAGAGATGAAGGAGGAGAGGTTGTATATAATATAGTACTTGTTTTCCATATACAATGTTGACCGTTGCTTTCGTCTAAAGATATTCTCAGTTTTATATTAAGGAAGCAATTTTATATTAAAAATTGCTGGATGTAATAAAATCTGTTGATATCAATTTTTCCTTGAAATTTGATTGTCAAAGCTCTGTTACCAGGCTACTAAAGCCAATTGGAATTATTTTGAACATGATTTCATTATTTTAAATCATGATTACATGGGCTCCAACGCAGGTTGGAAAGTGGAGGGGCCAAGAGAAAATATAACAATCCCAACAAAAGTTTTTAAAAAAAACCCTACTGTTTTGCAAAAAAGTGACCCCCCGGCCCCCCCTTCGTCGGAGGCCCTGGATTAGTTAGAATATTTTTTTATAAACTTTGCTGTCAATCACAATATCGTTGTGGCCACGTAATCTATTGTTTGCAGTATTTGTTGCATAGGTTCTCAAGACGTTTTGTTTCAGTTAGAAATACTTATGGTGCATGAATAAATTTGTTTCGACAGGTGATGCAGTAGAGAATAAAGCTATTAAAGACGTATTCCTTTCCCATTCAAAAAAGCTGCAGGTTTCGTCTACTAAAGGTTGGTTTTATTGTGTTTTTCTCCACTTATGCTGTATTATTGCAGAGATCGTTTTAAAAGCCTGAGCAGTAAGTGAGAGTAGTACCTGTCATTTTCCCGTTATAACGGTAGGTCACGTAATCTAAAGCTTCTGGTCACATCTTTAATGGGCGCTGGCGTGCATTTACTTAGCGTGAATAGTAAGTTTACTTGGCGTTCGATTTTCACATAATGTGATAATACTGAAAGTTGCTGTTGATCTGCCATAAGTGTATTGCAAAGATGCGATTGAAGCTATAGTGGTGTCTTCTATAACCGATCATTGGTATTAAATCAACGATTTTCTTGACTTAGAAGAACATATTGAGTAAAGAACTTCTAAATTTTCAAATTGGTATGTTACGTTATGTTATGTTATGTTATGTTATGTTATGTTATGTTATGTTATGTTATGTTATGTTATGTTATGTTATGTTATGTTATGTTATGTTATGTTATGTTATGTTATGTTATGTTATGTTATATTATATTATATTATATTATATTATATTATATTATTTTATATTATATTATATTATACATATTATATTATACATATTATTTCATTAGGTGCAGTTGGCCATCTACTCGGAGCCGCTGGGGCAGTTGAGGCAGCCTTCACAGTACTATCTGTGTTTAAAGTAAGAATCAATTTAGTTTAAATTTAGCATACCTTTTCGGTTGTGCGTGTGCTGTATGATTTAAACGCAAGAAATTAAATCGCCATCATCATGAACATCATCATTACCGGCATTATCAATTGTAAAATCATCAACAACATATCAATTTGTGCTCATTTTGTAAAATCTGTTCACCTGACTTTGAGTAAATAATTTTCCAGGAAATCGCTCCTCCAACATTAAACCTGTACAATGTATCCTGTGATAAAGAATTCTCCCTGAACTACGTTCCTATAAAAGCCCAAGAGTATTGTGCCACAAAAGGAAAGAGAAAGATCGCTTTGACAAACTCTTTTGGATTTGGCGGGACAAATGCAAGTCTTTGTTTTGGAAGCATCGTGTGAAAGATCAAGGTAGCTTTTTTTTAATTCCTGACATTTTTTAATTAAGGGCCAGGCTCTGTGTATCTTAGCTCATAAGTAAATAGGAGTAACTTTAAGTGTAACTTGTGCTGGTATATTCGAATAGTCGTTGATAGAGGTGAATGTTTGTTTCACTTCATTGTTTAGGACAAAACTGTCACAAGATAGCATGTAAAATATACGGAAGTCGACTGGGTAATGTAAGAGCAACGAACCTACCGGAATCGCAAAGAATTTATCTACAAGATACTTTTGCTAGTTCAAATTAAAATTTTTTGGTTAAAATTCTTTGGATTTGTATGCTCGTTTTAGAGCTCAAACAAACTAATCATTTAATGATGTACATTTTTGTATCCACGTGATTTTAAAATCCTATTACCCTGCAATGCCTAATTAAAGGAGAGTGACTTTATTAGCAAGGAGCTGGAACTTTCTCTAAAATCAATGGAATGGGGATCATAATAAACTGATGCTCGATGGCAAAAATAATTGTTTCTTCTGCTGCTAATATAAAGGGAGAACATGCGTATAGATACTGAAGGCAAATTGTTTAATCTGTATGTATTAACCCTTTTTATAGTGTAGAATGAGTCACGGCTTTTCTTTTTACGTATGCTTACCCTCGTACTTTGTTATAAGTGGGGATCATCATGATTAAGGGAAATGGGTATCGCTTTTTCTGAAACCTCGAACCTGGCCCCTTTACATTTGATAAAGACGCGATTGTTTATATGTTAGACACTCGATTGAAATGGAGAATGACACAATTAATCAATATATTTTCCGCGATACTTTAATAGATTTCTAGCTCATTGAATACAGTGTTTCGTAGAAAAGGCGATCAAAAAAACTTAGGCCTAGCCTAACAACAACAACGGTTTCAAACCGAGATCGGTAAATGACGTAATCAATTAATGTCTCTTCTGAAGGGGTAAAACTCTATAAGCAAAAATTACGTGTACTTATGGTAAACGAAATAATTGTCCATACATTTCACATATACACTAAGTCCCTTCAGCTAGTCTATATTGCAACAATGTTCACATTTATAATGACTAAAGGTCAAATACGAATAGATACAAGCTAAAAAGTGAGTGCTGTACATGTACTTCCAGAGAGTCGTGTATCCATTACTTTCAACTAAACAAATTTATTTCTAGTTGTTTATATACTGGCAGAATGCTACCTGACACTAATAGGGGCTTTAGTCCAGATCTTAAAGGCTGAGTAGGAAAATCCTTTTTTGCATAGTCTAGATTGTACTTCAGGAATCGGGATCTGAAAATATTTACTGAATCGCGTGTTATAAAAACACCCCTGGAGAAGAGAATTCGTCACTAGGATTTAGTACATCAATATCTGCAAGTACCAAGGTTTTTGTAATTTTGCTGCAACTTCCTTTGGTGGTGAGTACCCATGCCATGTAATTATATTCATTCTTTTTGTGAAGCTTGTTGCTTTGTGAAGTTTAAAATGCTTGCTGCTTTGTACTTAGCAGAGTAACCAGAGAATATCTCGATGGTGATCACCTTTAAGTGTTTTTAATCGTATGGATCGAAACCGTGAAGTCAACAGTTGAATATGATTCATTTTATTCTTTTTCCTAATTTAGGGATGTTGGAGGGCTAACCCCCCCCCCCCCGAAAAATACATTTATTGACAATTGTTTAGACTGCGTAATCGTTTTAAGACCACCCCGTCTTCATCATGTCTTTTCTACGGCCTAGCATTAAATGACCTTGCAGACAGTTACTTTTCAAAAGACAGTGAAAAACAACATCTTTTCTCGATGTGGCAGCTGCTGCCAAAAATATTTTTTGCGAGCAAGCAGTAAATCAGGTGCTTCTAAAAATAAATTGTCATTATTCTTTTTCTATTGTACCAAAAAAATCTCACCTGCAAAATAAAGGTCTATTTTAGAGCATTACTAATGGTTGTTTTGCTGCTTTCGCGCTAGGGTTGTCGTTACTGTCCTTCAAGGTGCCACTGGAAAACCGAGATTTTCTCCAAATCGCAAATTCTAAAGTTCATGTTTTTATGTAGCGAGTGGGAAGTCATGTGACTGTATTTTGAGTTTTTAAGGTTTAAAAACTCCGTAAATCTTTATCAATCTGCGAGCTTATTCGAACTAATATAGATTTGCATCAGCTTACATTTAGCATATGATACATCTGTCGTGTCTATTCGACCATGTGGGATAAACAATGCGCCATTTCCAGCATATGCTCACGAAGACCCTAGGTCAATTTTTGAAAGTGAGCCTCTCTAGTTGCTTGTAAAATCGTGCTTTCGTGAGAAATGTTGAACAATGCTATTCTCGCCGGTGGAACATGGCCGAGATCGCGACCGAGACCTTCCAAGAGCACTAGGAAGACGCAAAACCAATGGAACATTCCTTGTTGCCCTCAAGAACCTGCCAGATGTCAATGTGACTACGACAGAGTCTTTTCTAGTGAAAAACAAGAAGACGACAGCACAGATAGACAGGTTAAAACAAGGAGGGTAGGCGCAGAAATCGGACAAGAGTCATGCCAACATCACTTAACAGTGGAAACACCAAAGTTAACATATGACCTGCTTAAATGCGATTCACCAGTTATTCCGTCGCGTCGTTCGAATCACCTTTTATCCGAAGACTTTCTCGGTGCTTCCTTCGACTCGTGTAACTCTTTTGGCGATATTTTTGACTCTTTTGATACAGTCACCGAGGCTTCAAATCTTTCTTTATACCCTGATGCTGACCAGGTTGAGAGGGGTCTTGCTGACCTAAAGCCAAGGAAAATATCGGCTGATTCGTATGGGGATCTTTGCAGCAACAACAGTCAATGCTGCGTACTGGACTATAAGTTCCGTAATGGATCACTACGTGGAAGTTTTGGCAATGTTTCACTTTGTGCATTAGAGGCACCGAGAGCATTTGGGGTGAGAGATCTGCGCTCTGAAACTAACCTAACCATGTTGAAGGAACACATCATAAGTGGTCAGCAGTATAAAGATGAGAATGCAAACTACTTGCGCCTTGACGACCATAAACTCAATAGACTTAGTCGAAGTGAATCTAGTCTCACCGACAGATTCCGGGATATCTTAATTCCCTTGAACTCCGGGTATATCGCGTATGAAAAGCGTTTGCACCAGCGAAAGCCTCGCACTCGCTACAAAGTATTTTCCAGTAAGGAAGAAATTCAAACTGACTTCGAGGCTTTTGCTATGGGTTACCAAGGCTCTTTAAGTTATTTAAAACTAAAAGATATTGAGTCCTGTCGTGTAACTGGTCCTGGTGTAAACAATGGAACGGCTGGAAGGCGGACTACATTCTATATTTTCACGGAAAAGGACAAGAAGGAGTATTTAAAGATTTATATAATAGGACCGAGGCTGGTTCCGCCGAAGCATGAAGTGGCAACACTTACCGACTGTTTTTATTCGGTTTCGTACTTGCCAGAGAGGGTTGGCTGGTACTCTATTAACGTGTTATGGCATGGAAAACATGTGATTGGAAGTCCGTTTAGAGTTCTGATGCTGCTTCCAAAGCAAAAAGTTTGGTTTAAGATGGGAGAAATAGCTCCTAGTTATCAATCATAGTCCCTTAGCACATTTTAGCCCTCTCATTCAGTGGTGTACCTGAGCTCATCTGGGAGACCCTTTTCACTGAGATGCAATACGGAATAATAATTACAAACTTTTACAAAAAGACAAAGTGAAAAGTATTTCTTGCTCTGCTACACTATGATTCTGTCACACCATTTTATCTAAAACTGTACTTATTCGAGAATGCAGTAATTTTAGTTATATGATTCTTATTTTTATAGTTTTAAAGGTATGTGTAAAACGGTGATAATTGAAAAAGGAATGCATTGTGAGACAAAACTGCCAACATTTCTTTTATAAGTTGCAGATGACCTTATACATACAAAAGTCTTTTCTTCCAATGCTGTATTGAATGAATTTGAGGTGGTGTTCTTTCTAAAAAATCTTTGGATTTCATAATTATGTTAATGGGCAAATTACTTGCACCCATATGATTTTATATATCAGAGGCTGTAATATTGTCAGCAAAGGGGGACCTTGGCCTGGTTTTGTTTTTAAAAAAACACCCTATATCAGTGATTTTTTCTTAAATCCAAAAGGTAACCCTTTTTCGGTTTCAATTTTCACTGTCCGTGGTTTGCGGAAAAACCACCCCTCTTCTCAGATGTTTTCCTGAAAGCTTGGGTAAACCATTGAATGAGAGTGGACTCGTCGGGTTTTAACATGAAATTTTTTCGACTGATGAAGCTATGATGTTTGTTTGACGAGTTTATTTGCCTTGTGTTGAATTTCCTTACATGCTTTTAGTCTTTTAATTACGTATTCGGAAGTAAAAGTGACTTTTATATTACTACTGCGTAAAATCCATTGCAGCAAGAAAATGAAATGGGAGCTATGTCACTAGAAATTGGGGCAGTTGTTTTTTATACTTCAAGTTGTTTATTGTGTTTTCTGGAGAGAAACATTTTGGTTTTTTTCTTTATAGGCAATTAACTCTTTCCCTCAAACAACACACGAAAAACTGACCATCAATGAGAGCCTTTTGCATAACATCAACAAAATGCATAATATAAAGATCCAACTAATCTTGAAAAGGCCACTTTCATCCTTTTCTCCTCCTATCAAATCATAAGAGCTCTTGGCCCTTCCCCTTTTGTTCCTGAATTTTACTGGCTTCTACACTGCTCTTGATATAGAAAAGATAAACTTTATGTTTGTATCATTGATTGAATCATCTAGTATGTTAGAAGCAAATCTAAAATATAATGAAAGAATGTCACAAGCATCCCTATCGGTACAAAACCATATCATGTCTCAAACAATAACATTTTAAACTTGACTTGAAATTTTTCATAGTGTCACCAATTTAAACCATTTTTGGAGGTATTACATGCACTTCGAATGTATCCAGTTTCAAATAACGAGTGCGAGTTAAATTTGTAATGCAATGTTTTCAAGTTTCAAAACTATATAGAAAATACTTTTCGAGATTACCATTCTTCAACTGACAGGTAAGAGACAGAGTTTACTTTGAAATAAATCAAATCTCTAGCTTTCGGATCAAAGGATGATAAATTCTTATGATTTATGAACAATCTGACAAAAATATGTTAGAGTTTCGTTATTTTACATCGAGAAGTGAATAAAGAAGTGGGTGAGAGCACGAAAGCGTAAGATAACATTTTGTGAGTCTATCCTCTAGAAATATATTAGCAACGCCCCTTAAGTAAACTCAAAATGAAAATACGCTACTCGGATGCAAAAAAAGTGTACATGCTACATTCGAGTAAATATTTTAATCTTTCTCTGCTTATTGTTAATTGTATATTTTGGATAGTTAGTGTGAATTAGTTAGATATAACTAGAAAGGAAGCAGCTTTCAAAACGTTTATGTCAATCATTGCTCCAAATGAAGCCCTTTCACAAAATGGTCTAAAATCCTCTTAAAAATTAACAATAGTAGGAAAGAAAATGATATGAACTACTTCAGGTAAGCGATATGAAATACTAATATTTCGTCTGTTCGTTCCTAAAAGCCTCTAAGTTGAATTATCCAGAGGTTATCAGAAATTGGTTTTTCAGACGTTTCTTGAGGCCCTATAAGAGGTTTTTGAAATAATTAAGATTTTCGGGATGAAAATATAAATATTTAGGCTTTTTAGTCTTGAAATATGAAACAACTTATTTAACTGAATACCTCTTTGGATGTTGTGTGAGAATTATCTATTTGATAACAGCATTGACTCAAGTGACTATTGATCTGTAGAGCTGTTTAGCAGGGGCGGATCCAGCGTCTGCGTTTGGGGAGGGCCATTTATGAAAGAAGAGGAGGCCTGCGAAAATTTCACAGACACGCCCTTCAAAGTCTCACCGAACGCGGGAAACGCCCCTTTCTATCAAAAAATTTCATAAGAAGGTACACTCTCAGAACACTGAAAATTAAGAAACTTCATTGCTGCGAGAAACTTCCAAGCGAAGTAAAGGCTAAAATACATGATGAAAAATTGATGAACTTTGGCTAATCGTGTAAACACGCGCTTCTTTAGTTAAACTGATGAAAAACGGATATAGAAATAACTTTGGGGAAAACTGACATAAAAAACTGATCGTGTATTTCAGCCTTTACAAATATTCATATTGAATATTTGGTCAGCAGCTTTCGCGCTTGACTTGGGAGGGGAACTATGACGCATCAGAGTTCGTGAATGACATTATAATTCCTGTGTTCAAGAAGCCGGCATAAGACACGTACCCTTAAGATGAAAAAAAGATTTAGAAAATGAGCAAAAGTCCCCACGTATTTGGTGCGTATAATTTGAATGGTAAATTTTCAAAATGGGTAGTCACCAAAAATTCATCGCAGCATAACAGGCAAAGCTGAGTAGTTATAGGTACTGTTTTGCTTTTGTTGGAAATAGTGACGCTTTTTGGGTATCACAATCGCAATAACACGATGAACAATGTTTGAACTGTAACCCATTTTAGCCATAACTTTCTCAACCATAACGTTTGCAGACGTCATTCATTCATGATCGCAGTCATGATTTGTGTTAAACCATAGTCCATATGAGCCGCGAGATCCGGTCACATCTAATTTTGCATTGAACTATTGTTTTAGGCTTATCATAATTCTTGTGTTACACATCCACTTGCAACTTATTGCCTCACTGAAAGCGAGAGAATAAAGCCGACTGGAGGTTTGATTAAAATGTCTGGTCCGCCAAAGAAATCAAGAACTCTTGAATCATTCTTCTCAAAAAGTAGCCGCACCAGTTCAGTTGGAGATAACCCTGAAATCTCTAAAACATGTGAAACTACCACTTGCCAAGAATTTGAATCAAAATCTACTGGTGAAGAATTCGACACACAAAGCCAAGTTGCGGTAGTCCAGGATTGTCCTGAAGAGGAAACACACCCAGACCTCTGTTGTATGGCGACACAAGTAAATGTTGCAATATCTGATAGATATGACATTGGTAGAGCTATAATGAAAACAAAACGAGGAGAACAGCTGACAGATAACGAAAGGGAAGCATATTTATCGAAGAGGTGGGTGCCGCAGAGAAGGGATGAATATCCATTTTCTGAAAAGAAAAAACCAAAGAATCAGCTCATGGTTGGTATGTCCTCGACAACGAAGCGTTTTCTGGGTGAAAATCACTTGAAAACCTTCCCCTGGCTAGCTGTCAGCAGAGAGCCAAAATGTTGCGGTGCTTGGTGTGTGTATTGCGTTTTATTCAAGACGTGCGAGAGTGGAGGTGGAAGAGGTGCACAATACGGAGGTGGAGCAGGCCAGTCAATGGGCAAACTTGTTAACAAGCCTCTTGTAAACTTTTCAGACTTGACAGGGAAAAATGGAGCCCTCACAAGTCACCAAGAAACATCTTTTCATAAGACATGTGCCATAAAGTACACGGAGTTCTTGAGCCGTGCAACACCTGGGAGTGAGAAGGACGTTCGATCAATAATGAACATTGAAAGGCAGAAAGAGATTGAAAGGAACAGGACTGCGCTGGTTCCCATCATCGACACCCTTCTAACATGCGCCAGGCAAAATATTGCGCTTAGAGGCCATCGTGATGATGGACCAGTAGATTCAACTGGGATGGAACCCAAGCACAATGATGGAAACTTCAGGGCATTGCTGCGATTGAGAGTACGGGGAGGAGATACAAACTTGAAAGATCACTTGAAATCTTGCAAACGCAATGCTTCTTTGGTAAGCAAAACGATACAAAACGAGCTAATTGCCTGTGCAGGAAATATTGTCAAAGAGGACATAGTAAGAGATGTAAAAAATGCAAAATTCTGAACAATAATGGCCGACGAAACCCAAGATTGTGCGAAACGAGAACAGTTGGTCATTGCAATTCGTTACGTTGACACAAAAAATGTGCCAAAAATTATCAAAGAAGAACCGGTCGCAATTTTAGACCTGATTGCAGACATAAAAAGCAGTGACCAATCAGATGAAACAGAGCACAATGAAATTAAGCTATGTGGCAAGGCAATAGGGGAGACTCTACTCCGCCATATAAGTGAGCTTGGGTTGGATTTGCAGTACCTCGTTGGTCAAGGATATGATGGTGCTGCATCGATGTCCAGTGAGCGAGTTGGTGTTTGCTCCTTTATCAAATCTGCTGCGCCACTCGCTGACTACTTCCACTGCTGCATGCACGCGCTAAATCTAAGTTGTTCTCGAGCCGCAAAGATACCAGCAATCAGACATTGCATGGATGACATCAAAGATATCAACAATTTCTTCAAGCATGCGAAAAGAAACAGCTATTTGCAAGCAGTCATAGCACGAGAATCAATTGAAGAGCTTCAGCGACGGCAGTTGGTGACCCTCTGTGAAACAAGATTTGTCGAAAGTCATGAATCAGTTTTGGTTGCACGACAGCTTTTGCCTTACATCGTTGTGTGCTTGGAGGAAATGCTCGCTTGGGACTCATTAGATACAAGAAAAGATGCCAGGAGATTGTTAAAAAGTTTGCAAGACCCTCAGTTCCTTGTAGCGCTAGTATTGGCCGAGAAAGTGTCTGCTGTACTTCGCCCAGTGTCCCGTTCTTTGCAACAAATTGGTAGCGATCTTGTGAAAGCAATGTCGACGATTTCTGCGACACAGTCAAAGCTTTACACGTGGCGTAAAGGTGAAGAAAATGAGTTTGCTTCGATGTTTGAAGAGGCAATGCTTCTTGGCGAAAATATTGGAGTGACCAGAGAAGAGATGCACGCAATTCCTCGAGCAGTCAGTCAATCCAGGTTCAGATCAAATGCAGGTGAAGCCAATCAAAAAGCCATTGATTATTATCGTATCAATGTGTTTTTACCTCTTCTTGATGAAGTGGCTGGAGATATGAAAGCAAGATTTGGTCCCCATCAGCAGAAGATTGCGACGCTTACAAGAATTCTGCCTTGTTTCGTCAAAGAATCAACTTGGCAAGATATTTTGCCTGCAGCACTAAAATACGGAGTCTTTTTAGACCCCTTGTCCATTGTTGAAGGAGAGTATGAAATTTGGAAGCAGCAATGGCTGTCACGTGGAACAAGTACAGTAGCAAATACCGCTATCGGCGCTTTAGGCGACTGCCAAGGTGATGTATTTCCTAATTTGCATACATTACTCAACATTCTCACTGTGCTACCGGTGACAACAGCAGAACCCGAACGACTATTTTCTAAACTGAATAGTACCCTGACAGCAATTCGGTCAACAATGTCTGAGGAGAGATTAGAATCCCTACTTCTTCTGCAAGTTCACCGTGACAGAACACCAACGAGCGATAAACTCATTGACTCATTCGCAGCATTAAAATCAAGACGAATCCCATTAAAGCTGTAAGTAGTTAAAAGATGGACAAAATGACGTTGCTATTATATCGCAATACTCAACATTGAAACACACCACTTCTCGCGCAAAATGAGCTCGCATGTAGCTTTTCGTTTCAAAGGCAAAATCTCCGATAACGTTTTTGCTACGATATAGCTACTTCCTTTTCAAATTCTTTTCTGAATATATTGACATCAGTTGGGATCACTGATTTCCACAAAATTACTCAATCAAAGCTCTCATGTTTCTATGCTCGCAGTTAGTGTTCTCATGTAATGTAATAAGTAATTTTGGTTTGTTAGTTATATAAACAACTAGTTTCTTGTTATGCAAAAACTTTTACCTTATCAATTTACATGTTTAGTTAATGTATTTACTGTCTTTTCATTCAAAGTTTCTCGTTGTCGAATCGTTTGGGGGGGGCCATGGCCCCCCCGGCCCCCCCTGTAGATCCGCCAATGCTGTTTAGATACCATATTACGCTGGATTGTTCTTTTAAATATTGCAACCTTTTTAGGGGTTCAAAAGGCTTTTCATACTTCACGGAATGTATGCAAGTGTACAAGTGACGAAATAGACCTCGTTTTGGAAATTTCTCCAAATTAAATTATACGACTTTTTTAAGCTCAGATTTAGTTTTATCACAATTGATTTAGGCTGGATACAATTTTTCATTTTGTTTGTGCTTGTAATTTAGATTTTATTGAGAAATGAAGTTTGAAAATTTGCAAGGAATTTGACCGCAACAATCATTCCGGGTGAAACTTTACCCCCGTAGTCGCAAATCACGGTCAATCTCTTAAAAAATTTTTATCTTAATGTCGCCATAAAATCAATATAGTGAGCAATATCACAATGAAAATTTCCAAGTAGACTAAAATCATTGCTCTTAATCCGAATCTGAAGTCAAAAATTTTGTACAAAAGAATTTGAAGATTTTTTCAAATGGAGGTCGTACCCTTCTGGTTGTACCCTCCACACAAGAGATTTTGATTATTAGTTTTGGTACATATATGTTTCGAATTTATTTAGTTGTTTCCATGAACAAAATAAAGATAAATATTTCATCCGATGTCCTTAGATTCCCCACAGAGGCACCGGAAGCTTCAAGATGCGGTGGGGGCAGGAACTGCAGAAAGGGCACCTGGGGGTATCAAAGTTTGCCGTCGAAACAGATCGGGAATTGTCCTTTAGCCAATGACGAAGCCTGGTTGTAGGTGAAGACCCTTTCTAGGTTAAGAAGGTCGGCAGTCTGGAGCGGGACCCTAGGGAATTTTCGCATTGTTACGCTCAAAGACTCATAATGGGAGAACATCCATAAAAATACATTTCAGTCAATACTACAGACAAACGTCATTCTCGGAAATTCATTTAACCCAACATCAACCATCAGGGGTGGCTAGAACCTGGCTACGATGATATAGATATAATTTTCTGGCTTAGTTGTGTGTAGTGCCGCCGAGAGGTTTCGGAGGCCTTGCTGCAGAATCGAAAGGGGAGACTCTTTGCGAGCGAAGGGTGCAGAAAAATTTTGGCGACCATGCCCCTAAATTATCACAAGATTCATTTCAGAATGTCTTACTAATTGCTTTCACCGAAGGGCAATTCACTCTTGCCAATAGCGTACGAGATTTTCCCTGAAACAAAAGGATTTTTGGGGATTTCCAGATAAAACAATAGGATTCCCACGAAAGGTGTACGAGATTTTTTGAAGTGATTTTCCCCTCGGCTTTCACAAACTGGAAACCTCAAGGCCCATGGCCAATTTTCCATCGCTACCACCTTTCGGTAACTCTTGTTGTGAGCTTGTTTTTTGATGTTTCTAAAAGCAGATCGAAAAGAAACATTTTAGATCATCAACCCAAAAGGTCACCCCTTTGCTCATTTCGTATATTCAAGGGCTCTTTTTGGTTATGCAGTTGGCAAAAAGAGCAACTCGGTGAACTGCAAAGGGGCAGGTAAGCTAACATTTTGGGGAAAAGGGAGTACGTGCCCCCTGTGCCCCCATGGCTCCTTCGACTTTGCTTGAATTTAGGACCTCATTGATGCCTTGATTGATATATCAAATAGATGTTAGCCAGCGTTGGTAACAATCTGAAATCTGTTCAGCATGATCATGAAGGTTGAAGAGTTGTCAACGAAAATACTTTGCGTGTACAAATTTCTTTGCAAATCGATTTTCAGTTCTCATTAATATGGAAAATATTGACTTTTGTCTTGCACGAAGATATTAAGAGATGCTTGAAACCTAAATTTCATTAGCATTCAAAATATTTATACGAATTAATACGAATTAATATTGCTCTGAAATCAATTTCTTGATAAAAGGGCACTTTGCTGCCCCCGTGCTGCCCCTGTGCTGCCCCCGTGCTGCTCCTGTGCTGCCCCCGTGCTGCCCCCGTGCTGCCCCTGTACCACTAGGCCAACGGAGGCCCCTGCCCCCGTAGCTCCGGTGCCCTTGATTCCCCACAAAAGTACCAAATGATCACCACAGTTCCAAAGAGAATGAATTCTCTATTTATACCCAAGTACGGGGCCCTTTGGCTTTTTTCTGAATAAATTCTTTATACATTTTGAATATATTTAGCTGCAAAGATTTATTTTGAAGACTCGGTCCATTTTTTATTGAGTCGGTCCAACTTTTCCTGAGACCTGAAGGCAGAATGGAGCATTTGAAAATTTCGAAATACTTTGTTTGATAATTTTTAAAAATGAAATAATTGCAAGATATCATCATGAAATATGGAATAATGTCATCCCCCCTTATAGGGCCTATTTCTTTACCATCACGATGAATGATATTGCACGATAAAAAGCCTCGCTGAGATGTTTTAAATGCTTGAAATTTGTACTCTGCCGTTTACCAACAAAATCATACGTCAGGGGCGTCACTTGAGGGGGTATGAGGGGTGGTTCAGCCCCCTCCCCCCCCCCAACCACGAAAGTAGGACCTTTTCGCAGGGCAAACCTGATTTTTGCGGGGCAAATGTTTTCTACCAACAGATCGGTTTTGTTGTTTTCTTATGTAACTGTTACAAGAAAGTAGGTTACGCTTGTAATTTGTCTACCCCAAAAGTGAAATGATACAGACTACCAGTGACACTAAGTAGAAATTGTCAGAGTGGTCTTGGGCTGGGTGGAATAGGTTTCTAAATTGATTCTGATTTCCTTTCACCTTTAAATATTACACCCACTGTGTCTTATTCAAAAACCATACTAAAAAGACAAGCATCGCTCGCCAGAAAACTAAGACACTGCAAACGGGACTATTTGGGCCAAAATTTGATGGAATAGTTTTGCATATTTGGGTCTAAATTTTTTTAAGGTTTAAATCATTAAGCCTTGGGAACCTTTTGGCAGAAGACCGGAAGTCACGTCCACGTTACAAGCTTTTTTGATGGTATCATCAGATTTGAAAAATTCGAATGTCGCAATTTTGCTGACCGTGCAATTTTCATTCTTACAGTGAAGCGACTACTGGTCAATTACCAGAATGCTTTCAAGGCTTAAAAAGATCAGTGGCCTTTACTTTTATGATTTAAACTTCCATCCAGTTGGAAAAAAACAGTGGGAGTGGACCAAATTCTCTTCACTATTGCGCGTTCGTGGCTTTTCATAATATTGCCTTATAGTTTGATCGCGTAACTTTTAATCACTTTAGCATTACTTATTGGCGCCATACTGAATTCAAAGATATGGTTAGAAACAACATTTTCAAGATAAGAATAACTTTTTGGTGAACATGTTGGCTACCGATGAAAAAATTAAAGAATGAACAATAGCTTTTTGAATATTATTATCAGCAAATCAATCCTGCATCTTGAATGGCTTACAAAACAGTGGTTTGGTGGTCTTGAGAATAATTTCTTGTAAGAATATGTGGAACAAGCAATATAGATAAAAACATGTTTATATCTATTTCGTTGAAATAATATAAGCCAAAAGTATTTGCGGTAGATTTTATGCTATTGGTATTTTTCCCTAAACGTGAAGTATGAAAAGCCTTTTAAACCCCTAAAAAGATTGAAAAAATTAGAAGAACAACCCAGGTGTAATATGGTTGGTATCTTAACAGGTCTACAGATCAATAGTCACTTGAGTCAATGCTGTTATCAAATAGATAATTCTCACACAACATCTAAAGAGGTATTCGGTTAAATAAGTCATTTCATATTTCAAGACTAAAAAACCTAAATATTTATATTTTCATTCCGAAAATCTCAATTATTTCATATTTCAAACACCCCATATAGGGCCTCTTAATTTGTTCTCAACTTTCGACAAATTTCTAATGTGAAATGCTAGTGTGTATATCGAAAGTGTGTTGAAGAAAATGAGCGCATGCTCTTTGAATCCAGGATGGAGGGTTGCCTCACTCATTAAAAAACTTTCTCTTGCTCGACTTCCCAAGGTTAGGCAAAGCATCGGTGAACTTGTGGACACACTGAGCAAGGAACTAAGCGGGAATTTTAGTGTTACGGGAACTGAGGGCCAGTTCCCAACATTCCCAACTTTTGCCAGGGCAATTTTTTTTCTGCAGGGCAAATATGCAGCCACCCCCTACCCAATAACTGGAATTATAACCCGGAAATCGTCAGAAAAGATTCTTCTTTCAATTCAAGAGTGGTCTCAGACATTTTGAATCTAAGGAACCCCAAACAGAACCCTTTAGAGCAGTACCGTACTTTCTATTTTTAGTTGTAACATGTTATCTGAACGATAATTTATTCAAATACATTCCTTGATTTCTTTATTCAGCTAAAAACGTAACTTGTATAAACATTGATGAAAACGAAAAAGTTTACCGTAAGTCCTCGAACTAGCACCCCTCCCCTACAAATCACCCCCAATTGCCTAGACAGCAAAAGTTATATCCCAATATATCTGCATTATATCCCCCGGGGCTTATTCGAGAATTTACCGAGGGGGGGTTACGGCTTTTGGTCCTTACTGGATATAGTGGACATCCTAGCTAGCTTCCGCTTCTTTGTTTATCCAGAAGCTTTGATGGG